GTCTTGAGCCTGGCTTCTGACCTGGCTAACTGATCCTGAGGCTCGGTTGGCAAATCTCTGATGATCAGCAATAATAAATGAGCCGAGCCGAGTTGATGCCGATTTTACGGTTTCCAAGCTTTGCACAGAAGCTCAACACTCTAATCCTCACAAGATTTCATCGTCAAATACATTTTCCAACCCCACATCGATAGATTCTAATAAGGGATTTTCCGAGACTTCGAGCAATTTGGGGTGCACTAGGGAATCTAAAATCTGAAAACCGACCTGCCAACTGGAAATACTCATCCTCCAGCCACAAAAGCGACTTTCCAGAGGTCTTTTCGATAGTTAATTGCCAGTAGGGAAACAAGAATAATCAGAAAAATGATTTCTTTGCCCATTTCTTCAACATTTTCAGCTGTTTTACATATCTGAAAGTTGAAAATGGAGGAAAAAATAGCGGCAAAAGCATAAATAGATTTTTCGGGTTTTTAGCTGAGAGAAATGGATATTTTGACCGACAAACGGACTTTTCAGCAAATCCCCAGGATTTTCAAGTAAAGAAAACGAGGCGGCGATGAAAAATTGCGAAAAAAATTGACAGAATCGAGAAAAAGGCTTCAACAATCGAGTGGCAGAGTCAATTCTCGAATATAAATTGCAAATTTTCTCATAAACTGTAGTTTCCTTGCCAGTTTGCATTCGATTAACTCAATTTTGAGCCCAATTCATCAAATTTTGTTATTCCTTTGTCAAATGTGACTAAAATTAAGCTGATCAAATGGAAATCGGCGGTCAGATTCCAGTAGTTTTTGTGTAAAGAAGAATTTGGAAAGAAGCTAGAGTGGCTCGCTAATCTAAACCGCTTTCAGTTTTCAATCTAAACTGCTTCCCTAAATCGTTCTCAACTCTCCAATAGCCTGTTTAAGTCTATATTTGGGAATTTTCTAGGCTTTTTAAACTAAAACCGAGAACGGGTGCAGGTACAGACAACTAGATTAAGCCATAAACTATTCGGTTGGCCAATAGTCAATTTCAAAAAGAAATCTTTTGTTCAATAAAAGCGAGCCTAAATCAAAACAAAATAGTTTTCATCTTTTTCAAGGAACTTTCTCCTATTTTACCTAGTAGAAGGAGAATTCTTCTTGCGTCAATTTTTGAATCTTTGATTTCTTTGATTCCTTTGTTTCCTTTGAATCTTTGAATCAAAAATCTTTGATGTTGAGTCTACTAAAGTCTTTACTAATTCTGTACCCATTTTTTGGTATCTTTTTCAGCTTCAAAGTGCTCTAGGCTGATCAAAATGAATGGTAATCTGATGTTAGATCTGAGGAATATACTGACTAAGGGAGAAGTTCTCAGTCTAGGTTCTTGATTGTTCTTGGTTGCTTTAATATCCGACATTTCTCCAATAGTTAGGCTAGTTATTTTCTAAAGACTGTGGTCTTAATGATCTTGACGAAAGAACTGAGACTAGGATATAAAAACGAGCAACAGCAACAAGACTTCAACAGCGAATGAGTTAGATTAGATGAAGATTGGAGTTGGGTCGAGTTGGATCGAGTTGGATCAAGATTTCAACAGTTTTGCAGTAAAGGAAAAAGGCTCGAAAAGCAATAAATCTCTCTAAATCGGTAATAAATTCAAAGAAGTGTCAGGGTTTGCGGGTAAATGGCTAAAAATATCAATAGAGTCAAAATTTAGAGGCTAGGAGTCGCGCCCGATTTTCCCAAAGGAGACATCAATCACCCAGGGAAATCACAAATCGTGAAGGGAAAGGAAGAAGGGAAGAAGGGGAAGTGGTCGATTGACTTTGACTGAATTTTTTGGTATGAATTGGTAGAGACTTGGAAACGGTAACGATTCTATACATATTGTCAAATCGAGAATTGTTTGAAAAGCGAAAAGCGGCCATCGAGTAGCAATCGAATTTAGCCGAAAAAACAGAAAACCCTATTCAAATGTCACTAGGAATAGTTAGATTAACTTTTCGAAAAGACAACACTCTTTTTTACACCCAAGAAGCGATCGAATCTCGGATCGGCCCTTCTCGAGATCGTTCAATCAAAACAACTGTCGCCGGCGCTCTCGATCAATCAACAAAATAAGTTTTCTTTTAAAAGTTCTTTTTAAAGCTCTTTTTAAGCGCTAGTTATCCAATGCGCTCCAGAATCCACTAAAAAGTATGTAAATTCTCGATAGAATCAAAAATTTTCAAGAAAATCTCTTGCCCTCTTTCAACCCTGATAAGCTAAAATTTCAAAAATCGTCTTTCAAAGTAAATAGTTAAATTTAAAGCTACTGTGACATCCAACTAGACGAATGGCTAACGGTGGGTGACAAATTTCTCAATTTTCAGGCAGAAATTGGCGAGGAAAAGACAAGGAGTGGAATTGGCGGGCAAAAAGCAAAAAGGGGCATAATTTGATGAACTAGATGGGGGAAAGGGGATGGTTTATCATTTTTGAAGCAAATGGAGGCAGGCGAGGGGTGGGGGTGGTTATCTGTTGTTGGATCTACAACAGGCATCCCCGCGGTTCCAAAAAAAAAGGCGCAAAACCAAAATAATCACTTTTTCAGCTCAAGTGCGTTCCAAAACAAGTCTGCAAAAGTTTTTAGGATACCTTTTTGAATCCATAGCGCAGGAAATCGTTCAAACTCTTCCCTACCAGAACTCGAATTTTTATAGAAAAAAATTTCTATTTCTTAACATTTTCTTAATCAATGACATCCATAATTCGTAAAATGTTTTAAAAAATTTGGGAAAATCTTTGAGCAAAAACATTTCTCGGGGTTGATCTTGATTTGGATAGGAAAAAAAACAGAAAAGCTCATTTCTCAACTCAAAACTGCTTCGAAATGAAATATTGCCCTTGAAAATCGGGGAAGAGTCAAGAAGACAAAGAGGAAATGAACAAAATGGGCAAAAGTTGAGGGTTGAAATTGTTTTTTCGAGATGCGTAAACAAGTCGATAGAATTTATCAGTGATTGGAAGTGAAAATTTATGAGTCCAATCGCAAATTCTCTTGCTTATCACCGATTCTCGTGTGATCACAAAGGGGCATTATTGTCTGAAGAAAAAAAGGGGAGAAGGGAAAGGGGAAGGGAAAGCGAAAGAGAAAGAGAAAATCACAGATTAAGTCCAACAGATCGTAATTCTTAGAAGCTAGACAAAGATCGATCATCAAATTTCACGTACATCTTTCAAATCGTTGATCGTCGGCAGATCACAGAATTCAACAATCACTCGTGACTCCCAAATCAGACTTGATTCTGCAATTGATCATTTTCGACAATTTCCAGGGCCATCATTCGCATCCCGAAGCAATTTCAAAACGATGAGAATGTTCTAATAATCGCCGCGTATCAATACGAACTTTGGGCAACTGGCGATCCCGACCAATCTGGCCCCATTTTATTTTCTATTCCTTCGAACAGCGTTCAGTTTTCATGAGAGGCCCTTCTCGTCTTACTAGGCCCAGATTTCTGTCAAATGCAAGGTCAGGGTCAGAAATGGGATTCCCTCAGAAGATTTTTGCTTGAGTTCATTTCCATCCTTTGTTTTTCTTTTTATTTGACCATCCAAGACTTAAGATTGTTTTAGTTTTCGATTTCAGGAAGTATCACAATGAATTTTTAGTATCGAGGTTTATGAACAAAATTGAACATTTACAGCTCAACATTGATGATAAAAAGTAAGTAACAAACAAAACCGTTGTTCCCTTCCACAAAAAGGACAGAATAAACGATCTTTCACAACACCTATTTTCTGCACAATCCGTGCTGGCGATTTCTTTTAGGAAAGCAGAAAGAGAGTCTATTCTAGAATTCTTATTTATAGAATTCAATAAAAAACTTGGGTATGATGCCACGTGAAATATAAAAATAAAACAAAGTTAAGTGTTGAAAGACCAAAAGTCATCCAAAAGTTCACCTTAAGTGGGTGCACTTCCCTTGTGGGAATTTCGTGTAACAAAATGGTAAGCAAGATTCTGTTAATTGAAACGTGTGAACAACCAAAAGTCAAAAAGCACACCGTACATTTGAAAACTGTAGGCCGAAAGCCAGAGCTTTTGTCGGAGTGAATTTTCATCTGCGGAATCGTATTCATTGAGGGAGTTTCGCAGTTGACCTGGGTTGCTTTTTTGCCAATATCAGTTGCTTGTGCAGTTTATTTAGATTTAAACCGGTAAGATGTAGGTTCTTGAATCTTGAAATCGAGCAAATAAAGATTGATACGGACTAAAAATAATCACAGGACTTTATGCGGACTAAAAGTAATCGAACGTTGACAACAACCAACCAACTAATTTGAAGGGATAGAAATTTTGAAAGATAGTTTGCACTTGATGATTCTGAAACATTCAAGAGGGAAAAAAGGTTCACAAAATCAAGACTATGGCATAAAAGTATATAAAATGTGGGCAATCATTGAAACGAAATCACAAGCAATGAAAGTTCCCAAAAAATGGAAAAACCGACAGAATTCTTCGGAAAATCACAATAGGGAAAGAGCAAAAATACAAATATACCTATGGATATGATGCGTCAAAATCGATCCAGACGAGCTTTGTGGCCCAAGGTCCGTAACGCTCAACCAATCCAACCGCACAGACAAGCAATGTTTCAGTGGCTTTGAGATCCAGAATACAATTCTGATATTGAAGACGAATAAGGTCACGAACAAATTTACCTAAAAATGAAAAATTCTTGCATGGTTGATAAAAAATTAACAACAGAATACTTAAGCATCAACATATTTCTAAGATCGAATCGTCAATGAATCATGTTATTTAGTTATAAACTCCAGTGTAAATAAAAACTAAAAGTCCGGATTTTGTGTCCTATAGTCCTATAGGTAATTTAAAACAGCATACCTTTGTCCACATCCCACAGCTTCACCGAGCCATCAATCGAACCTGTCACCAAAAGTCCGGAGTCGAGCAATTGCAAGGAAGTGATGTTCGACGTATGACCATTTCGGCCATGTAAGTGGTGAAGGCATGAGCCACCCTCACGAATGTCCCAAACCTAAAGAAAAGGAAGTAGTTTTCATAGGCTTGATTAAACATACCCAAATGTCCGAGTCGTAACAGGAGACCAAAGTGTTTCCGCGAAGCTGCATCCGAAAGTTCCGATAATCTTCGAACCTGAACCCTTGAAGAAAGTCAAGATGTGTGATGCATGCTGAAAGAAACAAATATAGATGACATTGTAACAGAATATTCAACAAGTAAAAGCCACTTCCTCTTTGCACATCCCAGACGCGAATCCTCCCGTCACGACTACCCGACACGACAAGATCACGCTGTGACTCAAACTAAAGCAGAATCCAGTTTAAAGTCAAAATTTGAAAATTCAGCTTACCAAAAGTGAAAGGGTTATATCCGTGTGACCCGTCAACATGTGCAAGCACTCCCCCGTGTGTACATTCCAAACCTAATAGAATATTATAGATTGCACTAGTAACTGTACAAACATTTACGGTATAATCACCGCCACTAGATACAACCCGCTCTCCATCAAATTGCACACAATTCTGAAATTTAGTTTAAGCTAAAACTTTGATACACATACCCTAGCATCGACAGCCAAAATGTGAAGGCATTTCCCGTCGACAATGTCCCAGACACGGGAGCGTTTCATCAAGCGACCCAGAAACAAGACTAAAACATTATGACCTTTACTAAAGCAGAAAATTCAGATTACTCACGTTGTGCCATGTAGACTCATGCATGTAATCCAATCCGTATGTCCCTGCAAAACATGAAGCTGTGCACCGGTTTGACCACACCAAATGCGCACCGTCTCATCCTGCCCGCCACTGAAATATTACAATAGAATTTGTTGTCATAAGAATTTTTGTTTGAGTCTTTTTTAGCTTCATTGGCAACTCTGATGAACTGCACTAGCTATAATCTATTAACTAACCAGACAATGTATTTGCCATCTTCGCTCACTTGATACGACGAAGGCTGACCATTCTGACCAGTTAGAGTAAAAGCCGGCTAAATTCGGACGTACAATAACAATTAAACAAAATAAACTTGAGCATCTTCAACATTCCAGACCCGCAACTTATCATCATGAGAACCAGTAATGATAAGACCAGGGTGAGCTTGTAGAGAAATTGCGTATTTAAAGTCATCCTAAAAACCAGCTTTTCGGTCAAACCATTTATTCAAACCTCCAGAACAGTGCTAGATTGAATCGCCCGGGATCGCCAATTCGAAATGATTCGCTTCTTTCGCAAGTACAGCGACTTCCATGGCGAACGCTCATAACATCTAGAAAAAATTCATTTCGCAACAAGTTGGGTCACTAACTCCCCCATATGCTATCTCGCGTGCTTGTCGATTTTGCTGTGCTTCTTGAACGTCCATATGTGAACAGATTGTGATTCCCGTTTGCTTATTTGCTCGATTCGTCGCCCGACCTCCGAGAAAACGAAAACTAAAAAAACAGGTTTGAGACGAGTCTTTTAACAATCAATTTCCTAAATATGAACCAGTTCATTTAAACAAACATTATCATGTTTTCTTTCGCTTTACATCTTTGTTGGCTTTGGAATTAATAACATTATTGTCCTATATTTTACAAGTCTTAAAATCTAGTTTAATATAAATCTATCAGATTTGTATTTTTAAGTGTTATATAATCTGTTCAAAACTGTAAGTGTGTTACAAACAAACATTACCATATGTTTTCTCTCGCTTTATATCATTGCTGCTTTGGAACTAATAACTTTATTGTCCTAGATCTTACAATTCTTCAAATCTGGTTTAATAAAAATCTATCAGAGATGTACTTTTAAGTGTTATATTATCGGCTCAAAACTGTAACAAACCTTGGGGCATCAAATTCCAGATATCCGCTCTCGATACATTTCTGTCGCCACGTCCGATCATCTTCACAAAGCCGCCGCCACGCCCGCGAAACGCCAGCACAAGTCATCAAATCGCACGGTGTCAAATAGGCAAGGATACGATAAGCAATCTAAAAATAAACAATTACTCCCACAAGCTTTATCAAACCTCCTCTGGCAATTGTGCCAAGAAGTCCTTTTGGAACAGTTCGCTGAGATGCCTGAATTTGAAAATCTCACTGTTTAAGGTCATTCTCTTTACCTCATCAACCGAACTAGTGGCTCGGAGAGTGCTCCGACCAGGCTTTGAACGGCAAAGCTCTGTTGAGGCAGAGACTCAACAGCTTCTGTCAAGGCTTTTATCTTTTCTGCCGTATTTGCATCACCAGCAACTAAGAGCGCGTTCCGATCGACGAGAAGTTTCTTGGCTTGTTCTCGGCTCTCGTCGCTCCCTTCCTCGAGCAGCTCCAACAGCTTTTGGTTTTCCACTTGGATGTTGACCGGCGTTGCGAGCACGGGTGATGGCTTTGAATCGGGCTTCAGCTTTGCCGACAGTTTCTCCAGTAGATCCGCTTTCAAAGTTTCGAGTTGAGTCTTGCTGCTCTCCGGCTTGTTCGACATCGACCCTAAATGAAAAATTACAGCAAAGATAACACCGTAAATAATAAAACAAAAAAAACCCGAAGACAAGACTACTACTAGCTACTCTAAATATTGTAAATACTGTGAACGGGGGCGAAGAATTGTTCATTCGTCATTTTTAGACGTAAAGCTTGTTTTGCGTTCTAACACAAAGTTTTCAGCGCTAAATTTATTTAATTTGACTATAATTGTAAATAAAGCACCAAAAACACCTTAAAATAGCTTAAAATCCCTTGCTACCATCCGGTTGAACAAAGATTTTTGGGGAAGGACGGCATTTTTTAAGCAGCACACTGTATTTTAAATTTGCACAATTTAGTGGGTAGTTTGAAAGTAATTGGTGTATTTTTTGAGCAGCACATTTTAGTGGGTAGTTTTAGTTGGTGTGTCGTAAATTATGATACACTTTATTTATAAGGGAGAACCTCCACTTTGAGGCCCTAATCTCGAAATGGTTTTCAACACCGATTCATGCTTGGGCACGCTTTTAATGTATTAGCAACAGGGGACTAAATCAAAAGATCGCCGCTAAAAGAGCGCCATTTAAATGAGCGCCAATGCAAAAAAACGCTTAAATGAGCGCCAATGCAAAAAACGCTTAAAAGAGCGCGAATAGATTTTTGCGACTAGAATGTTTCGGATCTGGCTAGTGCCGAGTTTTTTTTCCTTTTTTCTCTAAAAGATCTGTGCATGGTATAAAATGTAGCTAAACTAGTTTACCGTCAATACTGTAATAGTACCCCACCCCCATAATGACGGTGCGAAGTGTTGCGTAGTCTAGCTTTGAACGCGTTTTTCTCGACACTGGTTTATGCTACAATGCGTTATCATGTTATCAAAAAATAGCTGAAATTCAGGGCTATTTTTTCATACTTTTCATTTTCAAAGACGCATTTTTTGAAACACGCTTTAAAATACGCTTTAAAATACGGGCGCTTTAAAAAAAATGAAATACTAAAAAATTTTGCGACTACGCGACTGTACGAGAGGTGTGGGGTACTATTACAGTATTTACGGTAAGTATTCTTATTACTAAGTAGTATTGATGATCCAAATCTAAGCACAAAGTATTCCGTTGCCCAATTGCTATCATCCAATTGCCCAAATCGTTTTCAGACTTCGCGGCGAGCAATGTCTGTGCAAGGGTGATCTTTGCAATTCCACATCGTCAACCCAACAACAAGCGATTTTACAAGCGCTCAATTGTTTTTGAGCTTTGGTTTTTTGAAATTTCGCCATCCTGAATAGCAGGACGCTAGTTTGTCTACAAATTTTCAAATAATATGCGAATTTGAATATCAGCTTACGGTAGCGGGATCATTTTATAGAAAAGCAGACTGCTTTGAGACTCGCATTTTCGAAAATTTGGGCATCCTGGATAGCAGTATACAAATTTATCAAAAATTTGTATACTGTTTGTCTGGGGATTTGTTTGCAAAAATTTCAGGTCCAAAAAAACTACCATTAAGTGCTAAAACTCTATTTGTGCTAGAACACAATTTTTCTGTAATGTTCAGATTTCTAGCTCCTTACGTGATGCAAAAATTAATTCGTCATCTAGGTACAAAGCTACATTTGCCGCATGTTGGCAAAGATATCGTAATATGAGTTAGGCGAATAGCCAGGGTGCTGTTGACTATCCAAAGGGGAAGACTTGAAAAGCCTATGCCTCTCGAGTAAAACCCAATATAGGGCTGCGAGTCCCTGTGTATCCTCACATGATGGTAACCACTCTTGAACTTCCTGGATTCAATTGAAATCATGTAACCTTGGTGAGCTAACGTGTCAACGTACGAGCCCAAATCTTCTATTTTGAATTTTGTGTGAGGCTAGAAAGTGCTAAAGTACCAAAGGTTTAAACTAAGCCTCAATTTATCTTTTAAAGAAGTGACGTTGTCTGGTTTTGAGTGACTTAAGCATTTCCCCAATAAAATCTTCTTTTACCTTAAGCGAATGTATCCAATCGTGTGCCCGGTGTTGATGCTCAGCACCCACGACGTTTTCCTCGCTCGTTTCCCCGTCATCAACCATCGTCCGACCGGCAGTCTCCATCGCAGAAGTGCTTCGATGGCAGGAAGGGATTTGAAGCTATTTTAAGGTGCTTTTTTTGCTTCATTTACAATTATCGTCAATTCAAATAACTTTAGCGCTCAAAACTTTGTGCTGGAACGCAAAACAAGCTTTACGTCCAAAAAAATGACGATTGAACAATTCTTCGTCCCGTTCAGGTTAAACACCCGTAAATCTTCGTCGCCCGCAGCTTCAACACCCCAGCGTCTTTTCAATCCTGCTGATAAACCTAACCTTACCTACGAGATGGTGCACTAAAGGTTATTTTGTGGGTGAAGCGCTAAAAAGCGCCATGGAATGGAGCTTTCTGAAAACTGGAACCACAAAATATGGTTTTATGTGCATTCTACGGTAGGCCTTTTGATGGCGAGTTCTAAAACGCGCCCCTTACGTGTATTTAAGGAGACTTTTTGCGATAAAATTCATTCTGTTCAATTCTTTTAGTAGGCTTATCTACCGTAAATACTCTAATAGTACCCCATCCCTACCCTACGGTGCCCTATGGGTAGACTAGCTTATCGATTTTATCGATACAAACGACATGCTAATGTTTGAACGTTCAGATCTCTGTTTCTAGAACAGCTCTCAATCTGAGAATTGTTTCATTGGGAAGTCAAGAATGTCAGCTTTTGATTGCTGTTTTATACATGGCGACTTTTAATGAGTAGGCACCTCATAAACCTGAAGGATACTTCTCGATATTTGTGTATTGTATGGCCTTTTAAGGCACTCACCTATGAGAATTTATTATGTGTGAGATAGCAGGTTTTTATTATGAATGGTGTTATCTCTGCTGTAATTTTTCATTTAGGGGAGATGTCGGACAAACCGGAGGGCAGCAAGACTCAACTCGAAGAGTAAAGAGAATGACCTTAAACAGTGAAATTTTCAAATTCAGGGATATCATCGAACCATTGTTCCAAAAGGATTTCTTGTCACGGTTGCCAGAGGAGGTTTGTCTTTTGTATTAACTAACCTGACAATGTATTTGCCATCATCGCTCATTTGAGACACCCAAACACCACCCGTATGGTGGTGTTGGGACTTTCAGCATATCTGGATTTTTTTTATCGAAATCCTTTCAATCAAAAGATCGGTGTGGAAGAGTGCACTTACCCCTAAAATTAGCTCCACAAAAGTAATGTCCCATTGATGTTTTCCTTGGTTATTCTTTTTATTTTCGCGTTCTATGAACATTAAATGTATTTTATTTTATTATTTAGATGGCTGGCAAGAAAAGCCTTGACACTCCGAAGAAGCTTCGAATCGTCAGGGCCCGGGAAAATGGGATGCGGGAAAAGGATGTGGCCAACCTCTTCAATTGCTCGATAAGGACGGTGCGCCGCATTATTTCTCGGTGTTATGTGAACGGTGCGATAAACGAGTATGTGCACAAAGGTGTATTTCGTGGGTGAAGTGCCAAAAAAGCGCAATGAAATTTTGGAAAAGTGCAACCACCAAATATGTGTTTGTGTACATTCTACCGTAAATCTCTTGATGGCGCATTCTAAAACGTGCTCCTTTCGTATATTTAACGAGACTTTTTGCCACAAATTTCATTCTTTTCAATTCGTTCAGCAGGTGTATATGGCGTAAATACTGTGATAGTACCCCACCGGCCTCTAGTTCGTGCCACCCGGGTGGGGTACTATTACAGTATTCAGAAGAGCTAGTAATGGTATTTTGTTCGGGACTTTTCCTTATATTAATTAAGGTGTTATCTCTGCAGAAATTTTTGATTTAGTGGAGATGTCGAATAGACCGGAGAGCGGCAAGGCTCAGCTCGAGGTTAATCCAAGTGGTTTAGCCAATATCCAAGTGGAACTGAACCAACCATTGTTCCAAAAGGACTTCTTGGCACAATTGCCAAAAGGGGTCTGTTAAAGGCAGTGGGGGCAATTGTTTAATTTTAGATTGCTTATCGCATCATCGCCCATTTGACACCGCGTGATTTGATGATTTGTGCTGGCGTTTCGCGGACATGGCAACGGATTTGTGAAGATGATCAGACATGGCGACAGAAATGTTTTGAGAACGGATATGTGGAATTTGATGCATCAAGGTTTGTTTCAATTTTAAGTCGATAGTATAGCACTTAAAAGTACAGATCTGATAGATTTATATTAAGCTGGATTTTAAGACTTGCAAAATATAGGATAATAATGTTGTTAATTCCAAAGCAAACAAAGATATAAAGGGAGAGAAAATTTATGAGAATGTTTGATTAGATGAACTGGTTCATATTTAGGAAATTGATTGTTAAAAGACTCGTCTCAAACTTGCTTTTTTAGGACAATAATGTTATTAATTCCAAAGCCAACAAAGATGTAAAGCGAAAGAAAACATGATAAGGTTTGTTTAAATGAACTGGCTCATATTTAGGAAATTGATTGTTAAAAGACTCGTCTCAAACCTGTTTTTTTTAGTTTTCGTTTTCTCGGAGGTTGGGCGACGAATCGAGCAAATGGGAATCACAATCTGTTCACATATGGACGTTCAAGAAGCACAGCAAAATCGACAAGCACGCGAGATCGCATATGGACAGTTAGTGACCGAACTTATTGCAGAATGGAGTTTTTTCTAGATGTTATGATTTAGAAAACGTTCGCCATGGAAGTCGCTGTACTTGCGAAAGAAGCGAATCATTTCGAATTGGAGATCCCGAGCGATTCAATCTAGCACTGTTCTAGCGGTTTGAATAAATGCTTTAACCGAAAAAATCGTTTTTAGGAGGACTTTAAAGAAGTCATTTGTCTACAAATTCACCCTGGTCGTATCATTACTGGTTCGCATGATGATAAGTTGCGGGTCTGGAATGTTGAAGATGCTCAAGTTTATTTTACTTAATTGTTATTGTACGTCCGAATTAAGCCGGCTTTTACTCTAACTGGTGAGAATGGTTCCCGTTTGTCGTATCAAGTGAGCTAAGATGGCAAATACATTGTCAGGTTGGTTAATAGACCATAGCTAGTGCAATTCAAAGAGTTGCCAATGAAGCTAAAAAGATTCAAGCAAAAACTCTTATGACAGCAAAGTCTGTTGTAAGATTTCAGTGGGGGGCTTGATGGAACGGTGCGCGTTTGGTGTGGTCAAGCCGCTGCACAGCTTCATGTTTTGCGGGGCCATACGAATTGTATTCCATGCCTGAGTCTACATGGCGCAACGTGAGTGATGTGAATTTTGTTTTTTTAGCTAAGATCATAATGTTTTAGTCTTGTTTCTGGATCGCTTGTTCCCTTGCCGTAATCCTTGCTTCAAGCCCAAATGCTGATTTTTTAAAACAATTACCGCCGCCGTTCCCCTTCTCGACAACATCATCAAAGTCGACGAATAACGGGATTAGTTCGGTGTTGAGAACGAACTGAAATTTGAAATTTTCTTGAAATTTCTTCGATCTGGAGCTCACAGCAGTATTTCACGAACTTGTTGCCTTCGAAAGTCCCGAAAATCGATTTTGGAGTTGCGGAGCAGGAAACCGGTGATCTGATGGACGATGGCGATCCGTTGCTGTAAAGTGACAGCGAGCAGGGATAAGGTAGTCACTATTACCCCGAATAAGCTAGAATTCTCAAATTTTCTACTTTTCCTAGATCCTGGAACGCACTTGATAAGATTTCACCGAAATTAGACTATAAATCAACGATCCTGATTTTAGCAGCAACTCCCTGGACCACGGTAACAATGATGCCAAATCAAAAAAGCGGGTCTCGAGCTTAAAACTTTTAGAATAAGCCTTGTGCGCAAAATTATTCGATCTAAACCCATTTGAATTGAATTTATTCGAGTTGAACTCGTTAAATTGAATTTGTGAGATGTACCCTCAACTTTTTTGATGAGTTTTCTTGTCCAAACTTCGTAGAGCTTCATAATTTTGCCTAGCTTGAATTTCAATTTCAATCTTTTGCATCAATTTTGTAGTGTTCCATTCATCGCCAGAGTCTCGTTCTTTCTCGTCAACTTTTGCTATGGTCGAAATAGGAAATTTTGTTTTGATCTCGCGCATGAGCACGGATTCAACATTTTCCCCTTGCTCTTCTAAACTTTCAAGTAAACCTTTCATGTCGTAAAATGTGTTAAACCTATCATCGATTTGATCTATGCACGGACTCTATTGCATTGGCAATAGCGGCTTATTGAATTTGAGTTCTCATAACAATTTTTCAGATTTGTGATGGCACTCTGGTAAAAGTTGACGTTTTTGCTAGCGTCCTTGATGAATCTAGCAGCTTTGCCTCTACATGTTTGTGTAAGGACATTTAACTTTACTTTACTGAAACTTTACAAGAAATCGCTGAGATAAAACTTGAGAAAAACTTTAAAAGAAATCGCTGAGATAAAACTTGAGAAAAAATTGAAACAAATTATAAAATCGGGGGAATTTTGAAAATCGGAAATGCTCGTGAAAACTGGCGACATTTATCAGGTTGGCAAAGAAGTCTTTTCGCGATTTTTCAGGATCTCTAAACTGAACCACCAGATATCAAAACGCTCTTTTATGACTTTTTTCTAATAAAAGCTATTGAATAACCAGCTTTTGAATCAAGGTTATTTAGAGTAGAAAAATTTATTTCTCAATGAAAGTCAATTTTTTTGAGTGTTTTCAATCAAAAACTGATTCCAAAAGAAATAAAATGACTTTAGACTTGAAATTCTTTGCAAAATACAGTAGTCATCAAAAATTTACTTGAAATTTTGAGGAAAAATATGGCGTTTTGATAAGTTCCGAGTCAAAAGAACGTGAACTGAAAAAACATGAAATTTGACTTGGTACTGAATCTCAATCAATCATTTTTCCATCAAATTTCCCAAAGTAAAAACTTGTGTCATTGTTTTTAATTTAAGATCTTGATCTTTAAGTTTAACCATACAAAAGTATGGTAGATGCTTTGTCGAAAAATTTAGGTGGAGCGAGAAGACTTTCCTGCCAGCCTGATAGCTGCAACGGTTAGCAGAATAAAATCAATGACTAGTCAGTTTGAAATAAAAAGGGAAAAATGGGAATGAGGACTTTTGAAGGAACACCGAGAAAGGCACAAAATTTGAGTGATTTCGGAAAATGTCAAGGAAGTAAAGTCTCTGATGAAAGAAATGTCTTTGAAAAAAGGGGAAAAACTTAAAGTTTCAGAAATTCCGCTTTCATGTGATATGTGCAAAAGTGAAAAGGCAAAGAAAAACAGGGAGAAAATGAAGAAAGACTCAAATCCACGTGAATTAAATGATTTTCAAAAGTTGAAAGCCAAACCAACAAACGAAACAAAGAACTGAGCCTGGAATTGCTGGAAATCGGGAAATTTTCGTTGGCTCTAGTGGAAAAACTCTTGAAAATGTGTAACTTGTTGCAAATTTCAGTTCCAAAAGACGGAAAACCCTAAAAAAGCTACTTTCTTCCACTAGAGCCCTAAATGAGTCATGAAATGCCACTAAAAACGTACAATGTTACGAGTTTCGATCCACTTGGTGCAGTAAATTGTCAAGAGTGTCGGGGATCGATGGTGAGATCTCGGGATTTCAACCCCTCGGGAAGGGGGTTGAAAAATAGAAGACCCGGGTCTTCTATTAGTTTTTACGGTATTCAACTCTCAATGGGCAAAGGGTTGACGATTGCATTTTAGCAAATCATTAGCATGTTAAAATATTTAATTCATTGAACAATAAGTTAACTACTCCCGAAATTATTGCTCCTACTACAAGTCAACTTCTACTCTTGCAACACCTCGACGAATTCCCTCACCTCCTCCTCTTCGACGACTTCTCCCTGATCCAGCTGCATATCGTCATCATCTCCACTTTCATCATCCTCATCTCTCTCGTCATCTTCTTTGATGTGATCGATCGTGTGACTCGGAAAGGATAAACGAAGCGGGGGCACCGATTTCTCCTCTTGGTTCACGACGGACATCACCGGCAACGAGACGCGTCACTGGTTGATCGCTCGAGACGAGGACCGACCTGGAGGTTTCTAAAGCAAAGAAAGAATATGATTATTGAATCTACTAAATACGTACCTTTTGCTGTGGCATTTGATTGAACGGTGTTGTTTTAGCTGGCAATGAGAGACGATTCTAAACAAATCAAGTAAAAACAGTCATATCCCTTAAAAAAAATACCTGTTTCGCTTTCTTGTTCGGTGGTTGGGTGAATCGAGAGGAATCCTGTGATGAGTCCACACCGGAAGCCGTTCTTTTTCGTCCACTCAACGATGGCGGAAGATCAGATTCGAACTAAAATAAGAAATAAGAATTTGGGTGTAACAATTGTTTCAAAAAGCTTTTAAGGCTTAAAACGAATAATACAGTTAAATTCTTTAAAAACCTACATCCAAGTACTTTCTCGGCGGCCGGTGCTCTCGACGTCGGCGATTCGTCGGCGTCTCGCTTTCAATTGGAGTGGGCGCAATCTGTAGCAACTTAATCAGCATTTGATTGCAGATTGGCTTTGATATTATAGCTTGTAACTATATGATACTATCCGCAAGTAGTACTAACTTAAATGATCACATCGTTAGATGTGATGAGCCTTTACAGCTATGACAGCTAATATCAGGTTGGCAACTAAATAATGGCCCTTTTCAGTAAAAACAAAAAATTTATTAACAAGATGAACAAATATCAACATCAATCCAAAAGGTATTCTCCGTCATTCTTTATTACTTCTTTCCACTTTAGACGGAGCAACTGGATACCTCTCTTGAAAACTTCTTCTGGTTGATCGTCAAAGAACTTCTGCACTGAAATTCGGACTTCGTCAAGGTCATTGAACTTTTTCTCGGCTAGAAAGTGTTGCATCGATCGAAAAAGATGGTAATCACTAGGCCCCATATCCGGGCTGTATGGCGCATGAGGAAGAACATTCCAGCCCAACTCCTCGATTTTCTCCATTGTAAGTTTTGCAGTGTGTGGTTTTGCGTTATCATGGAGAAAATGAATTGAAGAGGGTTCGAGTCCTTGAGAGCGAATTGCTTGATCTACACGATGTAGTTGAGACGAATAGAGTTCTGAATTAACCGTTTGCCGGCTTTTGAGAACCTCGAAATGCACCAACCCACGAGAACTCCACCACACACAGAGGAGAGTTTTCTTTGAGTGAATATCCGGCTTCGGCGTTGGTTTTGGGTCTTCGTTTGTGCTAAGCCACTGTCGTTTTCGCGTTCGATTATCATAAAAGATCCATTTTTCATCAGAAGTGACAATGGAATCCAAGAAGCTTCCCTTTTCGCAAGTTTTAGTAGTATTCCAGCTGTGATAACACGAGTAGCCTTATTTTCTTCGCTCAATTCTTGCGGAATCCACTTTCCACTGCGGTTACTTTTCCCCAATGCATGAAGTCGCTTTTCGATTGCAGTATGCGAAAGGCCCAATCGATCCCCTAGCTCGCGTGATGTTTGACTTGGATCCTCCTTTAAAGCTGCTTCCAAAATATCGTTCTGCAGAAGTTCGGGTCGTCCTTGGCGAGGCTCATCTTCAAGACTTTCATCCCCTTCCTTGAACCGTCGATACCATCTCTTACATTGTGTTTCGGAAAGAGCTTCATCACCAAAAACGCGCAATAAATCTCTGTGGGATTCGGCAGCTGTTTTGTCTTGTTTGTAGTCGTACCAGAGACAGACACGCATTCGATATTTGAGATCTTCCATTTCTAAACAAAATTATTTGAAAAGTATCAAATCAAGGAAAGTAAAAAACGTATAATAATGCACCAGAAATTCAGTAATATTCAATTAACAACAAGCGAGGGTAGATTAAACGCAAAGATTAAAAGATTTTATCAAAAAAGGGCGAGGGCCATTATTTAGTTGCCAACCTAATAGCTCCAAAAAACTAAGCACTTTTGATTTAGGAGCAGCCCTGATTATAAGCCTAACTTGTTACCAATACTGACCTTAAGCTCCACGTTTATTCCCCCAAACCCACCGGAGAGACAAGCGGCTTGCTGGTGTGCAAAATTGACGGTTGATTCGCAGTCAACGGCGTTCTCGGTGATGGCTTTCCAATTGGGATCAACGGTGCGATCGGAGTGAATGATTTGCGCCGATTTGTTGTCATCATCGGTGCTGGTGGCGGCGGGGAGAGGGCACGCGGCTTTTGAGCTCTCGTCGACCTTTCCGGTAGAACCATCGGCGAGAGAAGCGGAGCCTAGATGCATACGTTTATCTACGGAATAAAATCAATTCCAATTAGACATCCTTTTTAATGAATGAACAGAATCCTTACCGAAATCCTCCTCGGAGCCACAGCTTTTGGTCTCTCATTGTGCAGTTCGGATTTGACACTCAAAAAGAGACTGTCTCGATAGGTGAAACCAATAACCCACTCATTTTCCGGGACCATATTTTGATCCTGTCCAAAGAGTGGCAGAGCGGCAGGCACTTCTTTCTAAACTTTTCACTTAATTGCGAATCTTATCCAATTTTTGATGCTTTTAGACCATAAAGCTGTGTACAAAGTTCAGTTTAACGGTTTGGAATTTGATTTTTTTGATTTTTCCCCCGTTAACTCACCTTAACCGGCGGTTTCTTGATTGCAACTTTCTTTGGTGGTCGTCCTCGCGCTTTCTTTGGTAGAGCCGACTTAAGCCCTCTACCCACTGCGCCGCCACTCCACATTTGACTGGGACTGAGGCAACTTTCTGAGGGAATCCCATTTCGGCCAGGAAGATTTCATTTCTTGGCTACAAATTTAAAACGTTTGTAACTTTTGATAGCGGGCCATTTTGCAACAACGAAAAGCAGGTTCGGAATCAGGATAAAATTCTGCATCGCACCAACGGGGTCCCAATGCAAAAAGCTCGCCTTCATTCAGTGCACTTCCCTTCCGAGTTTACCCTGTTTCTTTGTACTTGTGAGCAAGTTTAAGCGATTCATCGTGCATGTGTAAGTTGTGCAACAAACACCACTTACACAGTTTAAATATACCGCATTCATAAAGCGTTGAAAAATCGAGCAAAATATAAATATAAAAATAAAACAAAGCCAAGTGTTGAGTGTCAAGTGTCAAAATAAAAAGTTCACCTTAAGTGGGTGCACTTCCCTTGTTGGAGTTTTGTGTAACAAAATCGTAAGCATTTTGATTGAAAGATTCTGTTAATTGAAACGTGTGAACAACGAAAAGTTAACAAGCACACCGTACATTTGAACACTGTAGGCCTAAAACCAGCGCTTTTGTCGGAGTGAAAATTTTCATTAAGATGTTGACTATTGGCTATTGATCTTCTTTTTATAATATGCACTATTGATAATGATCTTTATCGTATTCAGTGAAGGAGTTTGGCAATTGATTTGAGTTGCTTTTTTGCCAATATCAGTTGCTTGTGCAGTTTAGTTAGATTTAAATCGGTGAGGTATAGATTCTTTAATCTTGAAAAATCGAGCAAATAAAGAATCACAGGACTCGATACGGAGTAAAAATAATCGAACGTTGAGAGCAACCAACCAACTAACTCGAAGAAATAGAAACTTTCAAAGATGGTTTGCACTTGATGATTCTCAAACATTCAAGAAGGTCAATGACTAGCAGCAGGTTAATGGAAAAAGGTTCACAAAATCAAGACTATGGCATACAAGTGTGTAAAATGTGGGTAATCACTGAAAGGAAATCAAAGGAAATGAAAGCTCAGAAGGATGGAAAAACCGACAGAATTCTTCGGAAAATCACAATAGGGCCTAGGAAAAAGGCAAAAATACAAATATAACTATGGATATGATGCGTCAAAATCGATAAAGATGAGCTTTGCGTCCTCCGATCTATCTACCCGTTCAACTCCCCCATAAGAGCAATGTTTCAGTGGCTTTGAGATGGCAATAATAACGGAGAGGGTCCACCCATTGAAGACGAACGAGATCACGAACAAAGATACCTGAAAATGAAAAATTCTCGCGTAGTTGATAAAACATTAACAACAGAATACTAACCATCAACATATTTTTAAGCTTCAATCGTCAATGAATCATGTTATGTCGTTATAAACCCCAGTGTAGATAAAAACTTGAAGTCCGGATTTTATAGCCAATCGTCCGGATTTTATGTTCTATAGTCCTATAGGTAATTTAAAACAGCATACCTTTCTCCGCATCCCACAGCTTCACCACATCATCCGAACCTGTCACCAAAAGTCCGGAGTCGAGCCATTGCATTGAAGAGATGAGCGACGTCTGACCATTTACGCCATGTAAGTGGTGAATGCACGAGTCACCCTCACGAATGTCCCAAACCTAAAGAAATGGAAGTAGTTTTCATAGGATTGATTAAACATACAAAAATGTCCGAGTCGTAATACCAGGCCAAAATGTTTCCGCGAAGCTGCATCCCAAAGTAACTTGTGAACTCTAACTCTTGAATCCAGACAAGATGTGCGATGCATGCTGAAAGAAACAAATATAGATGACATTGTAACAGAATAGTGAAAAAGTAAAACCCACCTCCTCTTTGCACATCCCAGACCCGAATTGTTCCGTCACCACTGCTCGACACGACAAGATCACGCTGTGACTCAAACTAAAGCAGAATCCTGATTAAAGCCAACATTTGACAACTCAACTTACCAAAAGAGAAATGATCGCTCCCGTGTGACCCGTCAGCGTGTGCAAACACTCCTCCGTGTGTACATTCCAAACCTAACAGAATATTATAAATCGCACTAGTAACTGTACGAACCTTTACGGTAAAATCCTGGCCATCAAATACGACCCGTTCTCCATCAAATTGCAAACAATACTGAAATTTAGCTTTGTTTAAGCCATAACTATAATACACATACCAAAGCCTCGACAACCAAAATGTGAAGGCAGTTTCCGTCGACAATGTCCCAGACTCGGATTGTTCGATCCCCCGAACAGGAAACAAGGCTAAGAGATTATGATCTTAGCTAAAAAAGAAAATTCAGACGACTCACGTTGTGCCATGTAGACTCATGCATCGAACCCAATCCGTATGTCCCCGCAAAAGATGAAGCTGTGCGCCGGTTTGACCACAGAAAACGTCCACCGTTCCATCATAATCGCCACTGAGAGCTTACAATAGACTTTGTTGTCATAAGAATTTTTGTTTGAATCTTTTTAGCTTCATTGGCAAGACTTATGAATTGCACTAGCTATAGTATATTAACTAACCAGACAATGTATTTGCCATCTTCGCTCACTTGATACGAATCACCGAATCGTCTCTGGCGAGTTAGAGTAAAAGCCGGCAAAATTAAGACGTAAAACAATAGTGAAACGAAACAAACTTGAGCATCATCAACATTCCAGACCCGCAACGTATTATCATCAGAATCAGTAACAATACGACCAGAGCGAACTTGTATCTCTCCCTGAAAGCTGTGTCCATAGACCTAAAAACAATTCTTATAGCCAAAACATTTGTTTGAACCATTTGGACAGTGCTAGATTGAATCGCCCGGGATCGCCAATTCGAAATGATTCGCTTCTTTCGCAAGTACAGCGACTTCCATGGCGAACGCTCATAACATCTAGAAAAAACTTCATTTCGCAACAAGTTGGGTCACTAACTGTCCATATGCGATCTCGCGTGCCTGTCGATTCTGCTGTGCTTCTTGAAGGTCCATATGTGAACAGATCGTTATTCCCGCTGGCTCATTTGCTCGATTCGCCGCCCAACCTCCGAGAAAACGAAAACTAAAGAAACAAGTTTGAGACGAGCCTTTTTACAATCGATTTCCTAAACATGAAACAGTTCATCTAAATAAACATTATCATATGTTTTCTCTCGCTTTATATCCTTGTTTCCTTTGGAATGAATAACATTATTGTCCTATATTTTACCAGTCTTAAAATCTAGCTTAATATAAATCTATCAGAGATGTACTTTTAATTGTTATCTTATCGGCTCAAAACTGTAACAAACCTTGGCACATCAAATTCCACATATCCGTTGTCGAAACATTTCTGTCGCCAGGTCTGATCATCTTCACAAATCCGTTGCCACGTCCTCGAAACGCCAGCACAAGTCATCAAATCGCACGGTGACAAATGGGCGACGATGCGATAAGCAATCTAAAAATCAACAATTACGCCCACAGCCTTTAACAGACCTCTTTTGGCAATTGTGCCAAAAAGTCCTTTTGGAACAACGGTTGGTTCGGTTCCACTTGGATATTGGCTAAGCCACTGGGATTAGCCTCGAATTGAGTCTTGCTGCTCTCTGGTCTGTTCGACATCTCCCTAAATGAAAAATTATAGCAGAGATAACATCGTAATTAATATTAGGAAAAGTTCCCGAACAAAATACTATTACTAGCTCCTGTGAATACTGTAATAGTAGCACCCGTGTGGCACGCACTAGAGGCTGGTGGGGTACTTTCACAGTATTTAAGGTATATACACCTGCTAAACGAATTGAAAAGAATGAAATTTATGGCAACAAGTCTCCTTAAATATACGAAAGGAGCACGTTTTACAACGCGCCATCAAGGGGTTTACGGTAGAATGTACACAAAACCATATTTGGTGGTTCCACTTTTCAAAAAACTCTTTTTCATTGCGCTTTTAGCCCTTCACCCACAAAATAGCCTTTTGTGCACATTCTCGTAGGTAAGGCAAAGTTTATCGGCAGAATTTAGAGCCCCGTTCGGGTGTTGGAAATGCGGGCGGCGAAAATTTGCTTCTAAATTTATTTCTACAAATGAATTTGCCTATTTTTGTGGGTAGTTTGAAAGTAGTTGAAATTTCACAAATTTTGGAACACTTTATTTGTAAGGGAGGACACTCGTACATTCCCAGATTTTTTTTGATGGAAAAAAATCTGAGAAACTCTTCACTGATCTATACAAGGAAATTGACGCTTACGATTTTAAAACTATTATAATGCCAAAAAATACGTTAGTTGCATGCCATACTCTCTCAGCATCGGTGCGTTGAAGGTGAATTTATCAGGATTGGGGAAAACTGCATTATCGCCCCCCACTGAAGAAGCCCTCGCCCTCCCCCTCCGCCCACCGCTGTAGGATCCGCCCCCAGATAGAACGCGCCATCAAAAGTTTTATGGTAGAATGTAAACAGCGGTGGGGGGCGATAATTCATTCCCCGGAAATCCTGAATTACTCCCCCACACTGTATTATCGCCCCCTTCCCCCCTGGGAAACCTGCAGCGTTGCCCTCCACGCGAAACGAAAAAAACCTTATAACACTACTTACTGAAAACAAATACCCCTTTAATACAATTATTTCACTAATAGATTTTACATTTTTAAAAAATCCTCACCGTGTTCAATTGGATACTTGAGCGTCAAGATGCCTCGCTTGGATTGAGCCTCATCATCGACGTAGGAGTCCTTTTGCCCCATTCCAACCATAACCCCTTGATGACGAGGGCGACCGACGATTGACGGGAAGACGGCGCGCGGAGCATCATCACCAGCAAAGCCAACCTAAAAAGAATTAGTACCGTAACTTGAGCAAAACTTAAAATAAAACCAGCTTAAGTAGTTTGACGTTAAAAAAACAGTTGCCTAGGCAATGTATAACAAGTTAAACAACAGTTCGCCCTGCTCAGGGACTACGAGATCCAAAAGTTCACCTTGCACATTCCGGATCCGTTGTCAACCACGAGTGCAGCCACTTCTTCGTCGCACATTTAGTCCAAAGCGAGTTGATCAGTTGCAATATCTGAAAGAATACAAACTAGGGTGCTTCGAAGTGAGGACAAATACCGAAATGAAAAGTGCTTCCACTAAGGCAGAAGGGGTAAAGAGAAACAATTAACGCAAGAATTGAGATTTGGAGGATCCAATGAATCAGGATTGACTTAAGCGTCGGAAAATTGAATTCTAAATAAAATATAACTCCTGAACTGCTACGAAGCTGTGGGCTTCAGCTTCAACTATAAAGCTACAAAAGCTTTGGTACTTTGGTGGTTAAGAGGGGCCACTTTTATCCTGGCTTAGTTACATCTAATTGTTTTGAGTGGTTGTAAAGATACCTTTTATCTATTCTAGGGTAATCAAAAATGTTGAATAGATAGCTTGATCACTATTGATAACAGCTCTCTTCAAGTCCAATAAAACACTATAAAACAGTTAACTCGCTTTTGTTAGGATAAAATTACGAAATTCTGGATGTCGTGCTACATAAAGTAGCTACATAAAGATACCGTAAGTATCTAGATCACTTTTTAGCTCTCCACCCTTCGTGACCTCGATCAAGTACACGAGCGTGGCCAGCGCTCCGTTCTTCTTCTAGACGATTTTGTGAGCAATTTGTAAGATCTGTAAGTCACTAGAAAGATTGCTTAGAAAAAAACTTTACTTTTACTGTAAACTTCTTTACCATTTACCCTAAACCTCAAGCTTTCCATTTTTGATAATTTGACTATTTGCCTCCTATTTGACACATCCATTCAGAAGCGGCGCCTGGCCTGGCCTTGGTCACTGGGGCTGGAATTCGACCAGACCTACCAAACCTGGCATTCGACCTGGCTCTAGACCTGGAATTCTGGAATCCGGTGGTCAATTTCCTATTCCAAAACCTTGAACACACCCGTTTGCGGCTGTCTGGAAACTAGCGCAAAAGTGTTGGTTGCGGTGTGCACAAGCCATAATTCGTGCTCACTGCCTCGTTGTTTTGTAAAGAGTCAATCACCTGAAAACATTCTAGATTTCAAAATTGTATGTTAGATTCAATAAAATGAAAGATGAGACGATTTCAAGAAAGACTTGCCTATGAGATGTAGTTCTCCGTCGCGTCTCTGATGCTGTTCATCGCCTCTTCGACCGTATTGCTGTCGAGCTGGATTCTCTAGATTGATCGAGGCTATTGTGGAACTTGTGGCTTGTGAAAAGCGTTGAAGCTACGAATGTTGTTGTATTGTTTGAAAGGCGTCACATCGCAACCAGTTGCACCAAGGGTAATGAAATTGCTGAAAAAGGATCGGTCCGATTCCTTGAAGCTTCTGGCTTCCAGGCCTGGCCTTGTCTATTTTCTTTGTCTGCCAACCTCTGATCTTGTGGATTGGCCTTCTCAGCCGCGATACAAGATCTAAACAGCCGCATCAGTGATTCGAAAGTTTGCAAAATCTTGACATCTACCAGCGCTGGCAACCCAACAATGCCAATATAGAGCATAAAACGCTGCGTGCAATTCGTGTTCTTGGGATAGATCGATACTAAAAGACTGTTAAAGAAAGGCCAATTGCAAAATGCCTCACTGCCTCGTTGTTTTGTAAAGAGTCAATCACCTGAAAACATTCTAGATTTCAAAATTGTATGTTAGATTCAATAAAATGAAAGATGAGACGATTTCAAGAAAGACTTGCCTATGAGATGTAGTTCTTCGTCGCGTTTCTGATGTTGTTCATCGCCTTTTCGACCGTATTGCTGTCGAGCTCGATTCTCTAGATTGATCAAGGTTATTTTGAAACTTGTGGCTTCTTTTCTACTAGGATTTCTACTAGGACTATAGACTACTCTAGCTGAAAGCAGCTCTAGCTCTATTAACAGTCAGCTCAGGAGAGGTTGGTCAAGCAATAGTCAGCTCATCACCAGTTCTGACCAAACTTGGGCTGACGTCTGGCCTTGGAAATCTCTCTAATGATAACCGATCGCTCGGCGTTGAAGATCACTTTAATGAAGAAATCCTCGTCGAGATCTCTTTTCATCAAATTTCCCAACCAACTAATATCGTATTTTCCTTTGAGAGGCGTCAATACTGAAACTAGGCAATTCATAAAGTAAAAAGTTTATTTAAAAGTTTAAATTGAAACTCACAGTTACTACTCGAGATCTTGAATACAAGCAGTAGAACAGACTGCACATTTTCCATTGAATGATGGCAAGTTTCCGGGAAATTCAGCGCTGAGTCGATAAAATGTTCAAGAGCCGTTGCGAGGGTTGTGCTAGATTGCTATATTATTGCCAAGTCGGCTCGGCAATAAGCTAAGCCAAATGTAACTTACTGCCCCATTCTTGGGCCAATAGACCAACCGATAGATCAGCCATTATCGAAAGCAAATCAGCTCACTTGGATCTCAAAGCGTTGACGCTACGAATGTTGTTGTATTGTTTGAAAGGCGTCACATCGAAAAATTCTCTATTGCACAATTTTTTTTTGTTTAAAAGAACAATGTAGCTATGTATCGTATTCACTCAAAACAATTAAGGAATATGCAAAATAATCACTCAAGTGTGCGGGAGAGTCGAACCAACAACCCCATACTTTTGCGCGGGATTCACGTCGCGCGCCTTAGACCACTCGGCCACGGTTTCCCCTTATGCAAAATTTCTTTAAAGATGTTATAACTTTTTGTAGAGTTGAGCAAATTTGATGATTTTTGTATCAAAATGTTCGTGAGAGTATCTAGAATAAAAATTATCCCCTCGTTTTTTGTTCTAGACCCTCGTTGTCGAGTTACGGTAAAGAAATTCCTGAAAAAGGATCGGTCAGATTCCTTGACGCCAGCTTCTCGCTTCAAGGCCTGGCCTTGTCTATTTCCTTTGTCTGCCAACCTTTGGTCTTGTCGATTAGCCTTCTCAGCCTTCTCATACAAGATCTAAACAGCGACATCAGTGATTCGAAAGTTTGCGAAATCTCGACATCTCTCAGCGTTGGCAACCCAACAATGCCAATATAAAGCATGAAACGCTGCGTGCAATTCGTGTTCTTGTGATAGATCGATACTAAAAGACTGTAGTTCATCGTACTTAACTGTTCCCAATTTCGTTTGCACCAAACCGCTCGGATGTTTCGTCCAGTGCCTCAGGCTTAATAACTTTCCAACAAGCATTCTGTCCAATTATGATGTCAATATTAACTTCTTCAACTTCGGGCACGTCTCCGATGGCCATGTTTGCTGGTGGAAGATTGGGCAACTTCATCACGTCGAGAATGAAGGCGTCAGGTAGGTTTTCGTCGAAAGCTTTCTTGTTTTGCAATAAAACTTTGTAACATTTCGTCTTGATTGAACTTTCAGCTCCAATAGCTGTTCTGATCGTTAAATCTTTGGTTGTGGAAACTTTTAACTTTAATTTTTGTACGAATCTTTTTGTAATAAAACTATCCGTTGAACCTGTGTCCAATAAAATGTTTGCACTCTCATTGATTTGATAATCCTCATTCTTGGCAACAATTTGTAACATACTTGTGAGTCGAACTTTCCGATTAATTTGGGAACTGTTATAACATAGTAAACTTGGAATTTGAGTTCAACTTTTCGAGGCCTTATTGATTGCTGTTTGCCGTTGAATTTTTGGCTGGATGACTTGCTGGCTCCTCTTTGATGGCACGAAAAAACTCCGAACCGCAGTCCATTTGTGAATTTTGAGCAAAATATCCTGTTGCGGCGGGTTGAACATATCCGTTATTCGAATTTTCTAGAACTTGTAGACGATTTAAATTACTAGCTGTGTTTTGCCTAAATGTATTAACTCTATTACCAAAATTGGGACCTGATTTCCTGCACGTGTTTGTGTGGTGTTTAACCGACAACCGACAACGACAAACCGACATTACTTTTTCCTCAACCTAATAGAAAAGGATAAAATCGACTCAACACCTGTCTCTTATGGTAAAATTCTTTGAATTCTCAAAAGTTGCTGGTATATAAAATTCAGGACAATGATAAAGTAACTTTATTGACTTTATTTTTCAATATTCAGCTTACATAATTTGGGATCGATTTTAAGAAACAATAGAATGCATTGAAAAATTCAAATTTCTAATTAATAATCATTTTTTTAGCTTCGATACCAATCTAATAACAAAATCAATCGAAAGAATCGAATTCTCACAACGAAAGCAAGAGTTTAATCTTTCTGTTTACTATTCTTTTGAAGAGTTTTATTATTCTAAACTTATTGGATTAAAGATTAAAGCCTAACGATTAAAGATTCAAAATTAATAGATCAGTGAAGAGTTTCTCAGTTTTTTTTTAAATCTATCTTTAAAATCTTAAAACAATTTAAATCTTTAAATAAATTCTGCCGATAAACTCCACTTTACCTACGAGTATGTGCATATAAGGGTCTTTTGTCGGTGAAGTGCTAAAAAGGGCAATGGAATCGAATTTTTGAGCCGCAAAGTCACCAACGATGGTTTTGTGTACATTCTACCGTCAACCTCTTTCTAAGACGTGCTCCTTTCGTATATTTAACGAGACTTTTTGCCATAAATTTCATTTCATTCAACTCGTTCAACAGGTGTATATGCCGTAAATATTGTGATAGTACCCCACCGGCCTCTAGTGCGTGCCACACTGGTGGGGTACTCTTACAGTGTTTACGGTAGTTAGTAATGGTATTTTGTTCGGGACTTTTCCTTATATTAATTACGTATTTTGTATTGGTTTATAAACAAGATTAAACATTTACAACTCAACATTGATGATAAAAAATAAAGTAACAAACAAAACAGTTGTTACCATCCACAAAAAGGACAGAATAAACGATCTTTCACAACGATCACAATAAGACCTAGGGAAATAGCAAAAATACCTATGGATATGATGCGTCAAAATCGATGAAGATGAGCTTTGTGGCCTCGGTCCTATCTACCGATCGAACTGCACATACGAGCAATGTTTCAGTGGCTTTGAGATCCCAATTATAACGGCCAGGGTCACTAGAACGAGGTCGAACGAGATCACGAACGAAGGTACCTTAAAATGGAAAAAAATTAACAACAAGACACTAAACTTTGCCATAGATTTAAGCTTGACTGGTTGACGAGACAAGTTATATAGTGAGCCAATTCTACTTTAAATGCCAGCTTGCAGTCTGGATCTTCTTGCCTATAGAATTAGGTAATTTAAAACAGCATACCTTTCTCCACACCCCACAGCATGACCGAGCCATTCATCGAACCTGTCACCAAAAGTCCGGAGTCGAGGATGTGCAATGAAGTGATGGTCGACGTATGACCATTTACGCCATGTAAGTGGTGAAGGCACGAGCCACCCTCACGAATGTCCCAAACCTAAAGAAATAGTAGTTTTCATAGGATCGATTAAACATACCCAAATGTCCGAGTCGTAATGGGAGACCAAAATGTTTCCGCGAAGCTGCAACCCAAAGCGACGACCTGCAAACGGTAAATCTTCAGGACAGCCAAGAAGTGCGATGCATGCTGAAAGAAACAAATATGACATTGTAGCAGAATAGTGAAAAAGTAAAAACCACTTCCTCTTTGCACATCCCAGACGCGAATCGTTCCGTCACTACCCGACACGACAAGATCGCGCTCTGGCTCAAACTAAAACAGAATCCCGATTAAAGCCAAAATTCACAACTCAACTCACCAAAAGTGATTCAACTGGCCTCGTGTGACCCGTCAGCGTGTGCAAACACTCCCCCGTGTGTACATTCCAAACCTAATAGAATATTATAGATTGCACTAGTAACTGTACAAACGTTTACGGTACAACCAAGGCCAAAAATACAACCCGTTCTCCATCAAATTTCACACAATTTTGAAATTGAGCTTAAGCCAAAACTTTGATACACATACCCAAGCAGCGACAGCTAAAATGTGAAGGCATTTCCCGTCGACAATGTCCCAAACTCGGAGTGTTTGATCGTGCGATCCAGAAACAAGACCAAAAAACATTATGATCTTAGCTAAAACAGAAAATTCAGATCACTCACGTTGTGCCATGTAGACTCAAGCATGGAATATGATCCGTATGACCCTGCAAAACATGAAGCTGTGCACCGGTTTGACCACACCAAACGCGCAACGTTCCGTCAAACCCGCTACTGAAATATTACAACAGACTTTGCTGTCATAAGAGTTTTTGCCTGAATCTTTTTAGCTTCATTGGCAACACTTATGAATTGCACTAGCTATAGTCGATTAACTAACCAGACAATGTATTTGCCATCTTCGCTCACTTGATACGAGAAGGGGGCCCATTATCACCAGTTAGAGCAAAAGCCGGCTAAATTCGGACGTACAATAACAATTAAACAAAATAAACTTGAGCATCTTCAACATTCCAGACCAGCAACTTATAATCATGAGAACCAGTAATGATACGACCAGGGTGAATTCGGAGACAAATGACTTGTTTAAAGTCAACCTTAAAAACATTTTTTCGGTCAAACCATTTATTCAAACCTCTAGAACCGTGCTAGATTGAATCGCCCGGGATCGCCAATTCGAAATGATTCGCTTCTTTCGTAAGTACAGCGACTTCCATGGCGAACGCTCATAACATCTAGAAAAAACTTCATTTCGCAACAAGTTGGGTCACTAACTGTCCATATGCGATCTCGCGTGCTTGTCGATTTTGCTGGGCTTCTTGAACGTCCATATGTGAACTGATTGTGATTCCCGCTTGCTCATTTGCTCGATTCGCCGCCCAACCTCCGAGAAAACGAAAACTAAAGAAACAAGTTTGAGACGAGCCTTTTTACAATCGATTTCCTAAACATGAAACAGTTCATCTAAATAAACATTATCATATATTTGCTCTCACTTTATATCCTTGTTTGCTTTGCAATTAATAACATTATTGTCGTAGATCGTACAATTCTCTAAATCTAGTTTAATATAATATGTACTTTTAAATGTTATCTTATCGGCTCAAAACTGTAACAAACCTTGGCGCCTCAAATTCCACATATCCGTTCTCGAAACATTTCTGTCGCCACGTCTGATCACCTTCACAAATCCGTTGTCACGTCCGCGAGACGCCAGCGCAAGTCATCAAATCGCGCGGTGTCAAATAGGCAAGGATACGATAAGCAATCTAAAATTAAACTATTACTCCCACAGGTTTTAACAAACCTCCTCTGGCAATTGCGCCAAAAAGTCCTTTTGGAACAATGATTGCTTCTCCGGCCTGTTCGACATCTCCCCTAAATGAGAAATTATAGGAGAGATAACATCGTAATTAATAAAAGGAAAGGTCCCCGAACAAAATACAAAATACAGGCCGGTGGGGTACTATCACAGTATTTACGGCATATACACCTGTTGAACGAATGGAATGAAATGAAATTTATGGCAAAAAGTCTCCTTAAATATACGAAAGGAGCACGTTTTAGAAAGAGGTTTACGGTAGAATGTACACAAAACTATCTTTGGTGGTTCCACGCAATGAAAAAGAGATTTTGTTTCAAAAAGCTCTTTTTCATTGCGCTTATTAGCAATGAGAAAGATCTTTTTGGAAGTAATTGTTGATTTTTAGATTGATTATCGCATCATCGCTCATTTGACACCGAGCGATTTGATGACTTGTCCTGGCGTTTCGCGGACGTGGCAACGGCAATGTATAATGCAAGTCGCATTATACATTGAGAGAACCGAGCGAGTTCGTCGCTCGAGAAAAAAAAGCGAGAAGATAGGGTGATGCCACAATCCGACCGTCTTTCTCCTCGATCTTCGCGTTGAACAGCGTTACTTCGACACCCCGATACTCGACGCGATGGGCCGGTAAAACAGGACGAATGAGTGCAGATCGTGATTCACTTTCAGCAATTGAAGTGCCTCGAACACCTTCGATTTCTTCAGAATTTGTTTTTGTTTTGAAAAGAGACGGCAAAGAAGGGAAACTTTTGAAAGTCATCAATTTGTTCTCGCAACGATGTTGATGATCGACCAAATCGGCAAATTTGAATCGAACCGTGTCGTCCTAAAGTAAACGATTAGACTACTCTGAGAGCTTGAACGAGCGCGTTCAGAAGACCATTCTCAAGCATTTCATCGATTGGTGCGACTTCCTTGTTTTTTGAATGCATTCCGCAAATCTAAAAGAAGCACAATTTGAAATCATTGCTACATGAAACGAACTCTCTCAAAGCAGCGTTTGTTTTCAACAAAAGGATTCGAGAGCACGGCGACAACTTCCCCAAACGACATCAGCGGCTCACGAGCTAAATCAAGAAATGAGGCTTTTAAAAACGACTCCAGGCATTGTTTTAACCAGAATAAAGCGCGTACCAGGAGCAGTGGCCGCCTTTGCTTCAGTGTTGCCGACGGAGATGTCATGGTCGATCCTTGGCTCATCATCATTTTCGTCATCGTCCACAGCTTGTCGCCTAAAAACAGAACATTAATCATAGACTAAACAATATTTTTCAACATATAGACTGATCGGTCAACGAAAATTTTTAAAACTACCATTCGGTTGAGTTATTCAGAATCCTGATGAATGGCTGAATGTGCGCCAATACATTTCTAATGTAACCTGTGTATAACAATAAGCACTCTTACATCTTCATCATCAAGGTCTAGCGCTTCTGCTTGAGAATTTCCATCGATCACTTCATACGACGCCGTCTCATGTCCTCGTGCCTGGTCACGTTCTTGTATTGCTAGGCGTTCGTCTTCTCATGGTTCAGCCATATTTGTGTCACCGAAAGCCATTTCTAAAGCAGAACACGATTAAAAGTCAAGAAACATTACTTTACGACTTTTTGCTGTAGGAATGGCAATAAAACACTTACACGAGACTTTAGAAAACTTTATAAAGGCAAAGCATTTAGTCTCAACTTTCAAAAAACAACTCACAAGTTTCAGCGACTCGGTTGGCGATGGCTGAGTAGTGGCCGGCGTGTCGTAGTCGAACTCGCGTTGACCCGCATTGGTAGTGGCGGCAGTTCGATTTCCGAAAAAAAAACACAAATTATACAGGTTGACAAGTGGTTTCGTTTAAAACTAGCAAAAGAGAGGAAAATCAAAAGAAAACAAGTACCTGGAGAGGGAGAGCTCGTGCAAAATCACTAAAATTATTTTAATTTTAGAAATTCCTGTTTGATACAATTTGACAAGATGACTGAATATCTTTTTGTTTAAAAGATGCCTATCAATATTTCGTAATTTTTTGGAACATTTTAACTATGAATCAAAAATATTCAGCTAAACAATTGAAAAGTCATTAATTTTTCGATGAGATCGTTGGAAAAGAGATTTCGATCATTTCGCCGAAAAGATTTCTGCGGATTGGTGCGCTTTCTTGATTGCTTTGCCAGTTTGCAATATTTCTTGCCCCAAAGTTGATTTTGAAGCTAATGGAAATGCAATTCTGACGATTCTGATCCCCTTATTGCCCACGCGAGCCTAGTTTATGGCTCTAGAAACAAATTTTATGTATTTGCAGCTGAAATCGATCCTGTTGCTAATGGAATTGCATTCGTTGCGCTAGTTGAAGCCTTGTTGCTTTGGTGGTTGAGAGAGGCCACTTTTATCCTGATTTCGTTGGATCTAATGTTTGGAGGAGTTTTATGGATAGCTTTTATCTACCTATTCTAGGGTAATCAAATAGGCTTTCTACTTTTAGAGCATTTACAACATGGTTATATTGTGGCTTTTATTTGAGTTTCAGGCTTTCAGGTAGTGTGTGATGGTTAAAGTACATGAGATTAGGCTAGAAAGGCCAGAAGCTTACTAAGATAGTCATCAATCTATTAAACATTTTTGATTACCCTAGAATAGATAAAAGGTATCGATACAACCACTCAAAAAGATTAGATGTAACTAAGCCAGGATAAAAAGTGGCCCCTCTTAACCACCAAAGTGCCAAAGCTTTTGTAGCTTTATAGTTGAAGCTGAAACCCACAGCTTCGTAGCAGGCTTTGTAGGAGTTCGGGCGTGATATTTTATCTAGAATTCAATTTTCCGACGCTTAAGTCAATCCTGATTCATTGGATCCTCGAAATCTCAATTCTTGCGTGAATTGTTTCTCTTTACCCCTTCTGCCTTAGTTGAAGCACTTTTCATTTCTGTATTTGTCCTCACTTCGAAGCACCCTAGTTTGTATTCTTTCAGATATTGCAACTGATCAACTCGCTTTGGACAAAATGTGCGACGAAGAAGTGGCTGCACTCGTGGTTGACAACGGATCCGGAATGTGCAAGGTGAACTTTTGGATCTCGTAGTCCCTGAGCAGGACGAACTGTTGTTTAACTTGTTATGCACTGCCTAGATAACTGCTTTTTTTAATGTCACACTACTTGAGGTAGTTTTATTTTAAGTATTTTCAAGGTACGGTACTAATTCTTTTTAGGCTGGCTTTGCTGGTGATGATGCTCCGCGCGCTGTCTTCCCGTCAATCGTCGGTCGCCCTCGCCATCAAGGGGTTATGGTTGGAATGGGGCAAAAGGATTCTTACGTTGGTGATGAGGCTCAATCCAAGCGAGGCATCTTGACGCTCAAGTATCCAATTGAACACGGTGAGGATTTTTTTTGTAATTGGGAGTTGCGCCGAATTATAGGAATTACTTTATGGCAAGGAATGTAGAATAAAAGTTTCTCGAAGCGGAGCCAATCTATGTTGATAGTCTGTTAAATGTAGGATCGAAGCTGACCAAAATGCTGTGGTCCTAATCTTTTTAAGATTTGCTTGGAGGAGTAGAAGTAGAACTGAAACTGCTAATTTATAAAGGTTGCTTGGTTAGTCTAGCAAATGTACTACCGAAGCGTAACGGTGATCGTGGTCTATTTAATGTTCACCTTGTTTACCTTTCTGCTTTTAGGAATCGTGACCAACTGGGACGACATGGAGAAGATCTGGCATCACACATTCTACAACGAGCTTCGCGTCGCTCCAGAAGAACACCCAGTGCTTCTCACCGAAGCTCCACTCAATCCAAAGGCTAACCGCGAGAAGATGACTCAAATCATCTTCGAGACGTTCAACGCGCCCGCGATGTATGTCTCGATTCAAGCCGTGCTCTCGCTTTACGCTTCTGGACGTACGACTGGTAAGAATTTATGGTTTTGCTCACTTGAAAATTTGGCTTAGGTATTGTGCTCGATTCGGGTGATGGTGTCAGCCACACGGTCCCAATCTACGAGGGATATGCTTTGCCACATGCAATTCTGCGCTTGGATCTTGCCGGTCGTGATCTCACCGATTATCTCATGAAGGTAATTGATTAATGCTAACGTTAAGAAATCTTTCTTTATAGATTCTCACTGAACGCGGCTACTCATTCAAGACCACGGCTGAACGCGAGATTGTGCGAGACATCAAGGAGAAACTTTGCTACGTTGCTTTGGACTTTGAGCAAGAGATGTCAACTGCTGCTTCATCGTCAAGCCTTGAGAAGACTTACGAGTTGCCTGATGGACAGCTCATCACCATTGGAAACGAGCGATTCCGCTGTCCTGAAGCTCTCTTCCAGGTGTGCTCATGATTGTTCTTCAATACTGATTCTTAATGTTTAGCCATCTTTCTTGGGCATGGAATCGGCGGGAATCCACGAGACTTGCTACAACTCGATCATGAAATGCGACATCGATATTCGCAAGGATCTCTACGCAAACAACGTCTTGTCTGGAGGAACGACCATGTACAGTGGAATTGCTGATCGCATGCAGAAGGAGATTCAAAGCTTGGCCCCGAGGTAAAGAGATTCTAAACCGGATACCAGCCGTTCCTTGAATTTGGGGTTCGGGCGAATAGTATCATTGATCAAGTTAAAATAAGGCTGTTTCGTGTTTAGCTCGATGAAGGTGAAGATCGTGGCTCCTCCCGAGCGCAAGTACTCCGTGTGGATTGGTGGATCGATTCTCGCATCGCTCTCTACGTTCCAGCAGATGTGGATCTCAAAGCAAGAATATGATGAAACTGGACCAAGCATCGTTCATCGCAAGTGCTTCTAAATTTATATCCCTTGCTTGGATCTTTACTTGCTCTCTGTTTTTGTGTGTCCCCGTTCTTTGAGTGTTTCTTTTCAGATTTTCCATGTCTTTTCATTATCATATGTTTAATAGTGCAATAAACTTTGTAATGTTTGAAGAGAAAGAGCTTAGATGGTAGCCGTGGGGTTTTTGTGTTTCGATGTTTAGTCCCGTAAAGCGTAGTTTTGCTTCTAGCTTTTACTTAACTCATTCACGAGGACACGGTCCGCGGGTGGGTCGTACTAATAACGGTTGTTCTTGGTGGCGATCCAAGTTTTTAAGAACTTGATTCATTTCGGACTCCAGTCCTTGGTAACTTGGTAATAGTTTTCAAGAGGGGCTTCGGGGCTTCCAAATGACTAGGATAGTTTCATTAATCTTTGATTTGTTACCCAATTATCATTAAAACTGTCAAAGAGTTAGTGACTGTACGCCCAAATGTGTTAAAAGCCTCATCGAAGCTTTTGTTCAATTGCGCTTAAAATAGGGCACCCAAATCTCAAAAGAAAGGCGCTGTGACGTCCTTTAAATATCCGCCTCAAAAAGTTGCTTAGAGTTGCAACTTTTGTATAAATAAGAGCATAATATGGCAAAAATACTTGAGCTTTCATAATCCGGCGTTAGTTTTTCAAAAACAGCGTGTTTTCGGAAACAAAATGTTCGTTTGCAAAAAGTGTCAGAACCTTTCATGTTCTTGGCTTAATGTTTGGTGCAAAATAGTCAAAAGTAGCAATAAAACAAATCAAGCTTTTTCTTTTAGATGATTTTGTAAAGACGCTACACACCGGAGGGAAAGTTCACCTTCACGTCGCACACTCCTCGCGAGCACGTGAGCATGTTTGCACTCGAATTCGACGCCTCGGCTCAGGTATAGACGAAACGTAGCGCTTGCGCGTGCTCTTCGGAATTCATTTGAATTTTAGTGGCACCCAATTGCCTTTTTCAAGCTGGAGAACACGCGCAAGGCGAGCGAAAAACTCGTTAAAAGCTTTTAATGGGGGATTTCTTTAGATTTCTTTAGATTGCTGCAATTACGCGCAGTCACTCCTTGATGAGGTTCGATGGTGATGAGTTTAACACTTCTCATCTTATTTGATTGCTCAAGGCAGAAAGGAAAAAAAACGAGCAAAACTATCAGCTTCAACTATTGCGCTACCGAGTCGATTTCTTTGTTTTGTTTTTTTGCTTGGTGAGTTAGTTTAGTTGAGTGGTTTTTTTCAAAGATTAGAAGCATTTGTTTTTACAGACTCCGGCAGTTTTATTGCAAGTAATATTTTTTAAGAATAGAAATCGATAAAGGAGAAATCAACTTTAAAAAACTTTGAGAATTGATTTTTAAAGATATCGAACAAGAAAAAAAACTAAAAAGAAGTCTATGAGCAGAAATGCATCCACTTGCGGCCAAATGGTAAGCGGCATAGTTTTCTTTTTTTGTTTGTTTAATATATCTTTCAAAATCAATTCTTAAAGTTTTTGAGTGAAGAATCGAGTTTAGAAGATGCTTTTCTGAAGAGTTTTTTTAAGGCGAAACGCTGCTGGAGTGCTTTTGCTTTATGAGCACGCTTTTGCTTTAAGAACATTCAACATTCCAAATCACTGAAATTCATCGGATTAACGTCGGCACTTGAGGCCAAAACCGGGAAAATGCTGCTTTCGCCAATCCCGAATCACTCGAGCCTTTTGAGCATGAGCATCATGCTGCATCTGCATAAAAAACGGTAAATCCTGTTATCAAAGTGATTTTTTTTGGCTCCCGGGAGATCTTCCTCGAGACATGGGTTCGGTCGGTCGTTCTTTGCGCTCAGGCGTAAACTAAATCGATCTGGCACACTGAAATCCCAATTTTTCTCGCGATACCAAACTACTGCCGCGTGAAAAATGAGGAATTGGGTGTGCCAGATCGTGCAAAGTTATCGTTGTGAATGCATTTTCAGACATGCAATCCAAAATATAATATAAATTTTATCAAATAGAAGTCAAAAATTCCGGTAAATCGACAAAAATGAAAGTAAGACGCAAAGAGACAAAAAGTGTGTGTGTGTGTGAAAATATGATAAAACCGACCCGAATCCGGCCGGTAAAAAAGAAATCGCTGAGATAAAACTTGAGAAAAAAAATTGAAACAAATTATAAAATCGGGGGAATTTTGAAAATCGGAAATGCTCGTGAAAACTGGAGACATTTATCAGGTTGGCAAAGAAGTCTCTTCGCGATTTTTCAGAATCTCTAAACAGAACCACCAGATATCAAAACGCTCTTTTATGACTTTTTTTCTAATAAAAAGTTATTGAATAACCCTCTTTTGAGTCAAGGTTATTTGGAGTAGAAAAATTTATTTCTCAATGAAAGTCAATTTTTTTGAGTGTTTTCAACCAAAAACTGATTCCAAAAGAAATAAAATGACTTTAGACTTGAAATTCTTTGCAAAATACAGTAATCATCAAAAATTTACTTGAAATTTTGAAGAAAAATATGGCGTTTTGATAAATTCCGAGTCAAAAGAACGTGTGCTGAAAAAACATGAAATTTGACTCGGTACTGAATCTCAATCAATCATTTTTCCATCAAAATTTCCGAATGTAAAAACTTGTGCCTTTGTTTTTAATTTAAGATATTGATCTTTAATTTTAACCATACAAAAGTATGGTAGATGCTTTTGTCGAAAAATTTAGGTGGAGCGAGAAGACTTTCCTGCCAGCCTGATAGCTGCAACGGTTAGCAGAATAAAATCAATGACTAGTCAGTTTGAAATAAAAAGGGAAAAATGGGAATGAGGACTTTTTAAGGGAACACCGAGAAAGGCACAAAATTTGAGTGATTTCGGAAAATGTCAAGGAAGTAAAGTCTCTGATGAAAGAAATGTCTTTGAAAAAAGGGGAAAAACTTAAAATTTCAGAAATTCCGCTTTCATGTGATATGTGCAAAAGTGAAAAGGCAAAGAAAAACAGGGAGAAAATGAAGAAAGACTCAAATCCACGTGAATTAAATGATTTTCAAAAGTTGAAAGCCAAACCAACAAACGAAACAAAGAACTGAGCCTGGAATTGCTGGAAATCGGGAAATTTTCGTTGGCTCTAGTGGAAAAACTCTTGAAAATGTGTAACTTGTTGCAAATTTCAGTTCCAAAAGACGGAAAGCCCTAAAAAAAGCTACTTTCTTCCACTAGAGCCCTAAATGAGTCATGAAATGCCACTAAAAACGTACAATGTTACGAGTTTCGATCCACTTGGTGCAGTAAATTGTCAAGAGTGTCGGGGATCGATGGTGAGATCCCCTCATCGGCCACATTTTCCGCGTCCGCATCATTAGCTTCCAGTTGTTGTCCTTTCTCTTGTTCCAAATTCCTGGCTTCACCTTTCTCGTGTTCATTCTTCGTGCCCACGTCGATATCGATGGCCATTCGGGGTTCCGGCGAAGGAAGCGTTGGATCTAAAGGCAAATGATAAAAATGGTACATTTATAGTTTGACCCACCATCGATTGTCATCCGAGTGCTCGCTCCACCGAATGAGATGCGCAATTTGAGGGGAGGGCCGCGAACCGGAGCTGCTTCTTCCATGAGATTCTCATTCTAAATGGAGGCAATTTAAATCATTGAGCAAATGGGATTACTGTAAAAACTCAAATAGAAGACCCCTCGGGAAGGGGGTTGAAAAATAGAAGACCCGGGTCTTCTATTAGTTTTTACGGTATTCAACTCTCAATGGGCAAAGGGTTGACGATTGCATTTTAGCAAATCATTAGCATGTTAAAATATTTAATTCATTGAACAATAAGTTAACTTCTCCCGAAATTATTACTCCTACTACAAGTCAACTTCTACTCTTGCAATACCTCGACGAATTCCCTCACCTCTCCTCTTCGACGACTTCTCCCTGATCCAGCTGCATATCGTCATCATTTCCACTTTCATCATCCTCATCTCTCTCGTCATCTTCTTTGATGTGATCGATCGTGTGCCTCGGAAAGGATAAACGAAGCGGGGGCACTGATTTCTCCTCTTGGTTCACGACGGACATCACCGGCAACGAGACGCGTCGCTGGTTGATCGCTCGAGACGAGGACCGGCCTGGAGGTTTCTAAAGCAAAGAAAGAATATGATTATTGAATCTACTAAATACGTACCTTTTGCTGTGGCATTTGATTGAACGGTGTTGTTTTAGCTGGCAATGAGAGACGATTCTAAACAAATCAAGTAAAAACAGTCATATCCCTTAAAAAAAAAATACCTGTTTCGCTTTCTTGTTCGGTGGTTGGGTGAATCGAGAGGAATCCTGTGATGAGTCCACACCGGAAGCCGTTCTTTTTCGTCCACTCAACGATGGCGGAAGATCAGATTCGAACTAAAATAAGAAATAAGAATTTGGGTGTAACAATTGTTTCAAGAAGCTTTTAAGGCTTAAAACGAATAATACAGTTAAATTCTTTAAAAACCTACATCCAAGTACTTTTTCGGCGGCCGGTGCTCTCGACGTCGGCGATTCGTCGGCGTCTCGCTTTCAATTGGAGTGGGCGTAATCTGAAGCAACTTAATCAGCATTTGATTGTAGGTTAGCTTTGATATTATAGCTTGTAGCTATATGATACTATCCGCAAGTAGTACTAACTTAAATGATCACATCATTAGCTTTTACAGCTATGGCAGCTAATAGCTCCAAAAAATCTAGCACTTTTGATTTAGGAGCAGCCCTGATTACAAGCCTAACTTGTTACCAATATTGACATTGAAATATTGACTTGTTACCAATATTGAAGCTCCACGTTTATTCCCCCAAACCCACCGGAGAGACAAGCGGCTTGCTGGTGTGCAAAATTGACGGTTGATTGGCAGTCAACGGCGTTCTCGGTGATGGCTTTCCAATTGGAATCAACGGTGCGATCGGAGTGAATGATTTGCGCCGATTTGTTGTCATCATCGGTGCTGGTGGCGGCGGGGAGAGGGCACGCGGCTTTTGAGCTCTCGTCGACCTTTCCGGTAGAACCATCGGCGAGAGAAGCGGAGCCTAGATGCATACGTTTATCTACGCAATCAAATCAATCCCAATTAGACATCCTTTTTAATGAATGAACAGAATCCTTACCGAAATCCTCCTCGGAGCCACAGCTTTTGGTCTCTCGTTGTGCAGTTCGGATTTGACACTAGAAAAGAGACTGTTTCGATAGGTGAAACAAATAACCCACTCATTTTCCGGAACCATATTTTGATCCTGTCCAGAGAGTGGCAGAGCGGCGGGCACTTCTTTCTAAATTTTTCACATAAATTGCGAATCTTATCCAATTCTTGATGCTTTTAGACCATAAAGTTGCGTACAAAGTTCAGTTTAACGGTTTGGAATTTGATTTTTTTTTATTTTCCCCCGTTAACTCACCTTAACCGGCAATTTCTTGATTGCGACTTTCTTTGGCGGTCGTCCTCGCGCTTTCTTCGGTAGAGCCGGGATTTGGAACGGTGATGGAAGTGGTGACTGAGATTGAGATGAAAAAACGGATCGCGGTGACGCCAGAGAGTCCGTGGAGCCGCTCTAAAGAAGAGTGAATAGATAATTTTTGCGTGTACCAATCCAGGTTAACCTAGTTCTTGTTCACAGTTAGTTAGGGTTGAGCTTTGCCGCTTTTAGGGCTGCTAAAACAACCTCTGGATTTGCCAAAACCGCGACACTAGAGAAAAACACAGATAAACATTTTTAATCCACAATTTTAGAATTTAAAACACGTAAACATTCCTTCTAAAATCATTTTCCAACACTCACCTCTTCCTTGACCCTTGCCAAACCGCCTTCTCTGTGGTAATCGTTCGCAAAAATGTCTCGTTGTTGAAAATTCGGTGGCGCCGAGGTGGGTGTCAGTGGAGAGAATGGAGAAACAGCCAGCGATGAGACGTCGCAAGAATCCGACTAAAAGTGATAAATTTTAAAAAAGAGATGGCACAACTGAAACAACCTTTCTGATCTTTAGCCGTAAAACGGGTGCACGTGGTGAGGCGGTAGATTGACCCTGAAAAGAAAAAAAGTTTGAAAGAATCAGCAATTTTACAATTACGTTCAATGATTAACCGATTATGGTCCGGCAAAATTGGTCTTAAAACTGGACCGGAACAAGTTCTACGTCGTCCGGTCACGTTTAAAAGCGCTTCCTAAACCGTACCGCCAAAATCGTGTGATGCAGCAACTCGGAAGCGTACTGAGGCGTTTCGGGCACATCGATCGACAGCGGTTGATGGATTTTGCTCCGAAATGGTGGTGGTTCCTGAAAAAACGATTAGTTTATATGAAACGTTTGCAAGATAAACTTAATTCTAATATAAGACCTATAAAATTACATTACTCAATGATGTTTATAGTCTCATGTATTAAAAAAATCTTTAAAACGTACACTCTTTATAGTCGCTTGATGCAATCCCAACGAGAAGATGTCTTTCGAGAGGAAGTCGGGAAAATCGTCGTTTAGCTGCGAACGGTCCGGGAAAGCTTCTTGACGATTTCTGTCGGCTTCTCGTTGCTTTTGTCGACGCGTCTCCAAGAGTTCCACTAGAGTAAAGAAATTGGCTATGCATTATTAGAAAAACGTTAAACATTCCACTACTTTAGTCATCAAAATGGCATTTAGCAATGCTATTTTGATAGCTAAAGTCGTGGAATGCTTCTGAATTGGTCATAAAAGGTAATTCAAAGCTTTACAAAGCTATTAATCTCATTTCATAACTATTCCCGGTTCATAGCGTGTCTTTACGTCAGATAGGTACAGAGTTTTTATGCAGGTTTGTTTAACAAATCAATGAAAAACTTAAAAGCTTTATTTTTACAGAGTAATATTCTTATTTAACTTCACCGTTTTTACCGATTTGTCATGCTTTGTTTAATCTCAAATCTTCAACCAACCTGTAATCTCTTTCTTGTACAACTCGGGCGCCCAATCAGGAATGTGATTGCCTCTTTCCATCAATAGTAAATCTCTTTCGGGAATCGGCTCGTTCGGCGCTAAATCCCTCGCCGATGATGAACCAATCACTGGTAACTAAAGAAAAGAGGAATTTTAAGATTTTTGTCTAATCGCTTACCAAAGGCGGTTCTCTTGTCCTCCGTGTTTGCGCCGTTAACGTCACATAGTCGGTGATTTCTTGCTAAAACAAACGTTTTAGCATTTAGGAACCAATCCATACCATATCACAACGCATCTTTTGAAAAGCGTGTTGAGCATCGTTGATGGTAGGTCGTGTTCGGCCACCTCAAAGGTAAAAAAAGATCGTAGACGTAGACAAAGGGTATTCGCCGGTTATATCCTCACAAGAGTTTGATTCATGTACCAAGTCGGTTATATCCCGACAAATTGATTCATTTTTTTGAGAATTTAATCGACTTGATGCACAGGTCTTTTTTTGTAGGGATATAACCGATAAGTACGAAAGAAACAAACAAACCAAACAAAAAAAACAAAGTTTTCCGTCTACAATTGACTCTACAACTTATAACCTCATATTTTTCTGATTCCACAGCCACCAACTCACCTTGTTCAGTATAGTTGTGCAATTGAAGGCAGAACTTCTCCAAATAGCAAATCGAGAGCGCCGAGAGGGTGTCCAACGAGGTGGCCGCGCAATGCGAGAAGCCAAGATTGTCTAAATCGAGCAAATTAGAGATGCGGTAGAATACGAGCGATACGGAAAATAAATTTTCAAGTTCGAAAGATCCCTGCCAAGAACGTTTAGCACTGATAATATTATCCGAGAGCCAGACACAAAGCTAGTTCAGATTGATCTAGCTTTACTGTTGGTTTTGCCCATAAAGTTATTTAGACGTTTATGCTAGAGTACAGGTTTGGTCTGAGACTGAACAGGAATGAACAATAAAAGCCCGTTTAGACAGCTAAGACTCACTATAGCATTTAAGAATATCACTACACAATAAATGAAAGTAACTGTAGCGTCATTATCGTCACTTATCCTTTTGAAATCTAGTATTAACTCCAATAACTGTCAAGCTACTTTCAGAGACCACCGCTGATATTGGGAAAGTGCCCTTATTAGTTTCATTGGTGCTTTAGTGGTTGGGAGGGACCACTCTTGGCATCGCTTCGTCGAATCTAGTGTTTTGAGCGGTTCGTCTCGATACTTTTCTTCTATTTCGGGATGATTCTATATGCTGAAGTGATTGATGCTAATTCTAGGGTATTTCCATCATGTTTCAAGTTTATTGCAGCTTTCCAAGTGTAATTGATCAGCTTTGAGATGACGTTCGGTGTTTAAAGTAAAGCAGGCTAGGAAACAGGGCAAATTATTGAATAGAATTATCAAAAACGTGCTTAAATTAGCATCAATCGCTTCAGCATCTATCTCTTTCTTCAAAAAAAGAAGAAAAGTCTCAACACGAACCGCTTAAAACACTAGAATCGTTTAAGCAAAGCAAAAGTCGCTCCTCTCAACCACCAAAATACCGTTTGAACATTTGCAAAAACACTCACCAACAAGAGCCGCACATGCGAGCGCCATCGATCGTCGAGCGCACTCATCATCGACCAGCTGAGATGTCGATGGGATCGGCTGAGCGATCGGAAGTGAAGACGACGGATCATCATCTCTTCCGGGCAAGGAGGCACATCGCATCGAGCGCTTATTTCTGAAAATGAAAATGAAATGCATAAGTTCAACATAAGTTAATAAATGTTCTAAAAAGGCAAATCAAAAAAAAAGATCAAACAAATATTTTATACAAAACGTTTTTTAACCTCAAAATAACGATTTCTCACTTCAAAAACCAACAAATTAATCTTTAAAACTGAAATTTTAAGCAAAATTCACGATTTTTGTTCAAAATAAAACTCAAAACTCAAATAAAAACGCCAAATTTCCCTTTTGGCCACATTTTTACGACTACAAATCCGCAAAAAATCAAAAAATTTTCTTTTTTTTTTCACAATACGCTCAGCCGATGTTAAACTGGAGGCTTTCCTGGAGAGGAAATCAAAAGCAAAAAGTTGTGATAAATTCGTTTATTCAATAAAAATCTCTAACAAAAGAACAATGTATACACAGAATTAGAGGAATTCGCTTAAATTTTCTCTCAAAACAAACAAATAAAGAAGAAAAAACGGCAAGATTTCACTAAAAAAAAAAAGAACATTCTTTTCTCCAAAAACGTGAGCAATTCTCTCTCAAATCAACTTTTCATCACAAAAACACGAAAAACGAAAGAGAAAACGATATGGAAATGATTGAAATGGGGGATAAAAACAAAGCAAAAAAATCAAAATCAGGGGAATCAAATTTTTAAGCCATTTTTGCAAAAATTTACCAGAAAATACAGAAAATACAGAAAAAGCACCAAGCTAGAACCAGAGGATTTAATTTAATCTTGAATTTAAGACCAAAAAAGAGTACGATTTTACGTAAAACACTATCAAAACAATAATTTGTACCAAATTTTGCTCATAAACGCACGCCCAAACGCATCATTTTTGCACCATGAAGACAAGTAAATGACAAAATTTTGGATGCTAATGCACCTGGGCGAGTCAAAAAATTCAAACAGCTCAAATTACTCAAATACAAATTTGACTCCCCTAAATACATTAGCATCCAAAATTTTGCTGATATGAATGGAAAATTTTTGGATTGAAGCAACGGGAAACAATATTTTTTGGTTTGAGAAATGCTGTAAAAAGTCGTTAAACTATAAAAATTTGTATAAGATTTCGTTCAGAAAAGCTTCCGAGCAATTTCTCATTCAAAATATCATTCAATCAAATCCGGTTTATCAGGGAAAAAAATTGAATATCCCGAGATTTCCCCATGTTTTCAAAGGTATTCAGTTAACGAGCGTTGCCTGAATATCTCAAAACAAAAAAGTGCAGAAACATCAGAATATTCAAATATGACCTCAAAAAACCTGAAATGATTGTAGAAATGATTGTAAAAACAAATCTTTGGTTTCGGGGGCAGACAAAAGCACAATTTTACGCTATATCACAGGAAATAAAGACCAGAAACAAGGAAGAAAAGAAAAAACAAATGTCAAAAAGCTAAAAACTCACGAGAAATCGAAGAAGAAATTGCAAATTTTCACATTTTCACGTCAAAATAGCGAGCGTTTAAATCAACATCATCGTTGGATTGGATGCAGAGATTTGATCGAATCAGCTGATACAAAAACATCGGACGACAACGCGACACCTAAAAATAAAAACATTAGTATAATCTGAAGACATCTGAAAACATATTTGGAATATTTTACAAAGCTTTGGAATCTGAAAAAAAAAAAGTATTGTTGCCAGACTCAAAAGACTTAAAAGACTTAAAAGGTAGACAAAAGCTCAAAATCTAATTGTAAACGAAAGAAATCAAGGGGGCTCAAATCTCCATTTGGCATCTTTCTCGTCAAAATTTCTCCTTTCCCCTTTTCTTTTACAAATGCAAAAATGGTTTCCCAATTGAAAACCTAGAAATCTATTAGAAAAAGTTCTAGGGAAATTATTCAATTTTAATTCGAATCGGATAAAAGTTTCGATTTGTACAAATGTTAATTCAAAATTCACGTGAAATCGCGTGGTGTTTGTATGGGAGAAAAAGTAAAAGTAGAGAAACAGGCTGGTTGGCAAAAACCTAACACAACAAAGCAAAGCAAAGCAGAAGGGGGAAGGGAAAGAGAATGAAAGCGGCAGACAGGGGGGGCCGCCAAAATGTGTGAGGAGGAAGGCAGGGAGAGGGTAGGCAGCGGGCATTAGAGCTAAAGAACAAAGAAGATCGTGGAGAGGGAAGAGTCAGGTAGGGCATGGAGAATAGAGATAAACGACGAGAGAAGTTAGTGCAAGGAGCAGTTCGGATATAGAATCGGCAAGGCAGTGAGGCAGTCCTAAAGATCCAGAGTAGAGTTTGCGGCAAAGAAATGAGAGCGAGAAATAGTGCATGGAATAGAATAGACATCGAGGCATAAGACAAATGTAGTATCGGTAAGATGAGAGATTCAAGTTGAAAGTCGAAACATTTAGGGAAAGCAGGGAAAGCTTGAAGAGAGGTAGAACAGAGTAAAGAAAAGGAACGAGACAAGTGAGGCACACAGAAGGAGGAAAAGGGGGGGGATGCCGAATGCCGAGGCCAGACCCCGGGCAAGGGGGTGAAAAGGGAATGGGCAGGGAGAGTGCGCGCCAAATGGGCTCTCTGCCGATTTCCCCTTGCAAAGGCCCCGCCCCTTTCCCTTTCTCTCTTGACCTCATGGTCATTCCCTCTTTCTTTTGGCATCTCCATCTTTTCCCCGTTCTCTTACTTCTTATCTCCTGGGGTCTCCGCTATCTCCGATCTAGCAAAAACTACAAGAACCCCGACCGGCTGGGGGTGTCGTTCGGAAAAAAGATTTGAACATGCAAGGTAACGGTGGGAGTAAGAGGTTACGTAACAAAGAAGTAAGGAAGAGCAAAGAATTTAAAATTTACAAATCTGTAGAGTTCTGTAAGGTAAGTAGGCTGATATTTTAAGCCAAGGATCACACTTTGGAGCTTAGCTCGTGAAGACTTGAAGACTTTGAACTTTTTAATAGATTAGAGTGGGTAAATTTATAATTTAACGAACAAGGATCACTGAAATCAATGATTCCCGGGTTATGAACAAGCAAAAACCAGCAAAACCAGCACAAGTATGAAAGATTCTAGCTTTTTTTGGTCAGTCAGGCCAAGAGTCAACCACATTCTAAACGTACTTGATAAGGAGTGAGAGTGAATCCGATTTCTTAACGCGTCTTTGTCGACACATTGAACGAAATCGGCGACGAGAAGACCTCATCAGCGAATAGTTGTTGCTCTTCGCGACGCGCTCGCACAATTGGTCGAACCTGTAAGTAATAAATAAAATTGATAAGCCAAAACAAAAGATTTAAACCAACCTTGTACACACCCTCGACACGAAAGAGGAGTCGAAAGACGATTTTCGACTTTGGTGTCAGAAGAGAGTCGTCGCCACCCTAAACACTTCGATTTTTGCGTTTAATAAAAAGCAACTTTCAACGTTCAACGAACCTTTGTTGGCACCGAAAACGGCACCTTTCTGCTGCCGACAATGACCAAATTGTGTGGACGGGGAATCGATTTTCTCCTCAACAACACCTCCTGCTCGCATTCGAGCTCCATTTCACCGTGGAATTCATCTAAACAAAAAAAAAACAGTGGATTAGTTACCCAACTTTCCCAAATATCAAGAGAGCTAGGTTCCCCAGAAATTACTCGATTCTCATTAAGCTCATTTCCCAAAAAAACCCACAATCCAATGACGAGATGACGGCAATCTCTAACACATTCACATCACCGATTCCCACCGATAGGTCATCTTGCGACAAATAAGGGACACCGTTCACGATCAGTTCTGTAAGGAAATAAATTTGAAATTTAAAAGAAAAAAAATCCAATTTTTCAAACGAACCTAGCGATATCGCCGGCAAGACAAGTTGTTTAAGCAATGGGATCGACGAGAGAAGAGCACCCACCGGAACTAGGCCTTCCAACTAAAGAAAATGATGAAGATCGACCATAGATATTAAATTTTTAACCAACTTAAAGATTAAATTAGGCAAAAATTACGATAATCATAGGGTTTTAGACACGAATACACTGAAATAAACCGATCACGAACATTTTTCGTCGAAATCGTCCACCGAATGTCCAAATGCTTTGCGACATGCGCTTCTAAGATTCGTCGTAGCCGCTCGATCTCTAGTCTAAATAAAGAAATGAAGATTAGTTGTTTACAAAAAGACAGTGAAGGTCATTTCATCAAAAAAAAAAACTATTTATTGTCCTTTAAAAAAACACTTTAAAATTAAGGTTGACTGTTCAAAGAGCTTGTTCACGAGAGGTTCACCAGAGCAATGCTTAAATATAATAAAATAAAATAAAAACCACAAACCTTTGCATCACTTTGCTGTCTTTTTGTTGCGCCGCATAAAAGGCTCGACCCGCCACCTCGGTACAGCACGGGCATAGTAAGGGTACTCTAAAATACACAATTTAAGATTTAAAACCCCAAACATTCTCAAGTAGGTACATTTTTCTCAAATTTCGCTCACCTGCACGTTTCTCTCGGTGGCACACTCATCGCCCTTGTCCCAGAGAAAACCAAATCCGCATCGGAGTCCGTCGAATTCGACACGTCGACCACAATGTATCTAAAATAATCGTGAATCCTGATTTCTTTACAGAAAATCGGTACCTAGTAAATGGTCCATCACCGGGTAAAATACTCCAAGCAGCAACTGTGATCGCCGGCACAACAGTGATCGCGATGGGTAGACGAGCGGTTCGTTTGTAATGCTAAACGTTTAAATAAAAGAATGAAAGAAGTTTAGTCGAAGTTATCACGATAGTTTCTAGGCATCTTAACCTAGATTTGGGCATACTTCTGGGTTCGTTTATTTTTGATTTTATCACTCAACCTCTCCACTCGGTCCCTCCAAAGTTGCCGTGTAGTCGAAAACGAATTGTGCGGTGAGGAGGCGACCCGTGTACGGAATTCGATCACCAATGAATGTAGCTGACGACATTTCGGAGACAATCGATGGCGTTGGAGAGGGAGGTCGAAAATCGCTCATCTAAAGGAATCTTGAGCTTGAAAATCGGTCATCTTTCGAACTTGAAAGAAAATTTTGAGCTCTGGCAGCTCTGCAAGCTTGACTCATCAAAATCTGAGCTTTATCCTTGAATCGTACACTACACTTTACACAGTTACAGTAGTCTATTTTCTCGTTCTTCTCGTAAACCCACCCTCGTTTCATCTAAACTCTGCGATTTCTCGTCATCCGTTGTCGCCGTCGGGTCGACGCCAAACATCGTGAACTCGATCGGCTTTTGCTCACCGGGCGCCAACGTGAATCCCTAAAAAGATCACAAGATCACGCACTGTTTTTAGTTTTTCAATTGATCTCTCTTTGTATTTTGTTAGATTCTTCAGTCCTCACCTCCGATTCCAGCGTCGGCGTACAGAGTGAGTCATTCGTCGTGTCAAACTAAAGATCAACAATTAACGGTTGCAATCCAAAGCACTCACTTCATTCGCCAGCTTTATCAACGACGGTCCTCCATTTACTTTCGGTTGAGTGATCTGAAAAAAAAATATTGAAAATTTCTTCAAAACTTGAAAAAAACCTGTACTCTCACATCGCAAATCCCAAGTTTATCCGACGAATTGATCAGAGCCAATGAGTGTTGAAATCTAGACCAAAAAATTATTGGTGTTTTCAAACATTTGAAGCTTAAACGAGTTGTCTAGATTCAAAAATGACTGAATGACTTCTTCAACCTGACTTCTTCAAGAATGACTTCTTCAACCTGTTAAAATTGTAATCTAACTGACACTAAATGCTTTTAAAGCAAAAAAAAAATAGCCTTGTTTCCGAATTTCTTGATAGCTTTCGAAAAAAGAAAGGCAAATTTTCTACTCATTTCTAAAAACCAACGTTTGTCCACTGTAGATCGTGATTTCCGCCGAATCTACTTCACCATCAACCGACGAAATCGGGGCTTTTGGGAGAGAGGATTGCACGACGAGCAGCGGCAATTCGGGAAGGATTTCTATCTGGAAGAAAGGCAATTAGACTATATTTGGAATCAGATTGATTGCTTTAAGCCCACCGAAATAGACATTAGTCCCCCAACGTCCATAGGTGTAAAACGTAGTTTAATCAGAACTCTAAACTTATCTAAACAATTTGCACGATTCTGGTGTCATTCGATGCGTGAGAGCATTTCCTCTCGAATGACACCAAAAGCACAGATTGATAAAGGTAAGTCTATGAAAATTCTAACCTAATCTAGCCTGATTATCGATAAAACCCACCGTCAATGATTTTCTCGCACGCAACTTGCACACATTTTTCAAGCCGAACACCGAGCAACTGTAGCCAGTGATCGTCAATTGACCGGGGGTTCTGAAAAAAAAAAGGATTATTGACGGTTTAGCTCATCAAAGCTTTACCTAGGCACAACGATGAGATCGTGCTGCATTTGAAGATCACTGGTTCGTTGCGGCATTTTTTCCGGCGATGGAGGAAGGCTCAATCGCAAGGGGACCGTCTCGAAAGTGACACCCTCACCAAGGACACACAACTCTCTAAAGAAAAAAAAAAGAAACGTTGTTAAGCCATAATGCATAGCTCAAGTACTCACCTAACAACCAATTCCTGGGGTAAACAATTGTAGACGTGGATCCGTAGCAAACAGTGCGCTCCAACAACCCATTGAACGGCTAAAATAAGGGTATCGTGATTTGTTTTGATTAATTTCCATGACAATATCCAATCAATCTTTTTACCTTGATGTTTCCTCCGTCTTTCCTCGGCTTTCCTCTCAAAATGTGAATAGATGAAGTGCGATTTGGTGGTGTCGGACGCGCGAATGACGCGGGGAGCGAGATGTGACGGTAGACTCATCACTTCCGGATCACTAAAAGAGGAAAAAGTACAATAAAACACTGTAAAAACATTTAAGAGTTTACGGTTTTATCTTTTAACTTGTGCTTTCTTAAAAAGATTCAATCAAAAGCCGTCAATTTAAATTCGAATATGCTTCAATGCCAGTTTTGATCGTCACTTAAACTTTGAGAATTCAAATGATTAGTTAAGTACTGTTTTTAGAAATCGTACTTTAGATACTTAAACAAAATTTGTATTTATTAAACCCTAGAGCTCGCCTTGCCTCGTTTTAAACCTTCCCAAAAACCCACCAAACTTCAGGAAACCTCGTCAACTGAATGGGCGGCAGAATAATACTCGACGGACCCAAACCAAGCTCTTCCAATGGTAAGTGAGTAGACAAATTGTGTTTTCGTGTGCTCACCAGCGTGGCCAACTCCGAGATCAAACGGGCACGCATCGATGGCTCGAGAAAGGGATAGTAGCCCTAGAAAAGAGATTTAAACGGTAAAATCAAGTAATCAACTTGTAGTAGATGGCATAAATGTCGAATCGCCGCGTCACTAAGTTGGGCACGGGTGCTGGAGGTGTAGACCTGAAAGAATGATGATTAAACGGCTTGTAAGAGGAAAATCTCAAACAAAGTACCTCATGTAATGCTTTGATTTGCAACTCAATGGGCCCATTTTGACTTGACGAGCTCTGTGTGACGTCCCTCGACGCGGTCTCGTTGATCCCGTAACCGTAAAGTGTTCGAAAGAGAATCTAAAGGGAGTTTTTAGTTAAAAAATGGTTTAGACTAGAATATTCTTCTCATTGTAAGCTCAACGCATTGCATTGCATTGCAAACTCACCGGATAAACACTCCGATAATCAGCCACAGTTCTCGTCTCTCCATCCATCACATGCAAACGAAAGAGGACGCCAAGCCGCGAGAAAAAGGCGCTCTTCCGGAGAAAATTGATCTAAATTTTGTTTTTTTTTAAAGTAATCACTGTCATTTATTTAAGCCTACAGTCTATTGTTGATTCAATGCTTAAAGAGCAATTTTATGCGTTTAAATCCTTATCTTTACCTTTCTATACATCTCGGCACTGTTAGCACAGACTTGAGCCTTGAATTGGTGGTCGAATTTCGTGAATGAGTCGTCGAGGAACTTGCCGACGTGCGTTCGATGAAATTCCTAGACAAAAAAATATGCTTAAAAACGATTAAAAGATATCTTTTAATCGTTTTTAACGTTTAAGCGTTAAAATTAGTTGATTTTATTAAGTTTGAAAGCCATTTTGGAAGCGATTTCTTATTTAACTTTCTCATTCCCTCACCTCCATCTCAATGTATCGGCCCTGCAATCGGAAAAGATCTGTCGCTTTCATCATGCACTCGTACTCGAGAAAAGAAGCAAATCTAAAACAAAAAAAGATTATAAGAAAAGATTCAAATTGGCATACTTACCCAAATTTCCCATAATGTTCAATCGCTTGCTCGAAGCTCTCCAAAATAGTCACCGAATCGAGTTTGTCTTTTCTAAAAATGAAAATATTAGCTTAGCCTTTGGACATTTTTTTGATAAATCTTTTTATAAATGAAAAATTCATCAATTGACCGAGGATTTACTCTAAATAGAATCTTTATTATAGCCTTTTCGATCTTTTTACGCCAATCTACGTTCGTTTCCAAGAGAATCCGAGGGCAAAATTCGATAAAAGCCGATATAAAGGAATTGGTTAAACAGATTTTTCTGAAAATTTCGCTATAAACCTAACTTTTTGCGCTCTTTCTTTTTTCTATTTACATTAAAATCGATTTCTTTGAACGAAAGTGTCTAAATCGCGTAATTGAGTCGTCGCCTTTTTTGTCTGGCTAAGTTCCGCACCAACAAAAAAACCATAAACAAAACATTTCTTAAGATTTCAACGATCTTTTTATAGAAAAATATCAGACCTTTTTAATGGAGCAAATCTTAGATCAATAAAATAATTCTAGAATTGGATATTTCAAAATACCTTTTTAAATGAAGTGTTTAAAGATTTATCGACCAATCTAATAGGTATGTAAGATTCAACATTAATCACCGTCAATCAGAAATTTTGATAAAACATCAGTTTACTTTACTCGAACTCTAGTTTCAGACCTCTAGACAGCACTATTTTACCCCAGAATTCGTAACATTTCCACCAAACCTATCCAATTTTATCCACGAAAGTGCCGTTTTCCTGCCGCCACTTCCATTTCTCTCGACATCACGTTCCGCCGAGTTCGTCGTCGAGAATCTCGAGGCATCCTCGTCGGAGCGATACCGTTGATGTCCATGATTTACACTAAAAAGTATCAATGAGTTAATCTAGTTAGTAATCTAAATGAGTTAAAGGTAAAATTTGATCGTGATCACTTAAATTTAGCTCTTCAAAAGCTCTTCAACACTTGCTTACAATTATACGCAAACCTTTAACTTGTACTGATTTTAAACTCGCAAATTGGCGGAAATTTAATTCGTATCTTGTAAAACTCAAAAGCAAAACGACAAACAACAAAATGATTACACAAAAAAAAACAATTTATTCGTTGTTAAGCCTACAAGATCCCTTAAAAGTAGTAAAAATTTACCCCAACGAGTGATAGTTTTTCCCTTGAGCAGCTTCTCGTAGTTGTGCCGGGGTTAACGTGGCCACTCGATGCATTGAAGACCTAAAAGAAAATAAATAATGACCATTACCAACCAAATCAAATTCATTTTATCAAATCAAATTCATGTTTATCAAATTCAAATCAAATTATTATCAAAATTATCAATTTTTCAAACAAATCTTGAACTTTAAATCAAAATTGATTTATTTTCAAATAAATCTCCAACTAAATCTTCAACCAAAAAAGCAAACAAACCTATTCGTATTCATTTCCTCAAAAATTAACGCCATCGCCGCGCACGCCCAGCCCTCAAGAGCTCCTAGAATTGAAAGTAAATAAGAAAGTAAGAAATTTTTAATTTTTTTAGTTTCCAAGACAAAAATTACGTTATTTATTGACTTTACTCGTTTTTACAATGCATTAAACCCTTACCAGCTAGCCACAAAAAGTCGTTTGCCGATTTCAGCAACTCGATCGCATTTTGGTAGTGTTCGAGAGCCTAAATGTTGAAAAATTAGAAATTTTTCTGACAAAAAAACAAAACAAACCTGTGAGGGTAAACCGGCTAACAAAGTGTAATCAGCTTGATGTTTTCGGCAGCGTCCAATGCATTTTCTTCTGAAAATTTACAGCTTAGAAAGAAATTTTCTAAAAGAAACGTGTATCATTTAGTAAAATCGGTTCTATTTATCAAAATTTTAATGTAAAAATTAAATGTTGTCTTGTCAAAATCAAATTTTCTCTTGTCAAAATCTTACCTAAAAGTCTTTGAAGTTTTATTCTCGGTGCCAACGCGTAACTTTTCTTCTTCGGGCAGCAATGGGCAAGGTGGAGGATCCTGGAATCAAAAAAATGCACAGATTTAACGGAGTTTTGATAAGTTTTATTTTAAGAGTTATGTTATGATAAGTTCAAAAAGGAAAATAGCCTTAAAATATTAAAAATCGAACTAAACACAGGGAAAACTTTACGGTTTCCACGTTTTACTCAACAAGATTGTTGTTTTAACATTATCAACGCTTACCACTTTCTCGAAAGCGACATCCATTCGTTTCTGCTCATGCACAAAGTAGATATTCCGCACGAATTCACGAATCGCTTCCTCGAGGCCATCTGAACGAGAAAATGGATAAAATAATAAGATAACTTTTAAAGCAATAATAAATTGAAGCTTTTGCTTTTGGCTTTTGGCAATAAATAGCTTTTGGAGGAACAAAGCAACCGTAAATACTCAAATAGAATCCCTAGGAGCGTCACCTTGTCCGTTTACTCTCAAACAAACGCTCATATCTTGACACCAGTACGTTTGTTTTTGCTTGTTTGGGTATCAAATTAAAGTAGAAAAAATGGGTCATTTTTAAGCTATAGCACAGATTTTTAGCGTTAACCAGCACTTAGAAAAATGATTAAAAAGTGGCAAAAAAAGCACATTAAAAATGATGTAAAATCGGGGGTTTTTCACTCATTTTTCTAAGTGCTGGTTAACGCTAAAAATCTGTGCTATAGCTTAAAAAATGACCCATTCTTTCTACTTTAATTTGATACCCAAACGAGCAAAAACAAACGTACTGGTGTCGAGATATGAGCGTTTGTTTTAGAGTAAACTTATGACTACACGATGCTCCTAAAGGGGCTTTTATTAGAGTATTTTCTCTAATAGAATTATTATAGAAGTGTTGCGTAATCTATATTAGAGGAAATACGGTATGCTTTTTGAAAAAACAAACCTGCATCTTCCATAGCCGCAAATTGTAGAGCTTCTCTTGATGCGAATCTCGTCGTGCAATCCTCCTCATTGTAACCAATCAAAATGCAACGACTGTCGACGAGAGTTGATGAGAAATCCGACTATAACAAATAAAATAGATGATTTGTAATCACTTTTTTCATGTTATAGTTAAAAGAATAGAAAAGTTTACTAAGAAATCTCTTTTATAATTCTTTTAAGATCAAAATTCGACTTTTAGCAAAGGAAATTTTTTTTAAGCAAAAAGATTTATCCTTTGCTTGATTTTACTATCAAAACACTCAAATATTTAATATTTAATAAGAAACCTTTAAATTCTCATAGAATATCTTGACATCATCAATGCCGACAATCACTCCAACCGACGAGCGCCGCCGAATCGCCATCGTTTTCTCGTTTGGAGAGCGCTAAAATGGAAAAATTTTGTGCATTTACTTTAACTTAACAAATTACGTTAACTTTAACTTTACTTTAACACCTAATATCATAAATTTTACAGTATGTAGCTATATTACAGCTTTAAGTTAAGCTATACAAATCGTAGCCTTTCCCAAAAACAAACCTCTCTATTCTGATTGCTTTCGCTTGTCGATGGTGACCTACAGGCGACCCCGATGATCCCAACAATGCGACGATGTATCTAAAAGAAGGTAAATTGCAAAGTAAAACGTGAAAATCAGCTTTTAAATAACTTTGGATAGCTTTTAAGCAAACACTACCTGAAATTCCCCAAATTTGATCGATTCGTTCGCGACATTGGTGACAAAATTTGCCTGGACGATGCGCGGTTGTGCCGAGTCGCCGACTAAAATCGTTTTTCTTGATCGCAAACTTGTTTTTAAGCCTTAAACCTTTGATTTAAGCATTATGCAATCTATTTCTATGCGTTTTTTTTCCTTTACTTGATCGTAAACTTGCTTCTAAGCCTTAAAGCTTCGATTTAAGCATTATCCTATTTATTTCTGTGTTTTTTCTTTACTTTACTTTTTCTTTATATGTTTTTGTCTTTTTTTACTAAAATTGTACTTAAACTTCTTCTTTTGACAAGAAAAAAAACCTTGTAGTCCATGTTGTCGATTAAGGCGCTCGATGATTCGATTGAAAGTTTGCGGATTTCGAGAGCCGATCTGAACAGGGAAACGGTAAAAAAAACACTGGGGTACTTTTCCAATATCGGGGGAGCGAAAGGAAAATCGGGGGAGCAAATTTTGCCCCCTCGAAAAATGCATTTCCGGGACTGTATTTTAACTGTAACGTTTTTTTTTAAAAACTTTAACGATGTTGCGGTTCTCGGACATTTGTGCGTTCAAGGAATCGACGGTAATCGATTATTTCGTCACCAAAGGAGTCATCCAGTCGTGGATTTGCAACTGTGGCGAATCGATGAAAGTCCGCTCAAAGGGAAAAGATCCATTTCGCTGGGTGTTAGGTATTTAAGTCACTTTTGTGATCTAATATAAAGTTTGTGAGAATAAAGAGTAATTCGCGGATTTTATGGCGGTGGTTTGTATAATACCGGACCAATGTAGCGCTGCCAAAATTTGCTCCCCCGATAATCGGACCGCTCCCCCGATATTGGAAAAGTACCAACACTGGTTATACTACCCTATTTTTGCCATTTTATTGTCAAATCAATTCCATTAAATGTCACCTGTTTAACGAGAATCGTGATCCTTGTATGATCTTCAGCACTCGGTGTTGCGTCCATTTGTTGTTGTCGTCGTCCGTTTTTGCATCCCCGTTTGGCAATGCCTGCTGGGTGCAACTAAAATAATTGGAATCGTTAAATCAAACCATGGATGTCACAAAGAAAAACGAAAAGTGGAAAAGTCCAAAATTTTGAAATTAAAAAAAACCAAAATTCTAACAAGCCCTCTCTTTAAATAGCTTTATTATCAAAAATAAAAATATTCAGCTAAACAGTTAAAAGCTCGCCAATTATTTAAATTCGGTATAAATTTGAATTATCTGTCGTAAACTTTAAACATATGTCGTAGCCGATTATGAATGAAATTTTTTGGCAAATCTTTCTAGTAGAGCAACCCTTTAATGTATAAGGACAATATTATATCATCTTGTAGCGAATTCAATTCTGCGTCGATTGGTACCAAATTTGTGAGCTTAGGTTAAAAATTGCCGACGCTACAACGTTTCATTCAAAATCGGCGGGACCCCCGTAGCCGATTATGAATTTCAGCCGATTATGAATGAGTGGGTCTAGGAGCGTCCAACCATCAAGTATTTAGTATCATTCAACGCAGCATCATTGATAATTGTGTTAAATTTTTAAAATTAGCAAGATTTGATGGAAAGAAAAAAAATTTAGAGCAAAAAAACTGTTTGTTTGAGAGAAAACTTTGAAGCCCCATAATTTGTGTTCTTTTTATCCAATCTTTCTAATTTTAAAAATTTAACATAATTATTAATGATTCTGCGTTGAATGTTACTAAATACTTGATGGTTGGACGCTCCTAGACCCGCTCATTCATAATCGGCTGAAATTCATAATCGACTGAAATTCATAATCGGCTACGACATATATTCCAAAGTTAAATGCAAATCACGACAAAAAGCTCGTCAATTATTCAAATTTATGCAAATTTGCATATATGTCGTAAATTTCAAATTAAAATTAAAAATTTAAATGCAAATCTCCAAAAATAAGTTTTTTTTGCTTAATTTTCACCTTTTTCAATTTTTTTTTGCCAAAATAAAATCAAATTTTAAAATGTACTTTCGCGGTTTAAAAAAAACCATTGAGTTTAGTCAAAAATTTCGTCCAAAATAAAGCTTTATTGCGAGCAAAAGACACAAATTGGGTGATTCAAAGTCAGATTTTCAAAAAAAAAAAGAAAACAACAACACTGGGTTTTTTTTTTTTTGTTGAAAGCTGAAAGGGGAATTTGAGTAAAATGGTGCTGAAAATTTATCACATTTTGAATAAATTCAAGATGAAACCCATGAAAACAATCAAAAACAATCAAAAACAATCAAAAACAATCAAAAACAATCAAAAACAATCAAAAACAATCAAAAAAAAGATGAAAAGCTGAAAAATAAGACCCGATTAGTGGAACAAAAAAAACTAGGTAATTGGAGAAAATTGGGTACCGTATTTCTTCGAATAGAAGACCGGCTAAAGAGTATCATCGCGTACTCCTGCGTAGCAGCCCTTTTTAAAATTTCTTTTCTGCATAAAAGCTTTCAATCAAGTGCTATAGAGCTGGAAAATGGCTCAAAAATACCACATGAGCTAACAGATTTTTGAGCCATTTTTGAGCCATTTTCCAGCTCTATAGCACTTGATTGAAAGCTTTTATGCAGAAAAGAAATTTTAAAAAGGGCTGCTACGCAGGAGTACGCGATGATACTCTTTACCCGGTCTTCCATTCGAAGAAATACGGTAAGAGACTTTCAATGCTCTGGATTACGGTATCGGCTTTTTCGAGCATGAAAGTATCTCCAAAAAATCATTTACACTTACTATTTAGGGAGACTACGGTACTCTAATTGCATTTTAGAAACGGTAATTCAAGTGTACTTCTGGGGTTCTGGTAAGCAAAGTGTAATTTGTGCAAGGGTTACGGTACTCTACTTGCAAGGCTCTGGTTGTCCGAAACTACTCCAGGATTACGGTACTCTAAAGGCATTTAATGCTACGGTAAGCCGAGAGTGTATTTTGTGGTCTTACCAATGGCTACCGCACTCAAAAACGCACCATCTAGCGAATTTGCAAAACGAGCTAGCTACTGGAAATTGGGTAACTGAACTGAAAGCACTCCTGTCCACAAATGACGTCATTTTCCGCATCCGACCCACTGAGCCCTCCTAGTGACCTCCAGAACGCGGTAATCTTGAAGAAAAACGAGGAAAGCTTGCTCACGTTGGCGGAAACAGCCTTAGAGGAGTTATCGGAGAATGCGATTCCCGAGAAGCGCGTTTAAATGAGAGAGAAACGGGTCTGTGGAACAAATTGAAACACAACTCAACAACTCTACAACTCATCTACTCATTTCTTTCGTTCAATTTTATACAATAACTGCAATTTGTCCAAAAAAACTACTTAAAATGGAAATTTTGAGAAAAAAAAGACAGGGTTACGGTAGCCAATTGGCGTACTTTTGTGCTCTCTCGTAAACGCATTCTTTCTGGCACAGTTGGCCACGAGATTATTCCAGAAAGCAAGCGTTTATTGAAGCATAAAGTACGAATTGATTTTTCAAGAATTCTAGATGGGTTACGGTACTTTGAGCGTCTAAATGATGCTTAAAAGTACCGTAATTCTGTGACCGGTAAAATTTAGGGAAAACGCAAGTGAAATATGGCAAAATTGAGGCTTCTAAAAGTTCTAGATAAAGCAAAATGGTAAAATTGGGGAATAATAGAGTACAATATAGATCAATGCACTAGGTGATAAGCGTTTGAGCACTTTCTAGCCGATTCAAATGAACTATTGATAAACTAATGAGATTTTTGTGAAAGCTGGAACGCACGGCACTAGCCTAAAGGGTTACGGTAGCAAGATGACGCCTTTTAGAATGACGACTTTTAAGCAACTTGTTGAAAATTCTAAAACGCACTATTTCGATACAGTAGCCTTTTGGACTAGTTGAGTGCGCTCCAGCTTAGCCAAAAATTTCATTTGTACAGTAATATTGAGCTCCAGTTGCTCAGAATTAGCTCAAACTCAATCGGCCTAGTGCTTGACTACAGCTAGTTCCAGTTTCATCCTTTCTCTGATCTAAACAAGCGGTGTGCTCAAATTTTGATGTCGTTTCTGTTTTCGGGGCATCGTTTTAGGCAACAGGAGGTCTTCGGCATCGGAGAGAAGCGAATCCGATGAAGGTGGGAGTGGGAGAGGCTGCAGTCGACCAGTGGACCCAAATGGTTTATCTAAATTCGAGATCATTTTTTTATTTGGTCATCCTGGATGTCACACATATAAGTTATCAAAGAAAATCAAGGAGATTTCGATTTTTATTTTCACTAACCAACACTGGATCAACCCTTAAGTTCAAAATTAAAAATTTCTTTTAATTATCTCAACAAAAACCCTCTGTGCGTTCCAGTTTGCCGAAAATATTGAAATTTTTTTTAAAATCACTTTTCTGTAGCTTTTTCTGGGTCTGTTCTTCATCGCTGTCCTCGGAGTGAACGGGAGAGTAACGGCGACGGCGTCGAAAGCTGAATTCTTTGACTAAATTCTAGAGTTCGGCAAACAAAACCAAAACCAAAACAGACCAAAACCAAAACACCAAAACAAACCAAAACTCAATTTGCATATAAATTAACATGTAAATTTCAAAATTGTAAAATGTAAATTTTAATATAAAATGCAAATTTAAATGTAAAATGCAAATTTTAATGTAAAATGTAAATTTTAATGTAAAATGCTAATTTTAATGTAAAATGCTAATTTTAATGTAAAGAGCAAATTTGCCTTTCACTTTTTCTCACTCCCCAAAATCTTGCGGCCGAAAAAAAGACCAAAACACGACCTCGAAATTTCGAAACAAAAATAGCCTATAGGATAGATTTTTGGACGCTGATTTCAAATCTGCAGACAGATTTTCGCTAGTTCTTCCCAATCGCGAGATACTGGCGAGTTTTGTTTAGTTTTGGTTTTGGTTTGTTTCGGTTTTGGTGCTTTTGGTCTTGGTTAAGTTTCGTTTTCCGAAGTTTACTAAATTCTATTTGCTTCTCATTTACCGTAATCTTTTCGCTTTCTTTGTCCACGAGGTTCTTGATTTTTTGATAAACAAATAGTAGACGACGAAGAGGGAAAAAAGAGTGAAACCGATTGAGAAATAAATTGACGACCAGCCTGAAATAGGGAAAAAAAGTTTGAACACTTTCTGGCCGATTCAAGTGAAATATTGATAAACTAATGAGATTTTGTGAAAGCTGGAACACACGGCACTAGCCTAAAGGGTTACGGTAGCAAGATGGCGCCTTTTAGAATAGCGACTTTTCTGCAACTCGTCGAAAATTCTAAAACGCACTATATCGATACAGTATCCTTTTGGATTAGTTGAGTGCGCTCCAGCTTAGCCAAAAATTTCATTTGTACAGTAATATTGAGCTCCAGTTGCTCAGAATTGGCTCAAACTCGCGTCACCGAGTGACTCCAGAGTCGCCTGGTTGCCTGGTTCCCTGTTTTGTCTAAAACGTGTACCAGGGTCTGTAATCGATTGGAGGCTTAGAGAAATAGCCGTTAGCTACAGTACTTTAGGGCAGCCCGTTACAGTAATCCGTTTATTTTCCCAAAGTTTAGACCTTAAAGTTCAAGCTACATTATCCTACAGTATTATGAGGGATTTGCCAACTCCGAGAAGCCTCACTTCCCCGTGAGTCCTTCAAGATTGTGTTCCAAAGGTTGGCCAAGCTCTTCCCGGAACTTCAAGCCGACTTATGTGAAATCTATAGCTCTGGAAACGAAAATCTGAGATTGCAAGACTGTGCCTATCTTCTGTGCCCGTCCGACTGGGCAAAGGAAGTCTTCTTTGGAATCAGAGAGAATGTCAAGGCAAAGAAGCCGCCAGCTCCTGCTTCCTTGCTGAAAGCGAAGGATCCAGCAATTGTGATGTTGACCGACACGCAAGTGGTCCTATTTGGTGGTCCTTTTGCTACAGTACCAATGATACTTGCTCATATTTTTGTCTCGTTTCTAAGCTTCAAAAGTCAAAGCTACAGTAGCTACAGTACTCCTTTCTAAGCTACAGTAATCCTCACCACAATCGTAATGTTTCCCGCCGGAAAAGAGAATCCCAATCAAACTGGGCATCCAGAAGCGATCACAAACGCATTCCTTTGTTTTATCGGAGCATCGACCGTGTCCAGAGCACTCCAAATGACAATCTGGAAGGCACAGAATGAAATAAAATCATCAAACATTCAATAAAGTGAAAGGAATTCTATTCAAAAATTCCAAAATCCCGATTTAAAGCTATTAATCGTTAGAAAAAAGGAAAAAGATTAGAATTTCAAAAAAACGTTTTCATTTTTCTTTCCACTGCCACTCACACTTTGGTTCAATTGATGTGATTGAGAAAATCTCATGCATTGTCGTCTCGCCACGAAGCACCGCAACAATGGTGTCCGCCTTGAGCGTCGTTGATGCAGTTGCACGTTTCGCTTTCCGACGCATCTCTTCTAAAATGATGAAATGAGGGATTCAATTGGAGGAGGGGCTGAAAACTGAAAATCCCGAAGTTTCTAGTTCCCGAAGTTTCTAGTTCCCGAAGTTCCTAGTTCCCGAAGTTCCTAGTTCCCGAAGTTTCTAGTTCCCGAAGTTTCTAGTTCCCGAAGTTTCTAGTTCCCGAAGTTTCTAGTTTATAGAATAACATAGAAATAGAATAGCTTATTGCTTTATACAGGGTGACCAAGAATTACCGCGGCAACTTTTTGAAAAAATAGCTGACAAATGCTTAAATTATTTTAGAAGTGTCAAATGTTATATAGAGAATTATAGCCCTAATTCTCGGCAACATTTATCTCCGAAAAACTTCCCGATTGGACTTATACAACTCATTTAACAAGCGCTTGAATGAGCGCTAGTCGACATCTCTCCGGCGAATCTGTCATTTGGCCACTTTTCTCTATTAAAAATATCGGAAATACTCAATTTTCCCTGTTCCTCCAAAAAGAGCTTGACATCAACTTAAATTTTGATTATGCCAGTCCAACCAAAACATTTAAGTGTGATTCCTAATGTTATTAAGTGATATTAAACGCTATTTTTGCATTCAAGAAATATTGAAAAGCTTTTCTTAACAATTTTTAATAGAGAAAAGTGACCAAATGACAGATTCGCTGGAGAGATGTCGACTGTCGACTGTCGACTGTCGATTCAGGCGCTTGTTAAATGAGTTGTATAAGTTGAATCGGGAAGTTTTTTGGTAGATAAATGTTGCCGAGAATTAGGGCTATAATTCTCTGTATAACACTTGCCACTTTTGAAATCAATTAGACATTTCCCAGATACTTTTCCAAAAAGTTGTTGCGGTAATTCTTGATCACCCTGTAGCATAGAAATAGAATAACTTAAAAGGGTCAGAGTTGGTAGCATGCTTTCTAGAATCGAGATTTCAACAGAAAACTTTTAACCCAGGTACCCAAGTACTTAGAGTTTTTAAAAAACAGAAAAGAAATCAAACAGAGAAGAAAAGAAAGATTTAAGCACCTAGAACGAACCTGTTTGACTAGTACTGAGATTAATCGGGTTTGTAATGATCGTAGAGCTACTGATAGTGGTGTAAGTTCTTGTGGTACTCTTTGCTAAACGTCAAATAATGTTCGTCAAATAATATTCGTCAAATAATGTTTAGCTTTCTTGATTTTTCCTCACCTGTTTGATCGATAGCTTCAGCCCAGAAAAGCATTCGGAAATCGCCGCCACTTGAGTGATATTCTTCGAGACGAGTTGTGTGAATCAGTACTTGGGAAACACCAGAAACACCGGAGGAGAGAATGGCTGCGATTCTGGAATTTTAAAGGTTTAGTTTTGAATTTAAATCTATCAAGGCTGGAGTAATTGAAGGTCTTCCTTCTTGCTGACTTTCTTTCTTCCTCTTCTTCTTTCTCTTCCTCTTTCTCTTTCTCTTCTTCTTCGTCTTCTTTCTCTTCTTCTTCTTCCTCTAATTCTTCCTCTTCCTCTTCTTCTTCATCTTCTTCGTCTTCTTTCTCTTCTTCTTCGTCTTCTTTCTCTAATTCTTCCTCTTCCTCTTCTTCTTCTTCATCTTCTTCGTCTTCTTTCTCTTCTTCTTCTTCTTCCTCTACTTCTTCCTCTTCTTCCTCTTCTTCTTCTTTCTCTTTTTCTTTCTCTTTCTCTTCTTCTTCTTCGTCTTCTTTCTCTTCTTCTTCTTCTTCCTCTACTTCTTCTTCTTCTTCTACTTTCTCTTCTTCCTCTTCTTCTTCTTCTTCCCCCTTGTCTTCCCTTCTTTCTCTTGGTAGATCAAGGTGCCGAATGGTTAGAGCAAAGGTTTGCCCGGAAAGCAGAAAGTCAAGCCTTTTCTTGTCAAGAAGGTTCAATTCCATCTCCATCTCCTTTGTCTGGCTAATTTCTTACTTTATTACTAGTTAACCACCTGTTCTCTAATTTTGATTTCTGTAAATAGGAGAATCGCTCAACAGATTGTCGAATCAACAACTCGACAGACTCGCGCTCAGCTTCACCTAAAGATTAGCGATAAAGTGAATAAAGTGAAAGCCATCTCTGTCCTTAGATCAGTTCTAGAAACAAAAAAAGCCAAGACAGGCCAAGTGTTTGACAATTCCGTCAGCAACATAACCAAACTAGAGCTATCCAGGCCGTACTTCAAGTATCTGGTCGATTCTGTTCTGACTCTAATTTATTTAATCAGGTTTCCTAAGTGGCCTGGCGCTGTCTGCTGGCTTTCTGGAGGCGCTGTCCGCTGGCTTTCTGTCCATTTAACTTACTGCGAAGAGCTTGAAGTAGATCTTTGATCTGAAACTGACCTTTCTCCACATGTAGCCACACCCATTTCTCATCCTTTTCCTCTTGTTGATCACGAACCGAGAAATTGAATCTAAATGGAAATTTGTTGTTTAATGACGGTAATTGAATGTGTGGCTTCTAGAATGACCTTTCATTTCACTCACTTAAAAATCCCTTCAACTAGGCCGCCAACAAGGAGGACTGGAGTGTTCTGTGAGCCATCGAGGAGTTCCTAGAAATGATTGAATGGAAATGCTTGATATCCCAAATTATTGTGTGATATCCAGATAAGAAAAAAAAGGTAGTAAAAAGTACGGTACTTTTTAGTTAAGTCCTAAATGACACCTGTACTGTATACTGTATTATGACAAAGTTCCTATTTGACTCTAAATTCAAATTTCTTGGTCCCAAACTACAGTGTGATATCCAGATAAGAAAAAAACGGTAGTGAAAAGTACCGTACTTTTCCTTGAATCCTAAATGACACCTGTACTGTATACTGTACTATAACAAAATTCTTATTTGACTCTAAACCCCAATTTATTCATCCCAAACTACAGTGTGATATCCAGATAAGAAAAAAACGGTAGTAAAAAGTACCGTACTTTTCTTTGAATCCTAAATGACACCTGTACTGTATACTGTACTATGACAAAGTTCCTATTTGACTCTAAACCTCAATTTATTCATCCCAAACTACAGTGTGATATCCAACTAAAATAAGCGCACCAAAATCGCTGGAGTATCATCATCTGGTGTCCATCGATAGGCGACAATCCCCGCATCGTCGTGGCTCGCCGATCCGTCCAATTTGACGACAGAGATCGGCAGGGAAACGGTCACATTTTCGGCTAAGGCTATCGGTGGCTTGTTTTCACCTAAAAATTCGCAATTGTTATCTGATTTGTTCTTTCTTTTCTAGGCTAATCTTGGACAGCTTCTGAATTTGATCTAACTAGGGAAGACAACGAAACGGCCCACTAAGGGCTGAGGAGTAGCGGATCTTACTAGGGAAGGCCGTCCACTCAAGGTCGAGTTTCGGAACGAGACTTAGATCATGAGGAAAAACTAAAAGCAGCATTCCCCATGAAAAGCTCTACAAGATGATCTCATTCCGAAACTCGACCTTGAGTGGACGGCTTTCCTTAGTAAGATCCACTACTCCTCAGCCCCCCGTGGGCCGTTTCAAATAGTTTCTACTTAGTTTGACTTCGAATTTCATCTAGTTGTGCAACATGTTTTAAAATTTAAAAAAAACCAAAAGTGTTGACGGGAGCAGGTGTCGAACCTGGACCGTGTGGGCTACAGACAAGAGCACTCGCACTACGCCATCTAAGCAGGCGGCGGGATCTTGGCATTTGAGCAATGAGCTCGCACTGTGCCATTTAAGCAGTGTCCTGCATGAAACTCTAGAGCATGGCCGAGTGGTTAACAGGCGCGTCTCTCAAGCGAACGGAAAAGAAAAGTCGCAAGTTCGGCTCCTCTTGTCGCCAATCCTTTTGTTTTTTTCTCCAAAAATTCTGCTCAAAAAGCAACAAAGCTTCTAGATCATTTATAAATGAAAACGAAAACGATTTTAAAAGATTTAAAAGAGAAACAAGGCTCAAATAGCTGTGAAAGGATCTGAGGTTGATCTAGTCCTTGATCTAGTCCTTGATCTAGTCCTTGATCTAGTACTTGATCTAGTCCTTGATCTAGTCCTTGATCTAGTACTTGATCTAGTCCTTGATCTAGTACTTGATCTAGTCCTTGATCTAGTCCTTGATCTAGTCCTTGATCTAGTCCTTGATCTAGTCCTTGATCTTTTCAAAACTGACCTCTAATCACCGATACTTTGACAATATCGTGTGCCTCTAGTCCTCCATCATCTGTCACTGAGAATTGGAAGATATAATCACCAAGGATGAGCTTAGATATGGTTGCTTTTGCTTGATTCGCGTTTACGATTGAAATTGTTGATGGGCCACTGAAATTTTCGTTATTTTTAGCTATTTTTTCTTCTTTTTTTTTCGAAGAAGAACTTCATTTTCATAAATTCAATTTTCATAAATACTATTTTTCATTAGAAAGCTCAAAAGAAAACGATCAAAAAAACTAGAGAACTTCTTCGTTTTTGTTGCTTTAGAACTAAAGTTAGAAGAGATTAAGCAACGCTTTCAGTGCAATGTTACTTTACTTATTTTATTGAAAATTCAAAGTAAGTTGAAAGTTTAAGCCGTTTACAGGGTGGCTACAAAGTATTGCGACGCTCATTTGGATCAGAGAAACGATGAAACTGGAACTAGCTGTAGTCAAGCACTAGGCCGATTGAGTTTGAGCTAATTCTGAGCACCTGGAGCTCAATACTACCGTGAAAGTCAACTTTTTGGCTAAGCTGGAACGCACTCGACTAATCCAAAAGGCTACTGTATCGAAATAGTGCGTTTTAGAATTTTCGACAAGTTGCTGAAAAGTTGCTATTCTAAAAGGCGCCATCTTGCTACCGTAACCCTTTAGGCTAGTGCCGTGTGTTCCAGCTTTCACAAAAATCTCATTAGTTTATCAATATTTCACTTGAATCGGCCAGAAAGTGTTCAAACTTTTTTGCTACCGTAACCCTTTCGGCTATAGGTTTTTGATTTGTCGCAATACTTTGTAGCAATCCTGTAAATTATTCTTCCTTTTTTTTTCACTTACCTAATTTGTGTCCAATTAAACGCTTTTATCACCCCATCATCTTTCGCGTTTCCCTCTAAAACCAACGAAGATTCAGGTAAAATCACTGTTCGATTGCCGCCTCCGTTTGGCTCTGAAAAAAAAAAGAGAGAGATATCGAAAATGCAAAATAATGCAAGAGTATAAGTATGTACTTTAATTAGATATTAGATACTTTCAAAAGAAAAATTATAAAAAAGAACTTTAAAAAAAGAATGACAAATGAAAAAAAGACTAAATGACTCAAAAAAATTAATAAGAAAAGAACTTTATTCTGAAAGATATTTACTATTATTATCAACTATGTTCTTTCATTTTTTGCGTAGACTTTGGAATTGCTTGCTTGAATGCTTGATTTGAAAAATTCAGGAATCCCGTAACGCAATTTATTCAGGAATCCCAAAGTTGTCTTGTATCCGACTTCTTTAGAATTGTTAAACTTTTGTTTATTTATTTTATAAACATTTATTTTATAAACATTTATTTTATAAATGTTTATTTTATAAATGTTTGACCTTATCTCAAATCGCTTATCAGAAGCTATTTAAGCTGGCTGATTTAAGCTGGCTGATTTAAGCTGACCAATTTAAGCTAGCCGACTTAAGCTGGCCGATTTAAGCTGACCAATTTAAGCTGGCCGACTTAAGCTGGCCGATTTAAGCTGGCCGACTTAAGCTGGCCTATTTAAGCTGGCCGATTTAAGCTGGCTGATTTAAGCTAGAGCCGACTTAAGCTGGCCGATTTAAGCTGGCCTATTCTGCTATTTAGCTGCTATTAGGCTGCTAGATCAGCTAATGATTACCGTTTTTTCTCTAATAGTAGTGCACCCTGAGCGTCGTCTAAATTACTCGAAGTCTCGAGAACCGCTTATCAGAACCTATCGATGTGGGGTTGGAAAATGTAGCTGACGATCAGATCTTGTAGGGATTTGAGGGTAGAGCTTCTGTGAAAGCTTTCAAAGCCGTAAAATAGTCGCTAACTCGGCTCCAACTGGAGTGCACTACTATTAGAGAAAATACGGTAGTCTTTTTTATTTTAAATTTTTAACCAAAGTTAGCCAAATTCAACGAATTTCTTTCTTCACCATGAATTCGATTAATTTCTTTTCAACTCAATTAATTTCCTTTCAATTCAATTCAAGTTTCCTTTAGAAATGCGAGAAAAGAAAGAAATGAGACAACGAGAAGAAGAGCTGATAAGAGATGATGAATCTTGTGCGTCTGATGAAGTGATCATTGATGAAGAAGATGAAGACGAAGATCTTCAACAACCGGTTCGTCTTTTCACTCTGTTGATGAATTTAACTCTGTTGATGACTTTTTAGACAACCGAAGCCGCCACCTCCGCCAACTCCTCCGATGAAACTCTCAAAAAAGCGCCATTCTCTGTGGAGGAGATCCTCTCGACACCACTTGGACGACTAGGGGCGAGGATGTTGAAAGGTGAATTTCGATTTTTAACCCAAAAACTCTTTGCCAATCCCCTTCCTGACATTCAGATTGCTTAATTTTTCGATTCCGGAAAACTCCCAGCTTCGAAACTGTCATTTTTGGGCTGGAACGCAATACGAACCTCCGGTATCCTAACTTTGATTTTTGTCATATGCTCCCAAAAAGCTCAGCAAACCCTTTCCTGACATCCAGATCGCCGATTTTCCTGTTTATCAAAAAAACTGGGAACCCTGGGTGCGAGAAAAACTTATCCACCTCGTATTGGCAAAGTTCAACTGGGACTCAATTTTGTCAAATGCCCCCAAAAAGCTCATCAATCCCTTCCCTGACATCCAGATTGGCCAATTTCATGATTCTGGAAAAATCCCAGCTTCGAAACTGTCATTTTTCGGTTGGAACACAATACGACCTCCGGTATGGCTGCTTCGATTTTTGTCGGTGACCCCCAAAAGCTCAGCAATCCCTTTCCTGACATCCAGATCGCTTAATTTTCTAATTTCAGAAAAATCTCAGCTCTGAAACCGCGATTTTGACACCGCAACACAATACGATAACTTCGATTTTTCTCATATGCCCCCAAAAAGCTCAGTAATCCCTTCCCTGACATCCAGATTGGTCAATTTCATGATTCTGGAAAAATCCCCAGCTTCGATAAGAGATGATGGAATCTTGTGCGTCAGATGAAGTGATCATTGATGAAGATCCCAGCTTCAGCAAAAGCTTTGAAAGCCGTAAAATAGTCACCAACTCATGCACTACTATTAGAGAAAATACGGTAATCGTAATCTGATCGCAAAGACAAATCTAAAGTCAATTTGAAAACAAAAAAAAGAAATTTTTAAAATTCTCATTTATAGTTAAACATTACTAGATCCAATTCATTAAAATTTTCTTAAAATCCCTCAAAAAAACAACCAAAATCAAACCTGGAGGCAAATTGTGCGCCGCGTGGACGAAAACCGAGACTTTTGTCGAGTCTTTTTGGTGTTTTCCATCAACAACATCCAATGCGAACTCATAGGCGCCGAGTTGTTCAGTCGCCTGGAAATGTGATTAAGCGAGCTGACAGTTGAGCTGGCAGTTGAGCTGGCAGTTGAGCTGACACCCAGATTAGACAAATTTGGCGAGAATTTTTCATTTCAAACAATTCCCGACCTTTTAAGGGCTCAGAGTCGCCTCCACGACGCTCAAAGCCGGACAATTTTCTCCTCAAAACGTTTTTCTTTTGAATCTCTTTCTCTTGTTAATGGATTTTATTCATTTTTCAATTACCTGTAAATTTCTTAGCTCCAGCACATTACTTGATGACCCATCAATATCAACAGTGAGCTCATGAGTGAACGAGTCGACTCGATACCAGCGATATTCAACAATTCCCTAAAAATTTCGGCAATAAATTTGACCGATCTGGAGGTCACACTACAAGGTAAAAAGAAGAAATCCGATGGTTATTAGCTTGATGTTTGTACTTTGATTACCTTTGGTTCTTATAGTCTTAAAAAAATCTCCATTTAACAATTCCCTAAAAATTTCGGCAATAAATTTGGCCGATCTGGAGGTCACACTACAAGATAAGCAATATTGTGATAGTTATTATCTTGAAAGTTATACTTTGGTTACCTTTGGTTTCTATAGTCTTAAAAGAAGCTATATTCAAGAATTCCCCGAAAGTCTGGGCAATAAATTTGGCCTATCTGGAGGTCACACTACAAGATAAGCAGAATTGCAATAGTTATTATCTTGAAAATATACTTTGCTTACCTTTGGTTCCTATAGTCTTAAAAAAATCTCCATTTAACAATTCCCTAAAAATCTCGGCAATAAATTTGGCCGATCTGGAGGTCACACTACAAAATAAGCAGAAATCCGATAGTTATTATCTTGAAAGTTATACTTTGGTACCTCTGGTTACTATAGTCTTAAAAAAGCTACCGTACACGGCACTGTATTGGTTACTGTAGCGTCTAAAGCTACCATAACCTCCGAGTTTTATGTCTTAATACGTTAAACCTTTTGGTTTACACTAAATAACACTTAAAATGCATTTTGTAAACAGTCTTCACAAAGGTTACGGTATTTTTCTTAACTTAAGTATTATCTTTTAAACTTTTAACAGCTTTTAGAAAGCCATTTTTTCTCTATATAGCAGTTTAAAAGTTTCCTACTTTATCATCTTGACTTGAGTTTGCGCAGAGATGAATATGATTCAAGGGTAATCGAACAGAAACCATCCCGGTCGCCGTTCCCGTTCCACACTCGGTGATGTGCGCTTTCGGTGGATCGTCACGCTCTGTAAAAAGTTATTTGTCGTTTCTGGAAGTCACCCTGGGAATTGAGTTGATTTATTTTCGATATTAGCAAAGGAAAATAAATGATTGATAGAATTTTGGTTAAAATTTGGTTAAAATTCAAGTTTTAGATGGGTTTTGGATTGAATTTACTTAAAATAAATAGAAAAAAGAAAAAAGACAAGAGGAGAATGAGATTTTCTTTGTAATTTTCTTTGTAATTTATTCATTTAATATCTAGAAATAAAGCGTTAACCTTCTTTTACATTGACAGTAACTGTTGTTGAATCGGATCTCCCTTCGGTGTCACTGACTGTCACTCTAGAAAGGAAAAAAATCATACTTTGTTATTAAAAACCAGTTAAAAACCAGTTAAAACCAGTTTCCAAAAACAGTTTCTAAATCAAAATCAATAAATTGTTCATTTTCAGAGGACAGAGGGACAGACAGACGGACAGATGGACAGACAAACAGACAGACAAACAGACGGACAGATAGACAAACAGACAGACGGACGGACAGACAGACGGACGGACAGACAGACGGACGGACAGATAGATAGACAAACAGACAGACAAACAGACGGACAGATAGACAAACAGACAGACGGACGGACAGACAGATAGACAAACAGACAGACAGACGGACGGACGGACGGACAGACAGATAGACAAACAGACAGACAGACAGACGGACGGACAGAAAACTCACCGAAATTTGTAAACCCCTTGCGCTAAGCGTTCAATCTTCAAACTGGGAGTGTTCGTAGCGGAAAGAGCAACAGTTGGACCCGAGACTTGCACCCATTCAAAAGAAGCTGGAGTGGCGGAGACAAGACTGCCTGCAAATAGAGTACAATGCTTGTGGATCCTTGAATCGCTTCGATGCTTTAAACTCCTTAGTCTATGGTAACTAGGATTAGAGAGCTTTCAAGCTCTCAATCTGGATTGTAACCTAGCCTAGAAGGCCAAGAAACCTAGAAGTTAGCTCCAGGCTTACAAGGTGAGCTTACAAGGCTTACAAGGCTTACAAGGCTTACAAGGCCAACTTAAGATGAGCATCTAGATCGAGATCCAATGCAAAATTTCATACTGATTCCGAATTTGCTTTTCGTTTTTGTCAAATGGCTGTCTATCAAAAGTTATAAGCATTTGAAATTTGAGAAAAAGATTGGAAAGCTGGAAAGCTGGAAGAGCCTGGAAAGTCGTCAAAAGGCTTCTTCAGGGCGAGCCCTTCAGTGGACTGATGGCGCAGTGGGTGGAGGGCGTTTATACAAAACGATTGCTTCAATCTTTTGCTTTAGTTCAATTCCAGCTTTTGTTTTTCTCTTCATTCTGATCTTTCAACACTTAAATTTGTTGATTTTAATCTTTCTGTTAGGCTTTTAAACTATGATAGCACTGTGGCGAATTGCCGCTGCTCTGCAGTTAGTCAAAAATTCAATACACAGGTTAAAATTGAAAGTCGATGGATAAACTACCGTAACCAGTCACTAGACGATATTCAGTTGTCCGTTTGGCGTAGCTTGTCGTACTTAAAAACCCATTATTCCAGCTTTGTCTTGAGTCAGTTGTGGGCTCCTGAAAAAAAATTTTTTTACTTCATTCTTTTTCACACGCAAGTGTTGAAGTAATAGGTTGATGCATAAGTCTTTTCGTTTTTTTCGTACTTCTGTTAAAAAGTAACAAATTCACCAATTAATCTATAGTTTGCTCTATAGAAAAAGTGTTTTTTTTGTTCAATTTCCAATCTTTTTAAATCAATTTCGGTTCACTTTCAAGCAAATTCGAGAGTGAAAAACGTATTAAATTGGTGCAAACTACAAGCTACAAGCTACAGAGACTACAAACGACAGACAGAAAAACAAAAGCCTTTTTCGTAAAAATCGATAAAAAAACTCTACGGAAAAATTGGCCGAATGAATTTCTCTGAAATTTTGGCGAAATATCAAACGTTTTTTTTCTCTATCTTTTATCTATTGACACGAAGATAGGTTTTCTTTAGCTAAGGTGTCTAAACCGCATCATCGAGTTAGCCCCTTTTTGACTACCCGACTTGATACTCTCAAGAAAATCCAGGCATTCAATATTTTTAAACCCGTTTTAATGTTATTTTGCAGAAAAATAATTGCTTTTTCTAATGAAATCAACCGTAGTTTAATTGGTGCATTTGTTGACTTGAAACGGCTGACGAAAAGGAACAAAAACACTTATGCATCAACCTAATAATTGTGATTAATTAATTAATTGTGCCAGGTTGCTCCAGTTTGAGCGACGTTTACCCTAACTTTAATTGGATTGCAGTTATGATTCTGTCATGTTGGAAAGTTGGATAAAATTGTGCGTTTTCAAGAAGACCACTATTGAACCAAACGGTCTCACAAGAAATTCTATAGATCAAAACATCAATATATATTTCTTACAAGCACTTACCTTCAGCATCTAATGTCAATGTGTTTCCTTCAACACTTTCGATCGGTCCTTCAGGTCGAATAACAGCTTGTGGTGGCCGAGAAGCCTCCGGTGGCTCAATCAACTCCAGCGTGTGCTCTGAAGAGTTAAAACTCTTTCAAAGATTTTTGTTTCATCTGCTTTAAGCCTAGTGTACTCCAGAATGAGAAAAAAAAGGTGAAATTTTAAAAATCGAAAATTCACCAGCTCTGCCGTTGAAATCCTTGCCGGTGACAGTTGCACGAACGACAATCACTCCCGATTTCAACTGAAACAATCTCAAAGTGTGTTGTGATATCCAATTTGAATCTTGATTGCAGTAGAAAAAGCGTTTGTACCTGTACAAGTGTCAACTTTCGTCGATTGTAGGCTTTAGCGGTGGCTAGGCCCGTCCCAGCGATCACCTCCCATTGAAATGAGAGAGAAACGTTCTCAAAGGAGTCATTGGGATCTAGGAAACGTTATAATATATTAGGAAAAGGGATTTACAGCTATTTATACAGTGCGTTTCAAATTCTTAAACGCACCCTCTAAAATAGCGGATTTTGCATTTTGACCACCGATAGAAATCCGATAGAAAATTTATGGGGAATACTTGTCCGAGCTGTCTACAAGAATCATCGTTAGTTTCAAGACGTTTCTACGCTTAAAGCAGCAAGTTTTTTTTTGGCCTGGAGCGATCTCGACGTCTCCGCTCTTCAACATCTCATCAATTCAATGCCAGACCGCATGTTTCAAGTAATTAATCGTTCTGGTGCGTGTACAGATTATTGGTTTTGATTTTTTACCTATGATTTTTAATTTATATCGATAAATAAAAATATTTTCATAGTGCGTTTAAGAATTTGAAACGCACTGTAGCTGTTTATAGCTGTTTATAGCTGTTTTTAGCTGTTTATAGCTGTTTATAGCTGTTTATAGCTGTTTATAGCTGTTTATAGCTGTTTATAGCTGTTTATAGCTGTTTATAGCTGTTTTTAGCTGTTTTTATTTTTATTTTTATTTTTTATTTTTTTTTTTAATTTTAGCTATTTATAGCTGTTTATAGCTGTTTATAGCTATTTAGAGCTGTTTATAGCTGTTTATAGCTGTTTATAGCTATTTATAGCTGTTTATAGCTGTTTATAGCTGTTTTTTTGACTTAATTTCTTTAAAAACCAACCATTCTCAAAGTCGATTGTTAACTCGACACTTTCTCGGGGCAATGTCACATTGATTGGGCCGGTGATTTTGATCGGAATCGAGATCGAAGTGATTGGAATCGAGTCGAACTAAATGGGGAAATAAGGAGAGGAAATGAAAAGGGGTTTTTTTAAAGGGAAGTTTTATAGGCTAAAGTAAACCCCAAAATCTAGCCGATTCGATAGAAAATCCAGAAAATCGACCGAGAAACCTGCGAAATCCCTATTAGATAGAAAAATTAGGAACGAAAATAAATAAAACCGTTTAAAAATTTTGAAAATCAAAAACATCTGTATGAAAAACAAAGATTGCCAAGTCCGGGATTCGAACTGGAGAGCCCATTGGTTTTGGAAACAAGCACACTAACCATTACACCACGAGCGCTGTGGGAACCGAGCCGTTAACTGACAAAGAAAGGTCAACTGGCTGAGCCGGCCAATGCCCCGCGACCTTTACGGGGCTTAATGGCCTCTTAACGGCTTCCTGGCGGGCCGGGCTCAGCGCAGCCGTGGCCGAGTGGTACAGCGTTCGTTTCCAGATCGAGATCTCGCAAGTTCGATTGTTTTCTCTTTTGCTTTTTTCTTCAAGAAGTGCTAGCGAATATTTCTTGTTGGAAAAAACTTAACTTCAAAAATTAAATACAAAGAAAAAATTGAATTAGATGCTTCAAATTAATCGACGGGAGGAGGTTACTGGCTTCCCCTCCCGTAAAGGTTACTGGCTTCCCCTCCCGTCAAGGTTACTGGCTTCCTCGCTCCCGTCAAGGTTACTGGCTTCCCCTCCCGTAAAGGTTACTGGCTTCCCCCTCCCGTAAAGGTTACTGGCTTCCCCCTCCCGGGGCCGCTCCCGGGCTCTCGCCCCGGGGGTCCTGCCGGGGCCTGCTCCCGGGTGGCTTCCTCCCCGTCAAGGACTGGCTCCTCGCTCCCGAAGGTACTGGCTTCCCCTCCCGTAAGGTACTGGCCCGCTCCCGTAAGGTTACTGGTTCCTCGCTCCCGTCAAGGTTACTGGCTTCCTCGCTCCCGTCAAGGTTACTGGCTTCCCCTTCCCAACAGTTGATGGCGATTGATCAACATTACCTAATGGCTTTATATATAGAAAGCTATACCAGATGGAACGCAATTGTCTGCGCGCACAAAGAACACAGCACTACTTGGAAAGGAGAAAAATCCAAAATGGGGATCGAAATTGCGAGGGCTAGCTCTGGAACCGACCGCCCACCCCTTGGCTTGGAACTTGTCCGCAAGGAGGCCGCGAGAGGCCGCTAAGAGGCCGTTAAGAGGCAGCTAAGAGGCAGCTAAGACTCAAATGATCACAGAAAACTTTAGACACTTATAGCTCTTGACAGATTGTCATTTAGCAAAAAAAGGAATATAGCTTTGGAATCAGCATCAAATTGTGCATCGAATGGTAAAGATCGGAAAGCATTTCGCCGGCTCAGTCAACCATTTCCTTATCAAGAGTGCCCAGCAAAAACTTTTTTGTCAGAAAACTCGCGTTTTCCAGCTATTCAGCAGATTTTCATTACAGATTCGGTTTGGATTTTCTATCGGATTGGCTAGATCTCGTGATAATCAGAAATGTCATCTCGTGCTCATGTTATCTCTTGTTTTTTTTTCGCTTACCTTCTCTTGTCCGATCACATGATTGATATGAAAAAGGAATAAAAGGAGGAGAATTTTGTCAACTATTTGAATCGGAGACATTTATGCATCCTCTCCAACATTCAAACACTGAAATTCGGCTTTTTTTTAAACATTTGAATTGACTGAAAAAAAGGTTTATAACGTTTTTTTTGTTTTTATTGTTTTTTTATTGTTTTTTATTGTTTTTATCGTTATTGTTTTTTGTTTTTTTTTGTTTTTTTTAAAGTTATAAAGCTTAAAAGTTAGATTTTATATTTAGAAATTATTAAAGATTAAAAATTTTAGATTAGAAATTAGAAAAAGAAGCGTTTAAAGGTTAATAACAATAATAATATTATTATTAAGCATTTAACAAGAAAGTTAAATGTTTAAAGAAATTAAATGTTTAAAGAAATTAAATATTTAAAGAAATTAAATGTTTAAAAAAAGGAAAAAAGGAAAAGCTATTAATAAAGTTAAAGATAAGCTGTCATTTGGCAGCCACACTTAATCGGGGCCAAGAAAAGACGTCTTTTTGTCAAAAATCGTCAGTATTTAGATGTCATTTGGATACGAGTGTACTCGAATGAACGTATCGCTTTGATCGAAATGGGGAAATGACGATCGGCGCTCCAGCAAAGATAAACAATGAATTGGAAAGTGAATTGGAAAGTATTTTGGAAAGAAACAGAAGAATTCTCAGCGAATTTTGTTTAAACTGGATGTCAGCCAGGCGTTTGGGCTTTTTAGAATTGTTTGATTTTGAAATTTTGAAAAAAAAGAAAACCTTTGTCAAGAAAAGAGATTCTGCGTCGACTTTTCTTTGCAATTTCCCTTGTTCGTCCGACAATTTCTCGTAGTTTTGCTTCGTTTGCACCCGAACTCGTTCAGCTCTTGACGCAAATTGGAAACGCTCGTCTCGAGATCTTTCTAAATATTTCAGTTTAAGTAATATTTAAGTTTAAGTAATATTTAAGTATTTCAATATGCACTTAAGAAAAAATAATACTCTTTTATGATTTGATAGATCATTTTTGCATTCAACAATAGTATTTTAGCATTGAGCACAAAATAACTCATCACAAATTACCCTAAAGTCTCGAGTATAAGTTCTGCCTTAATTTACATTCGCTTTAATTGCTTTGAATTTCTTTTTGTTGGGTTTCTATACATTTTTATTGTTTTATAAACTTTTTGTTATTGTTTTTGGAGCGCGGGATACTACAGGGTGAGAGCCTATCACCATTGCTATTTGTTATGTGCATGGATACATCCAGACGATAGTGTTGAAGAAAACGCTGGAAAGGATCTCTTTCGACCGTCGACGATGCTCTGAAATTGTTATATTTAAAAAGAAGTTGTATTGATATATCTATTAACCTAACATCAAACGGTTAACTCAATTTGAGCGGAGTCAAAACTTGATCCAAAGGCACCCTTCCATTTTTTTGGCCACCTCTTCTTCTGTGCAGTCAATTTGCCCAAAAGCTGAACAAATTCAAAAACGTTTTTATATCAAAATGTAGAGGAGATCTTCAGCTTTCGAATAATACTCATATATATATCTTTTTCTTGATTTCGGTATCTTGAGAAATTTAGAACATAGTAAAAAACGCGCATTCATAACCGGACAACCCAATAAATGTTCTATTCTTTAAAGAAATTCAATCATTTTAGGGTAAACGCGTGCTCCTGTTAACGAGCAACGCGACAAAATCGAGGCCAATGTTTTACGAGAAACTCCGAGCGTTGAATTTCCCCCGAGCAATTGACACACGATGTCTTGGTGGGGCATTTCAAAAGGAAACAATAGCTAGAGAAATATTTCTAACATTAATAAGAGAAATTTTTTTTCCGGAAAATCCTACGGCTAGTTATCCAGGCGTATAGCCATAAAACTTGAAACAGGGTTTCGTCAAGTACTTTAAAGTCCTAATAACAATCTGTTTCACTATTGTATACGGAAAGTAAATGTATCAAATTGATTCATTTTCAAATGTTTAAATACAATTGAAAGACAGGCAGCTAAAAAGCTAAAAAGCTAAAAGAAAAAGCTAAAAACAGCCTGTTAGACAGCCGTCAATTTGCAAGCGAAAACCAAACAGAACTTATACTCGCGACTTTAGGGTAACTCATTCACTCATCGCAACTCATCTAAAGCTTTCCTCCTCACTTCACAAATCTCCGTACTTTTCCCCGTCGATCCTTCGAGCATGTCCGTGATCTAATCTTCATTTAATCAAGTCTATTTTTTTATCGTCTGTAAAAAGGAAGATCAGAAATCCTCCAAGATTGCCTGTGATTTGAATTTCATTTCATTTAACTAGACTAGTTTAGAATCCAGATCATAAATCAAGTTCAGGCAGCTTTTGTTGAAAAAGATTGGATCGAAATCCGGTCAAAAATTGGGTTTAGTCTTGCAGAAGAGGAATCAGATCAGTCGTGGAGTCCAGCTACATACAAAAGCCGTTTTCGATAAATCTGGATGTCACAAAATGTCATGTGCGTTCCAGCATTGACAAAAAAAAAATAGTAAAACTAATAGAAACAAGAAAGCTTTTTAACTATATAGCTTTGATTCTGATTCTACTTGTTAAAGCTGACCGCAGCCGGCTTCTGCAAGACCACGACCGGCCGTTCCTTAGTGACCTAGCTCCAGATCAATTCCTAGCATTCCTAGCGTTTTCCTAGTGAACTAGCCATCACTACGTTTAATCAATAGTCTTAAAAGACAAAAAGTTTATTCAGAAAATAGGAAACGAATGGTTAAAACCCGTTTTTAAAAAAAGAAATCAAAGAAATCATAGAAATAAAAGATTTTCAAAGTCAAAACCGCTCCAGGCGGATAAATTTTGCCTTTTATTTCGCTTATTCGGCTTCTTCTCCATCTTCATCAATCTAAAAGTTTAATTTGAAAAGTTTGCCAAATTTGAAAACCAAAATTGCTGACTAAAAAAACCTCTTCTAGATCAGAAATGTTATCTTGTTGCTCTCCTCCATCATCTCCATCATCTAGCTCGGGCGCCAAGAAATATTGAAGCGGATTTGGCCAAATATCGTCTTTAATTAGCTGTAAACGGTTTAAATTGAACAGCTAAACAACGGCTAAACACCAAGAAATTTGAGCTTAAAGTTGAAGTGCAAAGGGGGCGGAGCCACGCGTATAAAAGGTCGGCCCTGCTCATTGGCAAACTTTAAACTCAAATTTCTTGGGATTGGTCCATTCAATTTCTATAGTTTTTATATCAATCAATAGAGAAAGACTTGCGGAATCTAATGATATCAAAAACATTTCAATTGAACAGCTCAACGCCAAGCTATTTAACCTTAAAGTTGGATTATCATCTGCCCCTTTCGACAAACTTTAAGCTCTAATTCCTCGGGATTGGCCCATGCAATTTCTAAAGTTTTTATATTAATCAATAGAGAAAGACTTGACGCATCTAATTATATCAAAAGTATTTCAATTGTCCACCAAGAATCCCAAGAAATTTGAGCTTAAAGTTCGATCATCAATGGCAAAGGGGCGGGGATCATTCAAAGAGCATTAATTGGCTCAAAATTGTCAGAAAATGCTAATGAAAAGCAATAACTGAACGTTAAAACGTTAAATCTTAATATTATTGTTTGTTTATTGTTGATTGTTTGCACAAAGATCAGGCTTACCTCAGCTAAATCATCAGCGCTTGGGTCAAGATCGGTGGTGAGCCAGCCAAAAAACGATAGACTCTGATTATCATCCTGAAATTTTTTGGGGTCACATTTGAAGATTTAAAGATATTCTAGATTTTCCTAGATTTCTGGAATCTTAGATGGTTGAATGAGAAAGATTTAGAGGGTTTTAAGGGGATTAGTGGCTTGTCTTAAAGAGATCAGTGGCTTGCTTTAGAGAGATCATTGGCTTGCTTTAGAGAGATCATTGGCTTGCTTTAGAGAGATCATTGGCTTGCTTTAAAGAGATCAGTGGTTTGTCTTAAAGTGATCATTGGCTTGCTGTAAAGAGATCAGTGGTTTGCTTTAAAGAGATTATTGGCTTGTTTTAAAGAGATGAGTGGCTTGTTTTAAAGTGGTCATTGACTTGCTTTAAAGTGATCATTGGCTTGTTTTAAAGAGATCATTGGCTTGCTTTAGAGAGATCATTGGCTTGCTTTAGAGAGATCATTGGCTTGCTTTAAAGAGATCATTGACTTGCTTTAAAGAGATCATTGGCTTGTCTTAAAGTGATCATTGGCTTGTTTTAAAGTAATCATTGGCTTGTTTAGTCGTTAAATTCTCTCACCTTTCCATTCTTTTTCCCTCCTTTCCATCGAATTTTTGTACTTTTTACGTTTTGTTCATCTCCACCAAGAATATATTCTTTTATAAAATGATCATTCTCAAAGAATTCATTTTCATCAAAAGTGAAAATGATTTTAAAGCCACTTTTCAAATCCTCGTTTTCTTCAACCTGAAAAATGAGTCGATTTTTTTGTTTCATAGAAATTTTAGGGAAGTTTTATTGTACTTTTGGATTGTTGTACCGTAATTAGAAATGTTTTTTTGATCTTAGAATTGTCAAGAAAGTCAGGTAAAGGTTTAGGGAAAAAGTTCGGGTAAAGACTTTCAATTAAGGCTTTCAATTAAGGCTTACAATAAAGGCTTACAATAAAGGCTTACAATTAAGGCTTACAATTAAGGCTTTCAATTAAGGCTTGCAATAAAGGCTTACAATTAAGGCTTTCAATTAAGGATTGCAATAAAGGCTTACAATTAAGGCTTTCAATTAAGGCTTTCAATAAAGGCTTACAATAAAGGCTTACAATTAAGGCTTTCAATTAAGGCTTTCAATAAAGGCTTACAATAAAGGCTTATAATTAAGGCTTACAATTTCTCTGAGACAGTCTTTTTATACTCAAAAGATCGACCTCAATCGATTTGAGATTGGAAAGCAATTCCTCTTCATCCTCATCGATCATTGTCGAGATTTGTGGATGATTGATGAGCTGGAAATTTTGCTATTCTCTAAATCATATCCTCTTTCTATTGTAATCTTTTCATTTTATCGAATCTCACTATTTCACTGTCATTTGTAGCCTTTGATAGACAAAGATTCGAAAAAAAGAAATTTGATAGAAAAGAGACTAGATAAAGAATAGATTTGATAAGAAATAGAGACAAGATTACGGTAGAAAACGGTCATTTTTTAGGTTTAATTTAGGTTTAGTTTAGGTTTAGTTTAGTTTAGTTTAGTTTAGTTTCGTTTAGTCTACCGTCGTCAGCCAGAAATGTGGCAACTTTTGTATGGCTTTTGCGCGCTTCTCGAAGATCGGTCGTCGCAATGTGTTGTACTTTTGCTCGACCTAGATTTTCGAAAGTATTGTAGCTTGCCAGTATTTCACAAGCCAACCCAGCTAATCAGCCATCAGCTATCAACCATCAGCTATCAACCATCAGCTATCAGCCATCAGCTATCAGCTATCAGCTATCAGCCATCAGCCATCAGCTATCAGCTATCAGCCAACCTTCAAAATCTCATCCGAAGCTTTCTCGTTGAGCGTATCGATCTCCACTTGAACCGAGTCGACTTCTTTGAGTTTCTGAAAACTGGGCTGAGATGAAAGATGAAAGAAAATGGGTTATGTTTTGAGTTGAACATTCGAACCTACACTCATTTAGTTGAATACATTTCAAGAAAAGTTTCTCGTTCTCGATTAAGTTCGTTCTGGATTAAGTTCAAGCTTTCACTATTAGCATCACAGATACATCGATTCTAGATGCTAGACGCTCGTTTAAAAATTGGCCTATCAGCCATCAGCTATCGGCTAATTAGCTATCAGCTATCAGCTAATTAGCTATCAGCCATCAGCCGTCAGCCATCAGCTAGTTAGCTATCAGCCATCAGCCATCAGCTATCAGCTATCAGCTATCAGCTATCAGCCATCAGCTATCAGCTATCAGCTATCAGCCATCACCCATCACCCATCAGCTATCAGATACATCGTTTCTAAATGCTAGATGCTCGTTTAAAAATGTGCTATATTGATTAAAGATTCTAATAGTGAAAGCTTGAAGCCATCAGCCATCCAGAAAGAACTTAAACAAGAACGAGAAAGATTTCTTGAAAAGAAAAATTGGCTCGGCTTACCTATGCATCTATTTTTATCTTCTGTAAAAAGGAGGATTGATTTAGAGAAATAAATTTTCATGATTACGTTCCTAAGAGTGTTTTATGGTTTATAAGTCAATTTTTTGTTTAAGCACATTATCTAGAGAGTTTATTATTTAATGGCTTCTCTAAATGTTCCATAAATCGTTCAAGTGAAAGGAAATCAGATTAAATGAGTTTTTTTGTGGCATTTCTCAAGAATTTTTGAATATAAAATGGGTAAAACGCGTCAAATTTCATTTCTAAACAATAAATGGGGTAGGCTAATTTCCGCAATTATTTTTTTTGCGCAACTGGGTCATTTGCGCAACTCGCCATAACTTTCTTCTAAGTGCGCCAATCTTTATGATTTCGGTTTCATTTTGTAGATCTCGATAAGTGCAACAAAATGAAACCAAAATCATAAAGATTGGTCGATTTAGAAGAAAGTTATGGCGAGTTGCGCCAAAGAGCAACTTCTTAGGGAAAGCCTTTAGAAGCCGGTCAACTTTGATTGCTTATATCTCGAGGTACAAGCATCAGATCAACGTACGGTTGGTTTCTTTAAAATCGTCATAAAATTTGGCTAGAGAAAAGTTCAATTTGTTTTGTATACTGGGGGTAGGCTAATTTCCGCAATTCCGCAACTGGCTCTTTGGCGCAACTCGCCATAACTTTCTTCTAAATCGACCAATCTTTATGATTTTGATTTCATTTTGTTGCACTTATCGAGATCTACAAAATGAAACCGAAATCATAAAGATTGGCGCACTTAGAAGAAAGTTATGGCGAGTTGCGCAAATGACCCAGTTGGCGCAACTTCTTCTAAGTCATTGGCGCAATGACCTTGTTTATCTAAATGGAGATCTAAATCTAAATAAAATGGAGATCTACAATTACGGAAATTAGCCAACCCCCAATAAATCTCAATTTCAATGAGATTGAATTGAATTTAAATCTTCAAATCTCCAATTTTTTCTTTATGGAAACGCTTAGTTGCGTTCCAGATTGAAACTTTTATTCTAGAGATTTTAACTAACTACTTTTTAACTAACTACCCTTCTAAGCCTAGTTTTTTTCGCTAAACCCACCACTTTTGAAGCTTCGGAGATTTCTGAAGCTTGATCCTCGAATTTCGCTCTTTTACTGGCTGGTTCGGACATAGTTTTCCTATAATTTTTATGTAGTTTTAAAGAAAAAAAACGAAAGAAAAACACGAAAGAACGCAAACGAAAAACGAAATTGGCTTTTCTTTTCCAAAAAAAAATCCAATTTATACTTTGAAATCCCGCAAGTTGACCGTAATTTGTATTGCCGCGTCGTCGCTAAGTGGAATTTATTTTTGGAAATTTGGTGAAAAACTTTTGAAAAACCTATGAATTCCCTTATTTTAACAATTTCTTATATATTTTTTTGCTGTTTGAGTGATTTTCAAATGTTTAGGTGGAAAATTTACGATGCCGGCGATCGAATGCGATGTGGATGAGGATTTGCGAGTGTTGCTCGTCACGCCATCGACTTCAGAGGAAACGAAAAGTGCGTGAACTTTTGAAAAAGTGACTTTTTTTTGTGTCAGTTTAGTCTAAATTGTTGAAATGTATTAAAACGGGGTTTTCGTTTGCGTTAATTATGGCAAAAATCTTTAGCTTTACATGGAAAAAATGAGACAACGGCTTTTTGTTGTGTTGCCTTACGCTTTTGCTTGTTTTTTGACGTGCGAACGTTGAAATTTTGTTATTGAAATCATAGACTTACTTAGAAAACGTTTAAAGTATACGATTTTAGTTGAGTTTTTATCGAAAAGTTGAGTTTTTCAACGAAAAAGTTACCTTTTTCACGGTTTTTCGTCAAAAAAGTTCAATTTTTAGTTTTGAAAGCTGATATAACAATGGCTTTTAGTGCAAAAACGGAACTTATAAGCTGGAAAACATTTGAATCATGTAAATTTCAAATTTGTAAAGTTAAACCGTCATTTAATCATCATTTTCATTTAGCGTATCAATCGCTGGAGATCCATTTGTGCCGAAAAGAGTTCCCTGAGCCGGTTTTCACGAAGAAAACGATTCAATGGCCACTTAGCGAGCCGTTGCCCAAAGAGGTAACGAAAATTGCAATTAAACTTGATTAATTTGATTTGTTTTGATTGGTTTGATTGATTTGATTGGTTTGATTGATTTGATTGGTTTGATTGATTTGATTGATTTGATTGTTTTGATTGTTTTGGTTGGTTTGTTTGTTTTGATTGTTTTGATTATTTTGGTTGTTTTGATTGATTGATTGTTTGATTTTATTGCTTTCATTGATTAATTTGATTAATTCGATTGCTTTCATTGATTAATTTGACTAATTTGATTGCTTTCATTGATTAATTTGATTGCTTTCATTGATTAATTTGATTGCTTTCATTGATTAATTTGATTGCTTTCATTGATTAATTTGATTGATTGATTTGATTGATTTATTTGATTTAAACTCAAGGCAACTTTTGAGATTTGACCAAAATAAGAATAAAAGCACGCTATTCAAGAAAGAAAACTGTCAAAATCTTGTTTTTAGATAACCTATGATCCAGAGCGAAACCTCGTTTCGATCAAAAGCGCCACCACGCTAGCCGAAATCCCGTTGAGGTATCGTTTTTTGTGTTGAGTCAAACTTATCAACTTTTCTCAGTCTCCGAGCCGCCAAATTACTTGCCGTGACGAAAGACGAGTTGCCACAGCGCTTTCAGAGGTGAATTTTTTAGCTGAACAAAAAGTTTAGTACCTTTATTTGATGATCAAAACGTACATTTGCCAAGTCTAGACAAATCAGGAACGAAAATTACAGCTAAATGCTTTGGAAACTATTAAAAACGAAGAAAAACAAGTCCTTGTCCTACAGTCCTAAACAATTTTAAACTGAAAACTGTTTAGGAGCTGAACTTGTAAGCAAATTTTGTTCTGGCCAATCTTTTTAAGCTTTTTTTGGTCATCCCTGGCTTTTTTCTAACAAACGTTTGGTTTTTTCAGATTTCAAAAGTTCTCCAAGCAAATCGAGTCGCGAAAAGCTTACGAATCACGCGAGTTGCTCTCAATTCTCGTCGATTTTGCCAACAATCCGGTGAGTTTCTTTGTTATTTCAAGTTTAACAGTAAAACAAGCTTTTAGCAGCTGTTAGCTTTTAAAACTTTTAGGCCAAAACTAAAATATAAAAGCGTTTTTTTCCAGGAAACCAATCACGTGTGGTCAAAGCTGAAGAAAAAGGCGAAAGCGTTTGATGGTGAAGATGATGAAGAAAGTGGAATCGGTCGAATGAGCTGCGAATTGTCACAAAATGAACAGACAAAGCTGCTCGATGCACTGGAGACGAAAAGTGACTCGTCGGCTTTTGCGGCCATTTGCAAAATGCTTTCAAAGGCGCAGGTTTTTGGGTATAGGTGGGTTTTTTTGCTATTGTTGAGCGCAAGAAAATGTGGAAAATTGTAACGACTGAAATTCTCATTGAGTTCTTTTTAATTTCAGTCTTTCCACCCGCTTCTCGGCACTCCTTTCGCGAACGGGTCAAGACGAGCTGCTGGTGGAGTGTTTGCGCGAATCGATTCTCCTCGGCGAGCCACTGTATGCGCGAATATTGGAGATCATTGCAAAGTTCGTTGATTTATAGAATTTAGACCAATTTAGCATAAAAATTATGTGCTTCAGAGAGGTTTTCTGATTAAAATTAATTTTTTTTAAGAGAAGCCGACAAGAAAAAAGCGGCTCAACTCCTTGATGAGGTCCTGCAACGATCGTTCAGCGGAAGACTGCTTGAAGAAGTGAGGGTTTTTTTTTACCTTTTCTTAACTTTAAGCTTACTAGAATGTTTAAGAAAGCTTTTTTGAAAGATATTGAATTAAAATTGAAAGCTAACAAGTTAAAAAAATTTAAATTATAAGCTAAAATTTGCTTTAAAGATTCAATTTTTTTCAAGAAACTAAGGTCAAACATGGTCAAAGTGTAAGAAAAAGGCAAAAACGCTAGCTTTTCTATTTTTTAGGAAGCGATCACCCTGGAAACCGATCACATTGCGGAAATCATCGAGCGACTCGTCGACAAGTTGTGCACCGAAAAGAAACGACACATACAGAATCAGGTTAGGTTTGTTAAAAGCTTCTAGTGAATTAGTGTCAAATGAAGCCACAGATAAGCGAAATTTCGGGTGTTTTACGTTTCTACTCGATGCGAATCTTTTATTTGGCACTTTGATCGTTAAGGAAATCTACGGATCTGATAAACTTTCATTCAGATCATCCAATTGTTGACGTGCTTGCTCGATTCGAACGCGAGCCGCCTCATTTGGAACGATGGATCACATGAAAGAGTGCTACGGTGTGCCGGAGTGCTTGGCGATATGGTAAGGATTTTCATTTGCAGGTTTTAATCGATTTAAGAATTAGATAAGCAAATTTTAATGTTAAATCAAGCAATGCCATTGCTAAACTTATCTAGCACTTTAGAAGATATTCAACTAACTCCAGATCATAAGTTAGCTGGAGGAACAACAAAAATGAATCCGTATATGGCGTTGGATTTGTAGCTTTGAATCTAAAAGGTCAAAATTTAATTTGATTTGGTTCAAATAAGTTAAATCAAGTGACTTATGATTGAAAAGCATCCAAACATTCAATTCTTTTTAAATTTTTCTTTCCCAGGCCGCCCTTACCGACACGTTCGTCGATTTGGAGGAGTTGCGCGAGCGGAGAAAGCTCACCTTTGGACAGAAACGACCGTTGCCATATTCGATTAGGTAAAATATTTGAATTTATATACAAATTCTTAGAATAAAGACCATATAAATACGATTTTTTTAAGAAAAATCTCGCTCCATCAGATCGCTGGTGTTCAATCGTCGCAATAGATGAGCCGAAATTTGCCCTCCGTTTGTCCATCTCTAATTGTTGTCATGTTTGTTTTTTTGTTTGTTTTCAAATTGTTATAGTTTTTGTTATCCACTTTGGAATGTTTTTAGTTCGATAAAGAAGGAAAAGTTAGAATCTTTGGCTTATATTTATTTGCAGAATGCAAAAAGGAGAAATTTTTTTCGGAAAAACAAAAAAGCATATTTGAGTATCACGTTTGAGAGTGGGACGAAAAGCAAAAAAAAGCGACTAGTTATCATAAATGAAGCTAACAGGGTTACGGTAGCTTGTACAAGATATAGGAAAATGAAAAATTTTATAGAATTTAGCTATTTGATATCTACCAGGCTCCTGGTGGTCGCATTTGTCCATAGTATGGGGTGGGATACGAGGGAAAAGCGAAAGCGAATGGTTGACCGTAGACGGCCCCAGGGTGCATTCCAGCCTGAATTTTGGGTAACTTTAAAAAGGATTACGGTAGCTATAAGTACTACAAGATTACATGATCATGTAAATTTAAGTTTTCGCTTTTAACAATAAGTTTCAAAGCTCAAACAGCTATTTAGGAAGACTAAGTATTTTAAAAAACACAACGCTTTGACATTGAAAGCTTTCACAATGTTTTCTTCTTTATTACCTTTATTTATGGATGAGTTGACTGAATAGCTTTATAAGTTAATTTCAAAATTCACTAGTTCACTTACCGTATACAATTGTGGAGCTTTCATCTCGGCCAGTGACTCTAATGCCGTTTTTGAACCACCAGCAACAGCGGGTGGCGAAGATTTACTGAAAAATGTTTATTTGAATGAACATCAAACTGACAGTAACCAATAGCTCAATGCTAAAGCATCTGCTTGATAAGCAGATGGTCGAGAGTTCAATTCCCCGTCGGTTCATTCATTCATTTACTTTATTACCTATCAATTTCCGGTGGTGGACTTTGCGGTGTGGCTGTGTCCTCTCGAGGAGGTCGACCCTCAGTCATTGCCTGAAAAAAAATTGAAAAAATGAAAATCTCTTGATTTTACGAAAAATCACCTTTTCTTTCTCCTGTCGTTTACATTTGTAGCGATGATTTTGAAACCAAATTTTTACCTGAAAAATTAGAATAAAGGAATTTATCGTAAAAGCAATAGAAAATCGTAAAAGCACAGCATCAGTAAAAGTAAAAAAAGTGTTTAAAACTACAGTCACTTACAGTCAGACGCGTAGCCAGGAGTTTGTCGCTTTTTTTGAGAGAATTGCCACAGCTTTACCTTGATTGAACATGAATTAGACTCAAAGAAGAAGAAATTTCGCAAAATAAACACAAAAAAAACTTGATAACTCAACTTTGAGCATCTCTAGCTTCCTCGAAAAGCTACAAATCGATTTTTAACTCATATTTTATGGAAAATGACACTGAGAATCGATTAGGAGCTGTTAGAAGTTTTTTTTGGATAATGACTGAGTTTAAAATCTTATCCAATCATAGACGAAGCTCTGACAATTCTCTCAAAAATAAATCCTGACTACGGACTTGATTACAGTAATCTCTGCACCTGTGTCGGTGTCAAGTGAATCCCGTGAGCCAATTGCTCTCTCTCGGGCGCTGTCAAATATTTTGCTTGTTTAAAGCGTCGCTCTAGCTCGTAGACCTGGAATTCTGAGCATTGTAGCAATATTGACAACACTATTGGCTCAATTTGTTTTGAAAAAAAAATTGGTCCTACTATTAGGAAAAAGCCTGGTAACAAGACAAAGTTTAGCTGTGAAGAGTTCCTTCTCTTCGCCTTTGTATCCCGTTTTCCTTCCCTGTCAAAGAGATACCGCATGGCTCAGTGGTTAGAGCATGTGGCATCTGAGCGGGGAGCGAAAAGGTCCAGGGTTCGAACCCGTCTCAGGAATTTTTTTTTTAGTTCTTTTCTTTATACTTCCTTTCCTTCCTTTCCTTCCTTCCTTTCCTTTCCTTCCTTTCCTTTCCTTCCTTCCTTTCCTTTCTTTCCTTTCTTTCCTTCCTCTCCTTCCTTTCCTTCCTTTCCTTCCTTTCCTTCCTTCCTTTCCTTTCTTTCCTTCCTCTCCTTCCTTTCCTTCCTTTCCTTTTCTTTCCTACAGTACTTTCCTTTATTAGCTAATTATGCCTGTAATAGCTTTTGATCAACCTGTGCTTGTGAGAAGAGCACTCTCCTTTTCCTTCTTTGTCCCAACGGGAGATGGATTCCGTGAGCGGCGGCTCGACTCGGATCAATGCCACATGGAAGAGATACTGGAAAGAGCTTAAATCGTAAAATATGATAAAGAAATACTGTAACCATCCAGTTGACAGATTATCCACACTTCCGCAATTATCTACCCTACTACAGTACTTCGACTTTGATCTATGCAGTAACCCGGTTTGTTTCAACCCTCTACAGTAACCCGACTAATCCAGAATCAGAAAATTAAGCGATCTGGATGTCAGGAAAGGGATTGCTGAGCTTTATAGAGGTCACTGACAAAAATGGAAGTTGGGATACTGGAGGGACGTGTGTTCCAGCCCAAAAATGACGGTTTTGGAGCTCGGATTTTTCCGGAACCCAAAAGAATCGCTGATCTGGATGTCAGAGAAGGAATTGCTGAGCTTTATGGGGGCAAATGCAAAATTGAGCTCCGTTCAAAATTTGCATACAAGGTGGATAAGTTTTCCTTGCAACCAGGGGTCCCAGCTTTTTGAAGAGCAGGAAAATGAGCGATCTGGATGTCAGGGAGGGCCAATAGGAGTCACCTACAGTTATCCGGGCCAAGGGTGGCAAAGGGTTTTCTTGTAATATTGTAGGCTATCAAAAGCAAAGAACTCCTCTCACCTCCTCCATACCAGGCAGTGCTTTGAGCCGTTTGTGCGGCCATGTAGGCCGAAAAATCTGCGCCATACGTCGTTGGGAAAGCCGGGAAATACGGAGTGGTAGTGCTGGTCAGCGACGAAGGGTTACGGTAGTTGGCTGCTGAAAAGTTGTTTTTTAGAAAAGTTAGGACTTTGTTGAGTGAAGAATTCTTTATTCAAAAAGTTTGTCAAATACTCAACCAGCAAAGCCGAGCGCTTGTTCGTTGATCGGCGATGACGTCATTTGGAGGAGTTGGCGATGAACGCACGCTAGAGAGAGATCGTGATGTAAAGGATTTCTTTAGGATTTAAAGACGATAGGAAAGGATTTAGGGAATAAGATAAGGAATTAGGCGATCTGGATGTCAGGGAAGGGATTGCTGAGCTTTTTGCGGGCATTTGACAAAATTAAGTCCCAGTCGAAATTTGCATACGAGGTGGATAAGTTTTCCTTGCACCCAGGGGTCCCAGCTTTTTGAAAAACAGAAAAATGGGCGATCTGGATGTCAGGAAAGGGATTTCCGAGCTTCTAGGGGCCACTGACAAAAATCGGAGTAGGCATACCGGAGGTCCGTATTCTGTCCCAACCCCAAAATGGCGGTTTCAGAGGTGAGATTTTTCCCGGATCGTGAAATTGGACAATCTGGATGTCAGGGAAGGGATTGCTGAGCTTTCTAGGGGCACTTGACAAAAATCGAAGTTGGGATACCGGAGGCCGTATTGTGTTGCGGCCCAAAAATGGCAGTTTCGAAGCTGGGATTTTTCCAGAATCATGAAATTGCCCAATCTGGATGTCAGCGGAGGGATTGTTGAGCTTTTTGGAAGTCATTGACAAAATTCGAAGCAGTCATACTGGAGGTCCGTTTGTGTTGCGCCGCAAAAATGGCGGTTTCAGAGCTGGGATTTTTCCAGGATCGTGAAATTGGACAATCTGGATGTCAGGGAAGGGATTGCTGAGCTTCTAAGGGCCACTGACAAAAATCGGAATAGGCATACCGGAGGTCCGTATTGTGTTGCGCCGGAAAAATGGCGGTTTCAGAGCTGGGATTTTTTCGGAACCCAAAAAAATGACCAATCTGGATGTCAGGGAAGGGATTTCTGAGCTTTTTGGGGGTATTTGACAAAATTAAGTCCGAGTCGAAATTTGCATACGAGGTGGATAAGTTTTCCTTGCACCCAGGGGTCCCAGCTTTTTGAAAAACAGAAAAATGGGCGATCTGGATGTCAGGAAAGGGATTTCCGAGCTTTTGGGAGGCATATGACAAAATTGTTTGAAGCCAAGGAAACCCTAGCAAAAACGGTAAATCAAGTACGTCAATGGTACCGTTTCAACCGGCTCACCTTTTTTAGATTAACCATGTGCTTACCCCAGGGTTCCCAAGGAAGCTAATAATCTTTAAACAGCTACAAGAGTCGTTTAAGTACCAATAGAGCTATATGAGGAGCCTGAAATTGTCGTTAAACCCATTAAAACCAAAAGATGTCATCAAGTAACATCAAGAAACCCTCATTATGGCTTTTCAAACAGCCACAAACAAAACGAAACCTCTAGAAAACCCTGGTGAGCACCAGGAAGAGCTCTGGATAGCTGTGTGAAGATTCTGCGAAGATGGATGGCTCGTGGGCCCACTCGCCCGGTACTTCAGCAACCACAAGCGCTCCTCCTTGATAGCCCATTTTCTTTTTGACAAAGAATCGCAGCTCAACCAAGAGGTTTTCGGTGAAAAGGCTGGATGCCACTTGAAAGCCCATTACCTCTGGGAAACGCACAACCCTTGAAATAAGGAATGCTGTACGGAGGGTTTTGTCTTTGTGGGCTTAAAATGGAGATTTTGGGAACAGAACTTTTTGGAATTAAAAAAATTAAGCGATCTGGATGTCAGGAAAGGGATTGATGAGCTTTTTTGGGGATCGACCAACAAAAATCGAAGCAGTCATACCGGAGGTCGTTTTGTGTTCCAACGGAAAAATGACAGTTTCGAAGCCGGGATTTTTCCAGAATCATGAAATTGGCCAATCTGGATGTCAGGGAAGGAATTGCTGAGCTTTTTGGGAAGCGTTTGCCAAGACTGAGTCCCAGTTGAAATTGCAGATACGAGGTGGATAAGTTTTTCTCGCACCCAGGGTTCCCAGTTTTTTTGAAAAACAAAAAAATCGGCGATCTGGATGTCAGGGAAGGGATTGATGAGCTTCTTGGAGGGATATGACAAAAATCGAAGTAGTCATACCGGAGGTCGTATTGTGTTCCAACCGAAAAATGACAGTTTCGAAGCTGGGATTTTTCCAGAATCATGAAATTGGCCAATCTGGATGTCAGGGAAGGGATTGCTGGGCTTTCTGGGGGCATATGACAAAAATCAAAGTTAGGATACCGGAGGCCGTACTGTGTTGCGGCCCAAAAATGACAGTTTTCGAGCTGGGATTTTTCCGGAATCGAAAAATTAAGCAATCTGGATGTCAGGAAGGGGATTGGCAAAGAGTTTTTGGGTTAAAAATCGAAATTCACCTTTCAACATCCTCGCCCCTAGTCGTCCAAGTGGTGTCGAGAGGATCTCCTCCACAGAGAATGGCGCTTTTTTGAGAGTTTCATCGGAGGAGTTGGCGGAGGTGGCGGCTTCGGTTGTCTAAAAAGTCATCAACAGAGTTAAATTCATCAACAGAGTGAAAAGGCGAACCGGTTGTTGAAGATCTTCGTCTTCATCTTCTTCATCAATGATCACTTCATCAGACGCACAAGATTCATCATCTCTTATCAGCTCTTCTTCTCGTTGTCTCATTTCTTTCTTTTCTCGCATTTCTAAAGGAAAATTGAATTGAATTGAAAGGAAATTAATTGAGTTGAAAAGAAATTAATCGAATTCATGTTGAAGAAAGAAATTCGTTGAATTTGGCTAATTTTGGTTAAACATTTAAAATATAAAAGACTACCGTATTTTCTCTAATAATAGTTAGAGTGAGCCAAGTTAGCGACTATTTTACGGCTTTCAAAGCTTTCACAGAAGCTCCACACTCAAATCCCCACAAGATCTGATCGTCAGCTACATTTTCCAACCCCACATCGATAGGTTCTGATAAGCGGTTCTCGAGATTTCGAGTAATTTAGACGACGCTCAGGGTGCACTATTATTAGAGAGAAAACGGTAATCATTAGCTGATCTAGCAGCCTAATAGCAGCCTAATAGCAGAATAGGCCAGCTTAAATCGGTCAGCTTAAATCATCCAGCTTAGGTCGGCCAGCTTAAATCAGCTAGCTTAAATCAGCCAGCTTAAATCAGCTAGCTTAAATCAGCCAGCTTAAATCGTCCAGCTTAAATCGGCCAGCTTAAATCATCCAGCTTAAATCAACCAGCTTAAATCAGCCAGCTTTAGCCTTGTCTTTTTCAAAATCTCTTTGCTTATTCATTTTTTCATTAAAATCGACAATAACTGTCTCCAGATCTTCTAGAAATGTTTTAAGAATTACAAAAACTTTTCAAAACCCCAATCCAGCCAATCAATGAGCTATTTGTTGGAGCGAAAAGCGGCCATATGGCTGGCCCTTGAAGTCCACTTGACACCTCTGCACCCGGCTGTCTTGATCAAGAATTGTATCCATGAAAATTCTCCAACTTTTTCAATAAAAATTCGAATCGATTTCGACTTCTGTATGCTTTTAAAAGCAAACTTTTAAGCAAACTTTCGAGTTTCGCTTTTTCGCAACTCTCTTTCTATTCTATTCGATTCTATTCGAAGCCCCGCCCCTCGAGCAACGATTGGACTAAAAGGGTGACAATTTGTGGGGACAATTCAGCAACGATGAAGCTTTTCAGCAACGATGAAGCTTTTCAGCAATGATGAAGCTTTTCAGCCAACGATGAAGCTTTACAGCCAACGATAAAGCTTTACAGCAACGATAAAGCTTTACAGCAACGATAAAGCTTTACAGCAACGATGAAGCTTTTCAGCCAACGATGAAGCTTTTCAGCAACGATGAAGCTTTACAATTCAGCAACGATGAAGCTTTTCTTAACGCATTCTTCACATAAATTTCCATTTTCGAGGGGATTTGAGGAAATGAGAGATTTTTTTGAATAAAATCAAAAGGAAATCAGCCTTCATTTTATCGGAAATAAAGAGCAATTGAAATCAGAATTTCGAGATAAATGAAACTTGTAAAATCCGGAATAAAATCATCAAAGTTTAAACGAAAAAACTTGTTTTTGCTTAGACGCGTTTTGCTTAGACGTTTTCTTTTTTTTTGATGTGTCAAAATTGGATTCAAGTTGAAGCGCCCTCTTGTGGATGAGGAGAGTTTTTTTTTTGAGAGAATTTTTGGAAGGAGGAAAAGCTATGGGGTACGGTAATGCATGGAAAAGGCAAAAGGGTAAATGAATCGGATTGTCAAGAATTGGAATTGATTGTATTGTATTGTAAGCGTTGGAATTGAAAGGGAAAGCGTTGGAAAGTTGGAAAGGAAAAGAACAGTTTTGAGCAAGAATTCACAGAGAATAGCTACGATTTGAAGTCCAGAAAACAGAAAACGTTTCGACAGATCCAAAGCTAACACTCGTTCGAAGCTGAACCCAAGTCTAACCAGCCTGCGCACTTCGATGAGTTCTAGGCCAGGACAGCTCAAGTATGTGCTCGTCTATAAGGAAGGCTGTGGGGAGGCATTGTTTTTACGGGTTTAAAATGAAGATTTTGGGAACAGAACTTTTGCGGAATCGAAAAATTAAGCAATCTGGATGTCAGGAAAGGGATTGGCAAAGAGCTTTTGAGCTTCCTAGGGGCATATGACAAAAATCGAAGTCGGGATACCGGAGGCCGTATTGTGTTGCGGTCCAAAGCTGGCAGTTTCGAAGCTGGGATTTTCCAAAGTTGTGAAATTGGCCAATCTGGATGTCAGGAAAGGGATTGCTGAGTTTTTGGAGGCATTTGACAAAATTGAGTCCCGGCAAAATTTGCATTCGAGGTGGATAAGCTTTTCTCGCACCCAGGGGTCCCAGTTTTTTTGAAAAACGGAAAAATGGGTGATCTGGATGTCAGGGAAGGGATTGCTGAGCTTTATAGAGGTCACTGACAAAAATCGGAGTAGGCATACCGGAGATCCGTATTCTGTTCCAGCCCCAAAATCGCGGTTTCAGAGCTGGGATTTTTCTGAAATCAGAAAATTATGCGATCTGGATGTCAGAAAAGGGATTAACTAAAGAAAATTAGACGGTAAAGATACTAAGAATTCAAAAATGCGCTTGAAACAGTGAGAATGCAGGGCCTCAGAGTTGGGGCCGGAGCGCATGTGCCTCTAAACTTGTCTTGGGGTCGATGGCCCTCTTCAGTGTCCCTCTTCACCCCGTCAGCCACCGCTTGATATCCCCTCTTCTCATCATGGCCCCATTGTCCCGATCGGGTCCTTCGCCACAAGAGGATCCCCCTTCTTCTGATGATCACCATCTCACACACAAGTTGTCGCCCTTGAGATGCGAGTGCTTCAATGGGATGGAGAGGGTGATGAGAACTTGGCGGGGGGCAGATGAGAGAATGCTCAAGAATTCAAGAGAATGCTAATGTTTGCTAATGTTTGCTAATGTTGTAAATGGGGTTCTTGGATCGAGAATTACTAGCTGGCAAGTACAGAAAGACAGTACAGTAAGACAGTACAGTAAGAAAGTACAGTAAGACAGTACAGTAAGACAGTACAGTAAGACGATAGTTGACGATAAATAATTAAATAGATAGCGGTAAAGCTATCTATTTAATAGAAATTCATAGAAAACCTCGTGAAATTCATAGAAAAGCAGCTACCGTAACCCCAAGTCCTAGCAAGCTACAAGCTACCGTAACCCCAAGCCCTAGCAAGCTACAAGCTACCGTAACCCCAAGCCCTAGGAAAACTTGTAAAGTGTGCCGGACTCGTGCTGGTGAATGATACTGGAGGTGAAAGCCGCGGCGGCTGGAGAGGGCTCGTTATCCACCGGGGAGGAGGCTCCATAGCCGATGAAATGAGATTATATTGAGGCCAAAGAGGGTCTCTCCAGGTCCCCAAAAGCACTGATTGTCTCCCCCCAAAACAGAGCCAAAATGAGACGAGAGTTTAGTGGGCGAGAATTGCGACCGCTCGGCCCTTTGGAAACTTGGTGATTGTGGAGCCCCACTCAGATAATCGAAAGAGGAATTCAATTCGCAGCTTTCAAATTGTGAAGTACCCAATCGCTGGCATAGTTCTCTTACAAACCGACAATGAGAATTCATTTTCAAGCTAGATTCAAGTCAACTTTGAAGCCAGCTTTGAGGCCAACTTTGAGCCAACTTTGAAGCCAACTTTGAGGTCAACTTTGAGGCCAGCTTTGAGGCCAACTTTGAGGTCAACTTTGAGGCCAGCTTTGAAGCCAACTTTGAATATAACTACAATGTACAATGTTAGAATTTGTCTTTGCAAAACAATTATTTCAAAAGTAAACGTTTTCAGGGGATTTCAGGATTTTTTTTCAGTTCTTTTTCCTCTTACTAGGGAATTTCTGTTAACTTATCGCGGCTTTTGACTCGGGGAAATAACCTACCTGATGCAGTTTTTCACGCTGATTTCGAATCTGCAATCAGTTCTTGCCAAACGCTTCTCTGTCGCAGGATATTTGGCATACAAGTTTTTCAGGTCTCTTTATGAGGGCGACGCACTGTCTTCAGTCAACGGCCTCGGTGGCCGTTGACTTTCAGTAGTGTGTGATTTTACTAGTGTGCGTTCCAGATTGAAGGAAATTAAGGAAAAAATTTGGCTTATTTTGACTCTACGGGCTATTGTACTGTGCCAGAAGAACCAGAACAGAGAGGATTATCTCTAATAGAGTGTTTGAGTTTAAATTTCTAGCATTTTGAACAGTGTGCGTTCCAGATTGAAGGAAATTAAGGGAAAATTTGGGCTACTATGACTATGGAGTACTGTAATGCTGTAGAAGTAGTACGGGGATACTTCGGTACTAGATTTGAATCAAAAACGGAAATCCACAGTGAATTCTACTAGTGTGCGTTCCAGATTGAGGGAAGTTGAAGGAAAATTTGGCTTATTTTGACTCTACGGGCTATTGTACTGTGCCAAGAGAACCACAGGTATTATAAGATTATCTCTAATAGAGTTTGAGTCTAAATTTTTAGCGTTTTAGTCAGTGTGCTCTCCAGATTGAAGGAAATTGAGGGAAAATTTGGGTTACTTTGACTATAGAGTAGTGCAATGCTGTAGAAGTAGTACGGGGATACTTTGGTACTAGATCTCAATCAAAATCGGAAATCCACAATGAATTTGTCTTTGTCGAATCACTTTCGATTATCTGCTTTAAATTTGCCACAGCCTGTGAGCGGTTCCAGATCTTCTAGATTTCCTTCACTCTTTCGAAATCTTTTGTACCAGCTTTAACATTGAACAAATGAAGAAAAGTGAGAATAAATTTCCCAAATACGTTACAAAGTGATTCATGCGATTGAGTTGCTGTTTTTTCTTGCTTGGCAGCATACAAACATACAGAATACAGAATACAGCATACAAATGCGAAATCGATATTTGATGTCGTCTAAAAATTATCTAAAAATTATCTAAAAGATTTTTTTAAATTAAAATTAAAATTCTTCAACTGAAAATAAAGAAAAGAAAGCGTAATAAAGCACAATAAAGCGCAACAATAATAAAGCAAGCGTAATAAGCATCTTTAAAGCAGCAGAGATTGCGATGATAATAGTTTCCACAGTGTTAAAATCTATCAAGAGAAACGAAAACGAAATTTCAATGTCGCCAACCTGATACCGCATTTTCTCTAATAGTAGTGCACCCCGGCGAGCCGAGTTGGCGACGATTTTACGGCTTTCAAAGCTTTCACAGAAGCTCAACACTCAAATCCCCCACTAGATCTCATCGTCAGCTACATTTTCTAACTCCACATCGATAGGTTCTGATACGCGGTCCTCGAGATTTCGAGCAATTTAGAAAACGCCCAGGGTGCACTATTATTAGAGAAAATACGGTAAATAACATTTTCTTCTTTAGAAAATGAATTGGGTGGGTATCAGAACCTATCGATGTGGGATCGGAAAATGTAGCTGACGATCAGCTCTAGTGTGGGATTTGAGTGTTGAGCTTCTGTGAAAGCTTTCAAAGCCGTAATTGGTCTTTCGAATTGGGTGTGTATGCTTTCCAATCTTTTAATTCAGACTTTTTAGGAGGGATCCAAGAATCCGCATTCATCTCAACTTTATAAAGAAATGAAGAAATGAAATGACGCGAATAATCAACCCCATCGGCAGTCTCAATCTCAATCTCAATCCCAATCCCAATCTCAATCTCAATCCCAACCCCAATCCCAATCCCAATCCCAATCTCAATCCAAATCCCAGCTTCTGTGAAAGCTCCCAATCTCAATCTCAATCTCAATCCCAACCCCAATCTCAATCTCAATCTCAATCCCAATCTCAACCTCAATCCCAATCCCAATCCCAACCCCAATCCCAATCTCAATCCCAATCCCAATCCCAATCTCAATCCCAACCCCAATCTCAATCCCAATCACTTCAACCTTCAATCTTTGATCGCCTATCATTCTCATTTCTCATCTATCATCAGCCAATACATTTTTCTTCTGTCGGCTCGGCAACAGAAGAAAAACCGGCTCGATAATTGGCTCGATAAAAACCGGCTGGATAATTGGCTCGATAAAAACCGACTCGATAATTGGCTCGATAAAAATCGACTCGTTAAAAAGCAACGTTTTACCCCAATTTCTAATCGTCTGCTTGTCCGGTTGCGATTTTTTTGCAAAATCTTTCAGCTTTTAGCTTATATTGAGAAAGTCTAAATTGTTATTGTTGTCATAGGAAATCTATGACAACAATAATCAGTTGCACTTTTTTGATTGCTTTTTCATTCTCGAACAGTGGATAGCCAATGAAAGCCGATTGATCAGTTGCACTTTTTTTTCGCTTCTCTTTTTTTGTTTATCTAATTTCCCATTAAAAAGCTTTAATTCAGTGCATTTTCTCAAAAAAGAAACCACCAAAAAAATGTGTTTATTCTTGACAAAAAAAATTTTTGAAGAAATTCAAAAACCCAAAAATTCAAAAAATTTTTATGATTTTTTAACGCACTAGCAAACTATTTGAAAGGCAAAAAAAGCAAAAAAATGTACGCAAATTTGAAAACAAATCGCTTTACCAGCATAAATGCGTTCCATAACAGAAAAAAAACAAAACAAAAATACCGGAATTTTTGCAAAACAAAAAAAAAATCGCGCAAAGCTGAGGGAAAAGCCGAAAATTCTAGCGGGTGTCAAGAGGAAACAGACGTATTTCATAGATAGACCCATTTAAAAAACAATAATACTTAAGCAAAGGAGTTGAGCAAAAGCTGGGCATTTTTCAAAAAAAGCGAAAATTGAGCCGAGGTCGTGCCCGGGATCGAACCCTGACCCTTCGAGTGATAAAATTTTTTTTCGAAATTGAAAAAACTAAATTGCTCAATAGCTTGGGTGCCTTCCAGGATCTCCATTATTTCAAGAATTTTTTAGATTTGCTGATTTTCGCGGGTTATCCAGACTCGAACGCCCGACCTCGGCTACCTATATCCAGAATCGCAAAAAATGACTAGGAAACGTTGAGATTGGGCAAAATGACATCCATAATTTTAGACTAGCGCGGTGGCAGTTGACGGGGAAAGCGCCCAACATCACAAAAGTGAGCAAGAGGGACTTCGGGTTTTGTGGCAGCAAAACCGCATCGAGCTTTGATGGATTTCGCTCGAAAATCTCTTGTGAGCTCCAGGATCGCCGAAAAAGTGGATTTTGGCAGAAATCCACTTTGGAGAGGCTGGGAAATGATGCGGAAATGGGCGCTAGGCAAAAATGGGGGGGGGGCAAAGGAAAACATAAAGTTACACACGGAAATCAATGACTAATTTTCTGTTGTGCGTCCCAGGATTGGGGAATCCGCTCGAAAAGTCGATCTTGCTGGCGTTTATCGAGCTGAAATTTGTCCAAAGTCGGTGAGATGGGTTAGATGGGGGGGAATTTGGTTACGTTCATGCGACCGTTTTCGAGATTTTTCTGAGGGAAATCCGTGTAGAAACTACTCGTCATTCAATAGAGTGCCGCCCAGTTTTTTTGAAATTTAGAAGAAAATTTGTACGGAAATTCGGAGATTTCGTGAAATCACTGAGGAAAACGAGCGAAATTTGCATTTAAAGGAAAATTCGAAAATTTGCATTTAAAGAAAAATTCTTAAAATTTGCATTTAAAGGAAAATCCGAGAATTTGCGTTTAACTGGAAATCGCCAAGATTTGCATTTAAAGGAAAATCCTTAAAATTTGCATTTAAAGGAAAATCATCAAGATTTGCATTTAAAGGAAAATCATCAAAATTTGCATTTAAATTAAAATTCTTAAAATTTGCATTTAAAGGAAAATCATCAAAATTTCCATTTCAATTAAAATTCTTAAAATTTGCATTTAATTGAAAATCCTTAAAATTTCCATTTAAATGAAAATCTTCAAAATTTACATTTAACTGGAAATCCTTAAAATTTACATTTAAAGGAAAATCCTTAAAATTTACATTTAAATGAAAATCTTCAAAATTTACATTTAACTGGAAATCCTTAAAATTTACATTTAAAGGAAAATCCTTAAAATTTACATTTAAATGAAAATCTTCAAAATTTACATTTAACTGGAAATCCTTAAAATTTACATATATTTTGCCATTTTCCACTACCGTGCCTTCCAGCTTGGCGAAATCAGTGAAAAATTTCACGAAATCTCGAAAATAAAGCCGAGAACAGGCTCTCGTAAAGGAGCGCACGCTGCATGCACAATTTTCAGGACTCGTTCAAGATGTCATTTTTTTTTGCCTTAAACTACTTTGTGCCATCCAGAATGACTGGAGAATGGCTGATTTCTTTCGGAAAGCTTACCGATATTGAGTTGGGCCGTTGATTTCGTTTCACCCTTTGGATTCTTGAGGACACACTCGTAGGCGCCTCCATTTGAATGGGTGACTCGAGCCAACTCAAGAGTGGCGTGAAGGCCGTCGATCGTGATCTAGGGAATAGAGTTTTGATCTAGTTTTCTAGATCTAGCTTTTTAGATCTAGTTTTCCTTTTTCTTTGCTAGAAAAGGTGCGTTTCCGGGTGATTTCAGCTCAGAATCGTTGCGTAATTAGTTGCCTTTCGTAGATGTAGACAAAAACTAGCTATAAACATAAAAATCTAGTACCTTGACATCTCGTCCTGTCATCAGTTGTCGTCCGTTGTGATACCACTGCACGGTTGGCAAGGGATCACCGCCAATCTCCACCGAAAACTTCACAGTGTGCCCCTGTCTCGCGTTTATGTCGGATAGCTAAAATTCTTGTCTTTCCGGGAGATCTGGATGTCAACTTAGAATTTTAAAAAATCAGTTAAAGCACCTTGGACACGAAATGCGGTCCAGCTGCCTCGGAGACGGAGCTTCCACTGTGTGTCGTGACTTTGCCTATTCGACCGGAACGAGCTAAAAAAACCAGTTTACTGTACGTGGTGACATCCAGGATTGGAGAAAAATCGATTAAACCCTGATGTTGGTGTTGATTTTGTCAACTTACGAGCTAGAACAAGGTTGGCCACTGATGTCGCCTTTCCTGCTGGATTCGACGCTTCGACCTGAATTTCGATTTTTTATTTGAGCAAGCTGGAAGGCACAGAAGCTAATTTGAAGTTCATTTGCCTATCTTGGGGTTTATTTCGAACCTTGTATTCAGCGACGTCCTCCTGTTTCGGCGATTGGATGGTGAGAGTGGCCTGAAAAGTGTTTTTTAGGTTTTTGTTTTTTGTTTTATGAAAAGTGCGTTCCAGCTTCGATGATCACTCACTTGTCCGTCTTTTTGCGAGACTGAATAGCCGGGTTTCTTGATCGGCTCGTTGTTTCGATACCAGCGAATGGTTGGCTCTGAAAAATCGTTTTAAAAAACGATTAAAAACCGTTTTAAAAACCGTTTTTCTGGGCTAATTTTAGGCGTAACTTCCGTAAAAAACAATGAGAGCTGAGGAAAAGGTGTTTTAAGTCGTTTCAGTGCTTTAAAGTACGCTTCTATAGGGTACAGGGTGATGTAGGATTATAGCGATATGTAAGAGTTCAAAAGGGTTTCAAGAGAGCTTCTAGAGGGCTTCTAGAGGGCTTCTAGAGGGTTTCAAGAGAGCTTTAAGAGGGCTTCTAGAGGGCTTCTAGAGGGCTTCTAGAGGGCTTCTAGAGGGCTTCAAGAGAGCTTCTAGAGGGCTTCTAGAGGGCTTCTAGAGGGCTTCAAGAGAGCTTCTAGAGGGCTTCTAGAGGGCTTCTAGAGGGCTTCTAGAGGGCTTCTAGAGGGTTTCAAGAGAGCTTTAAGAGAGCTTCTAGAGGGCTTCTAGAGGGCTTCTAGAGGGCTTCAAGAGAGCTTTAAGAGGGCTTCTAGAGGGCTTCTAGAGGGCTTCTAGAGGGCTTCAAGAGAGCTTCTAGAGGGCTTCAAGAGAGCTTCTAGAGGGCTTCTAGAGGGCTTCTAGAGGGCTTCTAGAGGGCTTCTAGAGGGCTTCTAGAGGGTTTCAAGAGAGCTTAAAGATAGCTTCTAGAGGGCTTCAAGAGGGCTTCTAGAGGGCTTAAAGAGAGCTTACAGAGAACTTAAAGAGAACTTAAAGAGAACCAGAGATGGTACTTTAAGAAAACCAAAAGAGTAATATACAAATTCCTTAAGTTTTACAAGAGATTCCCATCGAACTTTACGCTTGCTTTTAATGGCTTTTAATGGCTGTGAATTACAGTTGCTCTCGAATGCCATTAAAAGCAAGCGTAAAGTTCGATGGGAATCTCAAGGAATTTGTAAAACTTAAGGAATTTGTATATTACTCTTTTGGTTTATTGCAGTTTAAAAATAGACTAAAAAAAAATCTTCAAGATTTGATCGATTTGATGAATCGTTGGAAATGATTGGCTGATCCTTTCTTTTGTCAATTTGTCTTTAGCTTTTTTTATGCCTCTATAGCCACTTGACGATTTCTTTTTGGGGAAAAAGAGCTCGAGTGGGGGCGTTTTTTTTTGAATCAAAGGAGAGAAAAGAGAGATTTTTGGGGAAAACCTTAGATTTTTTTTTCTGAACTTTTCATCTCATTGAAGAAACCGGAAATCCACAGTGAATTTCACTAGTGTGCGTTCCAGATTGAAGGAAATTAAGGGAAACTTTGGCTTATTTTGACTTTACGGGCTATTGTACTGTACCAGAAGAGCCAGAGTAGGGAAGATCATCTCTAATAGAGTGTTTGAGTCTAAATTTCTAACATTTTGAACAGTGTGCGTTCCAGATTGAAGGAAATTAGGGAAAACTTTGGGCTACTATGACTCTAGAGTACTGTAATGCTGTAGAAGTAGTACAGGGATAATTTGGTACTAGATTTCAATCAAAAACAGAAATCCACAATGAATTTCACTAGTGTGCGTTCCAGATTCAAGGAAATTAAGGAAAGCTTTGGGCTACTTTGACTCTAGAGTACTGTAATGCTGTAGAAATAGTCCGAAGATACTTTGGTACTAGATTTGAATCAAAATCGGAAATCCACGGTGAATTTCACTAGTGTGCGTTCCAGATTGAAGGAATTTGAAGGAAAATTTGGACTATTATGACTCTACGGGCTACTGTACTTTGCCAAGAGAACCAGATATTACAAGATTATCTCTAATAGAGTTTGAGTCTAAATTTTTAACATTTTAGACAGTGTGATCTCCAGATTGGAGGAAATTGACGGAAATTTTCCCCTAACTTACCGGGGAAACCGGAGAACTTGGCGGTGAACGCGGCGCTCTGACCCTCGTTCGCCACAATTGGCTGGATTTGAGTGGTGAAGCTGAAAATTGAAAAAATTGTTGAAATTTGATTTTCAATAGACGTCGTGACATCCAGCTTAACGATTTACCGTGGTGCTTCGAGTCGTGGCCCCTCCTCAGCACCCTTTCCAGTCTTCGATAGGTTCACGTTGAGTCGAGCTTTACATCTAAAATGCTTCTGGTGTCACTTTTTTTTGGCTAAATAAATCGTGTGACATCCAGTTCGATTGAATTCATCAAAAAATCGCCCACCTCGCCTCACCAGCCGTGTTCTTTGCGACGCACTCGTACACTCCGCTGTCCTGAGCCAAGACAGAGTCGCACGTCAACCGGAAAGCCGTTCCCTCTTCAGAGGCGACGAATCGGCCATCAAATGGAATCGGTTGACCGTCCTGAAATGGAAAAATGAGATTTTATCAAATTCTGGAGTTTGCCTAAGCAAATTTATCAAAAATTTCCAAAAATTTATCAAAAAATTTCCTCAGAATCTTCCCGCTCAAGAAAAATGATTTTAAAATAAAAAAAAACTAGAAATACCATGATTTCCTTAAATCCTGGAACTCACACAATTAATTGAAAACAAATTGATTTCTTTTGAAGCAAACCTTGAACCAGTTCACAGTCGGACGGGGTTCGCCAACAATTTCACACGAAAACTCGGCTTTCCCATTTTGCTGAGCGCGAATATCAGCCACCTGGAAGTCACAAAAGCGTTTGATGCAATCATTTCTTGTAAACCTTTGCTTTAAAGTCGGGTGCTTTACCCTTCTCCAAGCCGACGCCAACAGTCAGCGAAGCCGAAGACTCGACCATACCAGCGGCATTTTCAAGGCGGACCTGAAAACGAGAAAGGGTTTATTTGTGTTGCGTCGTAAAAATGGGGGTTTTAGAGCTGGGATTTTTTCAGGATCGTGCAATTGGCCAATCTGGATGTCAGGGAAGGGATTGCTGAGGTTTTTGGATGTCACTGACAAAAGTATTGCGATACGCTCACTCACCATGTACTCTCCTCCATGGGTGTTCTCCAATCGTCCGATTGTCAGCGTGCTGCCCGCATTATTCGTGGTGATTTGATGCCGGAAAGTGCTCTTCAACTCTTTTCCGTCTTTAAACCAAGTCACCTGAAGAGAAAGTTTTTGTTATTCTAACTTTTCAAACAAAGCTCCGTTTAATTCGGTGGCTAAAATCGTCCTTAAATCTTTCAAATACTTGTTTAAAACCGGTTAAAACCGGTTAAAACCGGTTAAAACCGGTTAAAACCGGTTAAAGCCGGTTAAAGCCGGTTAAAGCCGGTTAAAACCGGTCAAAACTGTTTAAAACCGGTTAAAACTGTTTAAAACGGTTTAAAACCGGTCATAACTGTTTAAAACTGTTTAAAACCGGTTAAAAGCGGTTAAAGCCGGTTAAAACTGTTTAAAACCGGTTAAAACTGTTTAAAACCGGTTAAACCCGTTTAAAACCGGTTAAAACCGGTTAAAACCATTTAAAACCGGTTAAAACCATTTAAAACCGGTTAAAACCATTTAAAACCGGTTAAAACCATTTAAAACCGATTAAAACCGGTTAAAACTGTTTAAAACCGGTTAAAACTGTTTAAAACCGGTTAAACCCGTTTAAAACCGGTTAAAATCATTTAAAACCGGTTAAAACCATTTAAAACCGGTTAAAAACGGTTAAAAGCGTTTAAAACTGTTTAAAAGTGTTTAAAACTCTTTAAAACCGGTTAAAACCCTTTAAAACACTTTAAAACACTTTAAAATGCTAGTAAGCCTTCGATTTTGTTATTCAAGAGTTGAAAAATATTGAGCAACAAGAGAAAAACGAAAGATTTCACCGAGTTTTCACTTTTTCAAAGTCTCAGTTTTGAAAGTCAAAAATTCTCACCTTGATCGGCGCATCTCCGGAGAATAAAACTTGAAATTTCCCGACTTTCCCTAACTCTCCTTGAATTGGGATGAGTTGCTGCGAGAGTTGCGGCGCCACCTTTTGACTTGCCGAGATTTTTGTCGGCTGTGGCTAAAGAGAAAAAGTTACAAGCGTTGATCAAAGTTTTTTTTTGCAAAATACGACAATTTTCATGTTAATTTACGCAAACATGACATCCATAATGCACGAAAATTTTCTTTTGCATGCGATTTTGGAAATTTTCGAAGATTTACATGCTTGAGTTCAAAACGAGACAAGTATCAATGTTTCAAAAGCGAAGATTTTAACAAAAACTCATGCGCAAAATGTGCTGTGCACTCCAGAACTATGAAATATCTATAAATTTTCATTTCCTGCGCAGCCTAACATCAACTCTAGGGGGCTTACAATAACAGGCTCCAGTTCGAAATTTCAGAAATAAAGATTTTAATGAAAACTCATGCTCAAAGTGTCCTGTGCACTCCAGAACTATGAAATATCTATAAATTTTCATTTCCTGCGCAGCCTAACATCAACTCTAGGGGGCTTACAATAACAGGCTCGAGATCAAAATTTCAGAAATAAAGATTTTAATGAAAACTCATGCGCAAAATTTGCTGTGCACTCCAGATCCTTGAAATATTTATAAACTTTCATTCCCTGCTCAGCCTAACATCATGATTTGGAGTCCTACGGGAACAGGCTTGAGTTCAAAATTTCAAAAATGAAGATTTTGACAAAAACTCTTGCTTGAAGTGTTCTGTGCATTCCAGAACTATGAAATATTTATAAATTTTCATTTCTTGATTAACCTAACATCAAGAATTGGGAGCTTACAATAACAGGCTCGAGTTCGAAATTTCAGAAATAAAGATTTTAATGAAAACTCATGCTCAAAGTGTCTTGTGCACTCCAGAACTATGAAGTATTTATAAACTTTCATTTCCTGCGCAGCCTCACATCAACTCTAGGGGGCTTACAGGAAGAGGCTCGAGTTCGAAATTTCAGAAATAAAGATTTTAATGAAAACTCATGCGCAAAGTGTCCTGTGCCTTCCAGGACTACGAAATTTTTGTAAATTTCGATTTCTTACTTAGCTTAACATCAAGTTTAGGGGGCTTACAATAACAACCTCGAGTTCAAAATTTCAGAAATGAAGATTTTGACAAAAACTCATGCTCAAAATGTACTGTGCGCTCCAGATCCTTGAAATTTTTGCAAATTTTGATTTCATGCTTAGTCTAACATCAAGATTTGGAGACTTACAGAAACAGGCTTGAGTTCGAAATTTCAAAAACGAAGATTTTCACAAAAACTCATGCTCAAAGTGTCCTGTGCCTTCCAGAACTTCAAAATATCTCTAAATTTCAATTTCATGCATACCCGTATCATGTGAAAACCGACGGTGCGATCGCGAGGTCGCGGCGAGTAGTCGTAATGGATTTTCGTGTACGAGTCGGTTTCCACCGAAAGCTCACTGTCGAAACGGTGCCTCGTGGAGAATTGCTGCGATTCGGAGTGCTCACGGTAGGACTGGACGAGGAGAGTGTGTTGCTGGGAGAAATCGGTGGGCTCCGGTGGGTCCGGCTGAAACGCTACAGTAAAACACATGCTAGATAAAACATGCTACAATACAGTAAGCTAGATTACGGTGACTCCGACTGAAAGGTTGTTCCAGAAAGTAAGCCTCGTAGTGGGGCACACTTTAGAGTTAACGGTGAGCCTTGAGCTACTGTATTCTCTGGGTTAAAGTAGACTTTAATCTAAAAAATTTATGCAAATTTTGTCCAAAAGTGTTAGTTGGAAGGCACAACAGGAATTCCGAACGGAATTTATTCGAAATCCACACTTTGGAATTTCGTCGAAACATGCCTGAACGCCTGCACATCAAAATCTTGTCAGCGACAAGCGTTAGTCAGACTCGGTTAGACTAAAAGTGTTAGTTGGAAGGCACGACAGGTATTCGCAACGGATTTGATTTGAAATTCACACTTTGGAATTTTGTCGAAACATGCCTGAACATCTGCACACCAAAATCTTGCCAACGAGACGGGTTAGTCAAACTCGGTTAGTCTAAAAGTGTTAGTTGGATGTCAGTACAGATCTTGCCGACGAACTTTATTCGAAATCCTCGCTTCCGGGATTTCGGGTTTCGCGTTCACTTGCGCTTCTTTGAGCTGTTTCTCTTCTAAAGTCACGTGTTCCACATCTTTCGTCACTTTCGGTGCTCCTTGACTCTTCATTTTCACTTGGGATTTGTGCGGGACGACGATTTCCTATAAGAAAGGGTTACGGTAATTGGGTGGGTGTCATTTAGAAAGTGCTGAACGACTTTAAAGCTAAAAAGTGCTCAAAAAATTCAATTCTTCGAGAGATTTCGTTTTTTTTTGTAATCTGGAAGGCATAAATGCTAATTTTTGGAGTTTCCGACGTGAATGTAAATTTTTGAAATTTTCGAGTTTTGTTGATTTCTTGAGCTCGAAGAATTGAGGTGTTTGGATTTGGATTTTAAAAAGTTAAGATTTTAGAACTGATTTCTGGGTGGCACATTAGCATTTGGGATATTAAAATTGTTAAAATAAACCTTTTCTTTTTGTGGACCCTGGGCGGGTTGCTTTATCTTCGCTTTGTCTTCAGCGATTTTCACGTGCTCGCCACCGTCGACTTTTTCAGCCCGCGTTGGTTTAGTGGACTGAAAAATGTTAGATTAGATGTTAGAAATAGGAATCCTAAAGTGCAGCTCACCCTTCGTGGCTGGGTTACTGTATCACTGTGTAGGATTACTGTATTACTGTAGCTGGTTGCTTTAAAAGCCAAAGCATCCACTTTTTAGGGAATTACGGTGTTTTTTGTGCTTTCTGGGTGTCACTCTAGTGAATATGATTGTTTTTTTAAAGTCAATGTTGGATTACGGTTGGTTGACACTCCGCGAATTGTGATGCTCGCTTTTTAAGCGCAAATAGTGCAAATTATGGGAAAGTTTTCATAGCCACAGTACGATCTGGATATCACTGACGATACCTGCAACGAGACTTGATCCCTGGCTGGGATGTTGATCTCCTTGGGCTCGGCTTCGACCCTCTTGTAGCGAGCCTCGTCGGCGCCTGGGAGCTTCATCGGCGCCCCGCCGTCCAGCGCCCAATCGGGACGGGGACTCTGCTCGCGTTGGTCCTGAATGTTGAAGTGTTTAATGAATCTTGCTGCTCAAATCGTTGTTCATGCTCAACTCGAAAATTTCTGTTGTCCGGCAGCTGATTGGCTTTTTTTCTGATTGCTGATTAGCTAATTTTTATTCAATCTTTTTCTTTTTTGTCCAATTTTTGTATTAAAGCATACAAAGCATTAAAATCTAGAAAAAAGAACGAAAAAAACCGCTACCGGACTCGAACCCGGGAGACTAAAGACCCGCTCGCCTCGTATCCTAAACCACTGCCACTCGGCCATGGCTGCAACTTGCTAGCCAGCGAAAAAAGGGTCTCTAAGGTCGCGGCTTAAAACTCCTTACAAAACTTTAAACACGTATAACTTTTGACAGAGTGCTCCGTAGCAGAAACGGAAAGCAGATTTGGAATCAGCGTGAAATTTTGCGTCAATGCAAGTCCTGTCCTGTACACTATGGACTATAGAAAAGAGTATAAAAATGGACAAGCAACTAGAAAAAAAACGATTTTCCCCTCATTTCTAACCTTCTTTCCAGCAAATGGCCGCAATTCCACTGATGGGAGTCGCTCCCTTTTCGGCTCGAAACGATTCGTTCGACCGGCTTTCAATGGCACTGATTCTAATGTCATCCCCTCAAATTGTTTCTTCTCGGTTTCAACGTAGCCGAGCTTCTCGAACATCTCCTCCTGAAATAGGATTTTCAAATTGGATGTCATGCTAGCAGCTGGCTAGGTTATAAAACAATTTTTGATCGTTTTCGAAAAAACACCTAAACTACCGTAGTCGAAAATTTTTAAACTCGAGTTTTCTTGCTGAAAATGAGTTCAGCATGTAGTGTGCGTTCCAGCTTGAGCTTACCTTTGATCTGGTGAACTTTTGAATCAACTCCTCGCTTTCTAGGGGCTCAATCGGCGATCGGGCCCTTTCCACATGCATTAACTTTTGGGCGTCGGCTTTGGGCGCCGTCTCGAACGCCTCGCCCAGCTTGCCGAGAGTCTCGCGCTGCCAGCGACGCTCGCGTTCCTAGAAAATCGTAAAATCATGGTGTTTCCACGGATTACAGGCATTTTGTTTCAACGGATTTTTAAAATTTTTCTCCACCTGCAACTCTTCAGCAGTTTTGTGGGAGGCTGGGCGGAGTTTGAGCTTTCTGAAGTCATCATTCTGGAAGATGTCCAGCGAGCAAGAGGAGAGCACTTCACCCTCCGAATTCCGGGCAATCGCTACCACTTCTCCGGCGTCCGAGACTCTAAAAATAAAATTAAATAGCTGAAATTCTGAAAATGAACCCGACAAACGGCCAGAAAAAGTAGAAAAATGAGAAAAATCCGCGTAATAGCTGGTTTTTTTGGCCTGGTCCATTGGGTTGCCGTGGCGCAATCGGTAGCGCGCTTGTCTATCACTCACTTGACCGCCCCTCATAGTGCCGGGTTCGATCCCCGGCAGTGTTTTTGAGTTTTGAATTTTTGACTTTAAACTTTACTATAACTTTAAATGCTATAACTACAAGATATTCTAAGGTTTTCTAAAGTTGTTTTAGCTTTATTGGCGCGGAAATGCCCGTACAGACAGACAGACAAACAAACAGACACAGCTCTTTTATATAGTAGATTACCAGCTGTGCACTGCGTTTCAACTGGTTTCAACTGGTTTCAACTGGTTTCAACTGGTTTCAACTGGTTTCAACTGGTTTCAACTGGTTTCAACTGGTTTCAACTGGTTTCAACTGGTTTCAACTGGTTTCAACTGGTTTCAACTGGTTTCAACTGGTTTCAACTGGTTTCAACTGGTTTCAACTGGTTTCAACTCCTTAAAACCCACCTAGTGTTGGCGATCGTTAAATAGTAGAGCCCGTCGTAGTTCAACTTGTAGCGATGGCCGTGCAATGCTTGATTTCCATTGATGTACCAGGTGACTTTCGGTTTCGGATTCCCGACAACGGCACACTCGAAACGGGCTGGCGAATTCTCGGAGACTTGCGTGTTTCGCGGTTTTATCGAGAATTGCGGTGTTTGCTTGACGCGCGGTTGAGCCTGAACTTGAATTTTGAAATGGCTGATCGAAAATGACAAACCGGTTGCGTCTCAGACCAGTACAATTTCTGTTGATCTTTCTTGACGGATGTCACCGAGAGTCCTTGTGGCATTTGGCTTGTCGTCACTACGTGGGAGCCACCCTGACAAGCGAGTGATGCAGAGAGCATGGCTTGGCCTAGAAACGTCTCATTGTTGGCTAACGGATTGGCAAGATCCAGCTCCAAGCTCTAGCTCTAAGCTCTAGCTCTAAGCTCCAGCTTCACCAATTCTAGGCTCGCTGAAGTGCGGCTTAGGCTCAGGCTCAGGCCCAGGCTTAGGATCATGATGTACTAGACCCGATCCGACGTTTAACCCAACCTGTAAGCCTGCAAGCTTCAAACTGTAAGCCTGAGGGTCCAGTTTAAGCTAAACCCAAAGGAATTCAACCTAGATCTAAACTGAGGTACAGAGTTGACTTTTGAAGACCATTTTTAGAGGCCGCAGCTGCCAAAGGCCAATGCACAGACCACAGCTCTTCCCCTCCACTCACCGAAACGATTCGTCGCCACACAATGGTACTCGCCAGTGTCATCGGGCAACGCGTAGAGTAGGTCCAGAGCGGCGAAACCGAAATCGAGAGTTGATCGGAAGCGATGTCCCATCAAAACCGGTCGCCGGTCCTTGAACCACTCCAACCGCATGTATGGATCATTAATCGGGGCCACCTAAAATCAGGATTCCATCATCATGTAAGATTCCGAATTTTTCTATTCTTTAATAGCTGCCGTGACAGCCAGCTGGAAGATTTTGACTTGACTCATAGTCGTGAGTCTCAAAGAAAATCTGAATCTCAAACCAAACCTGAGTCTCAAAGCGGCAGAACTCTCCCTCGGCAACGCCAATATTCTCCAATCCCACTTTGAACTCCGGTGCCCTGCCCTGAGCCTCGTCATAGTTGTCGTCGACGGTGAGCTGGAAAGGCAACAGATTACGTCACCAGCCAACCAAAAATCAATAGCTTCAATCGATTCAGCGACCCCGAAAACCCCTGGACACAAATTCACAGCTAATTTTTGTGCCAAAGCAAAAGAAGGGAATCCCTTTGTGCTCTCTGTGCGTAATCGCTTTCCATCTGGCATACCCAATCTAGTATAGAAGGTTCCCTTTTGAAATTCGATATTGAAATTCGAAATAATTCGATAAATTCTATATCCCGTTAAACCATTTTATCCCTATAAAGCTTAAATCATTGAGCCAGGAGTCAAAACAAGAAAACAATGCGATCGGACTTGATCATTCATTTCTATAAAGAAGGAATGATGACGATAAGGGAATTGATAGGAGTAAATGGCCAGCATTTTCTTGGAAAGCCAAGAAAATGGTGAACCGAACAGGTTGTTAGTTTTAAGCAAATCTCATTCTCCTATAGGAAAGGTTTTTTCTGCTTTACGATGAACAAGTTTCTTTGAAAAAGTTTCTTTGAAAAGAGCACTTTCCAAAGGAAAATTCTAAGTGACTCGTGTTGGGGATTATATTGTTTAAAAAAAACAACGTTTATGAATAGTTTAAACTAGTAAAGTGACAGTTTATAAAGCTTTTTTGGCATGACAAACCTGGAATATTAGGTTCGAGTCGGAATTCTCCCATCACTAGGCTGTGTCGTACAAAGTTAACAAAGTACAACTCTAGCTTCACTCACTGAGTTACGAAGGCAACAGATTACGTTACTAGCCAACCAAAAATCAATAGCTTCAATCAATTCAGCGACCCCGAAAACCCCTGGACACAAATTCACAGCTAAATATCTTTTTGTGCCAAAGTAAAAGAAGGGAATGTGCTCTCTGTGCTCTCTGTGCGTAATCGCTTTCCATCTGGCATACCCAATCTAGTATAGAAGGTTCCCTTTTGAAATTCGATATTGAAATTCGAAATAATTCGATAAATTCTAAATCCCGTTAAACCATTTTATCCCTATAAAGCTTAAATCATTGAGCCAACAGTCAAAACAAGAAAACAATGCGATCGGACTTGACCATTCATTGCTATAACAGTTTATAACCCTTTTTTCCATGACAAACCTGCAATTCTTTCGTTGAATGTTGTCTAAAATGTGACTCCAAATTGTCTTGTCGACTGCCGTGCGCTTGCGGGGCGTAGTCGAGGGTTTTTCCCGGCAGAATCGTCACCAGCGATTTCGTCGTGGCCTAGAGCTCTTGAAATTAGTTGCAAAAAAAGTTATGCTTTTTTTTTTTCTCGACTTCAGATCTCGATTTGCAATTTTTCCCCTTTTTGAGAATGCTCGTTTTTATCAAATCTCGTTTATCCTTCAACTTAAACCTTTCAAACTGACCTCTCCTTTGTCGTTTTTCACCTCCAACACATACTCGCCCGAGTCTTCCGGATATCCGTAGAGAATATCGAGCGACGCAAAACCGAACTCGAATGATGGCTAAAATTTGAAATCTGATTGAAAAATCTGAAAAACAAAAAATTTTCCACCGCCGGGACTCGAACCCATCACCTTCCGCTCGCCAGCCAAATGTGCTAACCACTACACCACAATGCACTTTAAAACCCACGCTCCAGAAAGAGTTAAATAAAAAAAACGATTCAAAAAGTTATCGAATCGAGCTTTTATTGGAGGACCAAAGAAATCTAATCGCGATTTTTCGCTGGCCGGACAACCTTTCACCGTAGCGCAGTCAGTAGAGCGCTCGTCTACAACTCATACGGTCTGGGTTCGACTCCCGGGCCTTCCATCGAACTTTCGTTTTTCAAAGTTTTTTTAAAATAACATAACTACAATATATTCTAAAGTTTTCTAAACAAGTTAGAGCTTTATTGGGTAAAACATGGCCGAGAAAATGCAGACAGATACTTTTATGTAGATACCAGCCGAGAAACTTGGCTAACGGCGGGTTTTTTTCGGATGTTTTGGGGATCGACGGGTTTGTCGCCGTAGCGCAGTGGATAGCGCGCCGGTCTATCGCCCATACGACCCGGGTTCGACCTCCACGTGCGACGTGAATTGTGCTTTTTAAAAAATTCGAAAAGCACGTTGCACAACTACAAATAATTCCCTATTCAACGGTGCAAAAATCATTGGTCTTCTGGGGGGCTCTGGGTCCTCTGGGTCTTCTGGGGGCTAGCGCGCAAAGACAGACGGGCAGACGGACAGACGGGCAGACAGACAGGTAGACAGACGGACAGCCAGGTAGACAGACAGGTAGACAGACAGGTAGACAGGCAGGTAGACAGGCAGACAGACAGGCAGACAGACAGACAGACAGACAGACAGGCAGACGGACAGACGTCTTAGTCCCTTTATATAAAGTAGATTTTCGAAAGCTTGACTCCTGAAAGGCATACTGATGCTTAAACGGGTCTGAAACCGAAACTATTCTTCTTAAAACCTACTCGGAATCGCGACGCCTCAGGCAACAGATTTCCATTCCTCAGCCAGCGCACTCGCAAATTCGGATCGTTTGTGGGTGTGACACGGCACTCTAAATGCACCGAATCTCCCTCAGCGACACCATCGATCGATGAAACGAGCGCTTGCACCACCTAAACGCGTTTTGTATTACTCGAAGATCTTTTCTTGAAATAAGATTTTCAAATTGGATGTCACTCTCAAAGTTGGCTAGGTTATACAACAATTTTTGATCGTTTTCGAAAAAGCACCTAAACTACCGTAGTCGAAAATTTCAAAAAATTTTTAAACACGAGTTTTCCTGCTGAAAATGAATTCAGTGTGTAGTGTGCGTTCCAGCTTGAGCCCTAACTTTGTTCTCGTGAACTTGAATCAATGAATAAACCAATGAATCAATGAATCAATGAATGAATTTGAATCAATCAATCACTCGGTCTCTAAGATTTCTCTAAGAGGTAAAGTCGAGTTTAATTTAACTTTCTAACAAGTTTGGGGAACAACAGATAAACGCTGAGGGTAAACGCTGAAGGTAAACGTTGAAGGCAAACACTTTCTTCTTTTCCCCCGAATTTTTCTCATTCATTTTACCTGCGGCGCATCGATGGCGTCCGGTGAGGCGACTTGTACGCGACCCGCCGTGATTGCTTGCCCTTTCGAGTTTGTCGCAATGCACCTACAAGAAAAAATGATACGCTTGATACGCTTTTCCATTCTATAAAAAAATTTACGCATTGTTTTTTAGCTTAGAAAATTTCAGCTCTTGAAAAATCAAAAAAAGAAAATATTAAAATGAATGCCCGGCAGTTTAACCGGCTATACTATTGAAATCTCAATTGTCTTCAATTGAAATCTTTAATCCAAAGCATTTTCATTAAGGTCGATCTATCGTATTCCTCATCCAGTTCAACTAGCTCAATTTGCTTTCAAAAATCGCTTTGTTCTTTGGCTCGAAAATAGCATCTCTCTCTCAGCCTCGGCTCAGCCCAAGCCCTAAGCCTGAGCCTAAGCCTAAGCCTAAGCCTAAACCTAAGCCTAAGCCTAAGCCTGAGCCTGAGCCTGAGCCTGAGCCTGAGCCTAAGCCTAAGCCTGAGCCTCTCTCTCTCAAAACTCACTCGTAATCACCGGAATCCTGCGCGATGAGATGCTTGATGAGCAGTGTGGCCACACCAAACTCGTTCGTTGTTGAGATTCTGGAAAGAGTTTCGTTTAGTTTAGTGGAAAGATTTGAGTGGCATCAAAGAAAGCTCAAGCTATAGAATTGATCAAATAGTTAGACAAGGGTTTAAAAATATTTTCAGAAATTTCTGGGGTTCTTTATTTTGCTATCAAGTGTGACATCCAGAATCACTGAAAAGCTTGATAATTTTTTCGCTGGACCACCCTGAAACCTGTGGGGGTCGGGGTACGGTAGCAAACCTTAACCAACCTTAGCCTACTGTATTTGAAGTTTCAAATATTTTCAATAAGTCACGTGACTTCCAGAACTACTAGAAATTTAACTAAATTCAGGATTGAATCACTATGAAGTCCGGTATAGGCCAGGGTACGGTAGCGGTTACAGTACAACCACTGTTCAACTTGCTGTAATCAAGATTTTAAGCATTTCAAGGAGTCACGTGACTTCCAGAACTACTAGAAATTTAACTAAATTCAGGATTGAACCACTCTAGAGTCCGGTATAGGTCAGGGTACGGTAGCGGTTACAGTACAACCACTGTTCAACTTGCTGTAATCAAGATTTTAAGCATTTCAATAAGTCACGTGACTTCCAGAACTAGTAGAAATTTAACTAAATTCAGGATTGAACCACTCTAGAGTCCGGTATAGGTCAGGGTACGGTAGCGGTTACAGTACAACCACTGTTCAACTTGCTGTAATCAAGATTTTAAGCATTTCAATAAGTCACGTGATTTCCAGAACTACGAAAAAGCTTTGACTAGCCGAGTAAAGATAAGGATTCAATTCAAAAACCAATAACTGAACAGTTTTTGGTCTGGTTTAGGGTTAAAAGTTTTGTTTTACAAAACTTTCCACTTTACAAACTTTTCGGAAAGTAGATATGGTTTAGAAAAAAGGGAAAACAGATTGGTTTGGATAGATTGGGTAGATTGGGTAGATTGGGTAGATTGGGTAGATTGGGTAGATTGAGTAGATTGGGTAGATTGGTTAGATTGGTTAGATTGGGTAGAATGGGTAGATTGGGCAGATTGGGTAGATTGGGTAGATTGAGTAGATTGGTTAGATTGGTTAGATTGGCTAGATTTGCTAGATTATGTCATCGGCTAGTTTCCGGTAAAATTTTGCATAAAATAGAATAGACTAATTGAAATTCAAAAAAAAGCTTGTAAATCAATAGCTTTCAATGTTTCTAGAAGAAACTTTGAGTTAGTTTAGTGATCCGAAAAGTCTCTTTTTCCACATTTCTCTTTCTCTCTCTCTTTCTCTTCCTCTTTCTCTTCCTCTTTCTCTTTCTCTTCTTCTTTCTCTTTCTCTTCCTCTTTCTCTTCCTCTTTCTCTTTCTCTTTCTCTTTCTCTTTCTCTTTCTCTTCCTCTCCTTTACCTGTTCGAGTATGGGATTGGGTGTTGGTTATGTCGCCACTCGACTCTCATCGTCGGATCTCCAATCGGCTCCAACACGCAAACAAAAGCCGTGGCTTCGGCCTCGTTCAACTGAAAAAAAAAACTGCTTCTCTTTCAAGGGTTTTTAGTTAAATTTTGAACTTTTTCGATACCACGAAGACTTTTTAGAGATTTTCAGAAGAAAATCCCCTGAAACTCTGAAAGTATTGGCCGATCTGGATATCACTTCATTGCCTAATATCAATCAAATTTCAAAAATTTCAAAAATTTCAAAATTTTAACTTTTTCCTTTTTTATCCATAGCCTTTGAGGAAGGAATTTCACAAATTTTTCGCAAATTTTCGCTTTTCTTAAATTTTTTTTAATCATTCTGGAAGTCATTGCAGCAATTTTTCGCCTTAAATTCTTTTTAAAATTGTTTTTTAAAATTTTTGATTCTTGGAGGTAAATGAAAAGTTATTATCAGTTAAAATGAAAGATTTTCGTTTTTTTATCGTTTTTTCTTTTAGAAACAACGAGCATTGGGAATCCTGGAGCACAAAGTAAATAGAGAAAGAGAGAAATGGAAAGAATTTCGGGAAATGGGGAAATGGGGAAATTTTGGGATTTCGGTAAAACCGATTTTCAGAGTGCACTCCAGGGGAAAGGTTGAGGAAAGGTTTTTCAAAAAATGATCTATTTTCAATTTTTTTTCTTGTGCAATGCCTTCTGTGACATCCAGAATTTAAGAAAAAAATCGTCTTTTCGAGAAACGTTCTTAAAAAAGCGACGCATTGCGCTTCCGAATGATCGACGTGAAATCTGGGAAAATTAAAAACGTGTCGAAATTCGCTAAAAGCCTATCAATGGGTGTACTGCCTTCCAGAATGAACTATGAAAGCGCTAAAATTCTAAAAGCATTGAAATCTGGCCGAATTTTAACAGCCAACTGATTCCAGGGTATCCAAAAATTTCTGACTTTTTTCCGATAAGCGAAAATCTCTCAAAAATAACTGAAACGGTGTACTGCGTTCCAGCTTGACTAATTAAAAAACCAAAATTTCAAATTTCGAAATTATAAGCAACATTTGACTGTCAACTGATGAGAACCCTGCTTGGCCACTCACCATTCCCAAATCGATGAGCTCTTGGGTAAAGTGTGGCGCGTCGAAGTCTTGTGCCGGCTGGGCCAACTCCTCTTTCGGTCGATGGATCCATTCCTCCAGCTGCTCAATTCGCTCTTTCCGCTCGGCCGGCGATTGCCATTCGTAGAAAACGCCGCCCGTGGCCACGATCTGGAAAGCATTTTGGGGTTTTTGGATGATTGAATTTTGAATTTAACAGAATTTCTCGTAGTTCTGGAAGTCACGTGACTTATTCAAATGCTTAAAAACTTGATTACAGCAAGTTGAACAGTGGTGGTACTGTTGCCGCTACCGTACCCTGGCCTATACCGGACTCTAGAGTGATTCAATCCTGCATCTAGATAAATTTCTAGTAGTTCTGGAAGTCACGTGACGTATTGAAACGATTTAATCTTTTAATTACAGTAAGCTAATAGTGGTGGTACTGTAACCGCTACCGTACCCTGGCCTATACCGGACTACATAGTGGTTTAATTAGTTAAATTTCTAGTAGTTCTGGAAGTCACGTGACTTATTGAAATGTTTAAAAACTTGATTAGAGCAAGTTGAACAATGGTGGTACTGTAACCGCTACAGTACCCTGGCCTATACCGGACTACATAGTGGTTCAATCCTGAAATTAGTTAAATTTCTATTAGTTCTGGAAGTCACGTGACTTATTGAAAATATTTGCAACTTCAAATACAGTAAGCTAAGAGTGGTTGTACTTAGCCGCTACCGTACCCCGACCCCCACAGGCTTCAGGGTGGTCTAGTGAAAAAATTATCAAGCTTTTCACTGATTCTGGATGTCACACTTGATAGCAAAATAAAGAAACCCATAAATTTCTGAAAATATTTTTAGACTCTCACCTTCAACTGCGCCTCGCATTCAGCACTTCCCCAATCATTTGTGGCCACGCATTTCCACGTGCCGCTGTCCTGTGGCTCGCCGGGATGAATGTCCAAGACGACAAATCCAAAATCGGAAACCATTCGCATGCGATTCGAGTTTCGAATCGGTTGCCCATCGTGGAACCACTCGATTCGGAGGCGGGGATCAGCAACAGGGACAACTTGAGCCTCGAGGTGCGCAATCTCTCCTTCCAGAAGCTCGGGCGGTGACTAGAGACGGGATAATTTCAATAATCTCCATAATCTATAAGCTTTCTCTGTCAAAACCCATCACTTTCTACACTTTTTCTTCGATGGAAGCTAAAGGTCGAAAATTAATGGAAAAATTTGGACTTTTTTTTGTAACTTTGAGCATCATGGATGTCACAAGGCCAGAAAAAAAACGTTTTAGAGGTTTTTGTTCGAAAAATTCTTTCAACTTCGTCACTTGGGTAATTGAACCGAACGAAAAGTGGAGAGTTTGTCAAAATTGCAAAATTTTTGCTCTAATCATTTCTGTGTGCTCCAGCTTGTGTCTAGAATTTTTTAAAAGCACTCGAATTGCTTTCGTTTTCTCTAAATCTCACCAGCTCATTTGTCCAACTTCGAATTTTGAGCTTTTTCAGGTTTTTTTTGAGGTTTTGAAGTTAAGAAATGACAAAAAATGAAATTTTACATTAAAAGCATTGTTTACTGACCCTGTGATTGACTTGATTTATAATTTTAAAGGAAAGAAAACTTGACTTGACTTCACTGGTTAGTCAAGTCGACTGCTTTAATGACCTAATGACCTGCATTACATTAGGCTACGACACTTTACGAAAGCTACCGTAGTTCGAGACTAGCCTAGACATTTCCAATTCAAAACAAACCACAAGTTGCGTGGTAAATCGTGGCGGTCCATGCTCGACATCGGGCGCGTCTTCAGCCAACGGGCGTGGAGCTTCGATCTCATCGATTCGCGCTTGAGCACCTGATGAGGAATTTTGGAAAAGAACAATTGAATATCTTTTGATTGAATATCATTTAATTTGATTGAATTGAACGCATTTATTAGTTTAGAACTCATTTGGAAAGGCACGCACTGATTTTCTGAAGCCAAATCGAATCACGATAAGGAAAACTTTTTTTTGTAAATTTTGTTGAAAATCAAAAATCCGAATCCTCAAAAATCTAGCATGACATCCAGATCGAAGAAAAAAACGCAATTGAAATCAAATTGCTTTTACCAATTTTTCGGAATAAGCGCGAACCCTCAGCCAGTGCACATCAAGTACAATTTTTTCGTGAAAATCAAAAAACCGAACCATGACAATGCTAGGGTGACATCCAGATCGAAGAAAAAATGCAATTGAAATCAAATTGCTTTTACCATTTTTTCGGAATAAGCGCGAACTCTCAGCCAGCGCACATCGAGTACAATTTTTTCATGAAAATCAAAAAACCGAATCCTTAAAAATCTAGCGTGACATCCAGCTCGAAGAAAAAAAGCAATTGAAATCAAATTGCTTTTACCATTATTTTGGAATAAGCGCGAACTCCCGACAGTGCTCGACAGAGCTAATTTTTCGCACAAATTTCGCACAAGTCTCGCGGGAAAGTTGTCAAGTTGATTTTTTTGTTCGATATTGGTTTTGCTTTTGTTTCAATTTCGTTTTTGCTTTTCATTTTGATTATTCGAGAAAATTTTGTTATTTAGGCTTAAGTTGAGCGAGAAATTAGTTCTGCCGAGAGTTCGTGCAGATTCCAAAAAAATGGTAAAAGCAATTTGATTTTAATTGCGTTTTTTCTTCGATCTGGATGTCACATTAGAATTTTCCGGTTTCGATTTTTTGATTTTCATGAAAAAATTGTATTCGATGTGCACTAGCTGGGAGTTCGCGCTTATTCCAAAAAAATGGTAAAAGCAATTTGATTTCAATTGCTTTTTTTCTTCGATCTGGATGTCACGCTAGATTTTTAAGGATTCAGTTTTTTGATTTTCACGAAAAAATTGTACTCGATGTGCACTAGCTGGGAGTTCGCGCTTATTCCAAAAAAATGGTAAAAGCAATTTGATTTCAATTGCTTTTTTTCTTCGATCTGGATGTCACCCTAGAGTTTTTCGGATTCGGATTTTGATTTTCACGCAAAAATTTGTATTCGATGTGCGACCTTTCTAGAGCCGAAATTGAGCCAGGTTTAAAACTAAAATCCTAGCTTTTTTGTTTTAGAACTCTTTACTCCTAAATGAATCCTAAACAGCAATTACTTACCAGACATTCTCTCAGGCAATTGGGATCTCGAGATGATTCCCTCTTTCGGTGTACATTGGAGTGAAGTGGAGGTGACCGCCTCGCCGACACGGTTCACGGCTCTGCACGTGTAGTCGCCCGAATCTTAATTCGATAATTCGACTAAAGTCAAATCAAATGCAAATGCAAATGCAAATGCAAATCAAATGCAAATCAAATCTACCTTCCGGATAAACAGGCGATATCTCGAGTACACAGTAGCCGAAATCGTGAATCGTTTTCACCCTAGAGCCCTTGAGAAGCGGACGACCATTGTGATACCATTGTACCTAGAAAATGGGGAAAAGTCTGGAAACTCAGAAAGCTTCAAAATGACATTGTTGAGTACGATATGTGATACGACTTTTGGCCTTGTTTGGCTTGATTTGGAAGCCTGGCTTGGCTTGATTTGGATTACCAGAAGCCTGGCTTAGCCTAGTTTAACTTTTGAGCCTAAAACCCTGATCAAAACATCTCTTGTTCAGTTGTGCAATAGTTGTGCAATTCGAAACCCCAATCCCAACTAGCTGGAAGGCCAACTAGCTGGAAGGCCAACTAGCTGGAAGGCCAACTGGCTGGAAGGCCAACTGGCTGGAAGGCCAACTGGCTGGAAGGCCAACTAGCTGGAAGGCCAACTAGCTGGAAGGCCAACTAGCTGGAAGGCCAACTAGCTGGAAGGCCAACTAGCTGGAAGGCCAACTGGCTGGAAGGCCAACTGGCTGGAAGGCCAACTAGCTGGAAGGCCAACTAGCTGGAAGGCCAACTAGCTGGAAGGCCAACTAGCTGGAAGGCCAACTAGCTGGAAGGCCAACTAGCTGGAAGGCCAACTAGCTGGAAGGCCAACTAGCTGGAAGGCCAACTAGCTCTCTTTAAGCCAAATACGGTAATTTTCTGACCGATCAGATCAGGTTTCAAAAAATCGGCTAATATCAAATCTGATCCACTGAAATCCTAGCGTGCTCGCCAACTAAGAAACTCGCAAAATAGCACAATGAGATCTTTCACCTGTAAATGATTATCATTTGTTGGCTCGTATCTAGCGTTGAAATGCGCTCGATCGCCCTCGTCCAAGTGTTGCGGGGCGGAAAGTGGCTCGACGAAGACAGGCATCACCTGAAATGAGTGAAACTTGAAAATGATTTAGATTTAAGGTCATGCAAGAGTCGATCGTCAGGGTAAGCGTCAGGGTAAGCGCTAGAAACTTAAAAGTCTCAGTGCTAGCTTTTTCAAATCTAATTTACAGAAAAGTTAACGTGATATCCAACTAAGAAACTCGTAAAATAGTAAAACGAGATTTTCACCGAAAAATCGATTTTTGTTGATGGACAATCGTTTTCCCCAGAAAGAAACTCGAATTACAAACCTCTTTCGTCTCATCAATAACGGCATCGACTTTCTGATTGAGTCTTTCCTCTAATTGATGCACAGCTTGAGCTTTCTGTTCACTTTGTGGCTCGAGAAGGAGTCCACTTTTGGGTTCAACGTTGAAAGAAACACTCGATTTTGCTTCGCCGCTTTCGTTGTAAACTCGTAGAGTGTATTCACCTTTAATAAAATGGATTCACTTAGAAATATCTTAGAAATCATCAAGACTTACCAGAATCATGCGTAAACAGATGCGTGATATCCAGAACGGCAAACCCGAAGTCCGAAAGCATTTTGTGACGATTTGAGTGGCCAATCGGGTGCCCGTTATGGAGCCATTCGACTCGGATTCGTGGGTCATTTTTCGGAGTGAACATTGCCTGAAATATCGAATGATGAAAATGACCTGTGATATCCAGGATTCGAGCTGCTTGCTTTAAGCTACAGTATGCTAAGTATAGGGATGGCTACAGTATGCTAAGAATAGGGATGGCTACAGTATGCTAAGTATAGGGATGGTTACAGTACGCTAAGTATAGGGATGGCTACAGTATGCTTAAGGATCTCAACGTTGTCAGACGTAATCGTAACGCAATCCATTCCAAATCGAGATTAAATTTCAAAAAAATGATCTATTTTCAATTCTTTCTTGCGCAATACATTCTGTGACATCCAAAATTTGAGAAAAGAATCGTCTTTTCGAGAAAATTGCTTTAAAAAGCGACGCAATGCGCTTCCGAATGATCGACGTGAAATCTGGGAAAATCAAAAACGTGTCGAAATTCGCTAAAAGCCTATCAATGGGTGTACTGCCTTCCAGAATGAACTATGAAAGCGCTAAAATTCTAAAAGCATTGAAATCTGGCCGAATTTTAACAGCCAACTGATTCCAGAGTACCGAAAAATTTCCGATAAGCGAAAATCTCTGAAAACTAGCCAAAACAGTGTACTGCGTTCCAGCTTGACTAATAGAAATTGTTTCAAATTGTTCGCCTCACTTGTAGATGAATTGCTGTGCCCTCTTCTGGTTCACCGGTGTACTCCAATTGCGTGGTGATTGTCGGTGCGTCAGCTGGCGCGTCTGGGGCCGCTTCGGGCGCTAGGCGGGGAGCCTCGATCTAAAAACTCTTGCTTACAAACCAACTCTTCTCCCGTACCTCAGAGATCCTTTGCAAGCTTTGTGGTTGTAGGGGATCTTGGAGGATTCCCTCTCGTCCCTGTACACTTAATTGACAAGTGGATTCAGCTTGTCCGGCTTGATTGCTGGCCACCACTCTCCACTCTCCCGTATCCCTCGTCTCCGTGTGATTGATATCGAGAATGACCCAGCCAAAATCTTGAATCGTCTTTACGCGAGACGTCGCCCCAACCAGCGCTCCGTTTAGGTACCTGCAAGAGAAATTGTTCTAAGCATCTCTCCTACAACTCTGCCAATCTAGCCCCAAGCTTATTCAAAGCTGTTCCCATCCAAGTCCAGATCAGGCATGTCTTTAGTTCTATTCGAAAATCTACCTCATCTGTTTCTGACTCTGGCCTGACGCTGGTAAAGTAAAATCCTAGTCTAAATTCGTTGCCTAACTCTAGACAAAGCCAAATCCTAGTCTAAATTCGTTGCCTAACTCTAGATAAAGTCAAATCCTGATCTAAACTGGTTGCCTAACTCTAGACAAAGCCAAATCCTGGTCTAAATTCGTTGCCTATCTCTAGACAAAGTCAAATCCTAGTCCAAAACTGGTTGCTCAACTCTAGACAAAGCCAAATCCTAGTCTAAATTCGTTGCCTAACTCTAGATTGACAATTAGCCAGAATCCTGGTGCTGGATACTAGCTTGACAAGTCAGAATCAGACAAATCTGGCTTGGCATTGGATCAGCTTACAAAGGAACAGCTTACAAGACACTAGCTCGGAGTTCGCATTGAAAGCTTTATGAAAACGTAGCGCAGAAAAACACAGTACCAGTACTGTAGAAGTACATTTTCTATTACCGTACATTACCGTACATTTTCTACAGTACCATAAATGTAAATATTTAATGTAAACGTATTAAAAACAAAAAAAGTCGCTAGAGTGGATTCGAACCCAAGCCATCGGACCCGAAATAGTTTTGTAGTCCAGCGCACTATCCCCTAGACCATCGAGCCCGTTGGGAGCTCGCTTTATTTCGGCCTTATAAAGAGTCCGAAAAGGATTTTCTATGTCAGATTCTTTTTGTGATTTCGTGAGTTTTTAAAGAAAACTTTTATAGATTCCGAATTCAATTCTAAATGAGAAACCAATTGATCGCCGATTCTATGAGATTTACGAAACAATCCTAAACTTCAAGCTCATATCATTCCCTTATTAGCTTTCTTAAAAATAGCCTGCTAACGCCAGGAAATAATCCGCCAGGAAATAATCGCCAGGAAGCTTCCCAAGCCGCATTTCAAACATTTCAAAAAAAAAATTCAGGCTTCTATTGTTCAAAAAATTTAGGCATACCAATCGATTCGCATTGTCGGATCGTCAATCGGCTCAACGGTCGCCTCAAAGTGAGCAGGTTGTCCCTCGACGAGTTCTCCTAAAGAAAAATCCCTTGTTAACCTCGAAAAGACATTGATTGTTGACATTGACATTGCAGGAATTGTTTGGAAATAGATGAAAATTGCTTTCTGGCATACCATCCGACGATTTACTGTACCCACCAGGCGATGTGATCTGCGTGATGAACTTTGGCGCGGACTTGGGAGCGGGTTCAGGCTCAGCGGCTTCGGGCTTCATTGTTTCCATCTCCTGAATTCTTTTCCACGACTCTTCATGCTGTGTGCTGTCGAGGATCGCATTTTTCCAGTGCACTTGATCGTACACGATGAGACGGCCTCTCCTTGATCGTTCCAAATCTTCAATTGGTATACACCGGCATCCTCTGGGAACGTGTACCTGAAAAGAGAGAATTTTTTGGCGGATTTCTGTAATCTGGAAGGCATTGAGGCTATTTAAGATCAAGTTTTGCTTAATAAAAAGATTTTAAGATCTTAGGATTTCCGTAGGTGATAACTAGGCTTTTCGAGGTTTCTGTTTTCCAAATCGTAACTCTAGCTTTGCACTACTTCGTACTACGTACTATGTACTATGTACTATGCACCAGCACTATGCACTATGTATTATGCACTATGTACTATGTATTATGTACTATGTACTATGCACTATGCACTATGTACTATGTACTATGCACTATGTACTATGCACTATGTACTATATACTATGAACTATGTACTATGTACTACGTACTATGTACTGCGTACTATGTACTACGTACTATTTACTATGTACTACGTACTATGCACTATGTATTGCGTACTATGTACTATGTACTATGCACTACGTACTATGCACTATGCACTTCGTACTATGTACTATGCACTACGTACTATGCACTACGTACTATGCACTATGTACTATGCACTATGTACTATGTACTTTGTATCCTTACCCAATATCCAGCATGCAGATGCCGAAATCGTGACTGATCGCGTATTTGCTTCCTTGCGTCAATGGGTTTCCATTTCTGATCCATTGCACTTTGAGATTCGGATCATTTAGTGGAGTGATTGATGCTTCCAAATGAATGTGATCACCTTCTTCGCATTCAATGTCACCCAATGGGGTCAAGATTTGCGGATGATCGTAAACGGCTGGCGCCTAGAAAAGTCTTATTTCCTTGGGTACACTTTTATCGTCCACTAAAGCACATTATAACGCTTAAGAGCTCTTTAAGAAGCCGGTCACAACTGCTCGTAACGACTACTTGTAACAACTGCTCGTAACAACTGGTTGTAACAACTGCTCGTAACAATTGCTTGTCACAACTGCTTGTCACAACTGCTTGTCACAACTGCTCGTAACAACTTCTTGTAACAACTTCTTGTAACAACTGGTTGTAACAACTGCTTGTAACAACTGCTCGTAACAACTGGTTGTAACAACTGCTTGTAACAATTGCTTGTAACAATTGCTTCTGTGGTCTAGTGGATAGTCTGCTTGGCTAGAAAATCTTTCACATGCTTTCCCCTGAAGTTCGAGTCAAACTCTCGTCAAACTTTTTTGCTCTTAAAACTTAACTTCTTTAAAAAAAAACTGTTTTCTGATATATGGCTTCTTAAAGAATCTAAAATTTCATCTCAGATTCTGCAAAAAAACTAAAAAACAGATTCGATCCATGAACGACTCTATGAACCAGTTTGACCAAGCAAAAAGCCAGTTTGATTTCTCTTTCTCTAGTACTTGAACAGTTTAACCAGCCCTGAAAATGGTAGAGTGGCGGCGCTCGTTTAGAACTGCTGACTTCAATTTCCCTTACCTCATCAGGCGCCGGTGCCTTGGGTGCTTCCAATTCTTGAATCCTCTTCCAACTCTCTTCGTGTCTCGTTTCCCCAATAATAGCCGATGTTCCGTCGACTCTCACCGCTGCACTGCTGGCCGCTTCTCCTTCCGAATTCGACAGTTTCACCGTGTAGATCCCCTCATGATCCGGGTTTACACTAAAAAAGAAAGACTCTTTTCTTGTAGAATTCGTTTTTAAGATGATATCCCAGTGATCTGGAGTGCACACTAGTTAGAGAGCTCATTCTGGAGTGCACACTAGTTAGAGAGCTCATTCTGGAGTGCACACTAGTTAGAGGGCTCATTCTGGAGTGCACACTAGTTAGAGAACTCATTCTGGAGTGCACACTAGTTAGAGAGCTCATTCGTTTACCTTAAGATGTCAAGCGTAGCCCAACCAAGTTCGTGTCTGGTTTGCACCAATTGTGAAGCGGGTAATGGATGACCGTTTCGCTCCCAGCTCACCTGAATGAATTGGATTTTTTGATAGCTTTAGATTTTTAGATCTTTAGATCTTTAGATCTTTAGCTCTTTAGATCTTTAGATCTTTAGCTCTTTAGATCTTTAGCTCTTTAGATCATTACCTCTTTAGCTCTTTAGATCTTTAGATCATTTCTTTAGAGTCGACAAAACGCAAAAAAGCTTTCTCTAAGTGCACTTTTTAGAAAGGATAGCTTGAAAATCGAGATAATCGATATAATCGAGTTACCGAACTCCAAAAATAGAGCTAAATAGAGCTAAATAGAGCTAAATAGAGCTAAATAGAGCTACATAGAATACGTAGTAAAACAAATGACGCACCTGCAATTGGGAATCTCTAGCCGGTTGGAAAGTGGCTTCGAGATGAACAGGTGATCCTTCTTGTACACCTTCGACCGATTGGAGTTGTTGCAAGAAATGCGGTTTCTCTTTGACCATCTCTTCCTCGACAATTTCGACGACTTTTGGCGCCTCGATCTCTTGAATTTTTTGCCACGATGCTGGGTGTTGACTCTCCGAAATGATACGCTCGTAGCCGGCAACCTTAAAGAAAATTTATTGAACAATTTGGTGACCATCGATATCATGCTTTTTGATGTTTGTTTAAAACCAGTCGACCGGCTAAAAAAGAAATTGGAAAGGAAGTAAAATTGCTAAAAGTATTCTGCTAAAGGAAAGTTCTGCGCTTTCGAGAAACATTTTCCCGTTCTTCTTCCATCTAAACCCTGTTCTCTTACCTTAACGGTGGCCGATGTGATCGCTTCTCCTTGCGCGTTCCAAACGCGACACGTGTAAACGCCAGAATCATGCGGCAACACGTGCACAATTGTCAGAATCACGTTGCCGAACTCGTACTCTTTACGGAATCTGGAAATTAAATCGATTTTGGGAATATACTGACGTTAGCAGGTAAGGATTAGGCTTAGGCTTAGGCCTGGGCTTAGGCCTGGGCTTAGGCTCAGGCTTAGGCTCAATAGTGGCCAGGACCCGACTCTAGGCTTAGCACTAATAGTAAGTGTTAGATCTAGCCCTGCTCTGGACCAGATCTGGTTAAATACCAGACCTGGTCCAGATCTGAACCTGGACAGGCCTTGGCTCGGTCTGGAACTAGCCTGCTCAGGCTTAGGCTCAGGCTTAGGCCTGGGCTTAGACTCAGGCTTAGGCTTAGGCTTGACTCTGGCTAGTTCGGCCTTGAAATAGCCCTGATCTGTTCTGACTTAAACCTAGAGCTAGCTGTCCAGCTGACCAACCGATTCGAATTCATCAGCGGCTGCCCATTCAGCAGCCATTCGACTCTCAATTGGGGATCACCGGACGGTTCAACCAGCCCGTGCAACTCGATCACTTCTCCCTCTTTCACGTCATCGAAATTCTCGAAACCCTGCACGAATTGTGGCTTCGAGAACTCGCGTTCCGGGGCCTCGATCTGGAAAAAGAAAGTGCGCCAAGCTCAAATCCCGTATTTCTTCTAATATTTCAACTCAGTAGCCGGTAAGGTCCAATAAAATTCGATCAAAATTCGATGCACATTACAATAACAATTCTATTTCCGGTCTAGGTACCGTAGAAGTATTCCAGTAAACAAAAGAAGCCCTTCAATTACCTCAATGAAAGTAAAAACGGTATCATTTGATCTGTAACGTTAACAGTATCGGCTATCAATTCTATTCTCTTGTTCATTAGAGTCTGATCAAAGTCCTCGTCTGATCCTCGGATCAAACGAGGACTTTGATCGTTGATCTTTGATCAAAGCAAGGAATTTCCCTTCAAAACTTACTTTTGCATATTTATCTAAAGCTTCCATCTCTTGAATCTTTCGCAGTGACTCCGGATGGGATGTATCCATTAATAAACTAAATATTTCAATGTAATACTGTAAGTTATTCATTCTTTTATTAAAGTAAAATGGTCGCGTCCGTTTCCTTCCTATTTGCGTTCCTATTTTGCAATTATTCGCGTCGCATTTTCGTCCTTTTTCTCCCTTCCCGAAATGATTTTTTTTTTTGGTCTGCGGGTTTTTTATTTTTGCCTTCTTTCTTGGGGAACTTAGAAACTTTGTTGTTTCATTTTTGCGAATGCTGTTTTTGTAATGGGTATTGTTGCATTTCGGCTCTGGTTTAAACAGTAACGTTTAAGCAGTTCTTTTTCGGTTTAAACAGTAACGTTATAAATTCACTTTGCTTTATGCTACCCCTTCAGGTTTTAAATTCTGCTTAGATAACTGGTTTTACTAACAATTTGTGTCACCATCGACGTAGTATCAATCCGATCCGTACTCTTCTCAAAGGGTATTAATCAATTGTTGGATACTACGTGTTCTTGTTACGTCAATGTCATTAATGGGTCGCGTCCGTTTCCTTCCTATTTGCGTTGCTATTTTGCAATTATTCGCGTCGCATTTTTCGCCCTTTTCTCCCTTCCCGAAATTGTTTTTCTTTTTGGTCTGCGGGTTGCTTTTGCCTTCTTTCTGGGAAGACTTGGTTGTTTCTTTTGATGCGCATGCGGTTGTTGTAATGGGTATTGTTGCATTTTGGTTTTGTACTAATAAACAGTAAAATTATAAATTCAACTTACTTTCTGCTACCCTTCAGGTTTTAAATCGTGTTTAGATAACTGGTTTAACATTGTAGAGAGAGCTTACTAACATTTGTGTCGCCACCCACGAGTATTAATCTTGTGTTGGATGCTGCGCGTTCTTGTTATGTTGTAAGCGCTTTGGGGAAACCCATTTAACCTTCTTTGTGCAATTCGGCTATTCTGAAGCAAAAATCATCCTCGATAATAAGGTTAAAGCGGGTCGCACCACAAACTAATGCTATTTTATTGAAAATCCTCATTTTCTAATGCTTTTAAGCGGTATAAACCCGTCTTTTTGACTTGGACACTTTTTTGACACTTTCTTTTTTCACTTACTCTTCCTCATTCCTGACAGTCACTTGTGCAGAGGTGACCGCGGCACCTTGTCCATTTGTGGCTCGACACGAATAAACGCCCGAGTGACGCGAGTTTGCTCCAGCGATTCGCAACGATACGCACCCAAAATCGTTTGTCGTCGCAATCGAGTTGGATTCTGGAAAATCAAAAAGGCTACATAAAAAGGCAAACCTGTACCCAACCCAATTCAACCAAGTGCCCCAACGCAAAAAACTCACCCATCAACGGCGCATCATTCCAGAACCACTCAATTCTCAGCGACGGATCATTCACCGGGATCACTTTCGCCTCCAAAAGCGCCACCCCACCCTCGGGCAAATTGTCCACGCTCTGAATTGAAAATTTTTGAAAATCTCATCAAGAAATGGGTGATCTGGAGCGCACAAAGGTTTACTATTGAAAGCACCTGCAATGGTTGGGTGAAGGTCGGCTTTTGGTAGACTGGCGAGGGTGCTTCCTCCGCCGCGGCTCTAGGAGCTTCCAGCTGAATTAAAGAATCGATTTTTAAATAGAAATCGATTATCTGGAACGCACAACGGGTAATTGATTGCTTAAAAAAACCTGTTGAATCCTTTGCCAGGACTGCTCATGCTGAGTGTCTCCGTAGATCGATGGTCGAGCCTCGCAAGAGAGACTGCCAGTCGTTTCGTCCTCACCGGCCTGCAAAATTGGTATAAAATTTACAGTACTCACTCAGGTACAATAATACAATACAGTACTCACATAGTACTTCGTCTCAAACACGAATTTCTATAGCTTTGAGCTTTCAGATCGAGTTCATCTTATAGAATTCTGTTTTTTTTTATGCGATATCTTCTTGCTAGAGAAGAAAGAGCAAATAAAAGGGAAGAAGAGGAAGGAAGAGGAGAAAGAGGAGATAAAAGGGAAGAAGAGGAAGGAAGAGAAGGAAGAGGAGATAAAAGGGGAAGAAGAGGAAGGAAGAGGAGAAAGAGGAGGTAAAAGGGAAGAAGAGGAAGGAAGAGGAGATAAAAGGGAAGAAGAGAAAGGAAGAGAAGGAAGAGGGAAAAGGAGAGAGGAAGGAAGAGGAGAAAGAGGAGATAAAAGGGAAGAAGAGAAAGGAAGAGAAGGAAGAGGAGATAAAAGGGAAGAAGAGGAAGGAAGAGGAGAAAGAGGAGATAAAAGGGAAGAAGAGGAAGGAAGAGAAGGAAGAGGAGATAAAAAGGGAAGAAGAGGAAGGAAGAGGAAGGAAGAGGAGAAAGAGGAGGAAAAGGGAAGAAGAGGAAGGAAGAGGAGAAAGAGGAGATAAAAGGGAAGAAGAGGAAGGAAGAAAACACTCGATAAGATCCACTCAATCTTAAATCGAAATCGCGCTCTATTTCCTTGAGCATTTCCTCATCAGTACGATATAAACCTTAAAAATCTTGCTTACTCGATTCTTAGCGACGCATTTGTACTCTCCATTGTCCTCGGAAAGTACATACTGTAAATCGAGAGTGACCAAGCCGAAGTCGTTTCTAAAAACGGAGATTTTAAAAACGAAAAACTGATTATCGGAAATTCGATACGTGCCTCCAATAAATAGTCCTTCGTCCGCCCCTTTTCCCTCTTACTTTGAGCTCAAATTTCTTGGCGTTGAGCTTTCCAATCAAAATCTTTTTCATTTCATTAGATGCGTAAAGTCTTTCTCTATCGATTGGTTGAAAAACTATTGAAATTGGATGGACCAATCCCGAGAAATTCGAGTTCAAAGTCGGATTGCCAATGAGAAAAGGGGGCGGGGCCTCGCGTATAAAAGGTCTCACAATAAGCTTTATCTGCTTTACTACCATCTACTAAAGCTATCGTACCTTAAAATCCTTCGGTTCGAGGCGGCCAACGGGGCTCCATTCAAGAACCATTGCACCGTGGTGGCTGGGTCGGCGAACGGAACGAACTGAAAAAAAAGAGAACTAGATGAGCCTCAGTTCCAATACAACCTTAGTAGCAAGTATTCTGGATGTCACAGTATCAAAAGTACAGTATCAAAAGCACATTATCAGAATCTCCAAAAGAATTCAGGTAATCTGGAGCTATGATAACAATAAAACAAAAAAAAAAATTTTTGTTAAAAATCAAAAATCCAAATCTCAAAAATTCTAGTGTGACATCCAGATCGAAGAAAAAAAGCAATTAAAATCAAATTGCTTTTACCAATTTTTGGAATCATCACGAACTCTCAGCCAATGCGGCGAAGATTTCTCTTAGGGCTATTAGACTTCTCCTAGGGCTATTAGACTTCTCCTTGCATTCGACCTAAGGAATTCTCTTTTCCCCCAAACAAACCTGAGCCTCAAAGTGCGCGGGTTGTCCCTCGATGACTCCGGAAGGGCTGTTCAATTGTCGAATGAATTTCGGTGGTCCATGTTGTTGCTCTTGTTGTTCTTGCGGTGCCTCTTTTGGTGCCTCTAATGCTTGAATTCTTTGCCAAGATGCTTCATTTTGAGCGTCTCCAAGAATCGCCGCATTTCCAGTCACTGCGAGTTGTGCTTCCACTCGAGCTTCACCCTTTTCATTCTTGGCGATCACCGTGTACGTGCCGGTGTCCTGAAAGTTGAGAAATGACGATTTTAACAATTTTATAAGTCAGCCTGACTTCCATAGTTGAGCTTTTGCTAGAGAAAAGTTGAGATTTACGTTAAATTTGGGAAAATAGCGATCAGAGAGTCGTACAAAAAAGTACGGTGACTACTGTATACAGTATTTTGAGCTTTTAAGAATCGTATGCGTTAGCGTGACTCCCAGAACAGCTTTACCTTTCATAAAATAATAGTTTTACCTCTCATAACATAACATTTTTACGGGAACGCGTTTTAAGGTACGGTAGCGAGAGCAATTTATGACTACGTGGACAGCTCTGTTCTGTGTATTGGATTTTAAAGAATTTCTCTAATTCCGACCTTTTGACTGCTATTCTACTACCGTATTTCCTCTAATAAACGCCCCCCCCCCTTGACCAACTTTGGACGCTTCGTTCTCAGCCCCATTTTGAGGTATTTTTATGTTTAATATATCAAAAGATAGCCCTTAATGTCTTCTATCTTTTGATATATTAAACATAAAAATATCTCCAAATGGAGCTGAGAACGAAGCGTCCAAAGTTGGTCAAGGGGGGGGGGGGCGTTTATTAGAGGAAATACGGTAGCAAAATTCGGCGGATTTTGGTAGATTTGTAGAGAGGAAACGAAGCTTTAAAGGATGCATTTGGCCTAAGCCCCGCCCCTTTTCCCATTGGAAATCCAACTTTGAGCTCAAATATCTTTGTGTTGAGCTGTCCAATTTCAATATTTTTAATATCATTAGATGCGTCTAGGCTTTCTCTATCGATTGATACAAAAAATATCTAAATTGAACAGCTCAACACCGAGAAATTCGAGTTCAAAGTCGGATTGTCAATGGGAAAAGGGGGCGAGCTCTACAAATGCCCTACAATCTTTTATAAAATGCGCTAGTGATCGTAACGTTTGCAACAAAATGTTAGCTTTCCAAAATCTCACCTCTGACACAACATGAGCAATATCCAAAGCAATGTATCCAAAATCAGCAGTCAACTTCATTCGGTTGCTATTCCCGAGCGGCGCTCCGTCCTTCAGCCACTCAATTCGCATCCGCGGATCGGTCATCGGCGTGACACGAGTCTAGAAATCGATGGATTTAAATGTTAGCAGCTAGCTGAGTATCTACTAGACAGACATAGGCAGACAGACAACTAGACAACTAGACAACTAGACATAGGAAAATTCCAATCCAAACCCAATTCCACCTTCGTTTTCTCGGCCGTTTCTTGGCCAATTGCTCTGAAATTTTGTCTACAGATCGAAATCGATATTTCCAGCTTTTAGACAAAATTTCAGAGCAATCGGCCAAGAAACGGCCGAGAAAACGAAGGTGGAATTAGGTTCGGGTTGGAATTTTCCCATGTCTAGTATCTACTGAAGTAAAGCCTACCCAATCTACAGAGTCTAAGTGGGTAACTACAGTAGTTATCAGGCCTACAGAATCTAGAGTCAAGCGTACTTAGCATCAAACGTACTTAGCATATCTAGTACTTAGCACAAAGCGTATTTAGCATCAAGCGCACTTAGCATATCTAGTACTTAGCATATCTAGTACTCAGCATACCTAGTACTTAGCATATCTAGTACTTAGCATGTCAAGTGTACGTATCTATCGTACTATCGACCTAGTTACTCACAGTCCCTATCAGCCTACATTTTAACCGTACGACAAGACCTATATGCTGCTTGTTTCAAGCTTTTCTGCTCACCTGGAAATGCGCTGATTGAAACTCGATGCGCTCCAGATTCTCCATTGGTTCAATGAATTGCGGTGCGTCGTGCTCAACGTCAGGCGCCTCAGCAGCTCCAGCTTTTGGCGCCTCGATCTCTTGAATCTTCTTCCAACTCTCTGGATGTTGTGTGTCCAAAAACAACGAGTTCCGCGCAGCAATTGTGAATGAAGTGAGCGTCTAGAATTGAGGAATTACATTTCGATTATAAATGATCTTTCTGGAAACGATTTTAGCAGTTTTAATTTTAACAGAGTCTAGACTTAAAAAGCAGCCTAATTCTGAAGTTATTACCTAAGAAAACTTGAAAGTTCTTTAGGTTAATTTCATTAGGCCAAGTTCATTAGGCTCATTTCATTAGGCCAAATTTCTATTCAAATTCAAATTCAAAAGCATTCGACCTTTTCTAATTGAAGTTACGATCGTGGGCAGCATTAGGAAAGCTACAATTTAAGCAATTCACTTACCGTATCCTCTCCCAACGCATTTCTCGCCACCGCCGACCATTCGCCAGTGTCTTGAGTGAAAGCGTATAAAATATCGAGTGCAACGTATCCAAAATCGTGTGTGGCTCGGAAACGATGACCATTCGCGAGCGGTGCTCCATCGTGAAACCATTGCACGTGTAAAGTATTATCGTTTGTTGGCTCAACTTGACACTCGAGATGAATCGGCACTCCTTCGACCAATTCACCCATCGAGCCAGCCAATGGAACGACGAAGCGTGGGGCAACCTGTAACTTGATCGTACTATATCGTACTATATCGTACTACATCGTACTATATCGTACTATATCGTAAACTGGCCCTACAAGTAAACTACAATTAAACTACAAGTCGCTATTGCTTGAAAAAACGATTACTGTACTCTGAAGGAGAGTTTGACGAGAGTAAGACTTGAATTTGAGGGTAAAAAATGTCATAAATTCGGTAGTTTGGTGAATTTTATGGTTTTAAGCTCGTTTAAGCTCGCTTAGACTCGTTTAAGCTCGCTTAGACTCGTTTAAGCTCGCTTAGACTCGTTTAAGCTCGCTTAGACTCGTTTAAGCTCGCTTAGACTCGTTTAAGCTCGCTTAGACTCGTTTAAGCTCGCTTAGACTCGTTTAAACTCGCTTAGACTAGCTTAGGCTCGCGAATTGTAAATTTTCGAAACCTGTTGCGCGTCCTCTTCGATCGGTTGTGGGAGTTGTCGATTCTCGATCTCTTGAACTTTCTGCCAACTCGTTTCATGATGTGGATCGAGCAAGAGGGATGCCGTTGGATCACACGTGACTTGGCAACGCGTTTCCGCCTCACCGAATTGAGAAATCGCCTGAAAATTGAAAAATTGACATTTGCATTGACATTGACATTGACAATTGCTACTTTTCGCCTTTACCTTTACCTTTTTACTCAAGTTACGCTTAAACTAGCAAATTCTTCAGGCATTTTAGTTTGATGCATTAAATTGACAGTGAATCTTGGTTTATACGAGCCTGGTTGAGCCGGGCCTTTCATTCCTCTCCAATTCAACGCGGAATTGCGAAAAATTGCGGAAATTCAACGCGGAAAACCCAATTTTTATTCTCATTTCAAATCTATATTTCGTTTTTGCTAAATGAAAATCTGCAAAGAGTTACAAGCGTCTAAAGTTTTCTCTGAAAAGCTGATCATTTGGGTCTTAGCGGCGTCTTAACGGTCTTCTTAACCGTCCGGTTCGTGTGTAGCCGTAGCCGAGTGGTAGAGCGTTGCTTTCAAGAGCCACACCGCACGAGTTCGATCCCGGCCTTGGGCCTTTGTTTTGCTTTTTTCAAGAAGTGCTGACAGGCTCAGCAAGTTGAGCTTCTCTGTCAATTTAAGACTTCTCATGTTTTCGCCGACCTTTGCTTGCGCTTGCTTCTTTGGCGGCCTCTTTGCAGTCCTGTTTCACTGCAGGCATGGCCGAATGGTATAGCTTTCGTTTCGACCTCACGGGTTCGATCCCCACTTCGGATCTTCTTTTGCTTTTTTCAAGAATTAACCAGTGTTCTTTGTACGACTTTATGGGCTTACGGCTTACGGCTTTACGGCTTTACGGCTTTATGGCTTTATGGCTTTATGGCTTTATGGCTTTATGGCTTTATGGCTTTATGGCTTTACGGCTTTACGGCTTTACGGCTTTACGGCTTACGGCTTACGTCTTACGTCTTACGTCTTACGTCTTACGTCTTACGGCTTTAGATGCGGTGCCGGGTTTAGGTATTGTACCGTAGCTGGTAAACGACTACTTTGCTGGTTTTATATTGATCACCAAATCATAGTCAAATCTTGCAAGCCCTGGGGTTTTAAATTGGCTTTTGTCTTTTTATCAAACGTTCTATCAAATCTGTCCTTACCTTGCACACATATTCTCCAGAGTCTCTAGCCGAGATGCCGAGAATATCCAAATGAACGAGATCGAGGTGACGTTGAGGCATGAAACGGGAAGCGTTCTCTAGCGGAGCTCCATTCAACGTCCAGAAGATCTGGAAAGGTTCAAAATACGGTAAAACGTTTAGGAAAATTTCTTACCTTTAAAGTCGGATCGTTGATCGGAACGAGTTTGCAGTCGAGCCGAATCGCGGCTCCTTCAGGTGGATTTCCGACATCTTGAAGCTGTTCGGTGAATTGCGGCGCAGGGAACGAGAGCTCCGGTGATGGTTCTCTAGAAATCGGGAAATCTGGCTGTCACACTAGCAATTTGGTACCTCAAATCCGGTCGATTCTCCATCTCCTGAATCTTGACCCATGATTGCTCGTGTTGAGTGTCAAGGTAGATGTTCTTTTTCGGGCGGCACTCGAGACTAAAGGAACTTTGGTATTACAGGTATTACAGGTATTACAGGCATTACGATCGTTCGTTTTGTCATCGAAAAATTGTGTACCTTTTTTGCAGACGTTTACCCGATAAACTACAAGAATACTACTTTCTAGAGTGATCGTAAATTATCGCCAAACAATTTTTGAGCTTTCTCTTGAGCTTTCTTTTGACTCTAGCTTCGCGAATCGGTTTAATTCCTTTTTAAAAAATGAAAATCACGTTGATTTTCTTTATAAAATTTGCAGGATAGTTGAAGGTTTTCAATTTAAAACTTGAAAAACTTGAAAAATGGTCTCAAAACAATCCTTTACCCGCAACTCAATGTGCAACTTTTCATGAACAGATTTTCCAATGCTTTTTCTCTTCTTTGAAGCTAGAGTCAAGATCTAGAGCAAAGCTAGATTCAAGAGCTAACCCAAACACTGCAAAGCGTCTCTAAAGCCTTTTTGCGAAGCTAGAATCAAGTTCTAGAGCGAAGCTAAAGTCAAGAGCTAACCCAAAAACTGCAAAAAATCTCCTCTTAAATCCGTACGTGATTTGCGAGTTTGCTTCTCCGGCATTGTTCACCGCTCGACACGTGTAAATGCCCGAGTCTTCCGGATGCACGTGCAAGAACTCAAGCCCAACATAGCCAAAGTCATGAATGGTGCGAATTCGACTCCCAAATTGGAGTGGATGATCGTTGTGGTACCTGGAAAATGATTGAGAATGATTGAGAGTTTACGTTTACGCTAATCTTCATTTAAACCGCCTCACCACTCAATTCGCAATGATGGATCGTTGATCGGCTGCACGACACAGTCCATATGAACGGATTGGCCCTCTTTCAGTACCTGCAAAAATGAGTAATGTGTACAAAAATCGACTATAGACGTAAACGTTTAAAGAAACAAAAGTCTAACGGGAGAGTAGGACAAATGCTACCTTTTTTTGCGCACCCAAACATTTGCGCACTTTTTTTTGCGCACCTAGTCCATTAGCGTAGCCCTTTTTTGCGCACCTAGCCCATTAGCGCAGCCCTTTTTTCACGCTTTAGCTAAAAAAAAAGCTCTAAAAAGCTTAATATTAACCAATTTCTATTTCAAAAGTTCCTTTTCTCGGGGATTTGAGGGCGTAGAATTGAAATTTTGACATAACAGAGCTTGTAAGAAAGTAAACGAACCGAGTTATACAGTACTGGACAATGAAATATGATATTTGAAAAAAGATCGTCACTTTCGCGCTTCTGTAACTCCCTTGTCTTTACCGTATTTCTAAATATTAATATTACCAATGTGTAGCCCTTGAAAAGAGCTTTCAGAAAATGTATAACACTAATAGTTTAAACTCAAAGACAACGGAGTTACAGACGCGCGAAAGTGACGATCGTTTTTTTAAATATGATATTTCATTGTCCAGTACTGTACATACAAAAATTGACAATTTTCTGTAATTTGACTTACCCGTTTTTGTCTTTCAAATTGATTTCACACGTTCTTTTATGTCCGAGCAGGGCTACCAGAAAATTATCAGAAACACATTTTCCAAAAAATAATCATTTTTGAGCTTTCAATTTAAAAATCACCCAACTCCCAAGTAATCAATTCAATTCAAAATCTTTTTGCACTATTTTGTAGAGAAGATTCGACGCTTTTGAACAGTATATAACCCTTATTGACTGAGGCTTGAAAACTTTTGATTTTTTGGAAAGATATGTGAGCGCTGGTTTCATTCCCATCACCATCACCCATCAATATTTACTTCTCAATTACCTCCGTTGGTCCTTGCAATTGCTGGGTGAAGCTGGGAATCTCCACTGGAGCATCTTCGTCACTGGGACGAGCTGGCTAAAAGAAAAATGGTTAATTAAATTTGTTTAAAATCACTTGTAACGCCTCCAGTTCCTGAATTCGTCGATATGACTCAGGATGAGCGGTATCGGTGAGGATCGAGTGCAAGCGTTCCACCTGAATGAGTGTTAGAGAGGCTATGGTAGAAAAGAGAGCTTGGGCTCAGTCTTGGACTTAGTGTGAAGGCTAGCGGCTAGCGCCCCGCACTAAGTCTATTTGGGTTTGGCTAAACCCCCATTTTCTGGATCTCGGCCAGTTCTCAGAGCTAAGGAACAAGCGCTTGGCGATGCTCATGCGCCCCCTTGGGTTTAAGCTTAGGCTTAGACTTAGACTTAGACTTAGACTTAGACTTAGACTTAGGCTTAGGCATAGGCTTAGACGTAAGCGTAGGCTCAGGCTTAGGCTTAGGCTTAAAGACTATATGTATTACAAAGAGCTGAAATTATATCTGCAAATACCCAGACTGAATACCCAGACTATTCCGGTTCAATTACCCAACTTTGGCTACTTATAAAAGTGCCTAAGTGTCTCAATTCATGAAATTTCTCCAATAGCTTTAGCCGTTACTCTACGGATTGCCTGATTCATCAAAACTCCAATTTCAATGCTGCAAACTAGTCCGTGACATCCAGCATTAACAAATGCGAATCCCTTTACCTGAATCCTTGTTCCCGTTTCGACTTGTCCCGCGTCATTTGTCACTCTCAACGTGTACTCTCCCTCATCATCTCCAATAATGTAATCGATATCCAAAAAGATGAACCCGAAATCATTAGACATACGGTAACGAGAGCTATGCTAAAAAGAAAGAGAAATTGATTGATTGAAGAAAAGAGAAACACAAACCTTTAACGGGAAACCATTGAAAAACCATTCGTATCGCATCGAATTATCATCGATTGGAGAAACCTGAAAATGGGAATTTTGAAAACTTTTGATCATTTCCGTTAAGCTACAAATTTCCCAGTGTTTTCCTTTGCCTTAAAACTCATAAAAGTTTAGTGTTACACTTTTTGGTAGCCACACTACAACGGGACGCTGTTCTGGTAAGCTAAAATTCGCTCAGACTCTCGTAAACGCATTCTTTCTAATGTACTACTAGTAAGATGGCTTTTAAAACAGAAAACTGCCACTTCTAATCTCCATCTTGTAGAGAATTCCACCGAGAATCCGATACAAATAATCCATTTTAGTTTTTATCCTTAACACCTAACATTTAGCAAAAAAAATGCTATTTGAGCAAAGTGAAAATGCAAAAATTTAAGCTAAAAATGTCTATTTGACGCGTGTAACAGATCCCTTAATGGTGTACTGGATAAGGGGCTTGTTTCAAGAGCAAACTGTGCTCCCTTTTGCTCGGGTTCAATTCCTTTTGCAGCCAAATCTTGCTTTTTGTTTATTTAGGTTTTTTCATTATTGAATATTTAATATTCAATGTATCCGAGTTTTTGAATAAGTTAGTCACGCTTTGAAAGCTCATAACTTTGTTATAACTTTGTTATAACTTTGCCATAACTTTGTCCTAACTTTGTCATAACTTTGTCATAACTTTGTCATAACTTTGTCATAACTTTGTCATAACTTTGCCATAACTTTACCTAGCGATAATATTGGCGTCATCTTTTTCTATAGTTTTATAGAAGAGACATGAGGCTTTAGAATGATCAAAAGGAGAGCTTGATTGAACTAATAAATCCTGAGAAAACAGTAGCTAATAGCAGCTAAAAAAACTAGGGAACAATCAGATTTCGTAAGCGCGAATCGCAAGCGACCCTTTCAAACAAAGTCATCTAGTTTTAGTTCGGATTGCGAAATCTGACCGTTCCTCAATATTGCCGGATTGTTTGTAGTATCGCTGGATTTGCCAATCAAGCTCTTGTATCATTCAAAAAGCCTGAAACTCGATAAAACTGTGTAAAAAGTTCATAAAATCGTATTTCTCTAAGAATTTCTGAACTCTCAAAGCTGACGATTAACTAATAAGGTCATTCCCATTCACTGATCTTTCTTACTACATATTTTCACGAACCTGTGCTTCTAAATGCAGGCATTGACTCTCATGGACGATTTGTGCTTCTCCTGGCAATCCCTTCAACAATTGCGGGGCTTCACGAGGTCGATCAGCGGCTGGTTCAGCTCTCTGTTGGGGTGTTTCAAGCTCAGTGATCCGCGCTAGCGATGACGGATGAAGTGAGTCGGTCATCTGGAAAAATCATAAATGAACTAATAGCTACCAAGAATCCTAAAGGAAGTGAGCAAAGATTTTTCGTGATTACGCCAGTGTGCACTCCAGTTTATTGTTTAGTCTCTTTATTACAGTACATTGAATAGTCTTTGATTGTTTCGACAATTGAATACTGTAGCCGCGCTGTAGCAAAGCTTTTTCAAATTGGGTAAATGCGCAAAGATTTTTCGTGATTCGGCCAGTGTGCACTCCAGCTTATTGTTTTAAATGGAAATTTTCCCTAGTTTACGTTCATTAGAGCCTCAAAATCACTTACCAAAGATCCCTTTGGTCCACAACGGATGTTCATCGAGCTACGAGCTTCACCAGCTGCATTTCGGACTAGAAAAAACAATACAATAGTTCTTTAATTCAGATTTAATTCAGATAATACGATAGTTCAGATAAAACGTCTAAAAACGAACTTTACTATTCAAAAAAAAACCCACCGACAAGTGTGTATTCCCCAGAATCCTCGGGATAAACGTACAAAATGTTCAAAGCAGCATAGCCAAAATCTTGACTAAGCACATAGCGATGCGCTTTCATCAGCGGATTCCCATTCAAAAGCCATTCATACTAAAATTGGGTATTTTAAAATAAATTCTACAATTCTAAAATCAATTCTACAATTCCAAAATCAATTCTACAATTCTAAAATCAATTCCTCAAGCAATTGTATTGTTTTTTTTTGTTTTTTTTTTTTAAAATATTAGATTTACAACTTGAAAGTTTGTACACTTTATTCATTGAAATTTCTAGAAATATTAGGTGCGTGAAAAAAGTAATCCACGCTTTTAATTTTTATTTTGTTTAAACAAATATATCTAAACAATTTTTAATTTTTTGCTAACGATATTACGATACGATAACGATATCCTATATATCGTTTAAAAGCTTATTTTTTTCCTCTTTCGAATAATATATTCATTTTGTTAAAAGGACGACAATAAACTACTTTCATTTTAGTTTGAAAATGGTATACACAAGTATCGCTATTCGGTCAAATTTGCTTTATGAGTTCAAAAATGGGTTGAAAGCTGCGGAGGCTGCACGTCGAATTCGGAATGCGTTTGGCGAAGACGCCGTTACTGATGATACCGCTAGGTTTTGGTTTCAACGATTCAAAGGTGGTAATGAAAGCCTAGAAGATGAACCACGTGGCGGTCGCCCTGAGACCTGTTCGGATGACCAAATAAGACGCTGTCTTCTCGAAAACCCTCGTTCAACCTCTTCAGAAATAGGCCTTACATTAAATTGTGATGGGTCAACCGTAAGGAAACGCTTGAATGCCATGAATTTTATCAAAAAGTTGGACAAATGGATACCGCATAAATGTTAAAAACGTGGATTACTTTTTCACACACCTAATAGTTATTTAACACCTAGAAATGCACCAATTTACAATTTACATCCAATCAACTACAATTTTTATCAACTAAAATCAACCCAATCAACTAAAAAGGTCCATTTATTCTCAAAGTTTTTGAAAAACTTCGAAAAGCTTCAGTTTTATAGGTTTCTAGAGGGGAAAGAAGTTGAGAAACAAGAAAAAAAAAGAAAGAAGTTTTCAAGAAGTTAAGAGTTTTCAATCTTTTTAAGAGTTTCTTAAGAGCTTTCTAAGCATTTAAGCGTTTAAGAGATATATTTAGTATTTGAAAGATTCCTAAACATTTCTAAATCATTTCTTAAATTAGATAATATAAAACTTTTATTTAGTTGAGACTAATTCAATTGGCGTATTAAATTGGCGTCTGTGTCATGGAAAAAGACGAAAAAGTGTCCAAACTTTCAAGTTACCCATCTAATCCATTCAGTATGCCTTAAAGTCTAGCAATCGATTACCATAGTCCCTAGCTCCAGTACTAGTTACCCAGTCGACTATCTCCTAAACAGAGTCACCGATTTATGTACTTATTTAGGTCACAGAAGCGATAGCTTTGCTTTGCTTTACCCTTGCTTAGTTCAATAATTTGAAATCCACTCACCGTCAACGTGTTGTCATCAGTGGGAGTGACTTGAGCCTCGATATAGATGTTGTCACCTTCTTCCAGCTCGGCGTCTGGTCCAATCGGTTTCACGAAAGCCGGAGCCTCAAAATTGAATTAATGAACTATTTGCTTGAATGCTAGAATGCTAGAATACTAGAATGCTAGAATGCTAGAATGCTAGAATGCTAGAATGCTAGAATGCTAGAATGCTAGAATGCTAGAATGCTAGAATGCTAGAATACTAGAATGCTAGAATGCTAGAATGCTAGAATGCTAGAATACTAGAATGCTAGAATGCTAGAATGCTAGAATGCTAGAATGCTAGAATGCTAGAATGCTAGAATGCTAGAATGCTAGAATACTAGAATGCTAGAATGCTAGAATACTAGAATGCTCGAATGCTAGAATGCTAGAATGCTAGATTGCTAGAATGCTAGAATAGATTAGAGTTCTAGAGTCTGTTAAATAGCTAAATAGCAAAATACTTCTTTTTGAGCCTCGGGTTGCTCCTCTTCGATCGGTTTCGGCAATTCCATTTCCTGAATTTTCTGATAGGAGACTGGGTGCTGCGTTTGGCCGAGGATTCCATCTTTCGCTGAAAAGGGAAAAGATTAGAACAATATTCATAAATTTAAACATTTTTAGAGTACTTTAACCCAGACAAAAATCCTTATTTAAGTTAAAAAAAAAACGCGTGAAAATCTGCTCTCAATTTCTCGGCTATTTTTTTTCTAAACAATGACCTCTTTCTACCGTATTCTTGTCTTTATTTTTTTCTCGAATCTCTCGACTTTTTGGTTTTGTCTCAAAAGCTACAAAAAAAGAACAGAATTCGAGTCAAAAAGTGGTTAGATTTGATGAGAATTTGAGACAAGATTACGGTAGAAATGGGGGAAAAGGGGGGGGGGGGCACGATTTAGAAAAGAATCTAACAGATGCTATCATTTACAGTAATCCTTACCATTTTCCACTCTCCTAAATGGACTTAAATGGGGCATTGTGGGTCCAGTAGTACCCCTGTCCTCGGATGGAAGCACTCCGGCGAGTTTCAAGTACGGATTTCGATGTGCTAGCTCATCATTATTCGGTTGCATCGATGAATGAAACGAATAAGCACCATGAACCGGATTTTTCATCAATCTTTGCGAATCCTGGATGTCATCAAAGCTTTTTGGCGAGTTTCCCTTTTTCTCGCCGACTTTCGGAATTTTCACTCCAAGAATAGCCATTCTTGTCGAAGCCGAAGCTTTTGGCGAGATTTGCATTCTTGGAGAGATCAGGCTCGGGGATCTTACATTTTGGCTATCACGGCGTACTGTAATGGGCAAATCGAGTAGTTTTGACTCGTTCTGGGTACTGTAGCGTACGGTAGCCGGGTGCAGTTTATCGAATTGCGCGCTTTGGCCAGGATTTATCGCGATTGGCAAAGTGTGCGCTCCAGGATTTTGTTGAGGCGATAAAGCTGGTTGAATCACGGTGATCGGTACATTGTACGGTCTTGGGGAAGCCCACGAGCTCCCATGGGTTACGGTGGCCGGGTAGTAGCCTCTTGGGGATACGGTAATCGGCACTTTATGTAAATCGGCGTCTCCTGGTGTCACGATATTCCCCACATTTCTCGGGGATACGGTAGCCGGGGAGCACACTTTAGGCGAGTGGGCCCTCGGGGGTACGGTAGACGGTCCATAGACTAGAGCATACGGTGATGCCTGGCTCCGATCCACATAGTTAGGCGATTTTTGAGGAACATGACTTCCAGGATTGTGATAAGTGTAGCCATTCGGGGATTTCTGAGTCGGAGACGGCTGGGATCGGGTCGAATAGGTGAATTGGTCGGCCATCGATTGTTTTTATGAATCAGGCAATTCTAGATCGAAAAAATAGTAGAATGGTGGAAATGGATGCGCACTAGAAATTCGGAACTTCTTGAAATCTACGTTTTTTTTGTCGAATTTGACCTTTTAGCACTGAAAGACACCGATTTTTGGTTTGTGCGTAGCAGCCCGGAGTCGGTGACTGACGAAAGTCGCTACTTCGTGCTCCAATTACCGTAGTTCAATAGAATGCGTTCCAGGATGGTCAATTAGTTGAATAAAATTTTGATTTGAGTAGTAATCGAGCTAGAAACGGGTTGAAATCAAGCTTTGAACCAGTTAAGGCCAAAATCGAAAATTTTCCCAATTTCTCCTTGTAATCTTCTAAATTGTGTTCCAGAATGGTTAAATCAATAAAAAAGAAATGGAATTTATTTCCAATTAGCCGAAGAATTTAGGACGATACTGTTGGAAGAGTGTTTCAAGCCTGCAGTTGCGGTGGAAAGAGGGAAAAGTTGCAGAAAAGGGGAAAAGAGGGAAAAAGGAGGCCATTTCTTGTCTTTTTCCAACTTTTCCCCTTCAAGCACGGGTGCTAAGCCTGGGGGAAAACAGAGAATTGGGCGTGGAGGGGGACGCAGGTATTCCCGAGAATGCATGACTCGCTGAATCGCTGCCTCGCTGACTCGGTGACTCAAAGAATCAAAGACTTTTGTCCAAGCAAGAGACCGAGAAATTTGAGACTGCGTTGATTGTTTGCAATTTCTTTTTGCAGGCTGTAGTCAACTGGAAGAACTAAGAACTTTTTTGTAGCTTTTATAATCGATCGATCGACTGAAAGGATCAGTGCGTTGGAACTAGAAATAGTTATTGATCGAAATCGAATTTTTATGACTGTTTGAGAATATTTGGAACATAAAAAAGCCAAACAGAGCATTTTCATTTTTATTTTCTGCTGGGTTTCATTGCAAAAGCAGTTAGCTTTCCGTAGCTTTCCGTAGTTAGCTTTCCGTACTTTCCGTAGTTAGCTTTCCGTACTTTCCGTAGCTTTCCGTACTTTCCGTAGTTAGCTTTCCGTACTTTCCGTAGCTTTCCGTACTTTCCGTAGTTAGCTTTCCGTAGCTTTCCGTAGTTAGCTTTCCGTACTTTCCGTAGTTAGCTTTCCGTACTTTCCGTAGCTTTCCGTACTTTCCGTAGTTAGCTTTCCGTACTTTCCGTAGCTTTCCGTACTTTCCGTAGTTAGCTTTCCGTACTTTCCGTAGTTAGCTAGTTAGTTAGAGTAAATACCGTGATTTGAGCAAAAAAACTGTTTGTTCAAGAGAAAACTTTGAAGCCCCATAATTTTTTTTCTTTTTATCCAATCTTTCTAATTTAAAAAATTTAACATAATTATTAATGATTCTGCGTTGAATGATACCAAATACTTGATGGTTGGACGCTCCTAGACCCACTCATTCACAATCGGCTACGTAAACATTAGAGTTGTTCATATTTTGAATGAATTCTGAAACCTTGACTTTTGAAATGGCTCAAGATTTAGAGCCACCCCAAACTCGAGTCTTTAATCAATTCAATCAATTCAATCGTTCAATCAATTCAAAATCGATTAAACTAGAAGATTTTCACAAACAAACTATCAAACTTGGCAGATCAACTATCAAACAACCAACAAAAAAAAAGATTTTCGCAAACTTGGCAGCCAAGTTATCCTATTGATCTCCGGATTGATCATTTTCAATATTGAATATGATGAAAAAATGACCTCGACAAATGAATCTCGTTGCTGTTGTTGCCTGCCCAAGAGAGTTCTCAGCGACACACGAGTATTCGCCCGAATCCTGAGCATAGACGCCAAGAATGTCCAATGAAACGTAGCCAAAATCGTAGAAAGTGCGGAAACGGTGACCTGAAATGAAATGAAATGAAAAAAAAAAGATTATTTTCTCTAGCTGTTTGCCTCTAGACTAAAGAGAATTTCATAAAAATCGTGATGTACTTTGTGCTTTGTGCTCCGAAACGCACGCCTTTTGGTTCACTTTTGGTTCACTCTACAATTCTCTTTTCTCTAGAGCTCTCGTTTTTTTTTGCGCTCGACTTGTTCACCAAAATTTGTTTATCGAATTTTCGATGTTTGGCCGACATTTTCTTAAGGAAATAAAGGTTAATTCATAGTTTTTAAAAACATAGGCACAGTTTGATCTAAAAGAATTGCAAATTTGACTTGTTTATCTATTTTTGAGTTAACTTATATATCCGAACCATATTGGAACCATACCGGAACCATATTGGAACCATATAGGAACCATATTGGAACCATACCGGAACCGTATTGGAACCATATTGGAACCAGATTGGAACCGTATTGGAACCGTATTGGAACCATATTGGAACCGTATCCGAATCATATTTGAACCATATTGGAACCATATTGGAACCAGATTGGAACCATATTGGAACCGTATTGGAACCATATTGGAACCATACCGGAACCATATAGGAACCGTATCCGAACCATATTGGAACCAGATTGGAACCGTATTTGAACCGTATTGGAACCATATTGGAACCATATTGGAACCATATAGGAACCGTATCCGAACCATATTGGAACCTTATAGGAACCGTATCCGAACCATATTGGAACCAGATTGGAACCGTATCCGAATCATATTGGAACCATATTGGAACCATGGAACTCACAGGAAACTTTACAAAATGAGGAAAGATCATTTTGGGCAAAATGACGAAAGATCATCTGATCAAAATGAGCAAAAGTTCAAATTTCAAGTTCAAAGATGTTAAAATTCCGTTTTTCTCTCGAATTTTCTATCTCTCGCATCTTCTATATTTGTTTAAACTGGCTAGCTAAACGACAAAACGCTTAAACGAACCGTGTGGAATCGGTCGACCATCTCTCATCCACGTGATCTTCAACGAGTTGTCGTTATACGGTCGAACTTGACACTCCAAATGGAGGGGCTCGGATTCTTCGACCTAAAAAAACAATGGTTAATTGCAATTCACATCAAACAGAGCTACAAATCAGATCAAGAGCTGACCTAGCCGGAAGCCGGAAGAACTCTAGCCGGTAGAACTCTAGCTGGCAGAACTCTAGCCGGCAGAACTCTAGCCGGCAGAACTCTAACCGGCAGAACTCTAACCGGCAGAACTCTAGTCGGCAGAACTCTAGCCGGTAGAACTCTAGCCGGAATACTCTAGCCGGAAGAACTCCTCTCCAGAACTCCAGAACATTAAAAGCTCAGGGTCATTCGACTCACCTCTCCGAGATCTTGTGGCAATTGCAGGATGAAGACGGGTGGTCCTTCGGGTGCAACTTCTTCAATCTCACCCCTCGCATACTTGTTCAAATTCTCCAAATAGTTGATCTTTCCAAGCGATTCCTCGTGTTGTGTGTTGTCCAGAATCGTGCCCAGGGCTAGAATTTTCTAGATTTTCTTGAAAAAATGACACTCACGAAGGACGATAACGGTGCACTCGCGTTTCGCCTCTCCCAGCGCATTCCTCGCCACTAGGGTGTACGTGCCCGAGTCTTCAGCAATAGCTCCTTTAACATCCAGGGCAACGAAACCAAACTCATACATGGCTTTCACACGACTTCCGGTCAACAATGGATGTCCATTCACAAACCATTCAATCACCATCGTTGGATCATTTACGGGAGTCACCTGGAAAGAGAAAATTGAAGTTTTCGGAGTTACTTTAGTTTCAAAAAAAGCCGCTTCACTTGAAAGCTATTGATTTTAGCGTAAATTTGGCGTAATTTTGGCGTAAATTTGGCGTAAATCTGACAAGATAAATCCCGAATCCGATAAAACACTCACCCGAACATCTAAATGAATATCGTCGTGCTCATTGATTTGCATATTCTGGAGATCACCGAGGAATTGTGGTGCACCGCTGCACCCTCGTTCTTCATCCTAAACCATACGACAATAATCCACTACGCTACAAAACGCAGATACAATACAATACTAAAAGTCAACCTTTCAACACTTGACTTTGAAGCCTTTCACTTAACTATCACTTAACTTTCACTTAACTTTCAATAAAAACAACTCACCTCTTCTAATTGTCCAATCCTTGAGTGCTCAAGTTGTTCAATTCGAGCTAAGCCTTCTGGATGATGGGGATCCAGGTAGAGGGATTTCTCCGAAAGCACAGACAACTCAAGATTGCATTGACATTCGCCCAATTCATTACGCGCCACCTAAAAATGAGTTTTTCCTTTGATTCACTGCAAGGAAAACAGCATTTTGCTCTTTTTCTTTAGGTTAATTTGAAGAGCAATGTTGAAGAGCTAGATGCTAATAAAAGATTGAGACAAACCAATGTATATGTGCCAGAGTCTTCCGGATACGCGTAGAGAATGTCCAAGGCGGCGTAGCCAAAGTCGAACATTGGACGGAAACGATGTGCTGCGGCCAATGGGTGACCGTTGTGGAACCTGAATTTCTCAAATAAAATGAAAGTTTACACAATTTTCACAATTTTCCCAATTTTCACAACTCAATACAAAACTTATTGTCTTTTAAGGGATTATCCGAAAATTTTTTCATCACTTATTTTGAGAAGAATTTGAGTTTGCAAGAAAAAGAGCTTGATTTGCTATTGCTGGAAACGTAAACATTCAACAATGTGTGCTTATTATTGCAATAATTACAATGAAATGCAATTCAATTTCAGACCTATTGACTGAAGGAATTATTGTAGACAATACTGATAACTTTCATAGTTTTTAATAAACAAAAGAAAATTAAAAACGTCTTTCATTTTGCCGATTTTATTAGGTTAATTTCTTCTCCTTCCGGCAGTATTCGTGGATTAAAATTGATTGGTGACCTAGGTGCTCCACTAGTTCCGTTCGATGCTCCAACTTTGAACGTCTCCAACGTCTGCTTCAACTTTGGTATTTTGCCCTGTCGGACGGCAAATTGTGCGTCTTTCGCTTTTACCGTATTTTCTCTAATAGCATTGCACTAATGGTACACTTTCAAAGCTTTCACAAAAGCTCAACACTCAAATCCCCCCACTAGATCTGGTCGTCAGCTACATTTTCCGATGCCACATCGATAGGTTCTGATAAGTGGTTCTCGAGATTTCGAAATTTCGAGCAATTTAGGCGACGCTCTGGATGCACTACTATTAGAGAAAATACGATATTCGCTCATTCTAACTCACCACTCGACTCGCATCTTCACATCGCTCGCCGGCTGGATTCGCGCCTCAAAGTGAACCGGCTCGTTTTCAGTAACCTAGAAAGTAAACCATTGTAGAAAGGCTGTAAGCAAGGTTAGAAAGGCAGATTCAGCTCTGGAAGTCCTTTTTAGACTTTAGAAAAGCTACATGGCTCTAGTTTTAAAATAACTACAATTGAATAATTTTAGTTTTCAAATTTCGCTACTCTTCGCCGACTCACCTCAATTTTATCCTGCAATGTTCTCGCGAATCTTGGGGTTTCCAAAGAGTGCTCTTCTTCGGGACGGACAACGGGCATCGGTCCAATGTGGATTTGATGAGAATCAAGGTAGCCAATGATCGGCAGACTCTCTCCGTGCTGAGACTCGAGTTTAAGCACCTCAGTCTAGAATTGAAAGATTGAAAGATTGAAAGATTTGAAAGTGGTTAAAGTTTGTCTTTGTCAGTGATCCTAGCTTTAATAAAGAAAAAAAAATCCTAGCATTTCTAAGCCCTTAAAAAATCCACAGCATTAATTCTACCGTTCTCCTAGTTTACCATAACGATTTTAGCTGAATAGTTGAATTTTTGACTATCGGATCTTTACCTGATACGTGGTCAACTCGGCATTCGCTTGCGCTGTACCCATGACATTATGGAGTACGCAAGTGTACACGCCAGCATCCTCGGGGTACGTTGGATGAATGGTGAGCGAGACATGACCAAAATGAACCCCCGTTTGAATGCGATTCGCGTTCGGCATCGCTTGCCCGTTTTTCAGCCACGAGACCTAGAAATTTGCGATATTTGAGCTGTTATAAGATCTAGAGTAGTAGTTTAGCTATCAAAATCTGCTATCATTCTTTTTTAGGATCTGGAAAATGATCCCTATGCCCATTTGTACAGGTCTAAGAATGGCCGAATCTATAAGAAAGGCCAGGTAGGGCTAGGCTAGGATAGGCTAGGCTAGGCTAGGCTAGGCCAGGTAGAGCTAGGTCAGGCTAGGCTAGGCCAGGCTAAGCTTGGCTAGACTAGGCTAAGCTAGGCTAGGCTAAGCTTGGCTAGACTAAGCCAGAGCCAGGCAATAACTCTAAACCTGACTCCTGCATTGAAGCTAGATTAGCTCAAGCAAGTTCTGGCTCTGCTAGATCGAAAAAATTCTTTAGAACATTTCCTGTCCAGGACTAGGAAATGAATTGCCAGTTTATCTGCTATAGTTGCAAGTTCAATGAGCTTAAGCAGCAGCAATCTCTATGCATTTAAAAGCTCAACCCTTACCCTTAAACTCGGATCGTTGACGGGAGTGATGGTTGCCTCAAAATACGATCGTCCTAGCTCTTGCTCACAATGGTAGTTGATCGGTGAGCGAATGAATTTCGGGGCTTCTCCATCGTTTCCCCCACGATGTGTCAACTCTCGAACATCATCCACATCCAGATTCGCTTGATATTGCAACAAAGTCGACTTTGCTGAAAAATTTATAGCCATTTAAATGAGTTTCATATTTGATCAGTTCAATAGGCAACTGAGCTACTTTTCTAGTTTTCTTAAAAGCGGATAAAGCTATCGTAGTCGTTGAAACGAAGCCAAGATAGCTACAGGTGGATTTGGCTGAAATTTTAGCCGAAAGCTCTTAGCTGCAGTACTTTCGACAACTACTGTAAGCCGGTGCTCAACTACAATATTCTCTCAGTGGCCTACTGTTCTCTGGCTTACAAAAAACCGTAATCTTTTAGTACTTTATGCCTAGCGTATGTAGAGCTTAAAATTTGCTTAAAAGAACTTACGATGAATAAGGATATCACAGCTTTGATCAGCGCTTCCGAGATCATTCGAGGCGACCACCGTGTAGAAACCGGCATCGCCCGACTGTGCGTCAGCGATGTCCAAACAGACGAAACCGTAAGCGGATGAGGTGCGATGACGAGCAGCTGAAGAAATATGTATATTGTAGTTTGTGTGAGATTTGATACGCGCCCGCCCCTTCTCCCATCGACAATCCAACTTTGAGCTCAGATATCTTTGTGTTGAGCTGTCGAATTTAAATCTTTTTGATATCATTAGATGCGTCTAGGCTTTCTCTATCGATTGGTACAAAAACTATTGAAATTGGACCACCCAACACGAGGATATTTGAGTTTAAAGTTAGATTGCCAATCGCAAAGGGGTCGGGGCGGGTATAAAAGGTCTTTCTGGCCAATAGTTTTTGTATCAATCGATAGAGAAAGACTTGGCGCATCCAGTGAAACCAAGAATATTGAAATTAGACAGCTCAATCCCAAGAAATTTCAACTCAAACTTAGATTGCCAATGGCAAAAGGGGCCGAGTTTTGGGATCTTTTACCGCCCCGCCCCTTTTCCCATCGGCTATCCAACTTTGAGCTCAAATTTCTTGGCTTTGGCCCATCCAATTTCAATAGTTTTTGTACCAATCGATAGAGAAAGACTTGGCGCATCCAGTGATACCAAGAATATTAAAATTAGACAGCTCAACACAAAGATATTTGAGCTCAAACTTAGATTGCCAATGGGAAAAGGGGCCGGGCTTGTCTCAAATCTCCGATAATCATTATCCTAGCTAGCAGTGGCTACGGTAGCTAGCATCGCAACTTCCGGTGCACAAAACTTTGGTGCTTTTTTTTCGGTTTCCCTAGTTCCATAGCCGTATCTCTGAAATTTCCCTGAACCTTCTAAAGTGCACTTTTAGCTACCGTAGCCGCAGCTCTAGCTTCCGAATTTCTCCCCAAGAAAACCGACTTTCTGGCAACGGTTGTCCGTTGAGAAACCACTGCACGTAGAGATTTGGATCGTTGATCGGGGTGATCTAAAGAAAATTTCGTTATTAGATTCCATTATCCTGCGCTAATTGACTATTTAAGATCTTGAAAATGTTAAATCTGAGTTAGTTAAATCTCTACAAAGTTAAATCTGATACAAACCTTGCACTCCAAATGAATCGGATGCCCTTCGAAAACCTCGTGACTTCGCAAATCCGAGTGAAAGTTGGGCACCTCGGGCACTCCGCCAGCACCACCACCGATCATCGACGCTGTCATCGAGCCATACATTTGCCCACCCATTTCTTGGCCAACCGTACGCGGTGAAGGAGCGACTTGAGCGTGACCGAGCACCTAGAATTTCGAGAAATGAAGCTAAAAGGTTAAAATTGAGGTTAAAATTGATATACCAAACCTAATAGAACGCCACATCTAGTCTGACTTCTTTTTAATTTTTTCTCAGCCCTAGATTTTCTTAACTAAACTTTTGATATCAAAAAATATACTAGATTTCAAGGGCTATCATTTGACACCAAAGCGCATACTATAGCTTAAAGCAGCGCGGAGAACGGGACGTTTAAAGTTAGACGCGACTACGCGACTACGCGACTGTACGCTCATCATTATGGCGTTCTATTAGAGTGTTTACTAGATAGTTAACTAGGCAAACATGAAGGTGAAGGCTATCGTAAATCCTGTAATAGCCATAATGATGGTGAGGAGTGTTGCGTAGTCTAGCTTTGAACGCGTTTTTCTAGACACTGATTTAAGCTACGATGTCCACTTAGGGATCAAAAAATAGCTGAAATTCAGCACTATTTTTTTTTTCGCTTGCTTTGAATACTAAAAGAACTTGCGCCTACGCAAATGTACTATCACAGTGTTTACAATAGGCTAGGCTTTAGCCTATTATGGCCTTCACCAGGGCTTACCTGCAGTGTCGTCGACAATCGCGCTTCTCCAGCCGTGTTCACAGCGACAATCGTGTACTCGCCTTGGTCAAAAACGTTGATCGGATTGATTTCTAAGACAGCAACGCCGAATTCGCTCAATGTGGCGACACGAGATGATGCGAGAAGAGCACGACCGTCCTAGAAAACATTCTTTTACGATAATTTGCTTAAGAATATGATAACATTAAGCATATAACAACGATCTTTTTTCAAGAACCGCAAAATTTGATAAGAGTTTACTCTGACTAATGGAAAAGCTTAACTGACATCCAATTAAGCCACTAATGTTAGAATGATGATTCTAAAAGCTTAAATAACATCCAATTAAGCCACTAATGTTACAACAACGATTGTAAAAGCTCTACTGACATCCAATTAAGCCATTAATGTTACAATAACAATTCTAAAAGCTCAACTGACATCCAATTAAGCCACTAATGTTACAATAACAATTCTAAAAGCTCAACTTTAAAAGCTTAAAAGCTCAACTGACACCTAATTAAACCAATAATGCAAAAATCTAATTCAAATTAGAAACTTTAACCATAAGTGACCAAATTGGCTATCACTAGGTTGTTTTACACCGGTTTTAATCATCATTGTAACATTAGTGGCTTAATTGGATGTCAGTTGAGCTTTTACAGTTACAATAACGATTCTAAAAACTCTACTGACATCTAATTAAGCCACTAATCTTACAATAACGATTCTAAAAGCTCAACTGACACCCAATTAAGTGCAAAACAACCTAGTGATAGCCAATTGGGTCACTTATGGTTAAAGTATCTAATTTAAATTAGATTTTTGTTAATACTAGCTTTTGATACCAAAGACTGACCTTAATCCAAGCAATTTTTAAATTCGGATCTTCAGCTGGGGTGTAGTTGACCTCTAAGCGAGCACTTTGACCCTCAACAAGAGAAAGTGGTTGCAGTGAACCCTAAAATTGTGGATCATTCAGAAACTGGTTGAAAAGCCAAACCTGGAATTGTGGTGGGGTAGACGAGGCGATTTCCAATTGATTCACTGGAGTCCTCGCGCGTTTGTGCTCGACTTTCCTCAGCGTGATCAACTCGCGCTGATGCGGGGCAAGCTTGCGACGCGATTGCACAACAATGCGACCCTGGAACAGGAAAGGTAAAAAAAGTTGAGAAGTAGAAAGAAATAGACATGGTCGCTACAAACTACAAATGTAAACTACAAGCGTGAACTACAAACGCTTCTAACTTGGTTCAAATCTGTCGGATCGAGGTAATCTATAGCTTGAAAAATAGAGAATTTCAAGAGCTTTCGAATGAGCACACTGAAACATATCAATCCTAAAGAAAGTCAGCCAACAAGTTAGCCAACAAGTTAGCCAACAAGTTAGCCAGCCATTTTATATTTTGAGTTGATTTTTGTATCATTTGATGCGCAATTTTATTCCGTATCGAATGATAGTCAATATAGTCAAAATAGAAGGGTTAGTGCTGAGAAAAACCCTAAATTGCCAACGGCAAAAAGTTAAACTCCTGCCCATTATCGGCGGGGCTTCACCTTTTGCCTCATAACTTTGCATGGATATTATATTTTTAAGTTGATTTTAGTATCAATCGACGCAGAATGAAATTGCTCAGCAAATAATACAAAAATCAACTCAAAATATAGTATTCATGCAAAGTCATTGGCTAAACTACGTTTAAAATGTGAAAGATCGTCATTTTTGTAGTTTATAGTGCTCATATCTAGTGAAAAAAGCTTGTTTTCGAAATTGTTCAAAGCTAAAGTTGGATTCAAAAATTTCTTGTCCTCATATCCTTTATCCAGCTTGACTAGCTTGACTCTGAACCTGACACTAACATGCCTATCAGCTGGAGCTGAACCTGGTCCTTAGCTAGAGCTGAACCTGGTCATTAGCTGGAGCCGAACCTGGTCCTTAGCTGAAGCTGAACCTGGTCCTTAGCTGGAGCTGAACCTGGTCATTAGCTGGAGCCGAACCTGGTCCTTAGCTGAAGCTGAACCTGGTCCTTAGCTGGAGCTGAACCTGGTCATTAGCTGAAGCTGAATCTGGTCCTTAGCTGAAGCTGAAGCTGAATCTCGTCCTTAGCTGGAGCTGGCCAGTCTGGCTCCCTTCCCTGTCTGGCTCCCTAGCTGTACTCTTAACCCTAATTCATCCTTAGACTACTCTACTGTACTCTACCAGTTCAAAACTGATTAAGTACTTGAACGGAGAGCTGGTTAGGCCGCTGGATCAGCTGCTTACTCTGACCCACATCGGATACACAATAAGGCAAAAAGTTTTTGCTTGGAAATCAAAAATCCGAATCTTTACAATTCTAGTGTGACATCCAGATAGAAGAAAAAAACGCAATTTAAAGAAAATAGCTGTTGTCAATTTTTTTGGAATAATCGCAAACTCTTGCAAAGCTCTATTTCTGCTCGATAGTGTAGTCAAACTTTGGCCAATTTTACCTAATTTACAGCTAAAATTACGAAATTTAAGCTAGTCCTTTAAACCGGAATCAAACCTTTAGCGGTGTGGAGCCAAATTGATTGCTGGCCACACATGTGTACCATCCGCCTTCCTCCAGAGTGGCCTGCTCAACGATGAGAGTCGTTTCGTTAGCCGAATTTGAGACTCTAAAGGGATTTTTCTTAATTCTGGAAAACAGGAAAGAGTTCAGGATTCAAATTTCACTTGTAATGTCCTCCTGACGTGATCGCATCACCGTCTTTTGACCATTCGAATTTCAGTGAGTCACCATGAGCCTAAAAAGTTTAAAACTTGAAAAATTTGTCTATTTTTTGTCTATTTGAAAGATTCAGAAAGCATGCGTTCCAGGATTTCAAAAAATTTACTTTGCAATATAATTTGATCGTGTCTCCTTCGTTAATTGTTGTCGATTGGAAAGTGCCTGTGAAACGGGGCGCATCTGGGGATCGGGTTTCTGAAAATGAAATGCTTTATCAGCTTTTGTGTGCTCCAGATTGGTCAAATTTTTTTTAAACTTCTGAAATTTCTGAAGAAATCGCTCAAAAACCCTCGTGTATTCCGGATTTCACAAAAATTCTTTCAAATTTGATCTAATTACAAAAAAATCGCTGATCATCTGCTGTGCGCTCCAGATTGGCCAAATTTTTTTTAAACTTCTGAAATTTCTGAAGAAATCGCTCAAAATCGTCCGTTCCAGATTGGTTAAATCTCGGAAAAAACTCTTTGAAATTACATGTAATTACGAAAAAATCGCTGATCATCCGCTGTGCGCTCCAGATTGGTTAAATTTCTTAGAAATTTCTTTGAAACTTCAGAAATTTCTGATAAAATGGCTCATTCCGTTCCAGATTGGTTAAATTTCGGCAAAAATTCTTTGAAATTACATGAAATTACGAAATGAAATCGCTCATTATCTTTTGTGACTTCCAGATTGGTTAAATTTCTCAGAAAACCTTTCAAAAGTTCTTTAGATTTCAAAAAAAGCTATTCAAACACTTACGGAGCACTTGTAGCTGGAAGCGCGATTGCATACTGCCACCTGCATTTCGCACAACGCACAGGAAAGTGCCCGCTTGTTCGGCTTCAACCTGGAAAAGAGGTTTTGCTGTTTGTGCTCTCGGAAACTCGTTTGGCAACGAAATGCGTGCCCCAGAAAGGCAGGATTTCGCCAGCTTTCTGGATTCGAGTCGCCAGCTTTCTGGATCTTTTTTGGATCTTAAAGATTCACCTTATCAATGCAGAGTCGGCCGCTGCCATCGGCGAAACTCTCGGCACGGATTTGGCCGGTTTGGGGAACGACTGAGCCATCGCCCATTAGCCATTCCATTTGGGGAAGTGGATCGCCGCTTGCCTGGAAAATCACGTGTTTTCAGGAGTTTTTCAAGAGCTTCATTATCAGCCGAAAAGCCGCCTAGCCAGTTAAGAGCGACTTTTTCCGCTTCGCTGTCATCATAGCGCAATCAGCAGTAAGCTTGTCTGGAAGCCAGGAGGGTCAGGGTTCGACCCCCGGCACCACCATTCAATTTTTAATTTTCATTTTAAATTATATTATATTCCATATTATAATATTATTGATATTTTTCATATCAATAATATTATAATATGCTTTTTAGCTGCTGTTTAGCCTAAAAATCCCACCTTTGCACTGAAAACGACTTGATCTCCAATCTTGGCTGCCACCGATTGGGGATGCACGAGGAAAACGGGCGGTTTCGCGGATCTAAACACAATTTTTGAGCTTGTGAAAAGTTTGTGAGATTTTCCATGTGAAAAGTCGGCTATTTTGAGTCGATTTTCAACTTTTCGCTAATCCTGGCTGTCACACAGCACTCACCTGCCGATGATTTGCCCAGGCGACGGGGCCGAGTAACCCTCGATGACGGTCGCTGCCTGTTCCTTCATCGAGCCATTTTGAGCCTAAGAATTTTCGAATAGAAACTTTTTGAGGCTCGGATTTTAATAGCAGAAATATAAAGAAGGTTTTTCTAAAGTAGGCAGAAATCTTAAAATAAAAGTTTAGATGAATCTTGTCTACCAGATCTGATTGGAATGCTCTAGAATGGTCTAGAATGGTCTAGAATAGTCTAGAATAGTCTAGAATAGTCTAGAATGGTCTAGAATAGTCTAGAATGGTCTAGAATGGTCTAAAATTTGCATAAAAAAACTATTGCTCATTCGACAAAAAACGGATTTCATCATCGTTTTCGATAGTCGATAATCGTTTTGTCTTGTTTTTCAAGATCCCATCACCAGATCTGATAGGCAAACAAGGTGATGAAAGTTAGGAAAGAAGGAAAGAAGGAAAGAAGGAAAGAAGAGGGAAAGAAAGTGACAATTAACTGGGGAAAAACTGAAGTAAACTATGCAGAAAGTACAGTAATCTTCCTCTTTAGGTCAACCGTTGAATTGAGGTTTTACCAGGCCACTAAACCAAACCGGGTTTCCCATATAGTTCCCGAAATTCCAGGGTATTAAATAAATAGTTAGGTAGAAAGTACAGTAACGGAAAGAAGGGGGTGATAGCTTAAAGTTGGAGAAATTTTTCTGATAAAACCTTGACTCTTGCAACCATCGTATGAGTCGTTGGGTTCTTCTAAAACAATCAAAACATAAATAAACATAAACATATGGATAAACAACAATTTTATGCTAATTCCTCAGTGCACCAGATTCCCAGCGTTTACCTGTTGCTGCTGTTTGGTCGCCATATCGTAGTGGTGTTGCTGGTGTTGATTGGGTAAAATCTGCTGCTGATAGTGGGGTTTTTGGTGTTCTCGAGTGTACCACTGAAAATTCTGGATATCACTAGGAGCTATGGTTTGGTTTTTACGTCAAAAATGTCAATTTGTAAAAATCACTGAGACAAATTTTTACTTTGACGAGAAAATGCTAATTTGAAAAGGTCACTTATTCAAATTCTTGCTTTTTTGTAAATCCTGGATGTCACATCCTTCCTGGATGTCTATGGTTTGGTTTTTACGCCAAAAATGCTAATTTGTAAAAATCACTGAGACAAATTTTTACTTTGACGAGAAAATGCTAATTTGAAATGGTTACTTAGTCAAATTCTTGCTTTTTTGTAAATCCTGGATGTCACAAGGAGCTATGGTTTGGTTTTTACGCCAAAAATGCTAATTTGTAAAAATCACTGAGACAAATTTTTACCTAGACCAGAAAATGCTAATTTGAAATGGTTACTTAGTCAAATTCTTGCTTTTTTGTAAATCCTGGATGTCACTAAACTCAAACGCACCTCTTGCTCAACGCTGCCAAGTTGAGGAGAGTAGTCGGGTAGTCGGAGCTGCCTTTGCGCCGGATGGCCTTGATGTCGACGGGAAACGATGTGATCCTCGTAAGCGGACTGCCCACCGCTTACCTAGAATTTATCTTTATCCGAGCTGGCTGCACTGTCCATTACTGTAGCTCTTTAGTACCTTTAAGTCAGATTACAGTAACCCACAGGTTCCAGAGATCTACGGTAACCTGGCCTACAGTAACCTGGCCTACACTAACCTGACCTACAGTAACCTTGTTATGAACCGCTGCTTAAGTGTACTCCTTTACAGTAGCCTTGCTTGCTCTATACAGTAAAAGTAAGCCAATAATCTACAGTAGTCTTCTGTCATCAGCTTTTCCAGTAGGACTGGCTACACTGAACCCTGTCCATTACCGTAGTCCTATTACAGTAATCCGTTGATGCATTTAAGCTCTACCCACTCGTTGCACGGGTTCCTGGTAGTGAAGGGGTTGTTGTGGTTGTGCTCCTGAATGAATCGGCTCAGCGTAGGCTCCTTGCTGCCAAAGGGTGCCCGGCTGGACGAGGTAAACGGGAGGTTGAGGGGATTTTTGATGTTGTTGATGGAGATTTGGAGGAGACGGCTGACTGTATTGAACCTGAAATCGCGAATTGTTTGAGTCAATTCATTGTATGTCTCCATTGCTGCTCTACTAACAATGGTACAGTAATCCTTACAGTAATCCGGCTACAGTAATCCGGCTACAGTAATCCGGATACGGTAATCCGGGTACAGTAATCCTTGGCTTGCTCTATTTCATTCGGAACATCGGCCAGAGTCTTCTAGGAATATTAGGTACTTGCAAAAGAAGCTACGGGTCAAAAAAGTCACCAGACTGTAAGTAACGACTGTAAGTAAGTAAAGCAAGTAAACGACTGTAAGTAAAGATGCTCCGCCTTGATCTGTCACTAATTTAGACCGTTGTACGATGGTTTTTTGTGACTCTCTGTTTCTTTTGCAAGTAGCTAATAGATTACTGTAGCCGAAGCACTCCAGGGCTATTCATTCCACTTCAAAAAGCATAAGAGAGTTCGCTAGATCTCTAGAGTGCATTATAGAGATACTATGCGATACTATGTACATCTATATTTACTGTACGATAATTTAAAGTGTGCTTTGGACCGTATTACTATCAAGGTAGACTACAGTAACCCTACAACAACAAGAGCATAGACAACAGCTACAGTAATCCGGGTACAGTAATCCGACTACAGTAATCCGACTAAGGTAACCCGGCTACAGTAACCCGGCTTGAAGGAGGAGGAGAAGTACAGTAATCCGACTACAGTAATCCGACTACAGTAATCCGACTACAGTAATCCGACTACAGTAATCCGACTACAGTAATCCGACTACAGTAACCCGGATTACGGGCTACAGTAATCCAGGTACAGTAACCCGGCTACAGTAATCCGGCTAGAGTAATCCGACTACAGTATTCCAGGTACAGTAACCCGGCTACAGTAATCCGGCTACAGCAATCTAGCTACAGTAATCCCGGCTACAGTAGCCCGGCTACAGTAACCCGGCTATAGTAACCCGACTACAGCAACCCGCCTACAGTAACCCGGCTACAGTAACCTTGGATCTTGTTTCATATGCCTATTGAGTCACCTGTTGTGCCCCAAATTGTAGATTCGGCTGTGCACCGCCCCACGAGCTGCCACCGGTCGGCGAATAGGGTACAAATTGGGAATACGTGTACGCCTCCTGAAATCGAAAAGATTGTGCAAGAGACTTTTGTATGATAAGAATTACGGTAATCTGGAGCGCACAATAACCATTGATGAAAGATTTTTGTGGAAAATGTAAACTTCAAAAAAGTTTAAAGAAAAAATCTCTTTCATTCAAAAGCTGAATTTCGAAAATGAGCTCTAGGATGGTTAAAAATAAGCGTAAAGTCTAAGTTGAGCGCCAGGATTACCGAAAAATTCACTAGATCGCAACGAATTTCAAAATTTTCAGCCTTTCTCGATGAGTAAACTTTTGATGATGGATAGGAGAGAGTGGAAAGAAGAAAATGGGAAAAATGGAAAAATCTCAAATCTTTCTCTCAAAATCTTATCCCACCTACTCTTTCCCTGTGCACACAAACACTTTTTTTGTCATTCTTGAAGAGAGCGTTCCGAAATCTCCGAAATCTCCCCAACCATCTCCCCAACGATGGCTTTGTTTGTGATCGTGGCTCTCTAGCCATTTTTCTGACTCTATCGACCCATTCTATCACTTGGAGCTTTCAATCTGGAGCGCACGCTAAGACCTCCAATGTTTTCCCTACGTGGTCACTCTCGTATCTCGGTGTTTGGCCTCGTTCTCTCAACTCCGCATTTCTGCTTCTCGACTCCTTCCCAGACCCTTTCTATCACTTGAATCTTTCATCCTGGATATCATTCTATGCTTTCTACTATTTATCTTATCATTCTAAGCCATTCTCATTTCCCCGGCCATCTCCTGTCTCTCCTCCTCCTCCTCCTCCAAGCCTCCCTCCTCTCCAAAGCCCCGTTCTCTCACTCCCATCGTTTGTCCTGGACCTCACTCCATCACCTCCATCGCTCTCTACATCGCTATCTCTCCAACTCTCTCCAACTCAACTTTGCCGATCAGGCACCTGATCTCTCGCCACTCTTCTCTCAGTCTTGCACTCCCATCGTTCCTCCTGGCCCTTACCCCATCGCCTCCGACTCCCCCGCGTCCACTTTTTTTTTTTTGACCAGCACCCCCGTCTTTTCCTTTGGACAGCTGTTTGCTTTGAGCTCTACCTTTTCGACTTTCGAACGGCTTAATTGGAGCACCTGTGTTTTCGATTTAAATTTTTGTCGGATTTTTGGCTGGCTTTTTTTTATTTGTGCTAATTAAGGGTTAAGGGATGATTGAAGCAAAAAAAGGAATAAAAAAATGGCAAAATAAACGAAGGAAAATGGCAGGATAAACGAATAGAAAAATAGCAAAATAAACGAAAGAAAATACTCAAATGGTTCCTGACAAAAAAACAGAAAAAAATCCTCTTTTTTTGATAGACATAATTTTAAAGCAATCCAATAGGTTTTAAAGAAAAAAACAAAGATTAAGATAAAGAAAGATCTAGAAAAAGCACCATTCTCATTTTTCCCTCTCAGAAAAACACAATTCAATGAATTCTTCAAGAGATTTTTGTGATTTTGACCAATTTTCCTTATGGATTTAAAAAAAGACAAATTTAGTCGTAAAAAGAATAAAATTTGTGCAATATGACTTCCAGCTTGGCAAAAGAGAAAAAGAAAACCCAGGGTTACACCGAAAGAAAATTCGGTATTGATTCAGGCAAGTGTCAGTGTGGCGAGTAATCCAAATCAATTTCGCAGAAAGAAAGTATCAAATTTTAATGAGAAAATCAAAAGCGTGCGTGCCAGCTTGATCAAAAACAAATCGGGAGAGACTTTGAGAGTTTTATGTGCGATGAACAGCCAATGAATCAGTTGGAGAAGCGGGACTGACGCTTGATCTCGCCTCTCGGTGGAGTTTTGCCCAATCAAATCGAAGACCTCTCTTAGCTGGATATCAGGTGAGATAAAGAGACGAAAGAGACAGGAATTTATGCCTAGGGCTGGGGGGACGCTGGGGGCACGCTGGATCTCTCCCTGGACCCCGCCCTGGACCCCCACCTCCCTGGACCTCCTCCCCCCACCCCCTGGATTCCCACCCCTGGACCCCATCCCCTCCTGGGCCCCTTGGACCTCCCCCATCCCTGGACCCCCTTCCTGGACCTCCCCCATCTCTGGACCTCCTCCACCCTGAACCCCTTCTTCCTGGACCCCTTCTTCCTGGACCTCCTCCACCCCTGGACCTCCTCCCCCCTGGACCCCCACCGCCCTGAACCACCCTTCCTGAACCTCCCCCACCCCTGGACCTCCTCCCCCTGGACCCCCTGGCCCCTGGCCCCCCCGTACCCTCCTCCCCCATGGACCCCCCACCTCCCTGGACCTCCTCCCCCCCCTGGACCTCTCCCCCCCTGGACCCCCACCCCTAGGGTCTCCTCCCCCCAGCCCCCTCCAGGATCCCCCGTCAAATGAGTGTAAAGCTTTTTTCTGATCATTAGCTAGGGAAAAGGGTTTAAGAAAGAAATCCCCAGCACATTGATATCAACAAACACCAATCACAGCGAGAAAAGAAAGAGAGAAATAAGTAAAATCGTAAGGTAAGATGAAGAAAAGCGCAAAAAATTCGCAGGAAGTGAAAACGATTCATAGCCTTGATTATTACACCGATTTTTTTTTCAAACTTCTCTCTCTTGCAATTATTAAGCTATAGCTATTATTAAGCTATTGCAATTTTCTTTTGCAATTTTAGGCTAAATAACGTCGTTTTTTCTTGAGAAAAATTCATTTTTAATCGAATTTGCTGCTCTGGAAATCGAAAAAAATTAAGCTTTTGAGGTTTTGCTTTTGCTTTCATTGCTTAAAAGTCACTTAATCAAAAAAAAGAATGGATATTTTGAATAGTGAGTTCATTACAATTTCTCTAGGCATTACCTGTCGTCGACGGAGCTCGTCTTCTTCTTGTCGACGTCGCTCCTCGAGCAGTTGAATCTCACGGCGTTGCTGAAAAACGATGAAATTAGAATTGTGAATAGTTAGACAGGTTTTCACACATTCACAACAAGGTTGCCGAAGCCTAAGTTGATTGCCTAAGCCTAAGTTGATTGCCTATACTGTAATAGTACCCCACCCCCTTCGTACAGTCGCGTAGTCGCAAAAGTTTTTTAGTATTTCATTGTTTTTCAAAGCACCCATACTTCCAAAAAATACGTCTTTGGTATCAAAAAATAGCCCTGAATTTCAGCTATTTTTTGATACCTAAGCGCGCATTGTAGCATAAACCAGTGTCGAGAAAAATGCGTCCAAAGCTCGACTACGCAAAGCTCCGCACCGTCATTATGGGGGTGGGGTACTGTTACAGTATTTACGGTAAGCCTAAGTTGATTGCCTGAGCCTAAGTTGATTGCCTAAGTTCCTTTAAACTCGTTTAACACATTCGCGACAAACTGAGCCCGTTCCAGCCCGTCCCGGCGGTGTCTCTGATCTTTACGATGTCACCTTTGATCTTTCCAGTAAAACTTTCAGCCGGAACTTTCCGAGGAAGTTTTCGAGGAACTTTCGGAGAAACTTCTTGAGGAACTTTCCGAGGAACTTTCCGAGGAAAAGTACGCTCCGTGGGAAAACCATGGACGTATGTTAGGCTCCAGGAAAAGTTCCGGCGGTGTCTCTGATCTTTACAGAGGCACCTTTAATCTTTCCAGTAAAACTTTCAGCCGGAACTTTCCGAGGAAAAGTACCACGGGAAAACCATGGACGTACACTACTGGACAATGAAATATGATATTTGAAAAACGATTGTCACTTTCGCGCGTCTGTAACTTCCTTGTCTTTACCGTATTTCTAAATATTAATATTACCAATGTGTAGCCCTTGAAAAGAGCTTTCAGAAAATGTATAACACTAATAGTTTAAAACTCAAAGACAAGGTAGTTACAGACGCGCGAAAGTGACGATCGGTTTTCAAATATGATATTTCATTGTCCAGTAGTGTACGTCCATGGTTTTCCCACGGAGCGTACTTTTCCAGTACTGTATGTTAGGCTTCAGGAAAAGTTCCGGCGGTGTCTCTGATCTTTACAGAGGCACCTTTAATCTTTCCAGTAAAACGTCGTTTCCGGTAAAACGTCGTTTCCAGTAAATCGTTTTCCCGTGTTAGCTCATAAAACTAAATGGAAGTTGCCTCTTTTAAACGAAAATTATACTGGATAAAGTGGAAAACTTTAAATTCAAATTTACTGAGTAAAGTGGGCAGCGTCAAGGCACAAGAATCGAATTAAGAATACTATTTGAAAACGATTTCTTGGAGACGAACAGGCTAGGACTATACGATGACTTTGTAGTTGTTGCAAATTAAGCTTTACAAGGAACTCAATGCAACCATGGACAGCTATGTCCTACAGTACATTTCCTTAGCAGGCAAAGAGTCAAAGGTACTGTACCGACAGTACCCCAGGACAGTACTGTACCGACAGTACCCCACGACAGTACTGTACCCCACGAACCTGTTCCTGTTGCCGCCTCCTCTGTGTCTCGATCGCTCTCTCGTATTCCAATCTCTGTCTCTGCTTTTCCTCTTCCCGCACTCTTTCTGTTTCCGCTCTTTGCCTTCTCCTTTCCTCTTCTTGCGCGCGTTGTTGCTCAACCAACTGATGTCGGCGGAGTTCGTCGGCCTGGCGTAGCTCCTAGACAAGAAAATTTCAAAATTTCAAAACTTTTGTGCATCCTGGACGTCACAGTAGTCAATTCTGTACAATTTCTACACTTTTACAGTAAACTGACTTGATTGGATACGGTAGGCTACTAGTCACTCTTCTGTAATCGTTTCCACTACGTTACTATTTAAAATTTTTTTAATTTTTAGCTATTCTGGATGTCACAACAGCTAACTCTTCACAAATTTCCTCTCAATTTCAACTTTTCAACTTTTCACCTGTTCCCGTCGGCGCCTCTCCTCTTCTTCCAGTTGCAAGCGGCGGCGCGCCTCGGTCTCCTGCAGAAATTTGACGTTTGAAATTTTTAAAAGAAAAACCTGTTGCTGTCGCCGCTGTTGTTGTTGTTGTTGTTGTTGCTCCCGTTGCTGAGCCTCGGCTTCCTAGAAGTTTTAGAAATCAAACCGAAATCAAACCGAAATCAGGATTTCATTCAAATTAAAGCTTAAACCATTTGCTTCAACTCTTAGTTCGCATTCAAAATTGCCATTTTGGATTACACAATGAAATGAACCTGTTGTTGCCTTCTCGCGTGCTGCTCTCGAATCTGTCGCTCTCTCTCGTAGGCGACAGCAGCTGCCGTCAATTGTTGTTGAGTCGGCTGTGCTTCGTGCAATTGTTGAGGCCTTTCAAGGGATTGTTGCTGCCGTTGTGTCACAGGCAAAGACGCTCCCCCGGACGTCGCCTGGAGATGGAAAAAAATGAGAATTCAAAAGGAATTTCTAAGCAATTGGTTGACATCAATTTAAAATTCATTTTTGCTCAAAATGCTGTTTCAAAAAGATTTCTGATTGGGATAGCAAGCGAGTCTAAGGCAATCTTGTTGGCAATCTCAATCAATGTTGCAAAATATCAAGAATTCAAGGTTTTAGAGAATTTACTCGAATTAGCACTACCTTACTATTAGCACTTTTAGAGTGGGCGGTCAATTCCCCCGATTTGAAATCCAGAAGGAAACATTTGGGGATGCATGGTTGGCAAAATTTACGCCAAAGGTTTGTAGACGGCCGTTTGTAGATGGCCGTTTGTAGACGGCCGTTTGTAGATGGTCGTTTGTAGATGGTCGTTTGTAGATGGCCGTATGTAGATGGCCGTATGTAGATGGCCGTATGTAGATGGCCGTATGTAGATGGCCGTATGTAGATGGCCGTATGTAGATGGCCGTATTTAGATGGCCGTATTTAGATGGCCGTATTTAGATGGCCGCTTGTAGGCGGCCGTATCAAGAAAGCCATTGTTGCAACTTGATAGATCAAAAAACCCATTAACAACTTCGTTCGACAACAATAGAATTTTAAGCATGGAGAATAGAGTTTTTCAAGTGATTCAGCGTTCAGGAGGCTCAGTTGATTATTGATTTGTTATTTTGAAAATTCAGTTCCCTTGTTATTTTTTATTTTTTTTTATTCAGTTCACTTGCTATTTTTTAAGTTAATTTCTGAACTGTTTAGTTAGTTTCTGAACTAAACTGTCCAATTGTCTCAACCAGAAAGCCAAACTGACTCAACCAGACAACCAAACTGTCAACTGTCCAGCAGTTTATTAACTTTATTTACCTGCGGTATTGGTGTCGTGGGTTGGGTATTCGGCGTGAGAAGGGGTCGTTCGTCGGGGATCGACAATGGATAGACCTCGATCCGCGCCGATGAGTCCACCTGGAAGCATGAGAATTGATTTCTGAATGAAGAGTATTCATGGAAAATGCGAATGGAAAGTTAATTGAAAAGCTTTAAATTATGTCTTTCGTTAGTTTATCAGACTTGCTGTGGCTTTTTTTGTTTTCTTTTGTAAATTCTAAAAGTCCTCCCACTTCAAACAATGCTCATTTTACTCTTTTTGCTTTTTAGCCTGAGAAAAAGAAAGTTAAGCGGTGATTTGTCTCAATCTTTCTCTCTTTTTTTGTCGTTTTTTTCCTTTTCTTTTGTTTTTCTTTAGTTTTGGCTCTTTTTCCCCAACTGGAACTGCCAATTTGATCAATCGCTTTGATTTGAAAAGAGGAATTGGTGAATTCGACAAAATGCTCAGGAAATAGAGCAATTGTTGAGGCAAACTGGGGACAAGGGGAATACTGGAATGCTAAGAAATATTGGAATGCTAAGATCCAAAAAAATGATTTCGAAAAACGCTTAAAAGCTCTAAAAAAAACACGAGGAATTACTTGAAATCGCTGAAAATTTAGACCAATGAAATGTGGATCAAAAAAAACTGGCAAATCCGGCAGAAAGGTTGAAGGGGCAGTATTTGGATTGCATTCATTCACCCCCCGTCTTTCCCCTTTTTCCCCTCAATCTTTGAACAATCCGGGCCTCTCGGTTTTGTCTCGGCGAGATCGTTCAGAGCTCTTCACCGGATTTTTCGAGGGAAAAAGTCGAATGGACTCTGGAAAGCTCTTTTCCGTGCATGCTAGATGTCAGGGAATCGATTGAAAGCGATAAGCAAAGCAGAAAGAAGTTCGATAGTTGGGTAATTGAACCGATTCCTGTTCAAGCTAAAATCTAGCTCTAGTTGACACGCTAACATTGTCCAAAATTTAAAAGAACCATTCTGGATGTCAGGGAATCGATTGAAAGCAATTTGGATATGATTAGAGGGAAAAGAGAAAAATTGGGTAATTGAATCGATTCCTTTTCAAGCTAAAATCTAACCCATTGTTTTTTGCAAAACTAATTCGAACTTTAAAAGAACCATTCTGGATGTCAGGGAATCGATTGAAGGCGATTCGGAGATGATTAGAGGGAAAAGATGAAAGTTTGGTAATTGAATCGATTCCTTTTCAAGCTAAAATCTAACCCATTGTTTTTTGCAAAACTAATTCGAACTTTAAAAGAACCATTTTGGATATCACAGAATAAATTCGAAAGATAATAATTCAGAGAACATGCAAAGAAAGCAATAAGGAAGCCCCTTCCGTTCTTTAGCTCATTATTAGAGTGGGTAAATATTTGTTGTGGGTGTCGAAAAAAAGGCCAACAAGAAAAAGGCATTTGTTCACAAGATGGGATTAGATTGTGAAGATGGATTGTAAAGGGAAAAGGCTAAAAAAGTGATGACTCACTTTTCCGAAGCGATTCTCGGCGAGGATCGTGTAATCGCCAGTGTCTTCCGGCACAACCATCGAGATTTTCAAAACAGCCATCGTGCCCTGAAAGTTGAATTCTTTGTCTTTATCACTATTATCAGATTATTTGTAAGATTTATGGTTACTGTAGATTTTACTATAGGGAACCAAATTTGTAGAGATAGGGCCCCAAATTTGTAGAGATAGGGCCCCAAATTTGTAGAGATAGGGAACCAAATTTATAGAGAAAAAGAACCAAATTTGTAGAGATAGGGAACCAAATTTGTAGCGAAAGGGAACCTAATTTGTAGATAAGAACCAAAGAGATAGGGAACTCAATTTGTTGAGATAGGGAACTCAATTTGTTGAGATAGGGAACTCAATTTGTTGAGATAGGGAACTCAATTTGTTGAGATAGGGAACTCAATTTGTTGAGATAGGGAACCAAATTTGTAGAGAGAGAACCAAATTTGTAGCGAAAGGGAACCAAATTTTTTGAGATAGGGAACCAAATTTATAGAGAAAAAGAACCAAATTTGTAGAGATAGGGAACCAAATTTGTAGCGAAAGGGAACCTAATTTGTAGATAAGAACCAAAGAGATAGGGAACTCAATTTGTTGAGATAGGGAACCAAATTTGTAGAGATAGGGAACCAAATTTGTAGAGAGAGAACCAAATTTGTAGCGAAAGGGAACCAAATTTGTTGAGATAGGGAACCAAATTTGTTACTGGCTGGTTAAAGCCTAGTGCTCTTGCCGCTAAGTCTTGCCTTGTAGTTGACTTGCATCCGCGTGCCTGTGATGATCAACGCTTGTCCGTTCTTGTACCAAGCGATCTGGAAAGCTTTCCTAGAACGTACAAGAAAATCCAACAAACTTTTGGCTTCGGATTTCCAACAATATTCGCCTGAAGGATCGCGTCCGTGCCCTCGGTGAGTCTAGAAAGTAAAAATTGAGCGTTAAGTTCATTCTATGTTCTCCAAATGGCCTTGTGAGTTCCAGAATCGTCAAATAATCTCGAAAACCGTACCGTAATCCCCTCAAAGGCGTGCGAAGCAAAGGTCGAGTGCCCGGCGCCGGAGCCCGGGGCTCTAGAGCGGCCAGCTCGGGCTCGGTTTCCGATTCCGAGATGCCCCAGGTCTAAATTGGAAGGCACGTTACCAATTTTTTTCATTAAATCATGAGCAACTCAAAATTTAAAAGCATTTAGTTTTTGATTACATTGATTTACCTCCGGATCGCTCAAAACATGGGCCTAAAAATCGAGGTTTATTTTTTTTTGAGGAAAATCCTCTTTCTGAAAGTCACGTAGGGTAAAAACAGTGAAATTTAGCTGATATCCTTGAATTTTTACCACATCTCCATAGCTCTCGGTGTCGGAGTAGGCTTGGTGACCGTACTTGCTCATTTGTCGCATCGCGGCAGAGGCTGGACGAACTCCGGACTGGGCGAGCATGTTCTGGGAAATTGTATTGATTTTCGATGCATAGATTGAGCAACTAGCGTCATTTGTTTTATAAATAACACAAGTTTTTAATAATTCTGGATCGTATTGTATTCTCGATTTAAATTCAGAATTTAAATCGATAAAATTCGTTTCAAATTCTTCAGCGCACCGTTGAAAATAAAGATTTTTGCATTTTTAAAAAACCCTTCAATTATTATATCTTTTTTTATTAAAAGGATCGTTTCTTAAAGTCTAAAAAACACAAAAAAAAATAAAGATTCTGTAAAAATTAAAAATAGAAATAAAATAGAATAGAATTTTTCGAAATCAATTTATTTTCTATAAAATAGAATAGAATTTTTCGAAATCGAAACCTCTTTGCAAATGAATCGTCACAAATTCTTAAGCGCATTTGCGGTTTGTTTAAACAGCTTGCTGTTGTTGTTGTTGTTTACTGTTGCTGAAGTTTCCCTTTCGCTGTGCATTTTTTATTCTTAAATATAATTTTTGTTAATTTCTAGGTGGCATACGCAAAGTTTCTAACGGATTATGAGAAAAGTCAGATTGATTCAAGATTGACGTTTGAAGATTGATTGAAGTTTGAAGTTTGGCGGAGAAGCAAACTTAATAAAGAAAATCGCAAAGATTTGGGTCGATCCGACTGTGCCCTGCGAAATTACATCAAGCCAAAAGCCGTTTCTGCACCAAAGATTAATGCGTGTTTGAAGATTGGCGGAGAAGCAAACTCAATAAGGAAAATGCTGTGGGTTTTAAAGGTTTCCTTTTGTTGTTCATATCTTATTATTACATTTATTTTAATTTTTGTTAATTTCCAGTTAAATGGCAAAGCTGCTCACGTCAAAGCTGACGAATTATGAGAAAAGCCAGATTGACGGAGAAACAAACTCAATAAGGAAAACTCCAAAGATTTAGGTTGATCTGACTGTGCCCTGCGAAATTAAATCAAGTCAAAAGCCGTTACTGCACCAAAGAAGAAGCCAGGACCAAAACCAGGACCAAAACCAGGACCAAAACCAGGACCAAAACCCGGACCAAAACCAAAGCCTACACCACGAGCTAGACGCCATTGTGAACAACATCCGGAAAAACGATCAATGGAAAACGGAACTGAAAATCGATGCTTCGACAATTTGGCAAGCCGTCAAGGAAATCTTTGAAGCTGACGCTTTTGACGCTGACGCTTTTGACGCTGACGCTTTTGACGCTGACGCTTTTGACGCTGACGCTTTTGACGCTGACGCTTTTGACGCTGACGCTTTTGACGCTGACGCTTTTGACGCTGACGCTTTTGACGCTGACGCTTTTGACGCTGACGCTTTTGACGCTGACGCTTTTGACGCTGACGCTTTTGACGCTGACGCTTTTGACGTCGACCGTAACGCTTTTGCAAAAGAAAGCCCGATTGAAGAAAGCCCGATTGAAGGCTCATATGAACCAGGATTGGTCTAAGGTTAGAAAGCAACTTCTATTCTATTCATTTTTATCATTTAGGTGATCTTTTCCAATGAGAAGAAATGGAATTTGATTGATTCCGATGGCGTTGACTACTCGAGGGATCTTGATCTGATGGTGTTTGGGACTCGAAACTGTTTGAGACTGTTTGGGACTTTTGCGGTGGTTCTGTGATTGAATGGTGCTGATGGAATGGTGGCTCGAAAGATGGTTTCAATTCGGAATCGTTTTGATTATATAGATATCTTGGACAATTACTTGTTGCCTTCTTTGCTCCTAAATCGAACGTGTCCGAAATTCTAAGCTCAACAATTGCTTTTAAGCAGCTATGTAGAAAGCAATTTGTTTCAGAATTTCAAAATTATTTTTTTGAGTCGAGAGTACTGTAAAGTACTTTAGAGTACTTTAGTACTGTAAATTAGTGTTTTAAGGAATAATTAGTTTTTAAAAAGAGTTTTCACCTGTTTCCGATCTCTTGTCAACTTCGACTGTTCGTCGGTAAACCACCGATCGTATTGATCTTTGGGCAGAAGATGTGCCGAAGTTTGAGCAACTCCGTGTTGATTCGTCGCCCGTAAGGTGTACTCGCCGACATCATCAGTGAACATTTGTGGAATCGTCAATGAGATAATGCCTGATTTCACATCATGCTCGACTTTTGCCCTAGAAACTTTGTCTTTAGAAACAAAAATAGCTTTGTCTAGCTTCTGGGCTCTGTCCTGACTACAGACAGGTAAGAGCAAAGTTCTAGCTTGTCCACAAGAGACTTTGGGCTTGTCAGGGACCTGGCAGGAAGCTGGTAGGGAACTGGCAGGAACCTGGCAGGGACCTGGTAGAGACCTGGTAAAGACCTGGCAGGAACCTGGTAGGGACGTGGTAGAGACCTGGTAAAGACCTGGCAGGAACCTGGTAGGGACCTGGTAGAGACCTGGTAAAGACCTGGCAGGAACATGGCAGGGACCTGGTAAGGACCTGGTAGAGACCTGGCAGGGACCTGGTAAGGACCTGAATCTGGTTTCTAATCAGGCTCTAGTCTGATCAGGGTTGGTTCAGGCCAGCCTCACGACAGAAAGCCCATCAGAAGACAGTCGAAACCTTGCCGGGGTCTGATCTAGCCTCTTCTGGCTCTAGCCCGGCATAGCCCGGCTACATTTAGGCCAGATTCTCTTATCCTATCCTCTTTCCCTCCTAATCATCTCCTAACCGCTTTCAATCGATTTCCTGATATCCAGCATGCACGGAAAAGAGTCTATCCTGGTTCACAAAAGTCTCAGAGTTACAAACATGGCTTCAACTAGGTCGCTAGCCTGGTTTAGCTTTTCTATATCTAGATTAGAACCAAATCCATAAAAGCCAAGTCCTGTCCGAGTGTTTACCGATAATTCTGCAAGGGGCGTTCATCTTTGAGCCACTCAATCGTCGGTTGTGGTTGCCCGGCGACTCGGGCTTCAAATACAACAGCGATTCCCGGTTTTAAGGGTTGATGACGAAGTTCCTAAACAATAAATATGTAAGAAACTATTAAAAAGCTAAAAAGGCAATGCTAATCTACTGTACCTTTAAAAAAATCGGTGCACTCGGCCCGACGGGGGTCTGCGGTGGAGCGGGGCTGTTGCTGAAAAGAGTAGGGTCTACAATTTTTGAGTTCACACGAATATCTTGCCAAAAATTCGTTATTAAACAAAAAATCGAGTTGTTTCGCTAAAGCTGGAGGTCACAAAATAGATTTTTCACTTTTACACTCAACTCTACTAAAATCCAAAAATTTCTAAAATCAGCGTTCAAATTCTCAACAATATTATCAGAAAAAAAAGAAAATAAAGCCAAAATTTTGAAAGTTTTTTCTAATCTGGAACGCATACATTGGTTTAGCGCCTGGAACTGGTGTTGGAGCTGGGGCAACGATGAGGATGCATGTGGACTGCTTTGAGCCACCAGTGTTGAGTGCTTGCGCGGTGAAGCGGCCCGAGTCGGCGCCTGGGGTTTTGATGAAATCAATTTCACTCAATCTAGCACTCACCCTGCACATTTTCGATGATCAGTCGATGTTTTGAACCGTCTTCCTCGATCTGAAAATTTGAAATTCCCGTCGCTGTGTTCAACGCTGTGGCAACGATCACCAAAAACATCTATTCGCGATAAAGCTTGGCAAAGCTACCGTAAGCTTGGCAAAGCCAGCGTAAACTTGGAAAAGCTACCGTAAGCTTGGCAAAGCCAGCGTAAACTTGGCAAAGCTACCGTAAGCTTGGCAAAGCTACCGTAAGCTTGGCAAAGCTACCGTAAGCTTGGCAAAGCTACCGTAAGCTTGGCAAAGCTACCGTAAGCTTGGCAAAGCTACCGTAAGCTTGGCAAAGCTACCGTAAGCTTGGCAAAGCTACCGTAAGCTTGGCAAAGCTACCGTAAGCTTGGCAAAGCTACCGTAAGCTTGGCAAAGCTACCGTAAGCTTGGCAAAGCTACTCCCAACAGTGCCAATGGGAAAAGAGGCAGGGCAAAAGGGGGCGAGATGGGGCGACCTTTTATACGCGAGGCCCCGCCCCCTTTCCATTGGCAAACTTTAAGCTCAAATTTCTTGGGATTGGCTCATCCAATTTCAATAGTTTTTAAACTAATCGATACAGAAAGACTTGGGAAATCTAATGGTGTTAAGAAAATGATCCAGATTTGAAATGATCGATTTGAAATGATCCAGATTTGAATGATCCAGATCGGAACGATTCCGATTGTTGTCAAAAAGCGAATTGAATTCTTCTCACCAAATAATCGGGACACGTTGATACGTTGTGCCCATCTTTCAGCCATTTCACGAGCGGATCGGGATGACCCTGGAATTTAAAGCAGTAAAGAGAGTTGCAAAACCTTGAACCGACCTCCAATTGACATTCGAGTACCACGCGTTCGCCGACAACCGCTCGCTTGTCCGACAAAGGCTAAGACATTAGGTTTTTTCAATGATTTTAAACAATTCTGCATGTCACGAAGTGTGAACTAACCCGAATGAACGTTGGTGCGGTTTGTTGTTTCGCCTCGCGTTCGCCAAGCGGTCGATGAAACGGCATTGACGCTTTTTGGTTGAGCTGAATATCATAAATGAATTCAAATTCGCATTTTCGTAAATCTTGGAGGTCACAAGACGGATTGAAATGTAAAAAAAGTGTTTTCCAACGTACTTTTTACCCTTTCTCTTTTTCGTCGTCCGTTCGATCCGTTCGTTTGTTTTTCTTTCGTTGGGAATTTTGTTTTGTTGGATTTCTTTTGTGATTTCTTTTTTTTTCCTCTTTACGATTTGCTTTTTTCACCCATAAAGTTCTGAAAAAGTGAAGAAGTACAAAAAATTACAGAAAAAAGAAATCAATTAATAGAAATCAATTAATAGAAATCAATCAAAAAAGGAAATCAATTGGACTTTGGGATCACCCAATTAGCGTATGGAATTAAGAATCGAAAGGAATTCGATTGACAAAATGACAAGAGAAGGAAAGGCAAGGAAATCAGTCAAAACTCTAATCAAAACTCTAATCAAAACTCTAATCAAAACTCTAATCAAAATTTCATTTGAAAAAACAATAAAGAAAAACAAATCTATTCTAATCTGTGATGTGAAGATTGGTCAAGAAATTGGGCTAAAGAAAGAGACAAAGTCACAGAAAGACCCTTCCTTGAGCCATTTAGCTTCAAGAAGACAAACAATTTGAGGATTTCGAGGAAGAAAAGAAAGAAGAAAAAGAAAGAAGACTGTTCTTGAGATTTCCCCAATCGAATCCAATCGAATTCAATCGAAATCCGGATCGATTTGAGACCTCGAAATGGACCCCAAAAATTTGATGAGCAAGAAATCGTTTTTGCAACATTTTGCGGAAGTTCAAACATCGAAAAAAAGTAAGCGCTAAAGTAAAAACGATTGCAAGAACTGAAAACGAATTTGTGGAAAAGTTTTGCGCAAAAGTCGCTTATTCTTTGGGCAATTTTTGAGCATTTTCAGCCAATCTGGAGGTCATCGGAGAAATTTAGTAAAGAATTTTTTCGATTTTTACAATTGAAAAAATTTGAGCAACGTTGCGTGCATAGCTTCGACTTTTTACTGGACTTGACTGAAAGAATTGCCGAAATTTTTGCGATTTTCTTTCGATCTGGATGTCATCGGGGAAATTTAGTAAAGAATATTTTTGATTTTTACAATTTAAAAAATTTGAGCAACGTTGCGTGCATAGCTTCGACTTTTTACTGAAATTTGCTGAAAGAATTGCCGAAATTTTTGCGATTTTCTTTCGATCTGGATGTCATCGGGGAAATTTAGCGAAAGAGTTTTTAGAGTTTGATAGTTTTATGCAAATTTGAAATGCATGTTCGACTTTTTAAATGAAAACGGACTTCGACTTGACTTTCTGACGAAGAAATTTATGAAAATGAAGAAAAACTATCAAAAATTAAGCCATTTTACACAGGAAATGGGTTTTTTTCGGCTTTTTTTTTCGGTTTTTTTTTGGTTTCTCTTGTTCCTAACTTTTGTTCCTAACTTTGCAACATCAATTTGCAACATTTTGTTCCTAGATTTGCAACATCAATCCAAACATATCTAGAAATCGAAAAGCATGGAAACTGAGCATTTACTGCAATATATTTTAAAGTTTCAACAATCTGTTGCTTAACTAAAAAGTCTCAATTAACTTAAATCTCTTTAGAGACTTTTGTCAAGATCGGATTTTTAATTTTGTCGCTGAAAATCAATTGAAAAGAAAAAAGAAAAGAAAAGAAAAGAAAAGAAAAGAAAAGAAAAGAAAAGAAAAGAAAGTCACTATAAAATGAAAGACAATCTTTTAAATATTACAAGAGAAACAGAAAATAAAAGTACAATGAATGGAAACTATTAATTTTGAGGTCCTAAGCGTATGAGAGGATGATGAGTGGATTGGAGGGAAAAGAAGAAGCACAAGAAAAGAGGACAAGGCATGAACAGGGCTGGATTCGGGGGATATGAGTGAGGTCTCCTTGTTGTCTTTCCCTTGTCTTTCCCCTGTCTTTCCCATGTCTTTCCCCTTGTTGCACCACTCCAGATGATCTCTCGAGGAGTGTGTTCGACAGAAACACTTTCCCTGTCTTTCTTTTTCTTCTATGTTTCCAACCATTCCCGATTTCAACATCTTTATGCGCTTTATTGACTTTATTGTGTACTTGAGGCACGTGCAGAACTTACAAGTCTTACTGATGCCTGTAGCACTTCTAACAGGCATTCGCTTGCTTAATTCAAAACACACACTTGCTTAATTCAAAGCACACACTTGCTTAATTTAAAGCACATTCAAAGCATTTGAACAGAATTTTCAAGCTGGAAGTCACAGAACCCTAATCACCAGGCAAAAGTTGGAAAACTTGAAAAAAAGCCAATCTGGTAGGCATGGAAGAAGATCAACAGGAAAAACGGCTAGAATTGAAAGTTCTGGAAAAGTGTTTAAACAAAAGTTCCAAAGTGGAGGTCACAGAACCCTAATCACTAAGCAGAACTTAAAAAAATTGAAAAATATTCTCAAACTGGAGTCGAACCCGAATCGTGTGGGCCGTAGAGAAGCGCACTCCCTACTGCGCCACTTCCCGACTTAGCGGCTGTTTTATAAAAGGCATAAAATTAAACTTGAATTATTCCAAACAGGAACAGAGAAGTTTCTAGGGAAAAAGTTTAGCGAAAAGTCGATCCAAGTGATGGCCCAGAGAGATCGATAGAGGATTTCGGTGAAAAGAGAAAAAGAGGAAGCGATTGGTCAAAGAATGGGAAAAGGAAATCTCTGTTCTGTTGTAAAGCCCTCGCAGTGGCCTTTTGGACCTGGTTTTAGCGGGAGAGGCTGGCTAAAAAGCAAAAGGAACACTCTCGAAATAAAGCGAAAGCCCCGATCCGAGAACTATTTACTGAAAGAGGTGTTATAAAAGTCAATTCAGTGCTTTTTCGCCAATCTGGAGCGCATAGAAGCTATTTGATCCATTTTCAGAGAGATTTTCTATTTTTTAGCTGATCTGGAGCGTACCGAAGTGAATCCCGTTGAAAAAGTCAGAAATTTCTTCGTCATTTTTGTTCGCTCCAAACTTTTTAGCTGATCTGGAGCGCAAATAAGCATTTCATTGTGTAAATTTGGATATTTTTCTTGTTTTTCTCTGATCTAATCTTCAGTACATGAGAAGAGGTATTCAGCTTTGAAAAGTTTCAAAAAAAGTTCATTGAATATTTTTTTAGTCTATCTGGAGAGCACCGAAAATACAAAAATACATCACAAACGCTAACCGAGAGAGCCATGAAAACTCAGAACAATTGGAAAAACCAAAAAACTTCTTCAGAAAATCACAATAAGGCAACAAAGCAAAAATTGGGAAAGAGCAAAAATCCGAATATACCTATGGATACGATGCGTCAAAATCGATCAGGATGAGCATTGTGCCACCGTCCCTGTTTTGTGATTCACCTGCACAGACGAGCAATGATGTTTCGGTGGCTTGGCAATGCCATCTCCAACTGTGTCGATCAAGACGAACGAGGTCACGAACGAAGGTACCTGAAAATCACAAAAATACTCGTATCGTTGATCAAAAAATTAACAACGGAATACTAACCGCGAATAATGATTTAAATTTGAATAGTTAACGAGTCAAGCTATGTAGTCAATAAACTCTACTTTAGAAGAAAACTCGAGGTCTGGACAAATTTGCTTATCTTATAGCCTATATTACTAGGTAATTCAGAACAACATACCTTTATCCACATCCCAAACCTGGACCGAGCAACCGTCCGAACTCGTCACCAAAAGTCTAAAACGCGTCCCTTTCGTGTATTTAACGAAACCTTTGGCGATAAAATTTACTCTGGTCATCCCTTCAGTGCCTCTAGGCCCGTCCCTCTAGTGCCCTAAGGGTAGATTTGCTTATCGATTTTATACAAACGACATGCTAATGTTTGAACGTTCAGATCTCTGTTTCTAGAACAGCTATCAACTTATTTCATTGGAAAGCTTTCATTCATCGTAATGGCTGCGGTACCATTACAATATTTACGGTAGCTAGTAGTAGTAGTAGTATTTTCCTCAGGGATTTTTCAGTTTGTTATTTACGGTGTTAGCTCTGCTGTAATTTTTCATTTAGGGGAGCCGGGACTTTTGGTGACAAGTTCTCACGATGGCTTGGTCAAGCTGTGGGATGTGGATATCATTAAAATCATTTTTCATGTCGGACAAGCCGGAGAGCAGCAAGACTCAACTCGAAGAGTAAAGAGAATGACCTTAAACATTTAATTTTCAAATTCAGGGATATCATCCAACCATTGGTCCAAAAGGATTTTTTGTCACAGTTGCCAGAGGAGGTTTGTCTTTTGTTAAAGCTTCAGGGATTAATTGTTTAATTTTAGGTTGCTTATCGCATCATCGCCCATTTGACGCCGTGCGATTTGACGGTTTGTGCTGGCGTTTCGCGGAGGTGGCAGCGAATTTGTGAAGATGATCGGACGTGGCAAAAGAAATGTTTGGAGAAAGGATATGTGAAATTTGATGCGCCAAGGTGTGTTACAGTTTTGAACAGATTATATAACATTTTAAATGATAATGTTTGTTTCGATGAACTGGATGACATTTAAGAACACGTGATACACAGAATATAACTATGGATACGATGCGTCAAAATCGATCAAGATGAGCTTTCCGTTTTCGGTTCGGTCTCGCGATATAATTGAACATAGGAGAAATGTTTCGGTTGCGAAGAGATGCCGAAACCAACTGCCAGCCTGAAGACGAACGAGGTCACGAACAAAAATACCTAAAAATCACAAAAATTCTCGTATAGTTGATAAAAAATTAACAACAGAATACTAACCCTGAACATAGCTTGAAACTTGAATAGTTAGCGAGTCAGATTATGTAGCTAATAAATCACACCTTAGAAGAAAACTTGAACTCTGAACAAATTTGCTTATCTTATAGCCTAAATTACCCGGTAATCTAGAACAACATACCTTTATCCACATCCCACAGCTTGACCCAACCATCGTAAGAACTTGACACCAAAAGCCCCGAGTCGAGCCATTGCAATGAAGTGATATTGAACGTGTGACCATTTGCGTCTTGCAGGCGATGAATGCATGAACCACCCTCACGAATGTCCCAAACCTAAAGAAAAGGAAGTAGTTGTCCTACGATTGATTAAACGTACCCCAACGTCCGAGCCGGTATAGCAGGCGACCAAACTGTTTCCGCGAAGCTGCATGCCATAGTAGGGCCTTTCATGACTGATAAGAATTGCGATGCATGCTAAATGAAACAAATATAGATGACATAGCAACAAAATAGCAACGAAGCAAAACCCACTTCCTCTTCGCACATCCCAGACGCGCATCGTTCCATCCTGACTTCCCGAGACGACAAGATCGCGCTCCGGCTCAAACTAAAACAGAATCCTGATTAAAGCCTAAAATTGACAATTCAACTCACCAAAAGTGAAAGGACTGGATTCGTGTGACCCGTCAGCGTGTGCAAACACTCACCCGTCTCTACATTCCAAACCTTATAGAATACTATAAAATTGAAAAAAAAACATTACAAACCTTTACAGTACAATCAAAGGAACCAGACACAACCCGCTTTCCATCAAAGCGTACACACGAAACCTGAAATTTACTTTGCTTAGGCTATAACTTTGATACACGTACCGTCTCCAAGTGGCCAGCCAAAATGTGAAGGCATTTCCCGTCGGCAATGTCCCAGACTCGGAGCGTTTGATCGGACGATCCAGAAACAAGACTAAAACATTATGATTTTAGCTAAAGCACCAAATTTAGATAACTCACGTTGTGCCATGTAGACTTATGCCGTAAACAATACTCGTATGCCCCTGGAGAACATGACGCTGTACACCGGTCTGACCACACCAAACGCGCACCGTTCGATCAGTCGAGCCACTTAAATAATGCAATAGCCTTTGTTGTCACAAGTACTTTTGTCTAGAAAATTGTTAGCTTCTTTGACAACACTTATCAATTGCACTAGATAGAACCTATTAACTAACCTGACAATGTATTTGCCATCATCGCTCACTTGGGACGTATAAACAGCACCCATATGGCCAGTTAGAGTGAAAGCCGGCTAAATTAAGATATACAATAATAATTAAACGAAACAAACTTGAGCATCATCAACATTCCAGATACGCAACGTACTACCATTTGAACCAGTAACGATACGACCAGACTGAACTTGTAGATGATCGACCGCATTATCCTCGCGAGCCTAAAACAATTTTTATAGCCAAAACATTTGTTTAAACCTTTTGGATAGTGCTTGCTTGAATCGCTCGGGATCGCCAATTGGAAATGATTCGCTGCTTCCGCAAGTACAGTGACTTCCATGACGATCGCCCATAACACCTAGAAAAAATTTAATTCAGCAACAAGCTCCGTCACTCACTGTCCATATGCGATCTCGCGTTCTCGTCGATTCTGGTGTGCTTCTTGAAGGTCCATATGTCGGAAGATTGTGATTCCCGCTTCCTCATATGCTCGATTCGTCGCCCAGCCTCTGAGAAAACGAAAACTGAACAAAAAGAAGCTAGTGACAAGCTTGTGACGAATCCTCTACTAATCGTGTTCTTAAATGTCATCCAGTTCATCGAAACAAAAATTATCCTTTGTTTGCTGTAGAATTAATAACAGTATCATCCTATACCTTAGCAGTGTAAGATCTAGTTTAATATAAATCTATCAGACATGTATTTTTAAATTTTATATCATTTGCTCAAAACTGTAACACACCTTGGCGCATCAAATTTCACATATCCTTTCTCCAAACATTTCTGTCGCCACGTCCGATCATCTTCACAAATTCGCTGCCACGCCCGTGAAACACCAGCACAAAGCGTCAAATCCAAAGGTGTCAAATAGGCGATGATGCGATAAGCAAGCTAAAAGTAAACAATTAATTCCACAAGCTTTAACAAAGACAAACCTCCTCTGGCAACTGTGACAAGAAATCCTTTTGGAACAATGGTTCGATGATGTCCCTGAATTTGAAAATTTCACTGTTTAAGGTCATTTTCTTTACTCTTCGAGTTGAGTCTTGCTGCTCTCCGGCTTGTCCGACATCTCCCCTAAATGAAAAAATACAGCAGAGATAGCGCCATCAACAAGAAAACGAAAAACTCCTGAGCAAAATACTACTACTACTAGCTACCGTCAATATTGCAATGGTACCGCAGCCATTACGATGAATGAAAGCTTTCCAATGAAATAAGTTGATAGCTGCTCTAGAAACAGAGATCTGAACGTTCAAACATTAGCATGTCGTTTGTATCGATAAAATCGATAAGCAAACCTACCCTTAGGGCACTAGAGGGATGGGGCTAGAGACACTAGAGGCATGACCAGAATGAATTTTATCGCAAAAAGTCTCGTTAAATACACGAAAGGGGCGCGTTTTAGAACTCGCCATCAAAAGGCCTACGGTAGAATGTACACAAAACCATATTTTGTGTTTCCAATTTTCCAAAAAAGTTCCATTCCATTGCGCTTTTTAGCGCTTCACCCACAAAATAACCTTTAGTGCACCATCTCGTAGGTAAGGTTAAATTGATCAGCAGGATTGAAAAGACGCTGGGGTGTTGAAGCTGCGGGCACCGAAGATTTACGGGTATTTAACCTGAACGGGGCGAAGAATTTTTCACTAGTCATATTTAGCCGAAAAGCTTGTTTTGCGTTCCAGCACAAAGTTTTGGGCGCTAAATTTATTTCGTCGCTGATCCTACTTTACATATCAAGGATTTCTCCGTCTTGTACAATTCATCGAACTCGAAATCGTAGTGGAAGCGTCCTCGAATACCCTTGTCAGACATTTTGAAACGAATGGCTCGCCAAATATCGAGGCCTCATAGCAAGAAGAAGCTATCTAGGAGCGTCCAATAAGAGTAGGGATTAGGGAGCCGAGAATGTGGGAGCGGGTCAAGTTATGATATCGCCTAGTATTGTGTGTGTCGTATTGTGATTATCGTGCCAAATAAACCACATACGGAGTCCCCGGTGTAGATCTTATTATTAATCAAATCGCCGTTTGCATACGGGCATTTCAAGAATTGACTGACAATTTGTGGCGTCAAGAGAACATTGGTCGCTTTGTGGAGAAGTCGTGAAACGGTCTGGTGAGAGATTCCAAGAGATCAGCGATCACATTTTGAGGAGATGAAGAAGAATTTCGATACGCGACTCGAACAGCAACTCGAAATCGTAGTGAAAGCGTCCACGAATACCCTTGTCACAAGAATGGGCTCATGAATTGTACAAGACGGAGAGATCCTTGAAATGTAAAGTGATATCGGCGACGAAATGCCTCATCGGAAAGGTGGAATTTCGTGATCTGATCGATTCGACGATAGAAAATTCGCTGCCTCTTTCCTAAAAAAGAAACTAAATCAAGAAAAGAAACAATTCAAGTTATAAAAGCAAAAACCTGAGAAACAAAGAATCTAAAGCCACTAAATTCTATCAAAAATCACGAATTCGGAGCCAGAGGCTGAGGAAAATGGGATAGTGTAACAATACTGTGACTGGTATTATTACTGTTATGTTTTATATTGAATAAGATCAATAGATATTTGCATTTGAATGCAGTAAAATAAGAAATCTTTGTTTCTAGGCCTCTTCCTGCTCTATTTCGCGTACAAAACGTTTATTACAGTATTTATTCGCATTTCCTTTCCCCAGTTTTATCCAATTCTCGGTCGATATCCTTTATCTTTCGAAATCCACTTGTCATCGTGGGCATGCCCCGTTTCAGCGTGAAGAAACGACGAGAAAACGTAGGTGGCATTGTGCACGTTGAGCACTGAAAACTTGCATCTGTCGTAGCTGATTATGAAAGAAATTTTTTTGGTAAATCTTTCTAGTAGGTCAGCCTTTAATGTATAAAGGCAATACTATATCATTTTGATCAGGGCTGTATGCTGGATGGATCATCCACTGTATGGATGGGTTTACTCCCATTCAAATGAGTTTAGATTAAAACGAGTGGCCTTCGAAACATGCGGCCCTATCATGTCAAATAATTATTTTTCTCTTTGAGGTCTTTTCTTGAGATTTGACAGACTTGTTGAGTCAGCATTTGATTTCGGTCAGCATCCCGGAGCATTTGAGTTAATTAAGTGTTGTCTTGCTATTCAAAATTTCCTAGTCTTTCAAATCTCAGAGCACCGAGAGCGTAAACTTCTTCTCATGAGATGCTGGCAAAAGCGCCACGTTTTTTTTTGCGCTAAAATCCTTTGCGCCACGTTTCATTTGCACCAAATTTCTAAAGATCACTGTAACAAGTCACTTTTTCCCAACTTCTAGCCAACTTTTTTTCAGTTTTCTCCTTCACAATTTCCGTTTTCACTGTTTTCAATAAGAAAACACATTTAAATACTCATACAGACCTCAAAAACAATCATTTTTGTCTCACGGATTCGACTTTTTACTCTTCATATCGATTTGACGTCATTTTCAGATCCGGCGAAGGCGTCAAAGTAGCAACGTTAACGAGAAAAAAATAAAAATAAACAATCAAACGTGGCGCCAATAATTTGACCCTTTTCTGCTACCTCCTTCTCATGCACATTTGGCATGATGTCGTGCTCGGACTTTTTCCCTCAGCAACCCGATTGACTTCCGATTTTGACAACAAAATAACGTCACTTTCTCCACCTTGATCCCTCTCAAATCTCTCCATTCACACAAATCAACGTTCTCGTGTAGCTTATCTGCAAAAAGAAAGGTTTTAAAATAATTCATTGGCATGGATTATTTGAGGCGAGATTTGATTCGAAATTTGTGAACAAAAGTCGACATTCCCGGATGTTATGTGAACGGGAAAGGTAAACACAAATCATAAAGTTTCCTCGAATTTCCATTTAACCACCTAAACTACCGTAACCGATTTGTTCAGGTTTTGTCTGTTGCAATAAACATCTCGAAAACGTCATTGACAACACAATGAAAGAGGTGAATTCTGGGATTTAAAGCGCTTTCTTTAACGTTTGCGCAGATTAACGACAAAGCAAAAGAGCAAGAAGCAAAAACGGGACAACCCGCCTGTAATCTGCAAGCATCCGCCAATTTGTTACAGGTAAATTTCCAAAATGGAGAATATCCGGCTCAAGCCAGGGCAGGGCCAAACTCTTACTTTAGAATCAAGCTAGGCCTGGTCCGGGTTTTTAATCCTAGAAACCAGCTATGAGTCATGCCAAGCCAGTTCATAGGTCAACTGTTTTCGAATCATTTCGCCAAAATCAGAAAATGCCTATTTATCTGCCTAGTTTCCTAAAAGGTGCATCTACTATTAGACAACGCTACCGTACCCAGAAAAGACATCGAGGTTACGGTAGCTTTTCCTAGTGTTCATCTTTAATCATCAAAAAAAATCCCTTCAGAAATCCGCCGAGGGAGTTTTCGGTGTCTCTTTCGAATCACCCGGTTAATTAAAATGATGATTCTTTGATGATTTCCTGTATAGTTGATTCGTTTATGTATAAAGGTGTGGTAGTTAGCACAAATCACATGCATCAGGATTTATTGCGAGTAATTTAAACGAGTAAATGACGAGTAATCCAAAAATCCATCCTAGGAGTCATAGGGAAGGATAGACTTGACATCCTCCAGAAACATTTGGGTCCACGGATTAAATTTGGGCTTTGGAAATGGGTTTTGATCTAAACTTAGGAATTGTTTCAGAGAAGAAACAGAATTGCTTTCTTTAACATAAATTGAAACCTACCTCGAACATGAGCACTGGGAATCGTTTTTGAAGCATTCAAAGTAGGGTGATGCTTCCGTAGGACCCATTTGGCTAGAAGATCGACCTAAAAATAACAAAATCATTGAAATTAAGTAAAAATTAAGCTCTAAAATTATTTCGTAAATAACAATTTCTAAAGAATTACTTGATTATTTCCGGCGTCTTGATTATGTGCTTCCACCCACTCAAAACGGACGCCTTTGGGAAAACAAAGAGCAAGATCGAACAATTTTTCGAGGCTAAATGTAAAATATAGAGAAATATAAATGCAAAAACAAAATTGCTTATGAATTTCTGGTATTTTGGATTCTTTGGTTGCCCTAATTCTTTCTTCATATATTGTTCCACATAGTTCAAACGAGTTGCTGAACGAGTTGCTTGGGATCGGTAATAGCACGACCTTTGTGACATCCCTAAATGATTCAAATATTTTTTTTCACATGAATAGTGCCTACTTATCGAACTTTTTCCAATCGTAAAGACGTTTTAAACCAATTGTAGCACCCAGAATCTCGGCCAAGTTTGTGTCGAGTCCCTTATTATGGTTGGTGATGTCAGTGGAGCTAAATTTAAAACAATTTTTAAACTTTTATGGCCTAATTAAACATTAACCAAGCATAAAAACACTTACCAAGTGAGCGGATGCCCGAATCCGTAAAATGCGCCAATTCCGGTATGCTGTGCCTTCACGCTTGCATGAGTGTATATATACACGGTGTCGTGATCAAATTGCTGGTTGCCTAGATTGTTCGATGGATGATCATGTGGGAAACCTGTGAAAAAACAAAATAAATCACTGTTGCTTATAGTTTGTTGCAAGAAAAAATAAAATAAACAAAAAGCTCTTTAATCAAAAGTTTCCTTAGATCCGCCAGCGCTTTGCCTTTCTTGATAGCTCTCTAAAAAAATTTGATAAAACTTAACTCGTCACTACCAAACTTAAGAACCACGGTAACGACTAATTTCGACAATTTTGTATTTTAGGATAATTATTCCTTCAATGCACATTCATCAGTGCATTTAAAATATTCAAAAACTATAAAAAACTTATAATAGCCCCGAAAAACAATAGCAAATTTTGATACGTAAATCTTATCAAATCAATTTGTTTGCCAACTTATTAATTGTGAAACCTTACAGACCTAGTAAAAAAGGTTTACTAGCCCGTTTTATCTTGCATGTGTAAATCGTGAAACGAAAACGAACTACACAACTGAAAGTAACACAAACACCCCTGGAAACAATCACATAAGGGACATAAGAAGAAAAGATTATTGTTATGAGAAGAATTCTTAGTAAATAAAAGCCGACCAATGGCAAAATCAAGGGTAACAAAATGAAAACTTTGGCATACAAGAAAGTCTGCAAAAAGTCGGAAATATTTGAAAGTAAATCACAAACGCCAACCGAGAGAGCCACGAAAACTCGAAGAATTGAAAACCGAAAAAAATTCTTCAGAAAAACACGATAATGCAAAAGAGCAACAATCCGAATATACCTATGGATATGATGCGTCAAAATCAATCAAGATCAAATCTCTGTCCTCGGTTCCGCTTAGCGATCGAGATCGATCTACACATAGGAGAAATGTTTCGGTCGCGAAGAGTCTCCAAATCCAAATGTCAGCCTGAAGACGAACGAGGTCACGAACAAAGGTACCTGAAAATCACAAGGATACTCGTATAGTTGATAAAAATTTAACAACGGAATACTAACCCAGAACATCGATTTAAACTTGAATAGTTAACGAGTCAAATCATGTAGCTAATAAATTCTATTTTAGAAGAAAACTTGCAGTCTGGACAATATTTGCTTGTCTTTTAAACTACATTACCAGGTAATTTAGAACAACATACCTTTATCCACATCCCACAGCTTGACCGAGCCATCACGAGAACTTGTTACCAAAAGTCCCGAGTCGAGCAATTGAAATGAAGTGATGTAATCTGTGTGACTATTTACGCCTTGCAGACGATGAATGCACGAACCACCGTTACGAATGTCCCAAACCTAAAGAAAAGGAAGTAGTTTTTATAGGATTGATTAAACGTACCCCAACGTCCGTGTAGGTAAAGCAGGAGACCAAAATATTTCCGCGAAGTTGCATGCCATAGTGGGCTCCGATAAGCATTTCATGAGAATGAAGAATTGCGATGCATGCTAAATGAAACAAATATAGATGACATTGCAACAAAATAGCGAACAAGCAAAACCCACTTCCTCTTCGCACATCCCAGACGCGAATCGTTCTATCCTCCCTTCCCGACGCGAAATCGACGCGCATCGTTCTATCCTCACTTCCCGAGACGACAAGATCGCGCTCCGGCTCAAACTAAAACAGAATCCTGACTAAAGCCAAAAATTGACAATTCAACTCACCAAAAGTGAAAGGACTGGATTCGTGTGACCCGTCAGCGTGTGCAAACACTCACCCGTCTGTACATTCCAAACCTTATAGAATACTATAAAATTGAAAAAAAACATTACAAACCTTTACAGTAGAATCAAAGGAACCAGACACAACCCGTTTTCCATCAAATTGTACACAACGCACCTGAAATTTAACTTTGTTTAGGCTATAACTTTGATACACCTACCTCCGCCATGTGGCCAGTCAAAACCTGAAGACATTTTCCGTCGACAATGTCCCAGACTTGGAGCGTTTGATCGGACGATCCAGAAACAAGGCTAAAACATTATGCTTTTAGCCAAGGCACAAAATTTAGACTACTCACGTTGTGCCATGTAGACTCATGCACCAAACAGTACCCGTATGCCCCTGCAGAACATGACGCTGTACACCGGTTTGACCACACCAAACGCGCACCGTTCGATCATACGAGCCACTTAAATAATGCAATAGACTTTGTTATCACAAGTACTTTTGTCTAGAAAATTGTTAGCTTCTTTGACAACACTTATCAATTGCACTAGCTAGAGCCTATTAACTAACCTGACAATGTATTTGCCATCATCGCTCACTTGCGACGTCACAACATTATTCATATGGCCAGTTAGAGTGAAAGCCGGCTAGATTAAAGACGTACAATAATAGTTAAACGAAACAAACTTGAGCACTATCAACATTCCAGACCCGCAACGTATTATCATCTAACCAACCAGTAACGATACGACCCGACTGAACTTGTAGATGATGGATCTGATTAAAACCGTGAGGCTAAAACAATTTTTATAGCCGAAGCATTTGCCAAACCTTTAGAACAGTGCTAGATTGAATCGGTCGGGATCGCCAATTGGAAATGATTCGCTGCTTCCGCAAGTACAGCGACTTCCATGAGGATCGCTCATAACACCTAGCAAAAAAATTTAATTTAGCAATAAGTTGCGTCACTAACTGTCCATATGCGATCTCGCGTTCTCGTCGATTTTGACGTGCTTCCTGAAAGGTCATATGTGAGCAGATTGTGATTCCCGCTTCCTCATTTGCTCGATTCGCCGCCCAACCTCCGAGAAAACGAAAACTGAAGAAAAAGAAGTTAGTGACAAGCTCGTGGCGAATCCTTTACTAATCGTATTCTTCAATGTGGCCCAGTTCATCGACAAAAAAAACATCATCATTCATTTTCTCTCGCTTTACATCTTTATTTGCTTTGGAATTAATAACAGTATCATCCTATACCTCAGAAGTGTAAGATCTAGTTTAATATAAATCTATCAGATATGTATTTTTAAATGTTATATTATCTGTTCAAAACTGTAACACACCTTGGCGCATCAAATTTCACATATCCTTTCTCCAAACATTTTATTCGCCACGTCCGATCACCTTCACAAATTCGCTGCCACGTCCGCGAAACGCCAGCACAAACCGTCAAATCGCACGGTGTCAAATAGCCGATGATGCGATAAGCAACCTAAAAATAAACAATTAATCCCATAAACTTTAACAAAAGACAAACCTCCACTGGCAACTGTGACAAGAAATCCTTTTGGAGCAATGGTTGGTTGAGATGCCTGAATTTGAAAATTTCATTGTTTAAGGTCAATTTCTTTACTCTTCGAGTTGAGTCTTGCTGCTCTCCGGTTTGTCCGACATCTCCCCTAAATGAAAAATTACAGCAGAGACAACACTATAAATAAGAAAACGAAAAACCCCTGAGCAAAATACTACTACTAGCTACCGTAAATATTGTAATGGTACCGCAGCCATTACAATGAATGAAAGCTCACCAATGAAACGTTCAAACATTAGCATGCCGCTTGTAGCGATAAAATCGATAAACAAGTCTAACATTCGGGCACTAGAGGGATTGGACCAGAGGCACTAGAGGGATCACCAGAATGAATTTTATCGCAAAAGTCTCGTTAAATACACGAAAGGGGCGCGTTTTAGGACTCGCCATCAAAAGGCCTACGGTAGAATGTACACAAAACCATTTTTTCAGAAAGCTCCATTCCATTGCGCTTTTTAGCGCTTCACCCACAAAATAACCTTTAGTGCACCATCTCGTAGATAAGGTTAGGTTTATCAGCAGAATTGAAAAGACGCTGGGGTGTTGAAGCTGCGGGCGGCGACGATTTACGGGTATTTAACCTGAACGGGGCGAAGAATTTTTCATTCGTCATATTTAGCCGCAGAGCTTGTTTTGCGTTTCAGCACAAAGTTTTGAGCGCTAAATTTATTTCGTCGCCGATATCACTTTACATATCAAGGATTTCTCCGTCTTGTACAATTTATCAAACTCGAAATCGTAGTGAAAGCGTCCTTGAATAGCCTTGTCACAAGAATGGGCCCATGAATTGTACAAGACGCAGAAATCCTTGATATGTAGGGTGATATCGGCGACGAAATGCCTCACCGGAAAGTTGGAATTTCGTGGTCTGATCGATTCGGCGATAGAAAATTCGCTGCCTCATTCATAAAAAAGAAATTCAATCAAGAAAAGGAAGAATCCCAGCGATAAAAGCAAAAACCTGAAAAACAATCTTTGTTTTTAGGCCTCTTCCTGCTCTATTTTGCGTACAAAACCCGGAAAAACAATCTGGAGGAAATGGCTTTGGTTTCTGGTATTATTTTCGGGGTATCGGGGATTATTTTGTATCGGGGATTATTTTCACAATTGGCATTCCGGCGGCCGGGATAACTCTATTGGTGATCCATCGGAATGATATTAATTGAGAGCTTTTCACCTTGAGCTTCTTCTATATTTCTATCGTAATATCTGCTAGTAGTTTTTGCAAAAGATCCAAAAGATTCTCATTTTTGTCTATGAGCTTTCTCAGCTGGAGTTTTCACTCTCAATTTTTGTAAATTTCTATAAATAGTCAAAATCTTCTTTTTTATTACAGTATTAATTCGCATTTCCTTTCCGCAGTTTTATCCAATTCTCGGCCGATATCCTTTATTTTTTGAAATCCACGTTTAACCGTGGGCATGCCCCGTTTCAGCGTGAATAAACGACGAGAAAACGTGGGTGGCATTGTGCACGTTGAGCACTGGGAAATTTTCACCTGTCGTAGCTGATTATGAAAGAAATTTTTTTGGTAAATCTTTCTAGTAGGTCAACCCTTTAATGTATAAAGGCAATACTATATCATTTTGATCAGCGCTGTATGCTGGATGGACCATCCACTGTATGCTGGATGGGTTTACTCCCATTCGAATGAGTTTAGTTTAGAACGAGTGGCCTTCGAAACATGCAGCCTTATCATGTTGTACAATGATTTTTCTATTTGAGGTCTTTTCGTGAGATTTGACTGACTTGTTAAGTCAGCATTTGATTTCGCAAAACAAGCAGACAGCAGACAAGACAAGCAAAACAAGCAGAGAAACATTTTCTTTTTTAAACATTTTCTGATAAAAGACAGATTTATACTAAAATGTGGCTGAAATAAAGTTTGTTAAGACATAAATAAATAGGAAATTGCACAGAAATGATAGGTTTTTTTTGTTCGAAAATCGAAAATAATCATTTTTCAACCCTGTAGACAATGCTCTCCGCCACAGAAACGAGCTGATCTGAAAAAAAGAAGTGATTTGTAAGGAAACTTGAGAGAAAATTGGCTTTATCTTTAATTTTCTCCTTTTCCCACCTTTCCACCATGGCGTCAATCAAATTGTTAACGAAATCGAAGCCGATTTTGAGTTGACCAGAAGCGGTTCCAGTTGTATCAGCAATTACCTAAATTTTTCTTTTTTTAAGAAAAAAGCTGAAGAACTAAGATAAACCTTTCTACATCCAACATTCAACAACGCTTCCATTCCAAGATTTTGACCAACTGGCTTCTTTCTGATACAAGTAGACAAGGCTGAGTCGATCACTGTCACCCAGTCGTTCACGGGAGTGATCCTGGAGTGATCAGTAAGTTGAATTAGGACTGTAAACTTGATGAAAACCAAGTTTATTCCAAAAGCCAATAGAATAACAATTAGATTACAGTTAACGGCATAATAGTTAGTTGATTCTGTGTTGATTTCTATTAATTTACGCCAAGCTAGAGTCCCCAGAAGCTATTCGATCCATTTTCAGGAAAATTCAGCTTCGAAATGAGTTGATTTCAAATTTTTTGGCTGATCTGGAGCGCACAGAAGGCCGGAGAAGATCTTAAAATAATCACTAACAGGTGTTTTTTGATGGCTGAAACACAGACGTCGACCTTCGAAGATGAGCCAATCACTGGGCCACGAGACGAGCCGGAAAGCAGCTGGAAATTATCATGTGACTTCCAGAATCGCTTATGGATCTTTCAAAAAGTCCTCTCACCTCATTGAAAACCTCGGAAATCGAGGCGATGTGTTGCTTGAACTCTTCTCGAGTTTCATGGATGTAACCACAGATGGCATTGCGTGTGGCTGGGATCTGGGTGGCACACGACCCAACAGCGAGCCGGGAATCACAATTGGCAATAACTGGAAGTGAGGGTTACGGTAGCTGAGACGCAAAATAGCGTCGTATAATGAACTAGATGTTTTTTAGCCAAAAGCAATTCATTTTTTAAGGCTACGGTGGCTAGGGTGTAAAATATCCTTTAAAAGCCCAATTAAAGTTAGTTTTGTGAGTTTTAATGCTAGTCTACGATTCCAGACACCAACTTTGACAATGGTTCTCCAAGTAGCCGGCAAATGGGCTTTGCAGGCAGCGTCTGAAATTAAATTATAGCTTTTGAGCATACTTGCTTACGATAGCTTTCACTAAACGCAATAAAACCAGTAAAACATTCATTTATTCTAAATTTCTAACAAAAACATCTGGTTTTCTTTTTTGCCGATGGCAATTTAAAGTTTTTCGTGTCTTCGTGAGAAGCAAGGTTTGCAAAAAAAATCCAAACAATTCAGTAATCAAAGCCAAGTCCAGGGATTTTTTGTGAGTCAGGCTTTCAGTAAAGCCAGTTTATAGGCCAAGGCGCGTAAAGCCCGGTCAGGACTGGCTACTGGTTTGGTCTAGGCGTTTGGAACAAAATTTAGTGGTACACAACTTTTGAGAATTGAAAATCTTTTTTTAAGTACTCCGAATAACTGCTCGATGATGACACGCAAGAATGTAATTCAATTTCTTTTCTTGAGCGCTGTAAGCATTTCGAAGTAGTGGCATGCAAATTTGGATGTTTGCATAACATATCTTTTTTGATATGTTATGCATATCAAACATATCTTTAAAAAGAATAATATATGCGGGTAGTTTTTGCACAAGATCTAAAAAGATTCTCATTTTTGTCTATGAGCTTTTTCAGCGACGAAATGTCTCATCGTAAAGTTGGAATTTCGTGATCTGATCGATTCGGCGATAGAAAATTCGCCGGCTCCTTCATAAAAAAGAGATTAAAACAAGAAAAGGAAGAATTCCAGCTATAAAAGCAAAAACCTGAAAAACAAAAAATCCAAAACCACTAAATCCTATCAAAAAGCACGAATTCGGAGCCAGAGGCTGAGGAAAATGGGATAGTGTAACAATACTGTGACTGGTATTATTACTGTAATGTTTTATATTGAATAAAATCAATAGATATTTGCATATGAATGTAGTAAAATAAGAAATCTTTGTTTCTAGGCCTCTTCCTGCTCTATTTCGCGTACAAAACCCGAAGAAACAATCCGGAATCGAGGAAATGGCTTTGGTTTCTGGTGTCGGGGATTATTTTCACAATTGGCATTCCGGCATTATTACGGTATTTGTTCGCATTTTCTTTCCCCAATTTTATCCAATTCTCGTTTGATATCCTTTATCTTTCGAAATCCACGTTTCATCGTGGGCATGCCCCGTTGCGTGAAGAAACGACGAGAAAACGTAGGTGGCATTGTGCACGTTGAGCACTGAAAAATTTGCATCTAGAAAGACAATACTATATCATTTTGATCAGCGCTGTATGCTGGATGGATCATCCACTGTATCCTGGATGGGTTTACTCTCATTCAAATGAGCTTAGTTTAGAACGAGTGGCCTTCGAAACATGCGGCCTTATCATGTCGACTAATGATTTTTCTCTTTGAGGTCTTTTCTTGAGATTTGACTGACTTATTAAGTCAGCATTTGAGTTAGTTAAATGCTGTCATGCTATTCAAAATTTCCTAGTAGATAGGCTCTTTCAAATCTCAGAGCACCGAGACTTTTTACTCTTTATATCGATTTGATGTCATTTTCAGATCCGGCGAAGGCGTCAAAGTAGCAACGTTGACTAGAAAAAAATAAAAATAAACAATCAGAGTTGGTAGGGAAGTGTGTTGAAAAGTCGAAATTTGACGCAAATGATAAGTGGCCCAAATAATTTGACCCTTTTCTGCTAGCACCTCCTTCTCATGCACATTTGGCATGATGTCGTGCTCCGACTTTCTCCCTCAGCAACCCATTGACTTCCGCTTTTTAAACAAAATGACGTCACTTTCTCTACCTCGATCCCTCTCCAATCTCTCCATTCTCACAAATCAAAGTTCTCGTATAGCTTATCTGCAAAAAAAAAGTTTCAAAATAATTCATTGGCATGGATTATTTGAGGCGAGATTTGAGGCGAAATTTGTGGAAAAAAGTCGACATTCCCGGATGCTATGTGAACGGGAAAGGTAAACACAAATCATAAAGTTTCCTCGAATTTCCATTTAAC